GCATTACGGGATGGTTGAATGGGCCTTTCTAGTCATGAATGTGATAACGCTTAGGCTGTGTTGACGAGCATACCTAGAGTCAAATAGTTTAATAAGCTCAACTTAAATGCACATTCACATGTGTGCACAGAAGGCTCTTAATTCATTTTCACCTAGTTAATCTTTACATGAAGAAAAGAGACAGTTATGTACCTCAGATGTTTTGTACAAAAAATAAAATAAAGCCTTACATACTGAATCCCATTAAAGTCTGGCACTTACAGCTCTTTAGAAGAAGGAAAGAATTGTGGGGGGGGGGGGGGGGGGGAGGCGGGGTGGCTCGTAATACTTTCTAGTGGTTTATTTTATGCCCAAAACAATAGTGAGAAGTTCTGAACACTGTGCAATGCTGTAAGACCAAATAAAGCCCAGTATGTACTCTGAGTCAGACATCAGTTCACTTGCCTAAGGACCTTTCCTTTTCTTGGTAACCTGAGAGTGGGGGGGGGAACTTCGAGTCAAGAAGGAAAGATAAAGTCTGTAAGTAATTTCAAAGGCAATGATATTTTAAATGAAAGCAAAAATTTAATTAATGCAATTTCATAATTTTCATAGCAAGGAAAATAGTTCAATCATGTGGTTTAGTAGTAAAATAACAACAGCACCAGCAGCAGTGGTGGCGGCAATGACCAGAGACGTGCTTAGAGCACAGCTAACCTACTCTCTTAGCAAGCCGGATCCTAATCCACTCAACACCTGCACTAACACATCCTTACAGGTGTTCTACTGAGTAAATGACCCTTTGGGCTGTTCAAGTTTCCAATCCTCAAGGTAAGATCCAATGACGAACCTTGTACTTAAATACTTTTTTTTTAAGTAACAAAAGCAGAAATAATAGAGGACACTCAGGTTAAAAAGTGATTAACCAAACTTTCAACTAATGGCAAGTCTTCTGATTAATGAAAATTTTCCGATTTCCATCTTACGCTGCTTCAATCCATAAAAATGTTTATTAGATAGACACATGTTTTCCATCCCTACACACAACGATTTTCTGGAGTTGGCAGTCCCAACAAGACAGTGCAAGCTGCAGGAAGAGAAACCAGAAAGAGCCAGTGTTTGGAAGGTCACACATAGCTTCTGGCTTCAGTCACGTGCAGTCAAGGATGCTCAGAGTCTCAGAAATGCGAGATCTTCACAGCTAGCATGACACAACTGCAGATTACAGCAGAATCTACTGGCAGGAGGATCTGAGAAGGATCTCACCTGGGAAACAAAATGACGTTGCAAATGGCATACCAAAATATTGCAAAACAAGGAAACTGGACGAGATACCAACAGTCCGACTTGTGCTAAATTCCTGAAAACAGCTCTCTGAGTTTTAAGGCGACTCCCTGTCCTTTCTCTGAGTGAAGGGCCCCTGAAGCTGGGACTCCTGCACAGTCAGTGGCTTCCCAAAATGGATATTTAAATACTTCAGATTCACAGGTATTCAGTATGATCTGGTGATGTGTAGGCTGCTGGTAAATTTAATCATTTTAATATACACTTGTCTACACATATTTGCTCTTCAGTTTCAGAAAGTATGTTTAAGCCACACAATCAAAGACAGAGGAAAAACAAAACAAACATTCCACCCTAGTTAAGTTTATTAATCAGAGTAAATACAGTTTTATCTTATCATCATGTTTTCTATGAGGAAACTTCTGTTCTTTTTTTAGATTTGAAGAATTGCTTTTCCTAATAGAACCCCCCAGAACTGAGAACCCTGAACTGCAAACTTGTCCTTTGTCCCGGTTGTTTACGGGTCTTATCAGGCACACAGGGGCTGGCAATGTGATTCTAAGATAAAAATTCCAAAGATATAATTAGATGTTTTTCCGAGAACCATCTCCCAATGCCATGAAAATTTGTTTGCTGTTCTTCACTTCATAGTCGAAGTGAATGGTCTCACAATTTCTTGTCACTTAACCATTTTCTCTTAGATAAGTGAGGAATATGAACTTGGCACTGGGGAAAATATATATACTTCTTAAATAAAAAACTCTGGAAATACAGAGCTTATCTCAAACCTCTAGCTGTGGCAATTGATAAACCTACTTTTCTATAATACACTTCTTATGAATATAATGAAAATAAATTTTCTGCCCTGAATTTAATTATAATTGATAAGAGATATGTCTCAGGCCGGTGATGTACAGGCTTTCTTATAGTGCCTTATAGATTCATTAGTTCAGTTCTGAAGGGGATGAAAAGAGAAAGGAAGGAAGTCACAAATGTACAGTTACTATGTTGCAGGAAAATACTCTCTAGCCAGTGAAAGAAGTACTGGGAAAACATCTCATTTTCTACTGAACTCCATCTTTGCTAACAAAACTGAAACCACTTGTGCAAAAAGAAAAATCTTCTACTGCCACCTGCTGGCAATTTATAGTCAATGATTCTCAAAGATTCTAGAATAACACTTCAGATTGAAGAATTTTTGATTTGTAAAGCAGTGATAATCTTTAGTTTCTTATCTATATTTCTCCATTTATAGACACATATAATTACTTTAATAAATTATTATGGATATATATCACACACACATTTCTAGAAGGAGAGAATTATAGCCAGAGGAGCACATTTTCCTGACTTCTGGTGGCCTCACCACTGACTCCCAGAGGCCGACTCACTGCTTTGAAAGAAAGTCAGAAGAGACTATCACATTTCCATTCTTCCTTTTCCCACAAAAGCCATTCAACTTAGTCCTATGTCAGCAGTAAAGATTTGAAACCAAATGGCCTTGGCAGGCCTGTCTGCAGAGAATTCACAACTCAAATATTCTTGGTCAGCTAGAGAAGTTTCACTCTCTCAGCCAAAAAATCAGAGGCCAAAGCTGTGTTTTTGAAGACCTCTCTAGAGGAGACTTAAAATCTCCGGTTGTCAACATAACACTGAAGGAGAATCCCAGGTCAGGGATCCTAGCCCTGCTGGTAAGATTCTGTAACTGGAGATACAAACATAATTTTAAAATTCAGAGAGGGTGGGCCCAAGTTCCTGCATTCGGCTTCATTTCTTCTTCTGGAGAGCCTAAGAATTTTAAAAAGCCTTTGCTAAACAGTTTAAAGGGCAATGATTATTCCTTTTAATTTAGAGGGTATTTTAAAAATCAAAGTAGAGAGGTACACTGTTTTAAGGAAACAGCACTTTTCTATCAATAATATACCAATTCTCCCTGTCAAAAAATTAAATATGATGATTATTTTTAACATATTTCATGTCACAAGTCATAAATTATAGGACTTTTCATGCCGCACTGCTTCATCCATTTTAAAAATATACTAAGAAATCTGAATTTGACTTAACCGTCTTCTCCAAAATGAATTCAAAGGACAATGTGAATCAGAAGGCAATGTCCTAACATATAAATCCTGAATCCTTCTTTCATGTCCCTAGATGAGCAAATTTGTCTGCTAGGACACTGAAGAGTCGCCTGTAATTCTAGGGTTCTATAATTAAGACTTGTACAAATTCAGCTGCCAAAAAATCACCAGAGTGGGTGGTGAATACAGCCAAGTAAACTCTAATTATGGAAGGCGGGTTTTCTAAGATCTTACATACAAGAAGCAAAGGCAAGATCAGACAGCTAAGATAGTTACTGAGGCAATATAAATAGTCTTGTCAAGTTCATTGTAAGCCCCCCTCTGGTAACAGCTGTTACCACCCATAGTTCATGGGTAACTTTAAGAAAGCAATCTGGATCCTCTGCTTGGAATCCAGCACTTATTTTTCCCCCCAAAATATAGTTGTGAAAATTACACATGCCATCTTCACTCATAGGTCAAAAAAAAAAAAAGAAAATGGAAGTCTAATGTCCCAGATAATTTTCTATTTTATATTTCAGCTCTTCCACTAATATTATTTTTTAAGTTCTGCTGGAGTTCAATAAAATGCATTATAAAACAGCATGCCAATCATAAGTGTACAGCTCAATAAATTTACCTAAATCAACCACATGCATATAACCAGCATCCAATCAAGCACCCGGATTTTCTACACTCCAGAAATATCCCACCCATCCAGATAAGAAGAACTTTAATTTTATATTTAAAAAAGGTACACAGTTCTCTGAATAATACAGTGTATTTTTACTGTCTGGTGCTGTAATTACAGCCTTAAAGTACAAGTTATTATGCCTTTTCTCCTTTGCTGTTATAAATATCTTTGCCCATCTTTCCCTTCACTAACAAACTGAACCTGCTCAAACAGCACCTCCTTTATGAAGACTTCCTTGACCTTTGTAGAAAAATGACTTAAGTTCTCATATACGTTCACAGACTAATTTGCAAGTAGTCTATCTTTACACTTATCACACTGAACTACAAGTATTTATATGTACATCTGCTTTCTAGACTGTGAGTACCCCAAGGACAGAAAAGGCCTTATTTAATCTTTCCATCTGCCTCCTGTGCTTTAAACCTTATGCTTTAAACTGCATGCTAATGAATGACTCAATGTTTTACACACTATTTCTTTTCCCATAGATGCCCAAACAATTTTTCAATAGACTGTTCTACCAAATTTTATTCTATAATATTAAATGAAGCAAAATATACTATCCAGATACTTCTAAGTATATATCCTCTTAATGTTCTCCATATGAATAATTTGTAATAGTAAATTTCATTCAAACAGATTAAATAAAATGTGCTAATTTTACTATGTATAAATATCAGTACCTATAAAATGTTGCAAATATAAGTTGATAATACAGTGCTTTGTGATAAGTCACAGCTATTTTCTTATAAGCAATTATAATAAAGCACTTTTCTGCAGAAAGTTCACAGATACCCTTTTTAGGCCTGATGCTATCATTTCCATTTACCACCCTCCTTTCCCCATTCTCCTCCACTACAAAACTGCACATGCTTATTTTGACTTAATTTGAGATAACTCTTTACTTACACATTCAGTTCAAGGGTTACAGGAGAAGAAACATGAACATCTCATCAAAGCTGGACATTCCAGAGCTCTCCTACCTGTGTACCTAAGCTGGCCGCCATCATGTGAGTCAGGAGTTTAGCTGCAAACATGGAATACCTGGCACAGAAGACATGGGAAAGAACGGCCAGGCAGAGACCTGTAGGAACAGAAAAGGCCATGTGTGGTTTTATAATCCGCGAACAAACAGCAGCACAGGGAGCAGTGCTGGGACAGTGAAGCACACGAGGCCTGTGAGCCTGTGCACGCTGCACAGCACAGTGTCTCTGGGAACAATTATGTTGCCATTTTAATTTGCTCCATTTTGCATGACATATAAAAGTCTTTACACTTATCAATTAAGCCCAAAGGGTAACTTTAATTTTCAAATAGCTACATACTCCTTTCCCTACTAAAAAGAAATCACAAGTTAAGCAGATTAATAATTTCATTAGCATTTGGTGTTCTCTGTTTCCATTAGACAAGTTTTACTGTTTAGGAAAGGAATCATATTCCAATCTAATTTTATAAGACCAGGTGGCTTGGATAAATAGATATAATTAGGGAGGTGAATAGGATTTGTCAGGCATAAAATTGTGAATGGCACTCCCAAAACTCAGGTTGGGTAATTGCCCATTTTTATACTGGCTATGTAATTACAACAGTGGTGATTATGAATTTTAAAAACAACTTTATGCTACTGGGTGCTAAAACCAGGCACAGAATGTGTTCTTCCCCCCTGGTATAACTTTCAACATTTACATTTCTAAGTGGGCGAGAAAACTATTCTTATTTTCCTCAAGTATATTTGCATTCACCCATTTACATTACTTCACGGGGAAGACTAGAACCTCAACACTAACCCACATATCTTTTGTCTTGCAATTCATATCACTTTCCTTTAATGCCAGGTTTTTAAATGTCAAATACATACATATTTTAAAAACATTTCCTGTCTTTAAAATTTAAATGTGCAGTACATAGTAACTTTTCACTTAAGCCTTTTAGTCCACTCTCATCCTCAGTAGGGTTGTTTTGTCTAAGAATTATTCAAGCATGAATGAATAACACATGTATGCTGCTTTGCCATGTACTTTGCATGCACTGCCTCCTTATCAATATCTCCTTGACAAACAGGAGACACTGCATTTATTTACTATTTTCTTTTCTCATTATTTTCTGTGAAGCTATGGGACAAACTTTTAAAGTACACCAGCTGTTGGCATAAGTAGACAGGGCATCAGCAAAATGTCCCAAAGGGGTCTAGTTTTGTGCACAGAAATGCTTCTTGTAATTCCTTCTGGGAAAAGACTTCAGCATGTTTATATTTTAATACGGTGGACAGGTAGACAAACTTCCATATAAAAACTGAGGCTTTGCATTAGTCAAGGCTTTTGGCCTAGAAAGTTGGCCAAGATATGTGGAGTAATCTGTTTTTAGGAAGATTGCCATGAGGTGTTCTGGGACAGGTGTGCGAGTGCTGGGCTGCCTCCAAAATCCACCCACGCAAGTACACAGTGTATCCAGAAACTGTAGTGGCATGCCTGGTTCGCTACCTCCACTCAGGTGGTCTACAGACTGTTGAGTTGGTGCTATCAACCCATTAATGTACATTAAATCTCCCATGGTGATCAAAGCTAGCTTAAACTCCAGTTTTAAGTTGAGTGTGTGTGTGTGTAATATACTGACTTAAAATCAGGGCCTTGTAAGGCTTTTCTTTTATTCTAGGGCACATGACCACAAATACACACTTCACTCTAAGTGTGTTGTGGGAGATGGAAACAAGGCCAGGCAAGGGGACTTGGTGCAGGGCAGAGGAGAAATGCACACCAGTCAACTGTTTGACTCATAGCTTCTTCCCTTGACTTGGTAATATTCCAGTACACACCCACTTCATACAAATTTTGTACAGTCACAATGGACCAGCTCAGGAAGATTTAATTAAGTGCATTAAGCTTCAGTTAAAATGCTAGCATAACACCTGGTGGCAGTCCAGGATCAAAGCAGCCTACACCTATAACGTGAGCCACTCACCAGTGCTCAGGCCGGCTGAGCCGCAGCCTCAACTGGCTTTGGGAAATACACTGAGTTCCTTCAACTTAAAGAAATAGAGACTTCAGCTTCCAAGTTTCTAAAGCATTATATGCTAACTATTTATCTTTTATTTTCTTATCTGATGCTGAATAGTTGTATTTAGCATACATGATTTAAATTTACCAGTCAGGTTTTTTTTTAAAGAAAATTATAACAGTGTTTGGCTTAAATTCCCTTAATACAAATACATAAAGCATAGGGTACAAAAAAAGTTGTAACAATAAGTAGGCTTTTAAAGAGAGAAAGGACACAACATAAAGTACAATATTTCCAGTTATTACTCTAAAGTATTTAAACAGTTTTTATAAATTAATTCCTCGGCTAATTGAATAATTTTCCTTTACTTTTTCTTTTGAGCACTATGTAGGTTACTGACTCAGTTGGAAAACAGCAATTAATTAGTCCATGACACCAATGACTTTTCCATATGATTTGAAAGTGAGAAAGAAGATAAATTACCCTTAACAAAATAGTAATACTGATAATCTTTGCTGTAAATAAAAACCTCAAAGAACAGATAGATTATTTTGCTATTATCAAACCTGACTAAACATCCTCTTTTCTATCTATACAATATTTGAGTGTTTGCACATGCACAAATATGTTGTTTGTATATAAATATGCACATCCAATACACATCTTGATTGTTTGGTATCACTTAAGAATGGAATATACTTTCCAAATTACTGAAGTTTATTCCTCCACATGCCAAATAGTAATACTTTTTCCCATGACAAGTTTTGAAAAGTATTTATAAATTTTGTATGTATATATGTATCTCTGAATTCCTCCATAGATAAATCTATATAAAATCAAATGATCACATTATTAAATCAGTTATTAGTTTATTAGTCTAATTTTCTTGTATTTTCCCACCTAATAATAGCAAGAACTGGCACTTTTCCTACTGTTTGTGCTCATCTCTATAGATTCCCACATTCTCTGCCCTTGGCTCAATGTCCCCTGGTCACTGCTACTGACCTAAGGGCAGGAGAACAAAACTGTCAGCCTGAAAAGTCTTCCAGGTTGAACAAGTCAGTATTAAACATCTTAGTGTATATAGGTTCTGTGTGTTAGGGGAAAGAATTTTTTCCAGAGGGATGAGGTTGCCAGGGGCACAGCCCCCAGACAATCATGGTGTGAAACCTGAGATGTTCAATACAATAGCCACTAGCCACTCAGTCTCTCTAAATTTTCATTAATTACATTTAAATATAATTAAAACTTCACTTTCTCCATTGTACATCAAGGGCTCAATCACCAGAGGAGGCCAGTTGCCACCACACTGGACAGTGCAGAAGACTAGCATCATAGCAGAAAGGTCCATGATACCAAAAAAACTGTGTGTTACATTTCAGAAGAATTTTTCTTAAGAATGGCTAAGAGGAGATGGTGTGGGACTTGAAGGTCTGAACTTAACTTACATAGCCACAAGTACATCTCATTATCGGAGGATGACAGATCAACACAGTCGATTGATTCACTTACTGATTTAAGAGCTAGCTACTGAAATACTACTGCATGTGAGGGGCTGGCTCGGGCAATGGAGGCGTGATATTCAAAACGACAGCTGTAGCACTCCCACTGCCTGTCTCTGTGTTTCCATCTGCATCTTCGTCCAGATGGAGACTGGTTTGTGAAAGGTCAGAGAACACGATTTTGGAAGAGCAGATGTGCAGGAACACTTTCTGGGTGGTTTTCAGGAAACTCTTCATTGCTCTTAAAACAAGATGCAAATACAAATGCTTTACCCTTGGCAGGCCTAAACATTGTGTGAAGTTCACTGCTTCTGCAGCCAGCTCAAGACAATATAGGGGCAAGACTGAGAAAATAAAATTAAATCTTTGAGGAGTGCAATACAAGATATATGTATAGAGAGAGAAGAGGCTGGGCCCCTGATGATTCCCTTCTGCTTATTTAAGATATTTGCATTATCTTCTGTTACCTGCAGCCAAGTTCATCCTAAATAACACACCTATACGAAGATCTGTCCAGAAGTATCCAGCCTTGCACTATGAAAAAGAGACAATTTATTGAAGAAAATACAAGATACAAGAAACACTGTATACAGGACAATGATGCCTTAGGCCCCTTCTATGTAGGCACCTTGGGACCTTGCACAGTTTTCCAGGCTTCTTTTCACTGTTCAAAAACATTATGCAAAATCCTCTGTTGGAATCACAATCAGTGGCCTTGTCTTATTTTCCTGAGTCTAATCAATGGTCTGAAATCTCTTCCCTTTCAAAGGTGATTTTAGTTTTAGGAAAAGCCAAAAGTTACAGGGTGCCAAATATGGGCTGTAAGGGGGCTGAGCCACCTGGGTGATGTGATGTTTCACCAAAAAACTCTGCACGAGATGTGATGCTTGAGTGAGTACATTGTCGTAATAAAGCTGCCCATCACTAGTTACCCATAGCTGTGGTTGTTTTCATTGTATTGTATCTCTCGACCAATGAAGAACACTGAGGTAGTATGTTTTATTGTTTGGCCTAGAGGGGCATACTTGTGATGGACAACACCTTCCCAATCAAAAAACACAGTAAACATGGTCTTGATCTTGCTGTGACTTTACCATGCCTTCTTCGGGTATGAAGAACCAAGTGACTTCTGCTGGGACAACTGTGCCTTTGTTTCCAGATCTTACTCATACCCACAATTCATCTCTAATTATGATCTTTTTGAGGAAATCTGGTTAATTGGTGGCAGTCTGAATCAAGTCACTAGTAGCCGCTGCACGATGTTCCTTCTCTGGTAGCACAAGCCACAGAATGAATTTTGCCATGACATGTTTTATGCCAAGAGCCTGCGTCAAAATCTCAGACAAAGTAGTTTTTGGAATCCCCCCTTCAGCTTCTCATTCTCTCACCATAAGTTGCCAATCTTTGTTGACAGCAGCCCGTATACATTCAACATTCTCAGGTGTTCTGCTTGTCGCAGGCCTTCCAGAATGTGGATCACTTTCAACAGATTCTCGACCTTCTTTGAATAGTTTGTGGCACACTTTTATTTGCACTGCATTCACTGCATCATCCTCAAAAGCCTTCTGAATCATCTGAATGGTTTCCGCAGAGGAATGATCAAGCTTAATGCAAAACTTGATGCAGACTTGTAGCTCTACTCATTCAGTCATATTGAATGTGACAGACACACAATACACTGGCTCACCTGATGGCATCTACCACCCCCACTGACTAGTACACTGAAGTTCTCATTGTTCACGCATGCACATGCCAGTCCACTCTCCTTGGCTGCCAGGTTACACCGATGTTGCACAAACCATTCTCATATATTAACAATGGCTGGACTTTTTCCAGACAGGCCCAGAGAAATCCAACACTTTTTATTTATGTAAAAATTAAAACTAAGCTCTTAGACTTATCACCTGTAGTTACCCTTTAAATGGCTTTTTTAAAAAGTTCTTGCACATTTTTTCTATTCTTATGAATAACTCCTTAGTTGATACACAAAATGAAGCTGTTTCAATTTACCTCTGTGTGACTGTAATTGCTATCCTAGGACAATGATTACAGTGAATATGAACTGGATATTTTAGGAAGAATTTGACATGAAATTTTAGAAAATATTTCTTATTTTATAAAAAAATTAAAAATTAGTGGATAGCATCTGGTAAAGTTATAAAGCTTTCTTTTTAAACTATCAGCTTGTAAAAAATAAAAAGCAGAATTAAAAATCCTTGCAGTTTAATAAACCTTGAATAAAATAATAAGCATGCTTCAAAGAACTTGGAATTATATTTCTTTACTTATCCTGTAAGTCTTATTATTTAGCAATTTTACACAATTACCTCCTGTTACTGTAAAACTGACCTTGTGTTCGCATTTGTCATTTAGTGATCTGTGAAGTAAATAAAACGATTAGCCTTTTAAAAAGGAAAGCTTTACCTTAACTAATGTTTATGTACTTCTCCACCATAAGAGAACAAAACAACAACACAAACAAAAGGCAACAACCCTGAGGCCTGTGTCCATCTCTAATGCCAGCTTAAAGCATTCCAAACACAGGAGACTCATCTACAAGCTCATTGGACATGGCCCAGTTCACATATTGATGGTATAACTGAAATGGTTATGGAATATAATAGGGTGTCAACAAAATCACAAAGCCATAGAAATTGTATTTGGAGTCAAAATGAGGATGAATCCAATCTGACAGTCTGTCTTTGACAGTACAGCATCAACAGAGTTATGGGAAGCAGAGTAAACTTCTTTGACATTCTCCTGCACATAGTAATGTGTACTTCAAACTATGCCTAGGTTCCTTAAAGTAATTATACTATAAAGTTATAGAATTATCATCTAAAGTTATTCATCTTTGGGGCAAATTTCATAATGTTATACTAATGTGCACAGTTACATGTTACTTTTTTCCTCTAACTTCTTTAGCTTCATGATATAACCTTACTTTAATTTCTTGGAATTTGGTACACTGGCTTCTAATTTTAAAAGACATAGGTATATGCCTTGACCTTTCATCTTTCTAAGCGGGGCATTACTAAATTTTTTGCCCTGTATTTCACACACTGCTTTTTTTTGTTGTTCTATTCTAGTACAGTAACCAGAAATGTGAACCATATTCGGAACAGATACACTGTGATCTACCCTGATTTAAATAAAAGGGCTTAACTCCTATCTAATTGTATGTTAACACATTTCATGAAAAGAGCTAGTTGGATTACTTCCAAATTCAGAGGGATCTCCAGTGTGACCTGACCTAAATTAATGAATATAAATGTAAGATACAGAAAATTCTCTTCTCTAGTTCCCCTGGCCCATCTGAGGGATGCACATCCAATCTCCCCCGAAGCTGAAAACTGAGACACAGGACAGGACCTTGTCTCCTTATCTACAGAACATGCAACGTTCATTGCAATATGTCATGGACAGAGAGAAAAGCAAAAACTATACAACCGACCCTTGAATTCCAGGGGTTTGATCTGCATAAATCTACTTACACACAGATTTTGTTCGATCAGCAAACTGAAGGAACTCGCAGATGAACACATAGCCTAAAACTAAGATGACATAAGCTTACAGTATGGATAAATACAGTACAGCACTATAACTGTACTTTCTCTTCCTTATGATTTTCTTTTCTCTAGCTTACTTCATTGTAAGAATGTGGTACACAATACATATAACACAAAATAATTGACTACATAATCGTAAGGCTCCTGGTCAACAGTAGGCTATTAATAGTTAAGTTTTTGGAGAGTCAAAGTTCTACCAAAATTTATGACTCACGGGAGGGTCAGTGTCCCCCATCCCCACTTTGTTCAAAGGTCAACTGTAATTTCAAATGTAACTTCAAGTCAAAAATAATACAAATAGATGCTGATATTTAGGTGTTTATTCTCAAATACATAAGCAAACCTATATAGCCTTTGCTAAAGTAAGCTGCAAAAAATACATATTTGTTAACAATTCTTCCAGGAAATATAGTCTTCTAGTCTTTTATAGAAATCAAAACAATATCTTCACTTTAGTTTTTAAAGCTCTTTGTTTTGATGTTCAGTATTTAGAGCAAGTGAGGAATTTTTGTGGGTCACAAGCAGCACTTGGATTTATCTCTCTGTTGATATACATAAAATAACATCTATTTTTATTTTAGCTTTTGGTGTTATTTCATCACTCTCTGAAATTTCTATTAATATTAAAGTAAAATATGATCTCTCCATCTGGTTTTTGAACTATGTTGACCTAGAAGAATCTATTAAGCAAGAAATGTCATTCTTATAAAATATGTTAAGGATAAAAAATTATTAAGACTCTCAACCATATAATCAATGCAGGAAATGAGAATAATTATATAGTTATTCTAGGTTAAGTTATAGGTAAATGGTTGGAAAGGCATTAACATCATTCAAGCTCCTACTCCTGCCAGAAATGAAAACTAGATGTAAAAGGTACAAGTTATTTTTTATTTTTTGGATTTTTATTTTTTAAAGCTTTCATGTATTTACTTTTAGACAGAGGGCAAGGGAGCGAGAAAGAGAGAGAGAAACATCAGTGTGTGAGAGATTCATAGATCGGTTTCCTCTTGCACACTGCAACTAGGGACCTGGCCTGCAACCCCGGCATGTGCATGCCCTGACCAGGAACTGAACTGGTGACCTTTCTGTTCATAGGCTGGGGCTCAATCCACTGAGCCACGCCAGCCAGGGCAACAGTTTAGTTTTTTTAAACAGAGCATATTTAGAGCTTCTAGTTTGTAGAATATAAATCAACCAAAGGGGTAGGCATTTTTTTCTTTAATAAAAATACAAACTGTTTCGTATATATTATCTCACACAATCCTGACACTAATGTAGAACCTGCCCTCACTAGACTATGAACTACATGTATCTTTTCCTATTGCCCACGTTCTATCCCACACTGTATTTTATATTCTTTATGAGCTGGAAGTGTGTCTTATTTTTTCCTGTATCCTCAGTACAAAGTTGGCCCTCCATAAGCATCCACTGAGTGAATTAATGAATAAGACAATGGGAGAGTTTATTTTCTCACAGTGCTGATGAATTACAGTATTTTTACATTTTGTGCATATAAAATGAATATGGCAAAACAGACTTTCATTCTCATAAGTATTTTAAGTCATTGACACAAAAATGTTGTAACTGACCTGAGATACATATAAATCCAGAAGAGAAAAAGGCTTCATTGTATGAAGACAAGCTGTCGGTCTGGGCGTAGACGGCGTACACAGACATGTAAGAACAGGCACATTCCACGTAGTCTGAGGTATCCTCAACCAGTTTGCAAAACGGACTGTCAGACAACCAGCTGGGACAAAAAGACAATTGTCACTATTCTGCTTTCATCAATGCATAAGGTCCTAGATGGCTTTTAAAGAAAAAATAACGAACCTGAGTGTTGTTGACTCAGGACTTATGTACACCACAGTGTCCAGAAGAAACACTGGAGGGAACATCTTGAGCATGACATGACACAACAGACCCCACAGGGGACATTAGGAAGCAGCCAAAATACTATCCAGACCTCCAATAGCATTTCAGCTACCGAAGAAGCTGGTCCTCTCAACAGAGCAGTACCATTTGCTACCTAATCTAAAGCAAACACACCTAAGGTTTTCAATAGAAGGCACCCTTCTCTATCTTTCAAAAGTCCCAAAAGATGGACACAGCCATTATAATGTGTAGTATTCACCCTTCCTTATTCTTCATAATTCTCAGTAATCTGAACTACAATGATTACTTATATGCTTTTAAAAATTCCTTCATTATTAATATTATTATTATTATTGGAGTTTAGAGGCAATTATAATACATAAATGTTTTCCAGGATTCTTCTTCTTGTTTTTTTTTTGTAAACCTAACCCTAGGAGATACATATATATGTTTTTTTAATTCATTGAGAGAAAAAGAGAGAAACTTCAATCAGTAGCCTCCTGTAAGCACCCTGACTAGGCGCTGAACCTGCAACCTAGGTATGTGCCCTGACTGGCGACCAAACCTGCAACCTTGTGGAGTTCAGGACAAGGTGCCAATCAACTGAGCCTCCTAGCCAGGCCAGAGTTCTCTGAAGCACAGCAGGGTTTCCGTAAGTCTGGCTAATTTAGCATAAGAACATTGTTGTGATTATGGCAAATACAGCGTCACACGCCAAGACTCTGCAGCACTCCTCAGGGACTACTGGTTGAGCCCCCTCCCTTTTAGTGCCTTGATTTTTTTACTTTTCTTCTTTTTTAAGTATTAATTAATTTATGTTTTCACTTTACGTTTTTATTGTTGTTCAAGTACAGTTGTCAAAGGGTATAAAACTTCTCAACTCCAACTGCAGGTTCAACCTTGAAACATTCATTATTAATTATATAATTATACATTGAGAATCACACAGTATCTGTGTATTAGGTTTAAGACCTATCATCAGGCATTAGGAATTTCAATTGATAATTTGTTTTTTTTTTCTCCACAGAAAAAAACAGACTAACCAGAATTTTGGTGTTCAAAAGCCAGTTGGTTGATTAGCCAGCTAAGCTGTTAAACTTATTTAAGATTTTAGTTTATGTGGCTGAAAAGTCAGTAATAACTTTTTACCTTTGGTGTTATTTTATCAGTCCCTGAAATTTCTATTAATATTAAAGTAAATTTTGATGTCTCCATCTGGCTTTGGAGCTATGTGGACATAGGAGAATCTATTAAGCAAGAAATATCATACTTATGAAAGATATTATTAAGAGTAAGAAATTACTGGCACTACCAACCATATAATCCCTGGGGAGGGAGCTGGGGGTTCTAGGAATCTGTATTTTTTAACCAGTCCTACAGTGAATCTGATAGATCTTGTTAGTTGGACCCTCATGTTTGCAAACAATGAGGAAATACAAAGATGAATAAGATCTGAAACCAACTGGAAAAGTTTAGAGGTTATTAGGATAAAAATCACACATTAGTGTTAAAAAGTAATACAGGCCCCAGTACCTGTAGAGCATATATTATTATATCATGGATCTAACTGGTACTTAGTCAAGACCACTAACCAGGGAAATGGAGCAAAAACCTTTCCATGGAAGATTTGAGAGAGAAAGAAAAAGGTAAGGGTCTCTCTCTAGCTATATGCCCTCTCTAAAAAAAGAAGAAATCTGCCACCCCAACTTTGACTACCACGTTTGAACTGATGCCTAAGATCCAAATCTAGTGGCTGATTTGGACCCCAGACCTTCTGCACCAGCACTGCCTGACCCTAAAGCACTGGCTGGGTTCTGAGTAACAGAACTGCTCACAAACCTGACCTTAGACCAAGAGAAAGAATCACTTTCTTCTTCCCATTCCTATGCATGGCTTTAATCCAAAAATGTACTCTAAACCATATGTGGACTAGAATTATAAATCCCTGCTAGCTCCTTTGAACATAAGAGTATCAGCTCCAGAACCACAAGCCTAGATGGAAGGGAAAAAATTTCCTTTCCTGCCCAGTAAATTAACAAATATCCACAGGAAAGTTATCCGAATTGAGCAGAACTCATGGTAAGTCGCAGGAAAGCACTAATAATCAAGAAGTAAATATTGTGCTAAGCACGTATTTAAATGGTTTTGCTACATTTGCCACCTGCACAATGCTAGACTAGCTCCTGAGGTTCCCTCTTATTTGTTGTAAAGGTCATTCTCCAGTCTAAAGTCTATCACTGCTCAGTAGGAAAAATTGGGCTCAATGGTACTGGAATAGAGGAAGACCAAATTCTGGTTTTAAACAATTATTAGTAAGTACCTTGCAGCAGCCTGATTCCAAAGGAGACACAGAGAAGTTTGGAGAACAATTCTAGGCTCAGCAGCATAAATCCTGTAGAGAATCTCATTGTTGTCAGTCAGGGGCTGTGAACGCTGACTTTTCACACTCAAAGATAATACCTATAATATGTAAAAACACTTTAATAATGTTTCCAAGTTAATGTCATGACTGAATCTCCCATTCTGAACTTTGCCTAATTGTTCTAGATGCTTTGGTCACTACTTACTGCTACTATTTACAGGGAGCTAGCTTCCTTATGAATGCAGGGTACCTCCCTGGTTTTCCACTGCAAACATTCTACCTCCACTCCAGTTTCTGACAGTCTTCAGCCGACGACACTCACTTTGACGATAATTGTCGGACTTCATCATGAGTAGGGTGTATAATATACTGTTAGTGGAGTTTTCCCTACTTTGACATATAGTATACTTAATAAAACATGAAAGAAATATCTCCAGCTGTTTTTGAGGCAAAATCTTTTACAAATAGTTCACAAAAATGGAACATGTTTCACTTCATAATTAGCTTACCATGCGTAGCACTTCCCACAAATCTGATCAGGCAAATGCATTCTGAGAGAGTGTGGCTGCTATGGAAAAATCAGATTCCAACCATAATTCTTTATAATGATAGATTACCTTGTTTTTCAAGGCAGGAAGATTGTTTCCACTTATAAACCACTGCTGGCTACTATACTCTGTAAACTGGACTACTTCACATGGGCTGTTCTCAGGCATTATTTCTGCATCCGGAACATCCAATAACCTTTCTGGAATTTGAATATAATCGCCTTCCTTTCCTTCAAACTTGTGCCCATTGATTTGTTGAGGATACCAGTGAAGAGCCAGTATTGACAGATACGGGCAGCTGTCGAGGAGGGTTTTGCCTCTACAACAGAAAAGCAAAGGGACTGCTAAAATGGCATGTATTTTATGTATTTTTCTATTTGTTATATATATCCATTTCTATTTGTTAAAACGGATTAGACAGGGGCTCTGTTTTTTGTATATAACCCTGACACCACTAACCCAGAAGCAGTAGGGAGAATGTGTTTTCAGTTCTTTTATGGTTGTCATGATTTTTTCACAGAACTTTCTGCATCGCCGTGCCTGATCCCCCTTATAACCTAAAACACGGATTTTTGAAAGCTGCTTCATGGATATCAGGCATAATCCGTGGCTACAAAATGGACTTTTCAGTTACCTGTATCAGCATCGGTAGAACAGGTTAAAGAAAAGGCACACCACTAAAGTGAAACACTCGGCTTTATTTAAGAATGTTGTAAATCTTGTATATCTGCAGCCATGTGTTCATCAAGAATTACTTCACCCCTTTCTAACCCATCAGAGAATTGCTAATTTGACCCCGTGACTGGTAGGAGAAACAGCCCTGAACAGTGATCTTTATCCAGTTAACAATTCTGTTTTGAACACTCCCTAGGCATAAGATCCTGTGCTCAGTGAAATTGCTTCCAAGCCTCAGTGTGTTGAAATCAGTTCAAAGCCTGTTTAAAAATGCAGATTTCTGGATAACACTCCAGACTTATTTAGTCAGAACCCTTGCTGTGGGAGGGAGCTGGAGATTCCAGGAATCTGTATTTTTTAACCAGTCCTCTGGTGCATCTGATACATCAGATCAGTGGACCCATCGTGTTTGCAAACAAGGAGGAAATACAGAGATGAATCAGACCTGAAGCCTGCTGGGAAAAGTGTAGAGGATATTAGGATAAAAATTATGCATTAAATATTAATAAGTAATATGGGCCCCCAAACATGTACAGTATATATAATTATACCATGGATCTAAATACCTTGTCGAGACTGCTAAGTAGGGAAATGGAGAAAAGATTTTCAATGGAGTTTTTGAGAAAGAAAGGAAAGAATAAGGGTTAAACTTTATCTCTAGCTATATGTCATTTCTTTAAAAAAAATTACACTCCCCCAAGATTTCACTACCAGATTTGACTTGATGCCTTCAAATATCTATCTTTAATCCAGCCATTAATCCAGGGTTCTAGACTCTATGTCCGAGAGTCCTGGTGAAGCACCTCAGCCTATGGAGGCCACACACACCTCCACAACAGCCTGAACTCATCTCTTCATCTCCCCATTTGGCCTCCCACATTTTCACTCTCAGCTAACAACTGCCACTGTCACTGCCACCTGTGTGCAATGTGGCTGAGACCAGTGGACCTCAGCCATATGGCTACCTAACCCCCTTTCATCCCACTAGAACCTGCTGAGGTTTAGTTCAGTCAGCACAGCCACGGAATGGACTCCACCACCTTTGCATACTGAGAACATCACACGCATGAGGACTCTGCTCAACCTTGACACAAGTGTGACAAATTGCTGGCCCCTCTCCCTTGCTAACGATGACACTCTCCCCGATACCTTACCTTTGGATGGCCACGCCCTCCTACTACACTCGCTTTGATCAATTCCACAATCTGCTTTACATCCAGGCTGAAGTGAGGGGGAGAAACCCAGTGGAAGGAACCCATGTTATCATGTAGCCTGGCACCACTACAAAGCCCCCGTGACCAACCTCAGTCAGCCCTTAATGCCACTTGACACTCTTTCTACTTGGCTTCCAACTGACTGTTCTAGATTTCATCATTCTCCTCGATATCTCTGCTCAGCTCCCAAACCCTCACTCTCAGTAGGTGCCCTTGAAAACTGCTTAAGGAAATGTAAATAATGCATATCAAGATGGTCAACATCTTCAGGGTTTTCTGAGTATGAAAAACTAATCTTTATTCAGTCCTTATGTTCTAAGTTCAATTTGTGACCTATATGTTAACTCTACAACCCAATTATTTTCAAGGTTGCCACACACCCTATGTCCCTGCCTCAATTTCACTCTCATCTTCTCTTACGGCAACGTTACCTCTATGCAGTCCTCCTATTTCCTGATTTACCCTGTTCTTTAGCCTTTCCCACTGTCCTCAAGTGACAGACCTAACATCCTCAGTCTGATTCTTCCACACACACCCCCCACCCCTAGTTTATTCTATATTCAACCTTTAGCTTGAAGCTATCCCCGAACACACCTGCTATTCTTGCCTGATTGTCATCATAAGTACTGTTTCCTCTTCCTGGACAACTCAGGGGGAAAGGTAAGTCTATGAAGGGGAAGCACATGGCTGAAAATACATTGATTCCTGTATTCATTCTATTCACTCATTGTACCACAGCCACTGAGAATCTACCACATACCAGAGTCTTCTAAGCCCTGGGAATACATTAGGCAATAAAACAGAAAAGACCAGTTTTTCTGTGCATCTTAGACTCTCTTGAGTTCCCACTGGGCCTTTGAAGGCACAGATATGGGAACCAGCATTCACAGCAGGGTAGATAGTTCACATCTAAGACAACCTTAACATCCTGGTGATCTTCAGAAATATGGGAAAACAAATTGAAATAATTGGGACTATGGGGAATGCAAAGCTACGAACTACTTCCGTCGCTGCACAACGTAGTCAAACACAGCGTAAAAGGAAAAAAGTAAGAGGATATTGCTTAACTATGCGTGAGTGCGTGCACACACACACACACACACACACACACACACACTGTGGCCTCTGCAAATTAACTCTAAGTAAAGAAATTATCCATTTCAGAGGTTTCTGAAGACATCAGAGACATTTACCAATGGTATTGAGCCAAGCTGCTGATCACTGGTCTCAGATGGACATCTAGGACCAGGGAGGACAGGAGAAGGCCTCCTGACAGGGCACAGAGAGCCTCTCGGATGCTTTGCTGATGCTCCTCACGGAGGAAACCAAGTCCCCAAGATGCAGGCATCGGGGTTAAAAGAAGAATGCAGTATAAGGGGGTGCTGATTCTGAACCCAAACCTCAAGTCACACCCTGGCACTGACCTGGGATGAAAGTCTGGAGCACCTTGGAGCCAGGGGATCAGTGTAAAAGACCTGTTACAAAGCAAATGATTTATAATCTCTTCTGACCACATGGCATGGTGGGCAGCAGGGGGAGGTGGAGTCAAGCAGGCCTGGGACTGGCCTGTAAGGGGCCTGGGATGGAGCCCGGTGCTCACTCTGGACTAATCCCGTAACCACTGTGAGCTGTGCAAGGCCCTGGTCTGAGCTTCTACATCTATAAACAGGAATAATAAGAGACCTAACCCTTTCCTTAAATAGCTACTTAAAATGCTCTCTTGTAGGGATAAAATAATATATGTAAAACTTTTCCTAAGGACTAGTTCAATCCACATAAAATTTTCATTATATTATACTGTTTATACCTAGATAAAAAAGGCAATTTCGTATTGTTTACTCTAATACAATGTCAGGACTAGATCAGAGGTACAGTTAATATCAGTTATATATTATTTTATTCTTTGATCTATCTTGGCACACTTTTATATGCCACTTGGCACACTTTGAATTGACTAGCTCTTTGAATTCTATGAGTCTTGTGATCTAAGAAATAAAGATAAAAGTTTTACATATCCAATCATTATTTCAATTAACATGTTAGTGCATAAAGGGCCCCATAAATAGAAGATTTAAATTATTATACCAAATTTTTAAAATGTAGTCTTCAAAATATCTCTGAATTTCAGCATATCTTAATGACAACTGACCACAGCATTAATCAGTAAATAAAAATAAACTTTACAGAGATTTATATACAATTTTTAATCAGACATGTTCCATTAAATAATAACTCATTTAAAATAACACATTACTCTGAAAGAATGGGGCAGGAAATCTGTATTTCCATTCATGTTCTATTATCAGCCATTTTTATGTTAAATCAAATAGAAATAAAATTTTTAGACCTTTGCACTATACTTACCCAATTTACCTTAAGAATATAATTTAAGATATCATGACTTATGAAGAATATTAACAGTTACAAAATTAAATATGTAGTGAATAATAAACATGAGCCACATTTTATTTTTCCCTTCCCTCTTGCTGGTTCATGCCATGGAACTGCAGCCATGAAACTAGTCTGAAGTTCAGTAACACTCTGAAAGACACCTGCAAACGGGTGGGACCAAACCATGGCTCCAGGGAGGCACAATGGCCAGGGACCACCTCCCTGTTTGCAGAATGCATCTTCTGTTCATCGCATAAGGAAGAGTGAGCACCAAGACTTTTATACCTACAAAATTTTATATCTTCAAGACAAGAGCAATATATTGTTGCCAAACTACATTTACTTTTCTTGATGTAACTGCTGTTTTTTTCCAATAATTAATTTCATTTGCCCAGTAGATATAATGCATTGACTGTATGGTCCTTAGTTCCATCACCTAATGACAATGCGCATGGTGCATTACTTTGTAACCTGTGAAGGAATACATACAAGGTACAGCTAGTATATAAAAAGATACTTACTTTTCACCAAGAGAGCCACAGGTAACATCAGTTGACAGAGAAAAGGCAAAATTTTCAGTCACTTCAATGAAGTGACTGAATCCCCTGGTGTCCTTGCGCTTCGGATTAATAAGAGCACAAAGAATCTCATAGAATAGATTTCGATTTTCAATACTGAATGCTTGACTTTTTGCTTCCACAGTTATCTGGAAAAATCCAAGTATAAAAATGTATCTCCAAAAATAAAGTACTTAAATAATAAGTATCATATAATAAAATGTTTTTTATTAACAGTTATTGGCATTAACAAAATAAGGATGAACCTATGAGGAATTAAGTGAAATCAGTATCAAAATTATATTTCAAATATACCCATTTATACTTAAAAAACATAAATAATCATTTATAAAGAAATGGCATAATTACCAAAATAGCTTATATTTAATAACTAGACAAAGCCCAAAATGACTGCATGAATCACTTCTTTTTAACTACAATAACTAACATCATGAGTCAAAATTAACCTCACTTTAACATCTACCCCAAGAATTCTTATTCTTTTGACCAACAATTAAAAAAAATAAACACAAGAATATCTGTCCATAAAAAAAGATTATTCTTAACTATCAGTGTTTCAATGAACAGAAGCCACCACATACCACTAAGTTTTTAAACATCACATGAGAAAATCATATTCTAGGTGGAGTAGTGGAGAGCTCCTGGCATTCTTGCCTTTATCGTAAGTATGAGCCTTCCTACCTTAAAGAATGGGGAAAGTTGTTGTTTGAGGACAAAGGAGAGTAAGAGGGAAAAATGCCTTCATAATTTCTTTGTTTCCTTTACAGAATGATAGGGATCACATCCTTACTGTCTGACTCAGCTCTGGTGTGAAGGCACTGACTTGCTTTTCCACTACACTCATATATCTGAAAAGTCCCTATCAATTCTTCAGCACCCCAATTAGTCATCATTTCCTCTGACTTCCACACTGTGTCCCACCTGCCTCATCACATACGTGATCAGTCTCTTGGTAGTCTGCATGTACCTTTATTAATGAACTTATGACAACACTGAAATGATTGGTCTGTCACTCTTACTAGTTAAGCTCATTGAGGAAGTGGCTCATGTTCTCCGTATTTTCTTCACATTTTTATAATCCACGGGGTACCAAGCAGAAAGCTGAGCTGAAGATGTAAGTGTAAGAGTAGCCATCTCAAAGACAGTAAGGGAGAGTGGAGAATAAACCATAAGGAAAAGGTGATCAAAAGTATACAGAATAAAATTTAACAAAGTAAAAATTACAATGGAGACAAGGAATAGCCCCTGGATACTGAAACAAACCAAATTGTGCTAAATGGAAAATCAGTTCAAGGACTGCTCCCAGGATTCAGGGAAAATATCACAAGTAGGACCAATCCACACAGAAGGAGCAGGCAGAAGTAAAAAACTGCGCAGGTCGATGACCAGCTAAAGAAGTACCTGTCTATAAATCTGCAGCTTGCTTTGTATCAGTGAAAGTTAGAGACAGAAACAATACCAGCTGTATCTGGTGATTTTTAAATATTATTCGAAGAACTAAAAAATCTTACCAGAAAACCAGACAGGAAAAAAATTATTCTAACAGAGAAACAAACATTCAGTTTGACGGACTTTTTTTTGCAAATGAAAAACCAGAAACCACCAGAGCAACATGTGGGGTTTTGAGAATTAAAGGCTAGGATCCAAAACTTCTAGGGCCACCCCACCTTTCATTCACATTCAAGGGCAAAAAAAGTTCCTTTTAGTAAAACATACACACGTACACATACACACACACATGCATGTGCACTTGAACCCCAAAGATCATTTACATAATCCTTGGTTTCCCTGGGTGCTGTTCTCCACTGCTTATATTAACTTCTCTGATATTCACAACAGTCTCGTGAAGGGGGTACTAGTGTTGGTTTGTTTTGTTTCCAGGAAAGGAAACTGAGGCGGAAAGAGAACACCTCGCCTGCCTGAGTGCACTGAGATGGTGAGGAGAAGGCACTCGTGACAGCCGCCTGCACTGACCTGAGACATGCCCCACACACCCCCCCACTGGCCTGTCCCAAACAACAGGCCTCAGTCTGGAGACAGGTCGTGCAAAACCATCACCAGCATGATGCATACCACCAGGTGGTAACGGACGGAGCTGAGACTAAGTCCTGTTCGTGTGATTATAAAATAAATCAATTGGGAAAAATAATTCTTCACATACAAGATACATAGCATAAAAAGTATATAATAAGAAGAAACATTTTTGCTCTACAAGGCCATTCATTGTATGTAAACAAGAAAAAGAGCTGCCAAAATGATCAAAATTGGCTTACAAAAAAGTAGAGAGCCAGTGTCAACCATGGGAAATATTATTTTTTAACTGTCAGGAGAGAAAACAAAAAGGGAAATTTCACAGAACATATTATCCTGTGTTCTTTCAAGTGTTCCAGAACAAAACATTAGGGGCAACACCTCCTGACTCATATTTTACCAAATTTAAAAATCAAATTTTGCATATCAAATCCAACTGTCTTAAAAGACTGACATTATTATTAAGCAAAGACAGCATTTTGACTAATTTTCATTGCACCATACCAAGGAAAATCAAAGAACAGAATATTATGTCAGAGCAAAATTTTGCAAAAACACACAGCTACATTTTATCCAAAATACGGTGAGTCATTTAAGGTTCTTGCTCTTTTTAGCACAATATTTGTGCCTTCAGAACATAAATACGTAGTCAATTCTAGTGAGTGTAATAACAACATGTAAGATTTATTGAGCTCTTTCTATAAAAAAATATATGGTATAGAGCAGATTCTATTCCAAAGAAGTTAGAATTTGGGGGGAAAAAAGACTTACAAATAAGAAATAATTTCACTTAAAATACATGACCTTACAAAATGAAGTTCTGTTGAGTACGTGGAAGTTCCACCCCTGAATTTTGGACTACTCTAGAGTTTATACTGAGTACACATGAAATATAAGAATAACTACCAGATAAAGTGTAGGTGACTCTATTTGAATTTAAGATAAGCAACCAATAATCATTTAAGTACATGCAAACATAAACATGTTTTTATTTTTAACATACTTAAAAATGCATTGATGCATTGTCCATCTAAAATTCAAAGTTAACTGGGCATCTTGTATTTTATGTGCTAAAATATTAACCCTACTATATGTAATTATATGTATTTTTTGGTACCTATTTTATTACTGCCTTATTCTCATTATAAATGTGTTTAAAACATAAAATCTTTTTGCATTTTATGGATATACCAAGCCCTTGTAAATACTGATTATTTTTTCCACTTTTTGCTATTATAAACTGTGCTGAAATAAACATTCCTATCATACATATATTTGCACAAATATTCCCCACACCACTGGAAGTCTTTTTTTCCCCTAACTAGTTTCCCCAGTTTCACTGAGATATAATTGATATATAACATTGCTGCCTTTTGACTTTGTCTGTTATATAAGCAAAAATTATTTTTTAACTTTATGTGGTCAAGTTTATCAATCATTTCCTTTATGACTTCTGGGTTTTGTTTTATGCTTTAGGAAGACCTTACCCACTTCAAACTTATATACTAAAAATGATTTGTACTTACAGTCAAGAAGGAAGCATAGGTAAACACAGCTCACCTCCTCCCACAACCACGTCAAAATTACAACTAAACTACAGAACCACCACCATTCAGAACTGCCTGAAATCTAGCTGAATGCAAGCCCTACAACTAGGGATTTAGAGAAGCCACATCAAGACTGGTGGGGTGGTCAGAGGCACAGAATGCACTACCACAACCATGTGTGGTAGAAAAACATCAGGGGAGAAATCTCAGCTATGGAGGTCCCCCTGAGGAGACAGGGGAACTAGCCCGACACAAGGCCCCCCAGCCCAGGTGTCCAGTGCCAAGAAGAGAGGTCCTCCAAACTTTTGGCTGCAAAAACCCATGAGGATTATGGCTGAGTGAGACAGGGGGCTTCTGGGGTCCTAGTAGTTTCTCTTAAAGGGCCCATGCAACAAATTACTCAGACTCATTCAATCTGAGCTCCAATGTTGGGGCGGCAGCTTCAAAGGCACCAAGGACATATCAGTGCCAGAGCTGGGGTAGGGGAAAGCTTTCTGCCAGAAATAAGTGCAGGGAGAGGCTGCTGTTCCTTCCCTGAGCCCTCCCCCAACAAAGCTGGCAGGCAGGCTCCATTTCTGAGTCTCCATCCACCTGGCTCACCCTGTTCACCCTGCCTAGTGATTCTCTGACACTTTATCCCACCCAACTTTTGAGCCCATCAAAGCTGTTTCCAGTGATTTTTCCATACCAATGGCCTATCTTGTCTCATATTTCAGACTCCTAAAATCTCTCAAACAAGCCACATCTAGCCTCAGCATGCCCTCACCTCTTGCTAAGTGGCCTTGGGCTTGGCACTAGCGCCAGACAGCTTGGTTTTAGTTTAGCCTCACCTGGACACCTCCAAGCCCAACAGAAGTAGCAGCCATCTGTAGACTGCTTTGTAGCTCATGTCAGGTGGTCCTGGATAGAACACAAGCAGCCTCTGGCCTTGATCTGCACTTTCTGGGAGGCCCCAGAGCCAGCACACCTTATAGACAGCATCATACCACTCTGAAACACCACCCAATCACCTCCACAACTGACACACTCAAGGGGCAAACTCAGCAGGCACCAGAGCCCTGCTGAAGTAAGTCCTGCACTGTAACATGGGCCCCTGCACAGCTGATCCTCTATAGTGGTCTAGGGGTCACAGTTACTTCTTGCAGCTAATTGGCCTGGGGATAAATCCTTTCCATTGATGCTCCTACAGCAATCAAGGCTCAACTACAACAAGAGGGTGTACACAGACATGAAGGGGGAACACTTGGATGGCCCAACTTGGGGGATTAAGGAGGCCGTACCACTGGGCCCTGCAGAACACTTACTACAACCAAGCCCAGGAAATATATCAGCTGTACCTAATTCACAGACACAAACACAGGGAGGCTGCCGAAATAAGGAGACAAAGAAATATGGCCCAAATGAAAGAACAGAACAAAACTCCAGAAAAAGAACTAAACAAAATGGAGATAAGCAATCTAGCAGACACAGCATTCAAAACTTTAGTTATAAGGATGTCAGTGAACTTACTGAGAACTTCAACAGTATAAAAAAAAGGACATGTAAACCATAAAAAAAGAAACAGTAAAAAATTAAGGGTACACTAACTAAAATGAAGAATAATTGACAGGGAATCAACAGTAGAGTATATGAAGCTGAGAATCAAATAAGTGATTTGGAACACAAGGAAGCATAGAATACCCAATCAGAAAAGAAAAAAAAATCCCCAAAAATGAAGACAGTATAAGGGGCCACTGGGGCAACTTCAAGCACAACAACATTTGCATCATGAAGGTGCCAGAAGAGAAAGAGCAAGACATTGAAAACATATTTGAAAAAATAATGACAGAAAACTCCTGTAACCTGGTGAAGGAAATAAACAATACAAGTCTAGAAAGCACAGTTTCAAACAAGATGAATCCAAAGAGGCTCTCAGACTAAGACACATCATAATTAAAATACAAAAAGTTAAAGACAAAGAATCTTAAAATCAGCGTGTTGTAGACCACTGCTGTGGTTTCAGGAATTGTATCTCGATCCCTTGTGGCTAAGGGCAAGGAACAACCTTTGGAATGTGAGCCGCAGGAGACAAAGCTTGTCTCTGGTAGCAAACACTGCCTCAGTTTCCTATCCCTGCCCCCAAAGCTTCATTGAGTCAATGACAGGTAAGACCCCTCACAGCAGGGGGCAACCTAAACCAGACTCATCATTTGGAAGGTCTTCATGGAAGGACTGAGGGGGAGAGGGGCTGCAACAAAGAACAATGGACTCTAGCCTCCAACTTTGACATAGCCCGAATCCCCATGTTCTCTGGGAGAAGTGCTTCCTGGCTCTAATCCCCTTAAGCCTGAATACCTGTTTGGGAGGGGTGCAGCTCCTTGCCTTGCTAGAGCGTGCCCTGGTGAAAAACCTGGCATCACAAAGACTTGCTGATAAACCTGTGAAATCTGCTCTGCTAAGAGTGCTTTCATTCATATGATAAGGGTCAGAGAGGAAATGAGTGTGTCTCCCAAAGTTTCTGCAACTCTCTTCCTGACAGACACTGACTCAGACTCTGAAGCCCTCAGATTTTTTTGAAATGTTATCTACTGTCTGATCCTTACCGTCCTGTATTCCTGTGTATTACAACCCAATAAAAGGTTATGGAAGAGGGCCCTCGGGGCCTTTTTCTCCTCGGTGAAACTGGCCACTGCTGCCCTTTGTCTCCCCTGAGAAACTGGCCACAGCCCACTTCTCCACCCCAAACAGATCTCTGCATGTCTCAGCCATATTCATTCTCGTGTCTGTGGCACTCGAGGAGACTCGAGAAGAAGTCGCTCCCACATCAGCCAGAGAAAAGCAATCAGTTACTTACAAGGGAGCTCCATAGACGTCAGCTGATTTCTCAACAGTAACTTTGCAGGCCAGAATATAGTCAACGAAATTCTAATAACTATGCATGGTGTCAGATGGGTACCAGAGTTATGAGATAATCACTTGGTAAGTTATATACTGTCTAATCATTGAGGTGTACACCTAAAACTAATATAATATTGTAGTCAACTGTAATTAAAAATAAAAATGATTTGAGTTAAAAATGATTCATCCATGTTTTCTGCTTCCATGATTTCAGTTTTACAATTAAATCTCTGATCTGCCTGTTATTTATTTTGGGGTAGTGTTTAAGGGAGTGATTCGGTTCTATTTTTCTTTCAAGTGGTTAAATTAGCTATCACAACACCATTTACAGAGTAACTTTTGACCACTGATCTAAACTGTCACCTTTATCATATATGAAATATTTATATGCACTTGCATTTATCTCTTCACTTTTTGTTCTGTTCCACTGATCTGAATGTCTATGCCTATTCCATAACCACCCTGATTTCATCTGGGGAGGTGAGGACCCTCTCATTTTTCTTCTTTTTCAAAAACTTTCTGCCCATTCTAACATGTATATTCTTGCAAATGAACTATAGCATCATTTTTTCCAGGTAAAAAAATTCAAAGTAATTTATTTTGATAGGGTTTCTATTTTATCATAGGTTAAGGAAAATTGTTCTCTCTCTAATACTATTTCTTTTGACAAACAAGGTATAGATTTCTATTTATTCAAGTCTTTTATACTACTCTAGAAATTTTCAATGTTCTTTAGATGATATATAAGATATAATATGTGCGACTATTAAATCAGTTACTCAGATCAACAGATGTAAGTATTGACATACACATAAAAATAGGTTGAAAATAAAACCTGGTTGGTCTAAGTCCACACCAATTTGAACGCCTTTAGTTATTTGGTCATTCCTGGGATTTCCTTTTTGTGAAAGTTTTCAGCGCCCTGGAGGAGCAGAGAATAAGCAGAGGGAAAAAGCTCCTCCTGTTCTCTGTCACTTAAACAGGAAAATGTTGTAGGTATTCTAATTCAAGTTCTCTTTTTACAGAATCGAAAAAACTGAGACGTAGTTTTAAAAGGTACCCATCCACTTTGGAGAGACAGACAGAGCCTGTAGCCTCTGACACCCAGTGCCCCTTTCCAGACACCAGGCTGTCCCTCCTGCTGCAGCAGATAACTCATCACTCTCTGCATTTATGACTGAGGTGTCCAAAAAGGCATTAAGTCCCATGCAAACAAAAGTACAGTGTTAAATACAAGAAATTCTATTCCTATGTTCAGAAATTTAACTCTATTATAATTTCATGATAACTATCATTATAGATGTGTATGTTTTCTTATTTTCTTCATTTATGAAACCTTACCAAACCGACTACTGACACTTGCAAGCACTTACCTTGTCTATTAAGTGCATCACGGCACTGAGCTGCTCATCAGTGTTCTCTGTGGCCACTTTCATGCTGATGCTGTGAAGCACTCTGTTGAGAATGTCACCATCTAGGGGCTGCTGGAGCTGATCTGCAAGCCCCCAAACGGCCTGCAAGTCTGCGTCAGAGACCAGCGTGATGTTGGCAGTCCCGTACACTTTATCAATTTTGGCACCACCTTTTGGGTCAAAAAGCACAACCTGGAAGCGTTTAGGAAATGGATTTAAAGACCCTGTGTCCGGGGTTAAGATGACATCCAAAACAGTGTTTCTCTGGCCAGGTTCAAAGACCAAGGTGCCTTCAGTTCTCACAAAATCCTTCCCGGAAATAGCGGGAGATATGAGAGCACGACCCATTGTTTCAGCGCTCCTCAACTCCTGGAAATGAAACAACATGCTTCAGTGAGGCCGCAGCACCTCCTCTCCCGTCTTAAATGAACTCCTACTCCTTAAACAAACCCTGTTTCTCTCAAGCATAGTGATGGGCCATAACAACATTACAACTAAATCATTGGGTTTTATACTTTTTCTAATCTCCTACAATAAGTTGGAGGGGAAAGGGTACACCATACATGGAAGAGCTTAGAAAAAACAGATACCTCTGAGTAGACCAAGGAAGAGAATGACAACTGTCACTACTGCCTCACAGAACTTCTGCAATTGTGGACACACTGAAAATTGTGCTGTATACAACACATGCCACAAACTATAAGTATGGACAAAAAGAGGGAATATTTACATTTTCATTTTCACCTAGAAATGTGGGGGAGATTTGGTATTTGGAGACAGATAAAGAGAAAGCAGAGGGATGAAAGGAGGAAACAGGAGAAATTGGCTATCTTGTTATTTTTACTTAGATAAGAAAATAGCCAAAGGAATAAATAAGGACTTCGGGCCCATATAGCTCTGAATTTCTTCAAACTTTGGTTGTTAAAAGGTTTTTTTTGCAAATTGAAGCATGAGAGCTTAGTCAAGGAAGAACCAAAGTAATATGCTGCTATTTACTATTGGGCGAACGAATATTAAACTCCTAATACCTGCCAGGTGACATACTGTGGACACAGATATGAACAACAGAATACGTGCCCTCATGGAACTTAGCAGAGGGCACAGATAGTATAAAAGTTATAGAATTAACAACATGACTTTAGACAAAGATGAATTCTATGAAGAAGAATAGGGATAGGTAGGGGCGCACAGGGTGGTGGTAAGGGTACTATTTTAGATAAGGTTGCTCAGCGAAGCTCTTGATGTGATATTTGAGCAGGGACCTCAGTGATGTAAGGGAACAGGCCACATTAGGATCTGAGGGGAAATATTCTATGCAAAGGGAATAGTGCTTACAAAGGTGCCGAGGAAGAGCCAGAAGGGCAATGTATTTGGAAAAACAACAAAAGTACAAGAAGTGGGCATCAGAGAGGTGGGCAGGGGCCAGATCATGCACACCCATTTTACCAGGTGTGGCAGTAAGATACTGCAGGATCCCAGAAGAGTGACACATTTCATTCCATATTTTATGACTCATCTGGCTCTCATGCATAGTTAGGCTATAGCAGGAGATGTGCATGAGGCAGGGAGGATAGGAGGTTTTTTCATTAGCTCATGCAAAAAACAATGGTAATTTGAAGTAGGGTTGCATGAGTAGAAAGAGGGATATGAGTTCAGATTGGGACTATCCTTTGCTGAGTCAATAGGTGGAGAGGAAGAGGAGAACTGAGGATTTTTGCTGTAATGAATGGTGGAAAACTGGGGAAATATTGTCCAGGGAGAACTCAAGAGTTATTTAGTATATATATTAAGCTTCAGGTGCTTTTTAGACATTCAAATGAGGATGTCAAGCAGAAGCAGTCAGATATATGTATGACTCTCCAGATCAGGATGGTAAAGAGGCTGCTGATAAAAATCCAGCAGTTCCCATTTTACAGATGACATTTGAAGAAAACAGATCTGGATGGTCTCACCTAGAGAGTGCATCTGTCTTTGTGCACCCCACTATTTACTGGTTGTGAAGACCAGCGAGGCAACAGGAAAGAGCTGCCAGTGAGGTGAGGGCTGAGAGCAAGTAAGGAGGCTGCTCCGGAAGCCCAAAGGACAAGAGGATGCTTCCAGAGGAGGAAGTGACCAAGTGCATAAAAAAATGAAAAATCAATGAAGACAAAAGGTTTTTAAGAACACCTGCAGCAAAATAATAAAAGAAAACAACTTGGAGAAGGAAATGACAGAAAAGCCTGTCAACTTCAGACTGAGTAAGTATCCACTGGAATACTGCATCACCGTGGTAGTGAAAGAACGACGTACACAACATGCGTATTTCTCAGAAACGTGTTCTTGACAAAAGAAATGCACCACAAAACAATACAACTGGCAGGACCTAATTTGCATAATTTCCAAAACGGATAAACCTAAACAGCATATGGCAGATGGTGAAACTATAAATAAAAGCAAGGAAATAATTCAACATGAAATTCAGGGTGTAGGTTACTTGCAAGATGGGGAGAGGTTATCCTGCAAGGAAAATGCAGGCTGGCACCAGAGAAGGGTTCATAGCGGTTCATTCTGTGATCCTGAGAAAGCTGAATTTTGTAAGCTAGGTGGTGGTGACTTTGTTACTATAAACTGCACAGATACAACTGTCTACACTTTTCTGGTAGGATTTCACAATTCAGAAATTTAAAGAAAATGGAACAACCAATCTGCTCTTGTATTTATAAAATACATGTAAAAATGAGAAGCACTATGTAATTTAAAAGAAACAATATGAGAATAAGAAGGAAAGGCATGTTCTTTCATGAGCTTGTGTGCTGTGGGTTGGTACACACACACAAATATAAATCAGAATAGCAACTTGGTCCATAATTATTTTCTCATTCTTGCCAGCTACTGGAAAATAGAATTTTATGTCCTTCGCTTCCAGTAATGTGCTAGCATTCAGAGTGAGAGAATGCAAGAGCAGCGAAACAACAGGAAAATAAAAATAATACCAAAGAAGCGACACACTTATTTCTCATCTTTGCAATTATTTTAATTTGGAGATAATTGTAGATTCACATGCAGGTATAAGAAATAGTGGAGCAGTATCCTGCACCCTTTCCCCAGTCGCCCTGGTTGGTAGCCTTCTGCGTAGCTGTACTGGGTCACAGCGGATGCTGGCACAGGCACAGTGGACAGATAGAATGCTCCCATCGCCACGGGGATCCGTCATGTTGTTACAGGGTTATAAAAATGCTACACGTTTCATGCGAGTGGCAGCATGTGTTTTGCAAGGAATCATTTATGTCGAATGTAGGCAGAATATAAATAAATATGATGGAGATAGTGGAACTCAGATTCTATTTTTGGCAACCTCAATCCTTTCTCATCTGAGTGCATAAACTAAGTTAAAGTGTGCCTGAAATCTCTTCCTCATCTGTTCATCTCCAGTTCCCTTCCTGCATTCTGCAAAGTAGTCAGCCTATGGTGACACATGTTTCATGGGAGAAGAAGAATGAAGTGCATATTTCTTCTCATTTCTCTTCCTAACTTAAATACTCAGAAAAAAATACAAAAATCTCTCTATTATGAATCATTCTTATTGTGTTCATAGCTATTTATAGTGGAGTTTATTTCTAGATCCTCATGTGATAGAGAGTTCTGTCTTCCCATGCGCCAAGCTGTGGACTCTGTCATAAAGACAAGCTTTTCTGCCTGTTGAGCTCCCTCGATAAGTCACCAGCCAGGGCTCCCGCCCTTACCTCCCATCCCGACTCACTGACTGCTACAGCAAACTGGCTGCACAAATGTGTTCTATGCAGAAAACGTTCTACGTGTTTGAGCCACCCAACAGTGACACAACCAAGCATATATTAAACAGCACCTTTAAAAAAATCTTTGAAACCTTGAGGCCTAACAAGCCACCAAGTCTGGAATCTTTCAAACAGGGGAAATGGTGGTGCCGTCCAAAATAGCAGTTTTCATATTGTGGGTTTCTTGGCGTTATTTATATGAGTCAAGAAGAACAAAATCCAGGGCAAGTTCCAATCCCCAGAATCGTGCTTTAAGCAGAGGAGATAATACTTTTGTTTTAGTGTGGTAGAATTTTGCTGCTAAAACAAAGTTTAAAAAGCACTGCTGGGAAGGCTTGTGGCGTTGCCCGGGCCAAGCCCAGCGTCTGGTCACTTCACGTTCCACGGTTTCCCTCTTCTGAGCCCCTGACACCTACCGGCTCCTTCTCTTTCACCTGGGGTCACCTACTAGGGTGGATGTGAAAGTGGCAGGAAGACAACATGTACTTATGGATTTAAAGAAACATAAATATCTGTTAGTATTTGAGGTGCTGGGAAAGATTTTCAACCAGTTCAGGCACAAACAATAATGAAGACCCTTACTTTTCATTTCTGGTTTTATATAGTTACATTTTGAAGAAATTTTAACTCTAGAAATCATATAGAACAGATTTATGAAAGACAGTTTGCACTGCAAACCACATTTTTCAAAAGAAAGAAAAATATGAGAGAATATCATTTTAAAACATGATGCAAGTGAAAATAATTGAACTGTTTCAAGGATGAAGTTTAATGTAATAAATATAATGTGAATTCTGATGGAATCATAAGAAAATAATATACTGATTATTCTTCCTTTCATCACACATGCTATAGTTAAAGAAGAAACCCTTAATGTATCTCGATGTATTTCCCACGCTCACCTGGGTACTGAAGTTAACAGACACCATTAGTCCTGTCCCAGAGTCTCTGGCCACCTGCAAACTGATTAAAGTGGCCTTTTTATGAGCTACTGGCAGCCGAGAACCCACAGAAAAATACACGAGGCTCCCAGGTTCACTGCTCTGTAAGAACTTAATCTGTGCGAATCGGGCACTATTGTTTATTGCTGCTCCAGCAGTTACGTCATACAGCTCCACAAAAAAATACACCTCAACTTGTGGTACCTGATGATGAAAAAAGAAGGAAAAAAGATGATAACTAATACATTTCTATTTTTAGATAATTCTGATGTTAAGAATTAGTACTATTCATATACATAATTACAGAAAAACATATTTAGAAATACAGTACATATAATTACAGAGTTAGAATCTGATGTTAGAGGACCATGGAACTTACTTTTTGGGCCTTTCTGTAAGAAACACTGTTACTCTCCCTGGGTAAGCTTCTCACTATAAAATCAATGTCAGGAGACAACCTATGTGTACTTCAGTAAGCAAAAGGATAAATAAAAGATATTCACACAATGAAATGCTATTTAACAGTTAAAAGAAGTGAACTATTTCAATACTTTTCAGTATGGATGGATCTGATAACATTAACGAGTGGAAAAAATCCGGTTGCATGGTGATATGTGCAGCATGATACAATAAATGCAAACCTAAACATTATATAAAGCTTACTATACACCCTTAATGGATACATATACATTTACATATTTAAAAATTAAAGTGCCCTGACTAGGTGGCTCAGGAGCCAGGGTTGGGGGGAGGCCAGGGCAGGGCCTGGCGCTGGAGAATGTCCCTTTAGGCAGAGGAAAAAGAGAATGTCAACTTTGTCAGAAAGGTTTTATTTGTAAAGGGTTAAACATAAATATGACAACATACTCATAATAGTAAATTCGGTGATTTTATGTATTTTCCAAAATTTAGTATCAAACAAGTCTAAATTTAATCTGTTGATTATAGTTTGTTCATGTTTCCCTGTAGTTCTTTCTCAACAATCTCAAATAGTTCATTTTCTAAAGTCGGCATTCAATTTTATCACATCCTGTCAATCGCTGTTTTTACTTATTCACTCTTACATATAATAATCTAAGCATTGCTAGCTTCCTGTCATAACTCAAACAAGCTACGCTGATGTACTTCCAACTGCATCTGTCATTGTCTGATCTGATACAATGAATCATTTTTATTTATTGGCAAGGGCCTCATTCATTTGTTCTGTGACGATTTTAATGAGACTTATAATGTTACTTGTCATGAAATAATACAATAAACTCTTTAGTATTACCCAAAATAAGTTGTATGTTAGTCACACCATAAATGAATTTAATTTCCCTTTATAATCTGAACAAATAGACAGCTTTCCTATGGCACATATCATTCTCTGCAATTCAACGTCAGTAAGTACTGAAACATAAAGGTAGCTGCTGTACTCTTCCCACTTTTGAGAAACGACTTTGGCAGCTATGTTAAACTAAAACACTACAAAAGTATGGGTAATTTTATTCAAGAACTATCATCCCCTAATGGCCAAGTGAGCTTGAATTTGCAATAGTTTCATTTAATTAAAGATTTCAACACTATACTATTTTATTTTTCAGCATATTACATACATTACAACAGAGACTCTTGTCTTTAGTTTCCAGTAAAATATTTCTTCTCATTGTGATGATGATTAGAATATTACTTATAACCACTTAGAGTCAAAATGATACATTATAATCTGAATAAGGAACCATCTAAAATTGAAACCGTGTACAGATGGATGTCAACGTATACTTCAACTACAGACAAAAGAGATCATCCAGTCTTGCAAAGAAAAATACAATTCAAACACTATCCTAGAAATCTATTGGGAAACCAAAGCTCACAGATCGTACCTAAACCTCTCTAGACTGGGGTGTGACTGGAGACCGCACCGGAACCTACTCCATGTGGGCTGCCAGCGGGCCCCTCTCCTAGTGGGTCAGAAGCACCCCAGGGTAATCTTTTGCCCAACTAGACACAATGATTTTTCCCGGATCCATATTTGCTCAGTAGCAGTCACTCAAAGTAATAATAAAACAGTATCTTATACTTAAATATTTTTTAAAATATTTGAAACAGATATTTAAACAATCTGTTTAAATAGAATTTGTGGGTTAATAATGTTTCCTAAGTTAATTAACTATTACCTTTATACATTTTGCAAATAAAGAACGATTAGGTAAAACAGCAGAGAAAGGGGAAGTTCAAAAGCCAAGTTTTAATTGTGGCCGAATAGTTCACTAGGTAGGGAAACTTTCTGAAGTTGTTCATAACTTGAAAATGAAAGTCCTGAATAACTGTAGAGATGACAATTGGAGGTATTATAGAGTAGAAAAACTTAGAGATGAGGGTCAGGAGACTGGATTGAGTTTAGGAGAAGCCACCATTAATCAATGGTATAATTCTCTGAATGAATGTATTGTTCGTTGTGCTGTGATGTTTCAGCTCCCCCACCACTAGTTTCACAGCACCTACTACTAAATCTCTAAACTGCCTTGGGTTGCCTTCCCATCCATCCACGGTGGGTAACAGTTACACCAGCCTTCTATCATGAAGGGCTGATTCCTTTCCAAGAACTGTGTGAAGAACCTCTCATTCATTATCTAATTTAAACTAACAGCACCTATTACTAACTCCAACAAACCTGGGAGGCTCAGGAAGGCTAAGTAACTTATCTAATGTCATCTGGCTAATCAGTGGAGGAACTGAGATTTGAATCTAGGTTTTCTATTATCGGAGCCCAAACGCTTAACACCATACTACCTCCCAGAACAAGTGCAGTGCCCTTTGATAAAAAATAAAGAGATGGTTCTTAGGTCAAAAGTCAAAGAAAAGTTAGTTGTGCTGCTCTGGTAGTAGCACCAAAATAATCTCAAAGTCCACTGCAGAAGCACAGGCCTGCAGAACCAGCTTCATTTATATGTCTAGGGGTCAGTTTATCAGAAATGACAAGTTTGTACCACATGAGCAATAAGTTTCCTTGTAGTGAAAAAGTTATTGTTAAAATGCATATGAGAAGCTCACAGTACTTTTTTAAAACATAATTTTCCATTCTTCTGTGAATATAATCTTCCCTCTTGTTGAATTTTCTGTTACCGAAAGTGGAATGTGTATTACTCTTGCCTACGCCTTTCCTTTTAATAGCTGAGAAGACAATAAAAACACAATGCCTTGAAAATTAGCTGCAGTATAAAGCTCAGCTCTATGATTTGAAAAATCATTAGAAGGAGAAATAAGAGGTGAGGTCAGATTCTCTCTTGTCCAACTGAAACTACTTGCATATAGGCTCAGTAGCATTTCCCATACTAGGAAAAACATACACACAGTTAACATCCTATGTCCGATTATATTCTCTTAAACCTTGATTACAATATCTTTAGTACCTATGAATTTCCTTAGTATTCTCCTGCAAGAGGGGCAAGCTCAGAAGCAGCAGTCTCTTCTCTCACCTACGTTCCAACTTTCCTGTTTACCTCGCTTTCAGCTCCTGTAAACCACCTCTGTTTGACTCTCTTCCTTTCTCTCTCCCTCCTGCAGGAAGAGACCCCTTCGAACAGCATTAGAGTGCAGTTCTCCAGATGTTTTGAATCTATTGAAATCTTTCCAGGAGCCTAATTCACCAAAAATCTTACTTGAAATAAAACGCTCAACAGAATTTTCAATAACTCATGTATGCAACACATATTTATGGAGGATGATGGGAGGAATACGGCTGAGATCCAATAGTCAAGACAAAATTAAATCTTGACCCCACATAAAACCAATAACTTTCAGAAGAAAGGTATAGATAGTCTTTGCGATTTAGAGAATTCAGACTCCTAACTTAATATTAGGGAGATATTAGGGAAGGCATCACAGAGGAAGAGGTATTCCGATCAGTCCTGAAGGGAGAGTTAGTAAATGCAGGATTGTGGGGGTTGAAGGCATGAACCTATTTGAACAAATGCACAGAAGAGGATTTAAATGTTTTTGAGTAGAATAAGATGATGAAATATTTTGAATATTGTCATTTCAGTTCTTCCTTTTCAGTGTGATAAGAAGTATTAGTAGCTAACCAAACTTCCATTCAAGAAAAGTAAAATACAATAATATATTAAATTAGAAAAAATCAGTGGGAATTTGGTATTTTAAAACTTATTTTTCAAACTCTATCACTACCAAGATGATGTAGAGCAGCACTTTTGCCAACCAGTAACTCTCACGTATTCCCCTAGTTCATGCATTTAGACCTCTAAAATTCTTTCTGATGAAAAAATCAAGTTCTTGGACAGTCATTGATTTGAATGGCTTAGTCTGGGAAAAATCAGACTGGCTGTGGCATATATGTTAATCGTACTTAAAAAATAAACTTCCAGAGATTTTTTAAAGCAAAATGAAAAGACAAAAGACCAGCTTTATTGGAGCTTTCAGTGACAGAACATGACTATTTAAGTAGCAAAAACAAAATCATTTAGTAATTAAAATTAGCTGATTTTGAGCCTTTAAAAAATGTGTATATAAATGGATCTGTGTAGTTCAAACCCATGTTGTTCAAGAGTCAACTGTATTTTTGATCCACAGTTGGGAATCCACGGATGTAGAGAACTGACTTAGGTTGGAAGCGCATTTCAACTTCAAGGGCAGTTGGTATCCCTAACCCCAGCATTGTTCAGGGTCAGCTGTAACTGCATTTGTGCATGCTTTTTCTGTTGTTTTAAGTGTTTGACATGTACAAAGGCACTACAATATTTTTGAACATTCATCACATTATGAGTAGTTTTTGTATTAAGTATTTGAGATTAATAAATTAATTCATAGACAAAAAAGGAAGTACTACTGAGTGCTCCTTAGGCATTAAAGTATCACAGAATAGTCATTTTTTTTAAAGCCACATATCATTACTAAGTGACTAAATCTCTGTTAGGTCATCTGTGACCAATACCATCTGAATAATGCAGATTCCTCTGGAAAGGGAGGGACACCTGTCTCCTAAGTGCTACACGTAACATGAACCAACAGAAATTTACCCAAAGGCTCACCAAGCATGGCCTCTCTACCTCTTACGTAGATCAAAACAGAACTTTCTTAACTACTATGTGAATAGATAGTAAGAGAACTTTCATTCTATGATAAAGTATATACATATAATATCAAATCTATAGACATAATAAAAGCAAAACACTAAATGTTCAGAATAATCAGAGACACTAATTGGCTGAAAATGACTCTAGGGCTCATGCACGCAATGAGCAGGTGGGCCAGGAAAAATCTCAGAAATGTGAAGAAACAGAAACAGAGAAAACTGATGAGTTTTTGAGAAATAAAAAAGAGATATAACTGACATATGTATTAGTTGTAAGTGTACAATAGTGAGCTTATTTACAAAAATTCTCTAATGAAACCAATTCTAAGTCAGAAGTCTGTCACCTAGCAAAGAGATTTCCACATTACGGCCAGACAAAACGCAAAGAACCTTCACATAACCAATGTGTCCGTTCCAATAACCTGGCCTTGAAATACTAATTCTAAAGAAATACAATTAGAAGTGGACGATACTGTACCCCATCGTTTCTTACCTTCCCCGGTTTGAGTTCCATGATGATAAAGCACTTTGTTTGACCCACTGTACACGTTGTAGTCCCTGACACAGAGAGAAGTTCATCCTTCAGGTTCACACCATCCTTCTGGAGCACAGCGGCTGTTTTGTTAAATGTGACTCGCCAAAAGACCTTGACGTCTTCAAAGGCCCTAGGAACAAAGCAAAACCTATGCAAATGCAGTAACAGAGTGCGTTACCCCCGTGTATACTGCAGAATGTGTTATCACTGGGCCCGAGTGCACATCTTCATCCAAAGCATAGCACTTTACAAGGCATTCTCTGACCATACTCTATTCAACACGGAATAACTATTTATTGAACTACTGCGTATCAGAAATGTGAAAAAATATTTTTCTGCCTCCTATGCCTATTATGTACCAGAAATACGAAAATAAAAGTAACAGAGAACTTTTGCCTTCAAGTAAACATTCCTCATTTGTCTTTTAACAAGAATTCTTCTAAAGGAAAAACACTATTGCTAAAAATAGTTGTTATAAAAATAAAGGGCAAGAGGTAACCCACATTTTCAGAGATTATGTAGGCCCAAAATGGAAAATGTAATATATATACATGTACATGTGTGCAACCTAGTGCATATATGAGGTCTGTCCAGAAAGTTTCCAGCCATGTAATATGAAAAATAGAGACATTTACTGAAGAAGAGACAAGATACAATAACATTGTACATAGGACAATGACACCTCAGTCCCCTTCAAAGTAGGCACCTTGGGACCTCACACAGTTCTCTCAATTGCCATCAGCTGCCCCATCATATTTTCCTGAATGTCACTGACAGTCTAAAATGTCTTTCCTTTCAAAAGTGATTTTAGTTTTGGGAAAAGCCAAAAGTTGTAGGGCACCAAATCCGGGCTGTAGGGGGATTAAGTCACAAGGGACATTTGATGTTTTGCCAAAAAACTACACGAGACATGATGCATGAGTGGGAGCATTGTCAAGATGAAGCTGTCAGTCACCAGTTGCCCACAGCTGCAACTTTCTGAATAATCCAAATATTTTCCATGGAGGAACAATGGTTTAACACAAAATCTGGTGCAGATTTGTAGCTCCAGCTCTCTGCCATTTTGAATGTGATGGCCACATGGTACACATGCTCACTAAACTGTATCTACTGCCCCCACTGACTAGTACAGTGAAGTCTTCATTGTTCATGTATGCACATTCCCATGCCCCCATACTCTCCTTGGCTGCCAGGTTACATTGATGTCATGCAAATCATTCTCGTTATGTTAATAATGGCTGGACTTTTTCTAGACAGACCTTTTATATGATGAGCATTCAGAAGTTGTGTACTATATAAGTTGTAAGCAAAATTTTGGTACTCCAAGTATCCCTAACAGTAAATAGTTGTTTATGCAGAATGATCAGACTTATCTAAGAAAAAGATAAAAAAGATGAACAGTGAAAGGACAGCAAACTCACAGTTATTAACAACCACACCTAAAACAAAAGCAAACTAAGAGGACAGCTAGATCAGGAGTGAACCACAGAAAGGAAGATCACATGGAGGGTTAGCAACAGGGGAGTGGGAGAAGGAGAAGGGGGGAGAAGGTACAGAAAATAAGTAGCATAGACAGGTAGAAAATAGATAGGGGGGAGGGCAAGAATAGTAGGGGAAATATAGAATCTAAAGAACTTGAGACACGTGGTCATGAACTAAAGGGGGGGAATGGTTGGGGAGGGGTGTGCAGGGTGGAGGGGAATGAAGGGGGGAAATAGAACAAATGTAATGGCATAATCAATAAAATAAAATTTTAAAAAGACAATAGTATATATGATAAAGTGAATACTTATATGACTATACTTTGTGAAATACAAAATATTCAAGGTAGTCCTAAGTCATGCTCATAAACCAAGTGTGTTAAATCGCAGACTAAGAACTAGAGCATCTAAACAATGACATATCATATTCCACACTACCTTCTATCAACATCTGATCCTGGCTCTACCATTTTATGAACTCAAATATAGACATACAGGCTGTTTTGTCTTCCACGTATATTTAAAAATACCTATTTGGCTGCCTTGTCACAGTGAGATGAAGTCTTTTCCTATCGGCTGCTCCACCCAGCTCGAGCCCTTTCTGGGACTCCTCACTGAATCCTATGATGCCATTTGGAAGGTCACTTCCTAAGGAGAGAAATACAGGGTAATAGTATACTTAAGACTTAAAAAGATCTCCAATGCTTCACTAATCTTTCCAGCTCAGATGGTATAAAAGTGAGCTGTTCACAAAGAAGTGAGGGAGCCACAATTTTTAAATATCTTTACTAAAAATAGGCTGGAATAGAAAATGATAACATTGAGGTTGCTAATATTTTGAGAACAGAAGACCAGAAAAAAGAAAAAATTAAGTCCTACTCCCCACGCTGAGATAACTTGCTCATCTCTCTCTGATGGGACTCTGCGTCTTATAGTCCTTGACATTTTATGTATGTTTACTATTTAAAGTCAGTGCGTCAGCACAGAATGGAAGCTCCACTGGGGCAGCAATGCTGCATTCACTGCTGTATCCTCAGTACCTAAAACAGTGGCATAATATTATAAATGCCCAATAAATATCTATTAAAACAAATGAACTCCGCTTAACTGACTCACCTTCTTATAAGAGAGTTGACCAAAAGGCCATTTATGCTACACATTCACTTATTTGCCCTTGAGAAAAACACTATGAATTCTTGAGTAATTCTGAGTAAAATACTCCTCTGAGTGACCCTTGAGGTTACAGACACCCCTGTACTACAAAATTGTGCTTAAACTGGAAAAGAAGTAGGGCCCACACTACACTGAGTAGGGTCTCCTTATAGTGCCCCCTCAAACTCTAAAGCACTGTGGAAAATGTATCACTGTTTGCATAAAAGAGCAGAGCAGGCGAGAACCATGAAATGGCCTTGTCAATACTCCAGTTAGTGTATGGCATGGACAAGATGAGCTCATCCACTTAAAGGAATATAGTATTTCAAAGGAAAACTGCCAATTATTCAAATTATATTCTTCTTCCAGAATGTACTTAATTTAGTCATCCAGTATACAATCGCCTATAGTGCTTTGAAACTTCATTCTGAATTTCCTGACTACTTTCCATCCCAAAGTCTAAGATCTCATTATCAAGAATTTCTTTGGATCTGTTGGGTAATTCTTTTATCATTATAAAAGATTTTATAAGATATATGAGAAGAAACTTTAAAAAAAAATCATTGCATTTTTAAGCTATTGTAGTATATAATATATACATTTAATAGTACAAAAGCTATATAATATACTTCCTTGGTCTAAAAATAGAACAAAAGACATACTTTCAGTCCATTACCCAACAGATCCAAAGAAATTCTTGATAATGAGATCTTAGACGACTTTGGGATGGAAAGTAGTCAGGAAATTCAGAATGAAGTTTCAAAGCACTATAGGCAATTGTATACTGGATGACTAAATTAAGTATATTCTTGAAGAAGAATATGGACTTAAGTATGTTTAAGGTTTTCCCTATAAATCTATGGATTTATAGATTGTTCAGCTCTGAGCTAAGTGACATTTACAGTTTGTTAGAGTCTAGCTGGCACTTTGGAATGACATCATATATTCATCATGAATTCATGATGTGGGTCCATGTCACAGAAAAATGATGTTTTTTAATTTTTCAATTACAGTTTACTTTCTATATTATTTTGTATTCATGTCAAGTGTACAGTGTAGTGGTTAGACAATCATATATTTTACAAAGTGTTTCCCATACTTCCAGTACGCACCTGATAGATATCAAAATATTATTGACTGTCTTCCCTACGCTGTACTTTACACCCCTGTGACTGTTCTGTAACAGCCAATCCATGCTTCGTAATCCCTTTGCCTTTCACCCAGTCCCCTAACCCTCCTCCCCTCTGGCAACCTCTAGTCTGCTCTCTGTGCCTATAAGTCTGGGGAAAATGATATTTTAGTGAATAACTATGAGTGATTCAAGTAATTCACCCTTTAAATTAAAGATAGAATGTTCTCAGTTAAAAAATCCTGATAAAAAAGTGGTTCATTTTTACATCCACCATTTCAAAGACAAACCTGTAATAACAATCATGGCGAAAGCTGCAAATCCAGTGTCATCCTTTCCCTCCACAATCTGTGCTCCCCCTCGAGGGTCTGAGAGAAACACGTAGAAGAATTCCTGCCCCTCAGGCTCATCATCATCCAAAATCTGAAACGACACTTTCCGTTCTCTTTCTCCATCTACAAATATGAGGACAAGAGTTTGTTCTTCAAAGTCCTCTTCCTCGACCGCCCACGTGAGGTTGGAAAGTCTAGAGATATCAAGAAAGGGCAGTGCATTTGGCTCCTTCTGGGCAGACCTTTTGCCAAACGTTTTAACTGTTACACTGACGTTGCCAGTCGTCCCTCCAGTTCTCCGGATAAGAATTTCTGCAACGTTCGACGTTCCATTCCTCATCTCCTCTTCAACATACACGACAGGCGGCCCAAGACTGAATGTTCCATGAATGAAAACATCTGCAGTTACCGTGGCCACGTCAGGCTTGTCCGACGTGGCAGGTGCACCAGGAAGGGCGACAAGTTTGTCGGGGATCCCAGTTGCCTCAGTGACGATGGTGACCATTTCAGTTGGCTGTGGAACAACAGTTACCTCGGTCATATCGGGGTGTGCGGTAGAGGAGTCCACTTCTGTGTCAACTGTGACAGCCGCTGTTGTCTTGGGAAGAGAAACGTCCATCCCCGCTAGGCCGTCATTGTCCAATATTGTGACCACGGCCACGCTGAAATCTAGATTCAGGCGTGGTCTCCAGTTTGTCTGTGTAAGCTTTTGCAACCCTCTAATTTCTACAGAAGTTAGGTTAATGTAAAAAAACTCTTCTACTTCAGGAAGGTGGTCGTTAATAATGATTATTTCAAAGTGAACCTCAGCTTGGAATTTTTGAAAAAGCAGCTCCCCTTTGTGAACAGGCTCAAAATCTTCCAGGGGCTCCGCACTTCCCGCGGTTGTCTGATAGGAGACCTGGACAAGACTGCCGTGGAACCCGAAGAGCCTTTGCACCTGCAGTCTAATCACCTCTGTGTCCTCTGACACCATGATATTTCTTGAACTAGGGGAAAACTGAAAGACTCCCATTGGTTCAATCTCAGCCACGGTGAAACCTGGTCTGAAAAAAAAATGAAAGAATTAATGAAAATAGGAAGACCACAGCAGAGATTCACCTTTCACATATTTAAGATGTTGCTCATGAGAGCATCTTAAAAATGACATGCCCTTTCGAGTTCCGTACAATGCTACTTAATTATTCATGACCAGACCCTGCCTGAGACATGTAAGAACAGGGGCTGCTATGACTGGTGCAGGGACCTAACGCATGTCGGCAAAGTGAGAGCTCACAGGTCTCTGCTTCTCCATCATCCCAGAGCAGCTCTCTGATGGGTCGGAAACGCCAGGCTCTCTGTCATGACCGGTAAACAGAAAACCGAAAGTTCTTAGAATGTTCTGGATGTCAGCCAAGTTTCTCATCTACAAATAGATGTAGTTGGCCCTACGAGATGCAAAATCCTTATTTCTTGCAAGTGGCTCATCATCAAACTAGTCTCTCACACAAATGATACTAAGATTTGCTATGTGAATTGGAAGAAACATCCATGACTGAGTTCTTGATCCTTAGCTTTATCCTATGGAATTTTGTTGTGGGTTAATAGTTATGTCAGAGCTAACACTGGCAGCCTGTCAGCTGAATCCAAACCATAGGCATATTTTCTTTGGCTAACAGGCTTTTTTTTAATGTAAATTTGAATGTCTTCAGGGAGGACATCCTAGAGGCCATCACTGTCTATTGTAAAACTCTGATGACTCAACGCACAGCACAATGGTTAAGAGTTGAATGAGTAGCCACACACACTGAATTCAAATCATGGCCCAACAATTATTACTAGTGTGACACTGAGCATGTTACATAACCTATTTGTGACTTATCTATAAAAGGGGACTCATAACGGCATCTGCATAATATGGCTGCTGTGAAGAATAAGAGAGTAGATATACACCATTCTTAAAGCAATGCCTGGCCTAGGTAATCACTACAAAACTTAGCTATTAGTGCTGTTGCTAAAAAGCATTTGAATTGGCTAGCCTGAAATACTTTCTGTGGCCAAACACCTTTGAAATGATGTATGTATAACCTAAAGCCATTTTGATTCTGCCCACCAGTATTTCTCCACACATAGACATGTATACAAACACACTTGAACACACATCAATTTTGCCCACACATTTTCCACATTTTCCAAGTAAGTAGACTGAAGAACAGAAAGTTGAAGTAACTTTCCCTAAGTCCCATAGTAAGTAAGTGGTAAAGCCAGGACTACATCTGTGAATCTGGCTCTAAGGTCTGCCTTTTGCCACTCTGGCCAAGCACATCCCACATGTGAGAAAAGTAAGTTGCTCTGGTTTACATATATGTATCTGAAAAGTTCTGATTTAAATTAAACTCAGAAGAGCTATTGGTACAAGTCATATTATTATCCTTCTATGATGGCTTCTTCTTACTCCGAATCCCTTGGGGAAAGCAAGTATTTTCCAGCTACTTCTCAAAAGACAGCTCCTTTAAAAACAGGTGGCTTTGCCATTATGTTTCTTATTGGAGACGTCACCCCAGGCCAACCTTGAATTAGAGGTTGCGAGGACCTCTCTTCAAGGCAAACCGTGGTGGTGACTGTGAAGGTCAGCCTCCCTCCGCAGCATCCTGGGCACGCAGGCCACGTGCTACTCTCATCTGCTTCAGGGATCCTTGTGGCTTTGTCTTTTTCTCCTGTTTCAACTGATAAATTCCAGATTATTCCTCAGAGCCATCTTACCTAAGCTCGGCCCCGCCAGGGGCACTGCTCTGCACTCCCGAGAGGTGGACAGCAAAGGCCTCTGGCTGGCCAGGGTTGGGGAACGTCCACAGCAAGACACCTTTACTTTGTTCTCCATGGGAAAACGAAAGGCTCCCTGAAAGGAAACATGGAAAGCGAAGCAGGGTGTCATTTCTGAGTTTTTAAATTGGGATTCAACACTTAAAACGTGTAGTGAAATATTTCCTTTTCCAAGATTCCATTTTAGAAAACCTGTATGATTTCGTTAACCGATGTCACCCTGATAAAGTCAATTAAATAAATAAACAGGTAAGTAGGTAAATAAAATAAGCCTAAAAAATTCTATGACAGTCTACAAAGACAAAAACATTTTAAAAGTGGGAAAAGAGGAAAACGAACTTAGAGCAAGTCCCCTGGACCACATAAACCTTGCCTTCAACCCCTGTCCACTCTGGCTGGTAGAGGTCAAGCCTTCTAACATTTGCATCTCACTGGCCCTCATAAAGCTGCTGGTATAATTACAATTAAAAAATAATAAAGTAGATTGAGTAACAGTTGCTCCACTGTCAAATATTCAGGCGAACATGTAAAAGGACACAAAGGTGTGCCTTTTTTACTACTGTACGGTCCAAACTAAGTTTTTTACAACTACTTTGAACAAACTCCTAATGTATAAACAGTCTGCTTAGTGGTCACATTTCCAGGTGACACATGAAATTTTTAATTTGATTGAATAAATTTTCAGCCTCACCAAGCAGCCTTTGCAATTCTGACCAGTTAAAAATGGGAACACTGTAGCACAAAACAAACAGTTCATTTTTCCAGAGCAAGGATGACCCCAGAAAACTAGCGGCCAGCTACACACCTTCATGTTTTACAGAGCAGATCTCGGAAAAGCTGCAGCTTACCCAGTTTCGGGGTCATGTTGCCAACGACAACGAACTCAGGGGTTTCTAACCCAGGAGCATATCCGGCTGCCCAGGCAACCACGAGGGAGCCATATGTGCCTCTCCTAGAAATCACCACTTGGCTTGTTCCAGCAGTGACGTCCATGAGTGAGAAAGCAGGAGATTCAAATCCAACCTGAGGAAAAACACGCCGAGGACATTTTATTTCTTTCTAAAGGTCCCTGTTTTCTGAAGAGTGGATTAAAAGTCAACAGTCAACTTACTCTTGGTTTACACAATCCATTTTCCTGTTTTAAAATATATTCAATTCAAGAATAATGTTTAAGAAAGGACACCAGAGACTTGAAAATATATTCTATTTTATAATTCTGATTATAGTTTTTAACTTTTTAAATCAAGGTACAATCCTTTGAATTGACAATATACATAAAGACAAATGTAATTATGGTTAAATGAAAGCAAAAGTTTTAAAATGGAATTGTAGTGTGACTTATTTATGGGTCTTTTTAGAATCCAATTTGTCTAGACCTGAAATTTGACTTCTTTCTAAGACATATTAATATATTCTTTGTTTATAAAAATGAGCACCATGAAATAGATTTTCTATTAGGTTGTTTGCAGCTCTTTGATTCAATTTAATGTTATTTTTGAGAATAAGGAAGATTCAAAGAATTTTTTTAAAAATAATCATTTTTTTCATCCACATTAAGTAAGATCTTTTCTTAAGGGCAACCTTCCCCAGTACCCTGGCAGTTACAAATGATTTCTAGATCAATTAAATGCCAGCCAATGAGTAAGAATAAAATCAGATGCCTGGCTTCATTTGGACAAATCAGTTTACCTCTTTTGGTCTCGATATCTACAAATCTGGGAGACCATATGATTAATAGTTCTAAATTAAGCCTCATTCTCCCCATTTTAAATTGAAATGGAGAGTAGCAGAAAAGTGTGAGAGGTGCCACAGGATGTCTTCTGGAGATTAAAAAAAGAAGAAGAAGAAACAAACAAGGAAATTCCATTTTGACACCAGATTACATTGCCCAAAGCTTTGGTACATCTGAGATCATGCTTGCTACATGGCTAGAGGCTGTTTAAAAATGTCCTAGCCACGGTGTTGCGCACACAGACACACACACCACACAAATATTGGTAAGGAGTCCAAAGGACACAGTGCGGATGGGAGTATGCCATGACCAGACCTGATCTCGCCCTTTGAGGTGATACAGTGCCGTGACAATGTGCATGGACAAGGAGTGGGAAATAGTGACTGTGTGAAATGAATACTGCAGATTGAAAGGAATCATTTAACAACCTGTGAGCAAAAAGAAGACAGCAAAACTTCAAAGCATTATTAAGTTCTATACCCTCTTAAACAGAGGAGGTGTCGAAAGAAAACTGTTCCAGTTATTTTTGATGTGGGTGGATTCCACTTTAGGGGACCAACCAGTTTACAAGGGAGTAACGGAATGAATGACCTGAGACCCTGTGACACAAGCTGCTGGCCGGATCTGCCCATGCACCTGACCTTCATCTGCATGGACTTCATGTCCACATCTTGGGCCAGGCCCGTCTCAGTCAAGTTGAAGGAGCTCCCAACTTAAGGAGAAGAATGCAATGATTCCTCATAAGGGTTTCAAAAATACGTATGCTACCATAGCCTGAGACAACAGCCCTGACTTCTTCCTGTACTGACTGAATCAGCCTACACAGCCTCGAGCTGTTTTTTGTTCTCATGGAATTCATGAAGTGACAAGAAAACGATCTTTCCCACAACAAACTCAGGTAGAAGATTCAAATGCTTAGGTGCAGCTGCGTCACTGGCTCTCACCATGGCACCTACATCAGCACAAATGTGCCACACGACGAACAGCCTTGAAAATTAAGGGCAAATACTCACGAGGTTAGTAAATGAAAGAGTATGAAATATTAACTGATGTTTCATTCCAATTTTAATTATTTAGCATAAAATACCTCAGTAGTCAAGGAAAACCCCTAGAAATTCTGACTCTAGGCAATTGTTACTTTAAAAATTGTACACCTTACATCAAGTTTTATAAGAGACAAACTTTCTAAAACTCCTAAAAGGAACTATATTATCCTAACATTGAAAACTAATTACTTTCAAACAATATATCCATAATGTCTACTTTGATATTCATAGTATCACTTAGATTTTAATTTGATTTTTAATTTCTTTCATTTTTTTCAATTACAGTTGACATACAATTTTATATTTACTTCAGGTGTACACCATAGTGATTACTCATTTATATACTTTATCAAGTTATCAACTCAATAAGTCTAGTACCCATCTGACACCATGCATAGTTATTACAATATTATTGACTGTATTCCCTGTGTGGTACTGTACATCTCCATGATTACTTTAATAACTGGCAATTTGTAATTCTCAATTCCTTTATAACTTTTTTTACCCATCTCACTGCCAGGTGGCAGGATTACTTAGACTTAAGAAAATAGTTAGTCTGAAGAAATTCTGTCCGAATCTCAGTCCTTCCTATAAAAGCTGCCTTCTCATCCCTCCCAGACACTCCACACCCAGGGCCGGTTACCTGAGAATTGGCCGCTCTCTCGGGGACAGGGAGCACAGCGGACTTCGCTCCCTGGAGAATCTTTGGCACACCGTAGGGATGTCCACCAACAAGCGTCACAGTCACCAGTTGCAAAGTAAAGTTAGAGCCCAGGGATAGAAAGACCTGCAAACAAACAGTATCAATGACCTTTTTAGTCGTAAAAATAACTTTCAGGGAAAAATACTAACATGTGCCATAAGTCACTGGCGCACTGCCTCAGGGTACCTTTGTATCATTCCATCAACCTATGGACTTTCTCCAATGTTATAAAAAAAGAAATCACTTTATAAAGACTATGGGGTAAAGAGCGATAGTAATACAGTATAAAAAACACAAATCTGCAAATTCTCCATGTGTCTCCAAGTGGCATCAGGGATGATGAGACTCACAAGAAGTAATTATCGGTGACAGAACCATGTGCTACAGGAATGGGAAGAGCTTACAGCTGAGCAGTGTCAGCCCCTGAAGCCAGAAAACTTGATTTCTTCCATCTTCATTGATAGTAACTAATAACCCTGAAACTTACTCAAAATAGATAGTAATTTAGCCGTACTTAGTATCTGAATATTTGACAAATAATTGCTAACACCATGTATTAAATCATAAATGTTCAAAGTTGTAGAATCCAACAAAATTGGGAAAATACTGAATTTTAAAACTGGTTTTCTAAGGTTTTTAAAAATATTTCTCATAGAAATATCATTGATAATGGATAAGCCCCCAAGTTACCCCACAACTTGGAAGATTCCTAAAAATTCTGTACATCATTACTGAATATAAAAATAACCACTTCTGTGTTGTTCTTCTTATAAAGATAATTAATGTACTTAAACATACATCACACCTCCCAAATGTGCAAAATATGTACTGCAGCGGTTTCAAAGGCTCACACAACATGTGGGTCACAGATGTCACATTCATTTAATCAATCTTCGTTTCTGTCAGAACGACACTCACTGAACATGAATCATAGGCCAAGTGCTAAGGAAACACAAGTAAGTCACAGGGCCCTGACTTCAACCACGTGTCTCCTGCCTCTCCTCCAAGGGTGTGTGTGTACCATGCAGTTCGCCGGGCGGCAACCATGGATTTTTGTCCCTATTCCCTAAAGAATGAAGGGCCAGGCTCTCAAGCATGTGCACCCCCACCTGTCTCCTCTGTTCACGAGCCCACTGAGCACACACACACTTGTGTGACACAGAAAATCCCCAGGGCACGGTAACTGAACAGTGAGGTTGAACAGCAGTAACAGCAATTTGAGAAAAAGCTGGTTTGCCTACAGAAGAAAAGCAGGTGGAGCTTTGAGGAGGAACGTGAAGGACTTCAGGCGTGCTCTGCTCTCCACTGCGCCTCCATCTCCCTGCCCCCGGGCTGCAGCCACAGCACTATTCTCCGTCTTTCCCACAAGGCTTGATCGCATCTGAGCACAAACAGAATTCACAGCCCTCTAATATCCTGTGCCGTCTCAAACCCTGCTTATCCACAGTTTCATAACTGGTGGTCAATGGGCCTTCTGCACTAGACAAGGAGCAATGTGGCAATGGGGACCTTGTCTTTGTCATCTTTCTTTCTGGGGTGCTTATCACATGACAATGGCTGGCCAGAGCGAGCGCTCAGGAAATGTTTGAATAAGCAGCTCAACGAGAAATGTAAAATTCTTCTTGCATTCTAGCTTAAATACTTTTGAACTTAGACTCATTTCTTCAGTGGGTCAATGATTCTTATCATCAGCATGCACCTCATATAACAAGTCTGTGGTTTCCCAGGGGAGGCAACAGTTTACACTTTGGTCCTGATGCTAAACCAGCAGAAGGGTCTTCTCATTTTCAGAGCCTAATGGAAAATTCCTCTGTTCAAAGAGCCCCTGCCTTGTCTGTGGCTGACCAGTTGAAGGTCCTAAACTTTACCAGGAGGGTGGAAAAGATAGAACTGTGTACAATTCTTATAATTAATATCTTTCCAACCATAGAAGACCCATCCTCCTGGCAAGGCAAATGTAGTCCAGCCCTATCAGAAAACCAACAGGTACCAGTCAGTAGACAGGAAGCCAAATCCATGGATTGGTTCTCCCGTGGAGAATCAGGCCTGCATTGTACCTAGGCTGCTATGAGGCTTGCTTTTTGCTAAGACTCCATCACCCTGAATTGAGGCAGGAAATGTTTACTGTGTATCTTTAAAGCAGCTTCCTAGAGTCTGCTAAACCTCCCAGATATGGAGTACAACCAGTTCAACCACTTTTCCCCTTGATCTGCAACATCCTTCTCTTTGAAGTAATTAGCAACATTCTTTCCTTTGTTATCTGTAAAAGGTAATCAGCTACAGCGAACCTATGCCTTGTAAATGAGGACCAGCCTCCATGCAATGTACCCAGAAAAGCAATAAAAGCCTGCCCAGGCGGGGGTCGGGGGCCCTCTCTCTCACTTAGAGAGCAGCCATGCCATCCCTTCTTCTCCACAGGATTCCTGTGGTCCATGTGAATTTGTTCATCACAGCCACAAAATATGGGCCCCATGGGCCAGCGCCCATACCATCCAACTTCAAAGAGCAATGCATTATGTCCAGGATGTGTAGGAAGAGGGGGGACCACTGAAAAAATCCTGCCCTTGGTTTAAGTGCATGTGGTAGCCTGCCCCAAATACTTACCCTGGAGCGCTAATTCACACAACACCTAATAATCTATATCCAGGCTTACACCACAATCCTGGAATGTGAGAGAAAGAAGAAACCCATGCAATTTTAAATGTGTTAATAAATGTCATTAAATTAAGGAAATAAGAGGAAGCTTTCATGTATGCATAAGTTAGTAAACTTGTTACTCTCTGTTGAAAATAGAAATTAAAAAAATAATTAAATGTTCAAAAAAAGATATTGAAAAATTCACAGATGATTCAAATAGGTATTCAGAAAGCTAAGTATCTTTATAAACCACATTATTCAGCTTTTAAAATGACCATCCTACCCGGACAAAATGTTCCGGGTAGGACTTTCAGGAGACAATCTCAGAGTTAGGCAGATCAATGGTTTTGGTCCATGTAATACCTATTACATATTTTTGTTTTCCTATACATAGTCTGAGAATAATTTTGTACTTTGCACACTGCTTAGTAAAATAATAGAATGACCTAATCTTCAGTGTGCCATGTCTTATCATCACATCTTACTATAAATACAACATACATAAAACAAAATTACTCCTACGAAAACTGAAGGAAAGGTCCCTTGTGTTCATTAGCAGATTATAACTTGAATGTGTTTAGAAGGTGATGTTACACTGATATGACTGCAAAAAAGTTTCGAGTTATTATGTAATTGTACAATTACATTATGTAATTTAACCACACTGTGTTAAAAAATAAAAACTCTGATCATTTGTAAGCAAGACTTTATAAAATGATGGTCTGGTTAAGTTAGTCTGCCTCTTATTCCCCCAACTTTGCCCTCTATTCCAGTCTTGGGAACTTCTGGATATAGGAAACTGAAGTTAGAAATTGATACAATAGGCTTGTGGCACTGAGTTAATTTCTCAGAGAACTACAGGCTCATAGGAATAATTATGAAGCCCATGTCACACTGAAAAGCCTCCAGTTTTCTCCTTTAACAAACAACAAAAGTAAAGATTTAGCAACATGAGAGATCAAAAGGCTACCTAAGACCTAGCCGGTGTGGCTCAGTTGACTGGAGCGTCATCCTGTAAACCAAAGGTCATGGGTTCAACTCCCAGGCAGGACACATATCTAGGTTGCCATTTGGTTCCCCCAAGTCTGGGCGTAAGGGAAGCAATGGGATGATATTTCTCTCTCACATTGGTCTTTCTCTCTCTCCCCCTTTCCTCTCTCGCTAAAATCAAGAGGCATGTCTTTAAGAGAGGATAAAAAAAGGATACATTGTAGGTACAAATCAGTATAACATGTTTGTTATACTGCTGCTGCTTATTCTGAGCAGCAGCAGCCTATGTTCTATTGATCATAAATTTATATGAAACTAAGATAATCAATTACTGAGTGGGCTAAACTTAGGGAAATACAAATAAGAAACTGATTCACTTTTCTCCTACTACTACTGCCTTGTGGGGTTTCTTTCCACTATTCACTGACAATGCTGTGGGTTAATGTCCAGGCTTTCGGTTACTTTCAGGAAAGTAAAGGGCAGACTGAGAGCAATCAAAACTTCCATCACGCACACCGTTAAATCTCCCATTTATCCCAGGTTTTGTTTGATTCGTGGTTCAGTGTCTACCGTGGGAAAGGGGTCCCGGCAGGATGTTTCAATGCCCCTTCTGTGCCCCTCAGAGCTTTGCGCCAATCTCAGGCACTCTCAACGTTTGGGACAGAAGAGGGTCGCTGTGACAGACGATGACCGCATACTGCCTTGCCGCTGCAGTCCCTTCTTGCCTCACACTGGCTGACCTGTCTCTTTCCATGAAGACAGACACTCAAATTCTGAGCCTCTCATGCACCTGAGGTGGGTGTCCCTCAGAGACTTCAGAATTCTGCTCCTCGCCATTCCTCCAGGGATGATGGTGACCTTTTTGAGATTCTCTCCTAGCTTCACAATCCACTCCACAGATTCTTCTCCAGATTATTCTAATCTGGTTACCCTCTGGGGCAGCCCTTCTCAACAATGAGATAATTAATGCCCAGTGCCACAGTGCATCTCATGTATGAAATAAATTAATTTATTTCCTATGCACATAGAATGATACTAGTTATGCTCCATCCTCGGAAGGTGTAAGACAGAGGAACTTGTGCCCTGGCTGGGAAGTTCAGTTGGTCGGAGCATCGTCCCATACACCAAAAGCTTACGGTTTCCATCCCTGGTCAGGGAGCCCATGGGGGGCCACAGATCAATGTTTCTCACGTCTCTCTCTTTCTCAATCTCTCCCCACCTACCCTGTCTAAAATCAATAAACATATCATCAAGGGAGGACTTTTAAAAAAGGGTCACTCAAATTACTTTCCATGGTTTAGACTGAGAAAGGCTGGGGAGGTATCTACTTGACTCACAGGAAATCCACACATTCTTATCACTCTCACCCCAAATGCTTGCCAGACCAGTCTACTGCCTTCTCTCTTTATTACCATCACAGAAAGTCAGGGCTGATTTCCTGTGTTCCAGATTTGCAAGAAAAGAAGTGGTCTCTGTGTTCATGGAGCCCCTCCAAACTCGAGGGAGCACACGTCAGTCCCACAAGAAAGCCCACATTTCTCTCCTTCAACATGTATCCTGTGCACAGGCACACATGTGTGTGCATATGTGTACATTGGGCTGTGTACGTGCAGCAACTGAAATAATTTTCGGAACTTCATAAGTACTAATTCATGCCTGTTACTATCTAGACAAAATATAAGGTCCAGCACAAATAATGTCCCATTTCCATTACAAAATCCTGTATTACAAAATCCTAAGCATGTAATTCTGTAACATAACAATATCATACTCTAGCACACCATATGGCATTTTAGGTGGCATGTTCAAATTAAAACTATAAATTATCACACCCATATTTATTACCCCACCAACCACACTCAAAGAGGCATTACTTCTGTCAGATCCTATATTTTACCTCCACATTGGAATATATTTATTCACTTATAATCTGCAAATACCTCACTTCTATGTACTGTGCAATAATTACTCTGCATTTTCCAAGGCACTTTTATTGGTTACATTTAAATACCTGACTAAGATTTAAAGTGATCATGAGGCAGGCCCAGGTTCCCACTGAAGAAGTTTGATCGGAACGACTGGGACACTAAAGAAATACTACCAACCTGACTCTTGATTGGCACCATGTCCACTTGGTATCTGGCACCATCACTAACCACCAGCTGCCTCTCAGCATTCTCCATAACAACCAGCTGCTCCTTGTGATCAGAGGATATTCGATATCCAACAGCCACATCTCCAAACGCTCCAGCAAGCCTGGTTACATTAATCTGGATGAATCTACCAAGGTTCTGCCCAATAAGTATGGACTGGCGATCTGCATACAGAGCAAACACTCCATGCGGGTCATCACTGGCAGAAACAGAGAACCGTGTGATGCACTTTTCTGGATCCAGTTCTGCTCCTCCCTCTACAGAAACAAGCCGGATCATATACTCTTCCTCTATCTCAGGTACATCATCTGGTAGCAAATGAACATCAAAGCTCACTTCACTCTCTCCATCAGCAATGGTGAAAGATCCTTTTGTAGAAAGAAAGTCTCCAGTAATATCGAACTGACTACTTATTTCCCAGTAAACCTAAAATAAAAGAAAAAAAAATTCAGCAATGTTATATAACTCAGTAAGTTGAACCAAAATTCTTCAAAATGTTTTCCTGTCTAATATACAAAAAGGAAATATTAATTGTGCATCATTATATTTCAAAATCTCCAAGCAGTTAGTTAGTTTAGAAAGTGACATCTTTCTAAAGAGAGTGACATCTATATCATGAAAACATAGTAACTCTTTCAGGCTGCCATATTTGCAGGACAAGATCACAAAATCTACTCTTAACCTTCTTCTAAAATAATAACAATTTGAAGAGGAGGAGCAAGTTAACATAAAATTCCAGGACCACAAATACATTCAATAGTAAACCACAGACAATATGTGAAGGTAAAAAGTGAGTAATCTAATGCTTCATATGAAAAATTTTTGTTTGTTTTTTAACTACAAGAAAATATCTATTAAATTTCTGAGAATTAAGAGTTATTTTCCAAGGATTTTCAGCCTCCAAACCATAAAAATTCAATTGAACAAGTTCCAGTTACAGGAAAATAGGTAACTTCATAGGGAAATTTCACGAAATACGTGCTTTGAGAAAACAAGTAACCTAGCTCTGTGAGACGAGTGTCTCGATCTAGGCTACTAGATTTGTTAGGATTTACAAGGTGCCCTCGAATGTTCTGCATCGATGAGCATACTAATGAAACCTCTTACAAACCAGTTGTAAGTGGAAAAATTACACTGAGAAATAAAGCCCTGGAGAACACATGAAGCAACTGATAAAAATAATTCAGAGATTTAAGTAGAAAAAGCTTTGTTTCATGGCAAACAAGAAAATACAAAACAGCTTAGTCACACTCTTCATGAGTAAGTATGATGAAGATTTCTTTAATTTAATCGTAACAGAATGCAGACAGATCGCTGGAGGTTGATGCGGGCTGGACATCCTGACGGTTCTTAAAAGAACCTTCTCAGCTTCTCTGAAAACTCATGTCACTTTGGTTTGTAAAAACCTTTAAAAACCAGACCAACGCAGTTTTCTCTGTCCTTCTCAACCATGTTTGTTAAGCAAATTTTCACTCTACTTAAAAATTAAATGAACCTTGGCTGGTGTGGTTTGGTGGATTGAGTGCCACTGAATGAAACTGTCACTGGTTTGAGTTCCAGTTGCCTGGGCTGCAGGCCAGGTACCCAGTAGGGGGTGCTCAAGAGGCAACCACACTTTGAAGTTTCTCTCCTCTCCCTCCCTTCACCTCTCTAAAAATAAATTAAAAGTCAAATGAAATATGGTACCTTAATCTCTCCCAAAATGCCCTTGACTCTTTTGACAAAGAAAGTAATGATCAGTGGCCCTTCCAGAGCTGAAGGCTCCAAGTAGGTTTTCACAGATAAAGATTCAGGAGCAAACTGGACCACGCCATTGGGATCACCAAACTTTTGTATCTAAAAATAGAAGCAGAGCAAAGTGAATTACATATTTAACAACTATAAGTGAAAATACATTATTCTAACTTATTAACACAGACATAGCTGAAGAAATAGAAGAAATATAGAAATAATACTTAAATACAATGTACCTAGCTATATGATATTTTAAACTTTTCTTTATAGTACTGATTGTTTCCTAAAACAAGTACTTTCTTATTCCCAAGGAAAATGGAAATAAATGCCTGGAAAATTACAATTTGTAGAATCTCAAAAGGATAGCAATTTGATGCCTCAATTTAGGCTTATTTGCCTTACATTTGTTTTATATAACCAGTTAACTTTGGCTAACTTCTTTCTACTAGTTATAATACAATGTAGAGAGCACAAAAAGCCCTGTGATGCTTAGATTTATGTGTCGACATAAACATTACGGTGTCCAACTGTTTGGCCAAACACTAGTCCAGATGTTGCTATAAAGGTATTTTGCAGATGTGATTAATATTTACATTCAGTTGACTTCAGTGAAGGAGATTATCCTCAATAATGTGCGTGTGCTTCAATTTAGAAACCTGCATGAGCTTCCAGCCTGCTGGCCTGGCTCACAAAATTCCAAGTCAAGATGGCAACTTCAACCCTTTCCTGGGTTTTTCGCCTGCCAGACTGCCTGCTTGCCATTTCTTTTTCTGCTAAATTAATCTCGGAAAAGAGATGGATTGTTCCGATTCTGCCATATTCTGTTTTGGAATCCTTTATGGGAGTGTGAAGTAGTCCTCTGCCAAGATTATCAACCTCTTTAGCCCCCCAGAAATTTCAATACAAGAAAACCCAGAGCTTGCAGAGCTTGTTGGTTCCAACAGTCAAAGTCAGTCAATCAGTCTGTTTTTCTCTCTCTCTTCCTCTGCCTGTCCCTCCCTCTCTCTATTTCTCTGGTAAAATATAACTGACACAGACCCCAGAAAAGAGTATTTTACAAACTTAAAAAATGTCCATTTCTCCGTATCAATTTCACAGCCTTGGTCCAACACTTTCTGAGCTGATGGATGGGGTAGTCCCTATCAAATATGCTGAATCCAAATCGAGTTGAACACATCGCTGTGCTAACTGAACAAATGACACTTTTCCTTCACACAATCTGACTGATAACCAGTTAATATTTTTTATGTACTTTGATGGCAAAGATATCCGATGTTCAGGATGATATCACAAATACCACTCCCTAAAAGTGGCAAATAACTCCCAAAACACCAAATTTTCTTGAAGAGTGTAAAGTAAATATTTCTCACTATATTAAAGCCTTCTTTAAAATAACAGTAATGATAAGGCTATGTAAGAAAGTAATAGAACAACCATAGGAATTATTATAACTTCATTTGGTTTTATAACCTACAATCCATCATAAGCCTATAGAGTTTCAAAAAAATGCAAATGCATTTTCTCATAACTCCATCAAAAATTCTGTGGGAAAATAAAGTCAGACTTACTGTTAGTGTCACATGTTTGGCTCTGGAGTCTAATCTAGCTTCTCCTTTCACAAGGTTAAGTTTAATAATAAAAGTCTCTTCAACTTCAATTTCTTCATGAGGATAGACGGTCAGAATTATGGTTCTCATGCCACCTTCGCCCTCTCCGAAATGGAAGGAGCCGCTCACGGGGGCGGCAATGTCTCTGTTCTGGGGCGGCAGGGCCTCCTGAGAGTTGGGTCCCACTATCTCCCAGTTCACCTGCAGGGTGTTATTTTTTCAAACAGATGTGATCAGTAATTCTTTAAAGTAAGAATTACTTGGCAGGAAATGAAGTATTTAAAAAATACATATATACATATAAATTATCTTCTAGAATATTTACAGAACATTCCTGCTATCAACTCAAATTTGTAATGACTGATATTTGTGTAACTACAGAATATCAGTTTTCATGAATGACAATGTCTGACAAGAAAAGAGAAATATGAATACCTGGTTGTTTTTCACCATCACAGGATAAGGAAAATATAAAAGTACATATTTAAAAGTATATATTAGAGAAATATAAAATAGCTAAATACATGAGCACACACTGTCCTGCTGTGCGCACAGGTCCTGTCCATCAAAACCTGTTTGAATAATAAAACCACGTGAGAAGTCTGCTGTGTGTGCAATCCCTTCTAACTCTATTTCAATAAATTCCTAGTGTAAAATGAACAGACATTTTCATCACCTGTAATAAGCAAAGTTTCTACAATCTAATAAATGCATTTTTAAAAGTCCCTATAATTTAAATTTGTATGTTTTTCAATATCCATGAAGAAAGAAAACTGAGCACTTCTCTTTGCTTCTTTTCTCTTTCAACAGCATTGTTCACAACTAATCACCTCCTTTTTCTTAAAACGTTCCCCTGTATCTCTTGACTTACATTATACCCACAGGATTAAAGCCTTCCTCGTTTCCTAGTTTCCTCTTCCCTTACTTCTCAGTCTTCTTCATTGGCTCTCCCTCCTCTGATCCCTAAATGCGGGGAGTCTGGGGCTCAGGTCTGCATCCTTTACATTTCTTTCAGCACTCCTCAGGCCTCATACTCACAAATGTCTGCATTTGTGTCAAGACCTTCCCTAACCTCTCCCCCACAACTTGCACTTGTACAGCCCCCTGACTACCTGGCCCCTTCCCATGGGGTATCTTGTAGCTATCTCAAATGAACATGGCCAAACTGAACTCTTGCTTCTCTCTCAAGCTTCTGTACTTCAGTGAGCAGCACTATCATATACCCAGTTGCTGAAACTAACATTCTAGCAGTTATCCTTGATTCTTCTCCCCTCCTCCTCAGCTGTCATTAGCCCAATGAGTTTTTCTTCCAAAACATTCTCAATGTCTATTCACTTCTCACCATCTCCATCTCCACCCTTGTCTGCGCTGACAACTTTGCCCTGGACACTGGAGGACAACAGCCTCCTCACTACCCATCCTGCTTCTAATCCAGCTTCTTCACAGTCCATTTTCCTCACAGCTGACCTGAGGGAGCTGTTTAAAATGACAACCCAGTGACATCGACATCAGTACCCTGCTCCAAACTTTCTAATAGCATCCTATTTGCACTCAACATAAAATCTTTAACCTGTTTTAGGAGGTTCTCTTGATCAAGCACACACTAAACCCATGATCTGTCCTGCGCTATGATCCCCGTACCTCCAAGCCGCTCACGACACAGACCTCTCCGGACCTCCAACGTGCCAGGCCAGTGGGCCTGTGCTGGCCTTCCCTCTCCCCAAACGCTCATCCCTCTAACAATGAACAGTGACACGACCACCTGTTTCTCACCATCTAGCTTTCCATGTGAACATCACATCCTCACCATCCGACTGAGAGCAGCCAGCAGGTCACTAGTGACTGTGTCTCTGGATTTTACATTCCAACAAGCACTTAGTATTATCCAATCATCTTCCTTTTATTTATTTGTGTATTGTTCTAAAAACTCTGAGAACAGAGACAAGGTCCGTCTTGTTCACCAGTGTGTTCTCAGTGCTCACAACAGGGAAAGCACTCAACAAATACTTGCTAAATTAATGCATTCTACCAGAATCCACCATTTAATTTTTAAAGTGCTCTCAAGAGTTCCATGAGGATAGCTATATGCTGAAGAAGCTGTATGTCTCATATATTTTTATGTGCCTCACAGAACTCAGGAGCTACTTTACATCTACTAGGTAATTAATAAATATTATTGATTGTGAATAAATGAATGTATTTGAGAAATACAAAAATCCAATGCCAAACTGAAATATCAAAAATTATTTTTGAAACCATGGGAATAATATACTATACCTGTATATCTCCTAAAAGTCCTCCAGTGCGCTCCAGCACCAAGAATAAAATCACTGTGGAATTGGGATTAGGAAGAGATATTCTGCTTTCATTAAGAAATCTTACAACGCCAAATGGAGAGTCACTCCTAGCGATCATGATTCTGCTCACTAGGTGGCGCCCAAGGACCGCTCCTCCAGTAGCTCCAATGAGCAGAATTTCAATGGGCTCTGCAAATTCACTGCATAGAAAGGAGCAATTCTGTGAGTCTAAATACATTAAAATGCCTCTAAAATCCAAATAACTACTCATTTTCCTAATTGGTCATACATATTCAAGGCACAGTAGTCACACACAAAGTGAAGACGACAGCGTTCAGCTAAAGGCAGAAATGATCAACTTCAATACTATATAACCTGGGCTGGTCATTAGCCTTTCTTCTTCTCTTTTTAATTGCTTAATGCATTGAAGAAGTGAATTTCAGAATGTTTCTAAATTCTGATTAGGTTTTTCAAGTCTAAGGTAAAAAAAAATTATGCCTATATTTGAAAAAAGTAACATGCAGTTACAATGGTCTCCCAATACCTTTCTCTACCCCAGTGCACCCTGCCCCTAATTTACCACCTGTTCCTCATGGCCATATATATAATCTAAAATTCTACTATAACTACAAAACATAGGTCAGGGCTGGAACCCACTCTTCACGTTTTCTGTACACCCGTACTACCGCAGCCTCCCAGTGTTTGCAGTTTCACTTTTGGTGGTTTGTTACCTCCAGCCAAGGGAGGTACAAAAATATTAAATGAAAAATTCCAGAAACAGCACTTGTAAGTTTTAAATTTCATACCATGCTAAGCAGCATGATGAAATCTCCCACTGACCCAGTCCCTCCCTACTATGACACCAATGACCCCTCTGTCCAGTGCATGAATAAGCACCCCACTTTCAGTCACTTAGTAGTCATGTGGGTTACCAGATTGACTGTCTCAGTACCACAGTGTTTTGTTCAAGTAACTCTCACGGGAGCTTACGTCACAGGGCCTAAGTTATTTGCCTCACTTCATCTCATCATGATGGCATCGCTACCTCACATCATCATAAGAGGAAGGATAAGTAGAATATAATTAAGATATGTTTTACAGTATACTGTTATAATTATTCTATTTCATCATTAGTTATTGTTGTTAATCTCTTACTGTGCCTAATTTATAAGTTAAACTTTGTCATGTATAGAAAAAAACATAGCATATATAGGGTTCAGTACTATCTGCAGTTTCAGACATCCACTGGGGGGCTTAGAATAATCCCCTGTGGGGGGGGGGGGCTTCTGTATTTCTGATATCACTAAATAGTTACCTTTCATTGTCATCAATGATGGAGACATTGATGAAACTTAAGCTCTGCCCATGCTGAAACGTGACTGAATCACCGTGCAGGATATAATCGACGCCACCGGGCACCGCGGAGGAGCTCTGAGAGATGAAGTCAGCTGTCACACGGCCGTGGGTTCCATGCAGCCTCAGCACCGGGATCGTGATCAGCCCGACATCCTCCTCCACTGTAACAGGCATTTCCGCTTAGCTGGGGTGCCAGGCACAGCTACTCACTTTTATAAGACGCGGTCAAATTAAGCACGGCAATTACATATAATGGCGCAGGGCAAGTACTCAATTTGTCCGTAGTTCATTTATCGCTTTAAAATATGACTGTTGAAAATTTCATGACTTGTTTTTCAGGAGGAATAAAATTTGTCAAAGATTGAAAGTCCCAGAGAACAGTATAATTAAGAATTTAAATAGCCTATGTAATCATCGGCATAGGCAATCTTCCTCCATGTGCCACATGCTAATAAGTGCCGCTTTGTTAGAAAGTGGATAGTCACTGATTTCCAATCACAGAGACAATTAGGTGTTGCATAAGTTAAAAATATAGTCATAAAAATGTTTAAAATACAAATATTTCAATAATCCTAAGGTTAAACATAATTTTTCTAAATTGCCTTGTTCCTAACCATTCAGCTTTGGCACATATAAGTAAGGAAGGTTCAAGATTGTTCAAAAGTAACTCAAAAATTTATTTTAAAATAAATATATAAATACATTAGGGCATAAACAAATTCATGTGGAGGTATACATGCACATATGTGTATGTACATGTGCATATACATATGAAGGTACATGTGTACAGGTGTGTATACACACACCCACACCCCAAGAAAATCTATGATTGAGAATTCAAACTGATAATGTCGACCTCAGGTACCTTGTGATTCAGAAATTGGTGGTAAATTTAAAATAAGGTTACTGAACCTACCTTCGAAGGCAGTATACCGTGGGTCAAATTCAATGATGCCCTCTGCATTATCATTTTTCATTATTATGATTCGGACAGTGGAGATGTTTCCTATTTCAGGAGGCTGATCTACTTGAAGTCCATTTTCTTGGATGGTAAAATCATAGCCTCTTGAAAAGTCATAAAAAATAAAATAAATGAGTATATAATTTCCTAGCATGAACTGAATGGTCCTCTTAGCTCCTATAACTTAGTCCTATTATGCATTTTAATACTTTTTAAAGTTCCCAACACTACAATACTACTTTCCCCCCTTGCAATGCTGTTTGAAACAGATTTCAGTGCTGCTCGCAATTATCTCTGCCTGCATGCAACCAAACTAATATAAAGTTATTACACTTGGGCAATGGGGAGATAGTACAACTATGAGGGAATTGGGAAGAAGTTGTTGTAAAATGAAACTCTGGGGCCAGGAAGGCACCACCGAACAGTAACAGACCTAAACAGTAATGTGCGCTGCACTCTGCTGTCCTGGAAGACAGAGCCTCTGGGCTGGAAAATGACAGAGCAAGGTTGAGGGGGCCACTTCAGGGAAACAGTGAGTGTATGACACAGGAGAAACTTCGAGCTAAACCTTCAAGATTCAAGAAAATATTTTAATATCTGCGGAAAACAATTACAATCCATGCCTCTGTTCTTCAACAGAGATGGTAGTTTTCTTGTCTAATGACATATTGATGCAAAGGAAGTTGTTTTTTTAGGTTGATGTTACTCCCATTTAAGAAAAGTTCTGACTTCCAGAGTTTTATATCACTTTAATCCCTGAAGCTAAAAAAAATGGCACTGAGCCATTTTAGTCCTTCCTTCATCCTCCAAATTCTATGTACCTGGTATTTTTACCCCATCTAGTTTTCAAAAGGTTGAAAGCTGTTTAATAAGATTATCTGTAAGGCAAAATTAGAAAAGGGAATTAAAATATTAAATGATAAGAGTAATTGTTATCAGTAATCTGAGATGGATTGTAGATCCGAGGTAATTTTATAGCAAGCAGGCAAAATGGGTTTACAATACTTTTCAGATCAAAAGAATAGAAATTTATCTGTAAGGTAAAACTTGTTTCCTCAGAATCAAACTTATGTAAAAATTGCTTTTTAAAAAGGGTAGTACAGAGAGGGTGAATGCTTCAAGTCCTTCTTAGTCAATAACACTGATATGATCTCATACTTGAGCTACTTTTACCAAATTTTACCTATTTAAATAATGGGTAACCCAGTCAAATTTTAACACACTTAATATGAGTACAAATTCATTCCCATCACCAGACACAGAATCATCTCTGGGAAATTTAAGATCTGAAGTACATGCAATCCCACAATCTGTTTTTCCAGGTGGAATGATAATACACTCCACCTAAGTCACTTAGGGAAATATTTTAGTTTAAAAAAACTTTTAGAGCACAGGATTTATATAAAATGCAACACCATTTTCACACACGAGAAAACTTTCCTATAGAAGTAATATAAATGCAAACATCACTCTAGTGGAAGGTTTGGTGAAAGCTGTCAGCATGGAGGGGCTCCTTGGGCTGCTCCCACTAAATCAGGGAATGAGGGGCCTCCATATGGTTCATTCTTGACCTTCAGTGGGAACGTGGTGCACATTAATGACCCCCCTTGGACCCCCTTGGTTAAATTTTTTTTAACCCCCTATAAAACTGCCTCTGGGCAGGCATCTACCTCATTCACCCACGGAGAACACAACACAGACTTTACTGATGGCAAAAAGAAATCTCTCAGTCCAGCCCATTCACAGGTACAGAGACAGAAATAGGGGGAAATGAATCCCCTGGCCCCGGGCCAGCTGATCTTTGACCTAGAGAACAGTTACTTTATGTCCTCACCAAATTACTCTTGCCCTTGCCATGTTCAATTTTTCTGGCTGCCCAGAGTGACTGCACACAAAAGAAACACATACTTTCAACTTTCAGGGGGAAAATCATGTATTTTAGGACAATGTATAGTGTGGCAGTCTTTGTCATAATCTCCTACCACACACTGTTCTCTAATGCCACGTAAATCTAAGAAAGAAGAAAAGGAACAATTTCACAGTTCTATATTAATCCCTACACAACCTAGCACTTACTTTTTCTTTCTCTCTTTCTGTTTTGTTTTCTTTTCCTACTTTCCTTTTCTACTTTACCTTCCAAGGAGTTCCACTTTTGTAAGTACTAGAGAAAATTCCTCAGGGCCTTCAGGAAGGTCATCATCAAGGATTTCAATTTGCACGCTTTTCGCCATCTCATGTGCTTCAAAGAGGAGTGCACCTGGTGCAGGGATGAAGTCCACGCCCGCCTCCGCGCTCCCACTCACTGTCTCGTACCAGAGCCTCACGGGGCGCAAGGACCCACCCGAACGGATGACTGTGATGTTCACCTACAGGGAGGAGAGGATTGTTCTTTGACTTGGATGATATCTAACCTACCAGATAACACTTAATATTTATTGCCTCTAGTTCTATTTACCAGCACTGTGTTGAAATTATAAATTTCTGACAGCATAAAAATGGTATATGAAAATAACAGGAGCAAATCGATTTGTGAAAGCTTTGGAATAAGAAAGAACAAGAAAACACATTTTAAAGATTGCTACAACATAAAAATCAAAAATAGCATTTCGGATTGTAAGCATTCACACTCTACCCATTGTACTTCTTCCGATACTCGGAGTTGCTCGTGTGAAAAGGCAAACCGGCCATAGGGAAGGTCACTGGCCACCACCGTGACATTGGCAGTGCTGCTGGCTTCACTCAGCACTGCCCCCTCACTGATCCCAGTGAGCTGGAACTCATAGAGACGCTTCTCCTCAGGAATGTCATCATGCAAAGCCTATGGAAGGACCAAAGGGGCCATCAGCAGCAGAATCCTCAACATTTAAAGAGAAAAATATCTATCACACAAGCAACAACAACAAATCTGGGATGTTAACCATCTCCCACCACCCCACCCACCACCTCACCACGCCCACCCGCACCCCCACACACAGAGCAAAGGTCATACAGGGGTGGGTGTCCAACTCTTGGAGTCTCTGGGCCACACTGGAAGAAGAAGAGTTGTCCTGGCCAGACATTAAACACATCGCAACACATAATCACAAAAAATTCTCATAATGTTTTATAGCAAATTTACAGCTTTGTGTTGGGCCGCATTGATAGCCATCTTGGGCCTCATGAGGCCCATTAGCCAAGGGTTGGACACCCGTGTCGTCAGCCAGTAACATTAATACCTGGATCACTACAATCGCCTCAGACTGTCCTTCTCTCATTGTCAGTTTTCCTGATGTTTCAGCAAACTCCCCCACAGATGGGGGCACTATCCTCCAGTACACTGTGACCTCCCCCCAAGTCGATGGGCCACGAACAAGGCTACAACAACACATATGCATATTCAATACATTTGTATTGAAGGAACTTTTCATAGATACTTGCTGTGGCTTTCAACAATAAACAATTTTCATGTATTCCAGAAACATTATGCATTTAAATAACCTTATCTATCAACTGTAAACCAAAGGAAAGTCTTAAAATTCCAAGATAGTAACACTCAGGTTACTGAACTCATGCAAATCTGCTTGACAAGAACACCAGCAAAAGTTAAATACTAAAAATAGAAGGTTTAAAAAAATAAAAAACAGCTGTTTATAGATTTTCACTTAATACACAAGGTACAAAATGTTAATAGCTTCACCAAGTTCTCTAATGGGAAACACGTGCACATACAATACTAACGGATAAAGTACCAAAAGAGGAACGTTTTAATTGAAATTCAGCTACGTCACTGTTAGTTGCTGTCCCACTCTTTATGAAAAGAACTGCTGTAAACAAAGTTGTCTATGACCATCACATAGTTATACAATGGACATAACTTTAGGGCACTTAGAATCATACAACGGTTGATTCAGATGATTTCATAAGGAATGACTTTCTAAGACACACAAGCTTACAGAGAAGAGGTACAATATATGGCTGGTGACAGGGCCAAAAGCACACATCTAATGTCAACACCATGTGCTTTCTACAGCAGGGCTTGTGCAAATTACCCAAAAAACAGCCAGAAAGCTCTTCAAAATCTGACTTCAATATAGGTTAGAACACAAGGCCCATGGGCCGAATCTGGCCCTCCACCTTGTTTTATCCAGCCCGGCACCTTGTTTCTCTACCCAGAGGCAGCACCAAGCTCTCACTTAACTTTCAAGGAGTAGTTACATCTACACAGTCCTAAAATTACATTCAGCCCTTTGAAGGCAACTGTGAGGTTGATGTGGCCCCCACTGAAAATGAGTTTGACTCTCCTGCTCTAACCATTAGAATATGCCTTCAATTTGTACCAAAAAATGTGTTCTACTCTCCACAGAATGTTATAAACATATAAAATAACAACGCTTGAAAAATATGTGTTGAGAACAATGTACTTAAGGCATAAAAATGCTAATTATTTACATCAAACTTTAAAACCCCCACCTAGGCAAAGAAAAATGATGACATCCTTACCTGATGATAGCAGTCCCATTATATTTTGCTGAGGGCTCCCCAATGAGGATGTGCCTAGACGACTGCGCTATCCCAACTTCTCCTGAAGCTCCTTTATCTCCCCGAATGATTATTGATGCGCTACCTAAGTTGAAGATGATGTACATACAGTTTACATAGCAAACACATGTATTCCCTTAGTACATACCTGCAATGTTTAAGTGCTTTACATATACTAATCTTAGGAGTTAATCCTAATGGTAATCATGTAACTTAGGTACTAATATGCTCATTTTACCAATGAAGACATTTGAGCACACTGATGCACTGAGGAGACTTAGCAAATAACTTGTCCAAGATCACAATTTAATGAAAGTGGGCAATAATTCCACTATCACTCCTATGACAAGCAAGTAGTCCTCTACCAGTTTGCATTCATTCACTTCTACAATAATCATTTTGCAGATCATTGCTAGTAGCTTTATGGCTGTGTCTATTGGCTATGGGGCAAAAGCAAGATTTCTTTAAGCTACCCTTTCATTTTTAATTTTCTGACTATTAATCACTTATAAGCATTTATTGAAAATGTGTCAAATACTCCTACTAAAATAGAAATAAAAACTATATTAAGTAATTTGACATATGTAGTATAATTGAGCAGTAACTTGAAGAAAATTGCTTGTGGAAGCGCACAGGGTTTCATGAAATCAAGGACTGAGCTCTTGCTCAGGATTACTGAGCTCTTGCTTTCTTCGGCAACAGATTAATAAAACCAAGAGTGGCTTGTCATCTGCAGATATTTCACAGTTAGAAATATGCTATGAACTTGTTTATATTAATAAATGATTCACCCTGATCCACTGGTAATTTAGCTACCCCTGGTACATGGAGTGGAACTCGACAATTTTGAGAATTTCCTTGACCATGGAATTCTGCTCTTTTGGTCACAGACCCTTACAGAGGATGGAGTTCTTAATGGCAAGAAAGGGCATGTAACTAAGCTTTTATATCCAAGTTGCTGGGCCATTTTTATGGTTATTACTCTGTACCACAATGAAACCATTCGGACCCATTAATCCTTTCTCTTCATATCTATGAGACAAACTTTAACATGGACCATAAATAAATAGGAAATGTGGTTACTGTTTCTGAAATGTCAAAATATCTATGTAATTATTATCTGATAAAAATGGGTATAGATAGGCTGAAATAAACATAATAACACATGATTTTAAAATAATATTTTGTTACAAAAGTAATATGTGATCAGTATAAATATGTATAAAAATATATAGGTAATCAAAACCCACTAATGATTCAAGTATATCATTGCAAACATACTTAGGACATACACACAAGAAAAATGGGATTACACTGAACATGTTGTTATGAAGCCTGCTTTATTAACATGCCAATCATCCATGTAATTAAGTAGTCTTAATTTTTAATGTAATTATGGCCTTTTATGCCATATTCTTTTGAATAGTTGCACAGTATTATTTAACCCATCTCCTACTTGGATCATTTAGGAAGATTCCATATTTTATTTCATAAATATTGCTAAAAGAAATACTTATTTTTTTAAAAAAATCACACAATGTGTTGTCTGAAAGCTTTGACATATGACTTTACTAACACTGAGTACTACGATTTTACTTTAAAAACTCTTTAGCTGTAATATGTGGGTAGAAAAAATTATATCTTTATGTTTGAACAAATATTTTAGTCATTTTAAAACCTAATGTTACCTATTTTAGTACTATTTATCATTAGGTTACACTTTTCTGAGAACCTGCTCTTCAACTTCCAAAAAACGTGAGCTTCCCTTACCTTTCACTGGAGATACTTCTGCCTGGTCGACTGACACCAGGTGGATGGTGAAACGCCTGTCCCCCTCCAGCACGGTGTCTCGGAGCGCGTGCAACAGAATGGTCTTCTGGGACTCGGTCTACATCAGGTGACAGAAATTAATGCTCCAGATTGACTAAAGTCACGTTTGCAATGTTCTCAGTAGTGGGGCAAGGTTTCTGTCCATAAGCATTTTTAAAAGTATGTCCTTTTTGTCCCCTAGAATTAGGGGTTGGTTTTAAAGAGAATTATTACATAAAAATTAGCTCTGACTACAAATGTTATTCAGGGTTGTAACAGCAAAAAGGAGAAAAAAATTAACACAACTTCTAAATTTACTAAACATTTCCAATCCCTGAAAGTCCAATCTATTCAAGAGAGCAAAATGGTCACAAGACCATTTAAAAGACAAAGATGATAGGTTTCCCACCTATAATCTTTCTACTACCCATTTAACTCTGTCCCCTATCCCTCTCAATCCTTCCACAGGCATTGATCTTTTCTCTCTCACCTTACACTGAACTCAGTAAATTTTTTGAATGTCTGTTATGTTTTCAGTGTAGGCTGGAAGAGAAGGAACACAGGAAAGCAAATATAAAAAGGACAACTAGATGAATACTTGGAGACAACCATGACAAATATCATTTTTATCTTTATCTTTTCTATCTTTTCCTCTGTATGCTGATAAAACAACTCCATTGTCCTATGCATCAGTGATTAATCTTCTACAGTTTGAATTCTGCTATTTATTCCTTCTCAAATACATCTTAATTCCATTATTTGCATTTTAGAGATTTTTAATATTTTCATTCAAGTTTTTCTCCATAGTTCCTTATATCTATTTTATAATATCTGTAATTTTAAAAATCTTTGTAAGAATTTCCAGGAAAATGTGTACTTCCTGACTCACAGCTTATTAAATGTATTCATGGAAAATCTGTAATTTATGGGAGGCAGTGAAACACCCCTACCCATTTCATTTACTGTGTACTGTGAATTGGGGGCTCTGACTGTATACCTTAACTACAAAATTAGTCTTCAGAATGGCGACATGTGCGTGTCAGAGCTGGGTATACAAGAGCAGTGAAGCTGCTATGCAGTTGTGTGTTTGAAACCCACCAGCCTACTGACTGAAATGCACCAGCCTGGTGACTGAAGAACTAGATGGGAACTTCTAGCCAAGGTGGAGGTGTAGGTAGACACATTGTGCCACCTCACACAACCAAAATTAAGGACAACAAAAATTTAGAAACAAAAAAACCCCAAAACTGACAGAAAACTGAACTGTACGGAAGTCCTACAAGCATTCATCCAGACTGGTAAGAGGGGCGGAGTTGGCGCCTGGTAGAGAGGGGTCGTGGAATGTGGGGGGCGACTTCCTCGCGAGTCCCCCCTGTGTGCCACGGGTGAAAGTGAATATGGCCGAGACATGATGTGATCTGCTTTTGGGAAGGAAAAGTGGGCAGTGGCCAGTTTCTCAGGGGAAAAGAAGGCCTCAAGCCCCCTCCTTCAGGCTTTTATTGGGTTGTAATACACAGGAATACAGGGCGGCAAGGATCAAACAGTAGATACCATTTCAAAGAGAGCTGAGGGCTTACTATGAGTCCGAGTCCATCAGGAACAGAGTTTTAGGGTTTCCTGCTCAAACTTTTAAAATATGAATGAAAGCACTCTTAGCAGAGCAGATTTCACAGGTTTATCAGCAAGTCTTTGTGATGCCAGATTTTTCCCCAGGACACGCTCTAGCAAGGCAAGGAGCTGCATCTCACCCCAACAGGTATTCAGGCTTAAGAGGATTAGAGCCAGGAAGCTCTTCTCCCAGAGAACATGGGTTCTTGGGCTTTGTCAAAGCCCTGGGGTGGGGAGGCGAGAGTCCATTGCTCCCTCTTTGCTGCAGCCCCCAGAGTCCTTCCATGAAGGCCTCCCAAGCGATCGAGTCCGCCTTAGGTTGCCCCCCCCACAGTGAGGGGTCTTACCCATCATTGAATTCTGACCAAGCTTTGGGGGCAGGGAGAGGAAACTGAGGCAGCGTTTGCTACCAGAGACAGACTTTGTCTCCTGCGGCTGGCACTCCAAAGGTCGTCCCTTGCCCTTAGCCACAAGGGATCGAGATACAATTCCTGAAACCACAGCAGTGGTCTACAACACGCTGATTTTAAGATTCTTTGTCTTTAACTTTTTGTATTTTAATTATGATGTGTCTTAGTGTGCCATGGGTCTGCAACAATGGAAGGAAAAAGTGATGGCTGATGTGCAGGCACACGGGCAGAGGCTGGCAGACCCTGGACGTGGGGTGACAACGAGCAGGCCCAGTGAGGCACACAAGGTAGCTGGCTGACTGCAGTCACACATTTGCATGCACGCAACCAAGGGCCCCAGTGCCAGAAAATAAAGCCGAAAAGCACCAATTGAAAAAACTTGTGGGGGTTCAGGTGCCAGGAGAAACTCCCAGCCTCACAGGAGAGTTCCTTGGAGAGACCCAAAGGGTCCTAGAATGTACACAAGCCCACCCACCTGGGAACCAGCACCAGAAAGGCCCAATTTGCTTGTGGGAAAAGGCAGAAGAGACTGAAATCCAAAAAAGAGTGGAAGAAGCACCACTGTTCCCTCTCTGACCCCACACCCACATACAGTGTCACAACCCAGCAACGTGGGTTGCCCTGCTCCGGTGAACATCTAAGGTTCCGCCCCTCATACATAACAGGCATGACCTGACCCCCCCCCCCAAAAAATGGCTCAAATGGAAAAACAGATCAAACCTCCAGGGCCAATACATCTAAGCAACCAAGAGATAGCCAAACTTTCAGATGCACAGTTCAAAACACTGGTGATCAGGTTGCTCACAGAACTGGTTGAGTTTAGTCACAAATTAGAGGAACATATGGAAGCTAAACTAATTGAAATGAAGGGAAATGCACAGGAAACCAATAGTGATGGGAAGAAAACTGGGACTCAAATCAATGGAGTGGACCAGAGGAAGAAAGAAACAACCAAACAGAAAAAAATGAAGAAACAAGAATTCAAAAAAATGAGGAGAGGCTTAGGAACCTTCAGGACATCTTTAAACATCCCAACATCCAAATTATAGGGGTACCAGAAGGGGAAGAGGAAGAAGAAAAAGTGGAAAACTTATTTGAACAAATAATAAAGGAGAACTTCCCCAATCTGGCAAAGGAAATAGACTTCTAGGAAGTCCAGGAAGCTCGGAGAGTCCCAAAGAAGTTAGACCCAAGGAGGAACACACCACGGCACATCATAATTACCTTAGCCAAGATAACAAAACTGAAGGAGAGAACCCTAGAAGCAGCAAGAAATAAGGAGACAATTACCTACAAAGAAGTTTCCATTAGACTGTCAGCAGATTTCTCAAAAGAGACCTTACAGGCAAGAAGGGGCTGGAAAGAGGTATTCCAAGTCATGAAATCCAAAGACCTACATCCAAGATTGATCTATCCAGCAAAGCTTTCATTTAGAATGAAAGGACAGATAAGGTGCTTCTCAGATAAGACCAAATTCAAGGAGTTCATCATCACCAAGCCCTTATTATATGAAATGTTAAAGGGACTTACCTAAGAAAAAGAAGGTAAAAAAGATGAACAGTGAAAGGACAGCAAACTCACAGTTATTAACAACCACACCTAAAACAAAAGTAAACTAAGAGGACAGCTAGATCAGGAGCAGAACCATAGAAATGATCACATGGAGGGTTAGCAACAGGGGAGTGGGAGAAGGAGAAGGGGGGAGAAGGTACAGAAAATAAGTAGCATAGACAGTAGGCAGAAAATAAATAGGGGGAGAGCAAGAATAGTATGGGAAATATAAAATCTAAAGAACTTGAGACATGTGGTCATAAACTAAAGGGGGGGAGTGGTGGGGGAGGGGTGTTCAGGGTGGAGGGGAATGAAGGGGGAAATAGGACAACTGTAATGGCATAATCAATAAAATATACTTTTAAAAAAGAAAAAATATATATATTTTTAAAAAGAACTAGATGGAGAGTGTAAAATACAGAGTGATCTACAAACCTACCTCTCCTGAGGTAGTACTCTACAAACGGATGATCTTATTCCATTGGGAAAAGATCAAACTATGTGCCATTTTAATATGGACGTCCTGCTCAAAACTAGAAAACCTTTCCAGTCATCTGGAAAGCAGATTGAGCAATTAGAATCTGATCACTGGAAATTACTGCTCATTATTACTGAGGAGAATCTTTATAGAAATCTGAAAGTAATCTCTAAATTTTGTCACTCCGGATGAGAAGTTTTCAGATCATGGCTCAGACAGGCAACCCAGATGTTTCTTGAGTCATTATTGTTCAGAGTCTGAGAACAAACTGGATGCAACATCTGGCTTGAGATCATTAATGCCGTTAGAGTACCAACACCTCAAGTATAGTGGCAGAATGTCCAGTGACAGACAAACTGCCAGAGGGCTTGCTGATTAACTCCTTAATTTCCTATCAGAAAACTGAAAAAATATTTGTTTCAGTGCTGTTTGGCATTGAAAGCTCTGAAAAAGGTCAATACATTCCCAAAAAGTAGACATAACCCATTCAGTAGTGGGGCTTCCTGACTTTAAATACTTGGTTGAATTCCTTCAGAAAACCACCTTGGGAGCTTCTATTCCAGTATTTAACTTTTATTCCTACTTCATTTGTAAACATTCATCTGTTTTTATACTTTATAGATCTACTATAGATCTACCAGAATCGATTTCATGTGGGTTTTTACATTTATTTGCTTAGATTTGCACCAAGAACTGACCTATAATTTTCAGTATTTTCTTCCCTTGAGTGATTATTTCTTTATTTTGTCGACTTTTATTTTGTAACGTTTTTAAAATGAATTCATCCATTCTATTTTTCTGGTTTTCAATTAATTTCCTTCTTACTTCATCTTTATAAATTTAGGAAAGATACATGCAAACATGATTCTAAAAGCGAGGTGGAAGATGCAGCCCGGATTCCCTTCTGAGAGGCTTTGCACGCTGTGCTACAGAGCTCAGCTTTCTGTAGGTAAGAGAAAGCCACTGGACAGGCGGTGGCATAACATGAGGTATCTTATAGAATGACAACCCTATCGGTGGCACAAGTAGGGACAGGATGGGAGAAGATTTGGAAGAGAGTTATAAGTTAAAAGACTGCCCAATGGAAGATTATGGGGGCCGGCACTGTCATAGACATGATAGAAAAAGAAAAGTGAGAAAAGATATTTAAAAGGGAAAATTGACAAAACTCAGTGATCAAATACATGTAATAGTTACACAATGGGTAGAGATGGGGCAGACACCCAGATGTCTGCCTTGGTTGACTGATTTCGCCCTCAATCAGGAAACAAAGTGTTGAGAAAGAGTAGTTTTGATGGTGAGATGGAGGCATTGTCTGAACCAAATATGATTTCCAATATCTGGGGGGGGAGGGTGTGTGTGTGTGTGTGTGTGTGTGTGTGTGTGTGCATGTTTGTGATGTCCTGCACAGTGCAGGTAATTTCAAAGAAAGTTCAAACACAGTGAATACTATTATAAGAATTCCTAAGACTACACACAGAAAAGAAAATCAAGCAAAGACAAATAAGAGAGAAACTGCAGGAGTTCGGATGCTGACCATACCTCATCAAAATGAAGTGTCCCATTCAGAGGACTGAGGTCATCCTTAGCCGTCTCATCTATGGTCCACTGAAGTCGGACGGCCCCTTTTCCTCCTGGGGACCGCACAACTGTCAACGTCACATACGAATTAGGGTCATCAGACAAAAGGGATTCATCAACCATCACCTGAGAGAAAAAGAAATTTAATAAGGTCAGAAGAAAAAAAGAAGAAGTAGGAACAACAAACAGAATCTTATTTCTATTTACAATGATTGTAACTTTTGAATTTAGAACCCGATCTATGTCATGGTATAATCAAGCTGCAGAAAAGATACTGCACAAGTCCCATTTCCTTTTTGTTCTAGACATAGCTAATTGGTATTTCCTAGCTACTCTGGCAAATAGGTGAAGAAAAGGACTGAATTCTGACCAAAACATTATAAATAGAAGTAACGTAAGTTACTAACAGTCTGACCACCCACTTCCCATACAATCCTCCATATGTACTTTTCCCCCAGTTGCCCAGTAACTAGAGGGGACTTCCAGGACCTAGAAGAGGACAGAGCCACGAGAAGGAAAGAGTCTGGTACCCAAGATGGCTATTGAAGACCCAACTAGGAACACTGTTGTTTTTCAGTTACATGAAAAAAAATAACAAAAAGAGAAATATTTTGTTAAGGAAGTAAGATTTGGGGGTGACTGTCAGACATCCCACGTAGTACAGACTTAAACTGCCCTCTGAATTATCTGCAGTTTGCCAAGTTCAGTCAGTCCAAATTTAAAAGAGACTTTATTATCATGACATAAAGAGAGAAGGAATTTCAGTATGTTAATGTCCCTGTACTATTTATTTTCTACATTATATCTTTACTAAGAGGCCTGGTTCAATTGAATTACATAAATTGACTCTGTGAAGCCAAGTCCAAATAGAGCCTATAATGTCCACCAGTTATGCAATACAGAACACAACACAACACTTTCCATTTTCAAGATAGACACTTATCTAATGTATAACTTAATCTTGTTTTGGTTCTCCAACAGACTTTGATGCCAAGAGTAGGGATTTAGAGGAAACTGTTATTGAGTTTCTATTATGTGTCGGTTCTTGCACATACATAAACTGATTGAAGTTCACAGGAATCTGAGGGCCAGCTATCCACACATGTATTTGGAGAGTGGAGCCTGGACTCTAGTTGTTACATCTGACCAGTGTGATTCATAACAGTTCTAATAGGCTGGACACATTAAATCAGAAAGAAACAAAATGGGGAAGAAAATCTCCATTATAAACAAACTGCGCATGTAAGTCCTTTTTGTTTTCATAGATAATATTTTCGTTTAGGTTTCACAAGATTTCCTTGGGCCTCTGCTATTCCCAGTGCTTTAGTATACTTAGCACATTATCCTCATGAGCAGCTTAGTAATTGTGACAGATCTATATTAATGGCCTTCTCTCAGAGTTCCTCAGTGCTAAATCTAATCTGTATCATCAAACAAGGCTAACAGAATGTTCACTGTGTGCCCAACTTTATCTTAGATACAAGTTAAAAGATAAACTCCGTGTTATTCTGAGCCTATGGCAGAAAGATAGGATACCAGGAGAGAAGCCACAAAGGGCTGGTAACAAGCTAATATTAATACAAGCAACAAAAACAGCTATTGACAAGACTGACTGTAAAGCCTGGTTATAGGTGCTTCACATGCATCAATTCATTTACTCCACACAGCAAGAGTTATGAGGGATAACACAGTAGGTGGGTGACCCAACTCTTACTTTAAGACAAACTGGAAACCTGAGGCTATTACCATAGGCTATGAGACCCCAGACCAAGAGTGCAGTAAAATTTATGCACTACAATACTTAAATGAATAAGCAAAAACTATTTATTAATAGTAACATGGTTCTTCATGTCTCCCAACAATGAAAGAAGCTTGTAATTAAGTTGTCCAATATCTAAGTCCAAAAAGTATGACAAAGTTAAAAGCAAAACATGATTATAAGATTTTACCAATTAGAGGTTTGATTGCTAAACCCTAAACCTTTCATCTAACTTCAGAAGCTAGTAGAGATATTTTATAAAAAATAAATTACATATTCATATGTATTAAAATATTTCTTTACATATGTGCAAAGAAAGAAAGCCTAGATAGCAATGCAACAAAATACTGGTGATGTCTATCTCAGGGTAGTAAAATTATGGACACTTTTACTCTCTCCCCAGACTTCTTAGGTTGTCTGGGGACACTCACAGCTACTCTCCCATGAATCTCCAGCTCCTTACAAATACTACCTTCTGCTTGTCCCTCCCCAAGGAAGAAAGAGTCTCACTAGGCTGCAGCAGAAGTATGGCCTGTCCCTCTTATGGTTTCCATTTTCCTATGAAGTTGAAATTTCAGTGATCGAATCATTTGACAATTATTAGGCTATTGATAAATGGGACACCCAGCACAGATAGGTGAGCAGCAGGTCTAGGACTGCATCCAGGGAACAGTAATGGCAATGGGCATTAGAGTGATTTGTTATTTCTTAAAATTATCAGTGGTGACTTACTAACTACATATAAGGGAGCAGTGACATATGGAGCAAGAAAAGTTACTGTGTATCCCAAAATTATGTAAATATTTTTATGGTTATTGAATCTTAAATTTTTCTTTGAAAGGTAAAGTGATAATTATGACATAATTATCATACAATTTAGAGTGCTTTGGTTAAGGTTTTTTTCTCTCTCAGTGGTTTAACCAATAATAATAATGGGCTCCCTTTTCCAGCTCTCAGAAGTAGACAACCAATAAAAAATAAGAGAGAACAAGAATAAATACTATAGAGACACATGAGCCAGGGTGACTGTGGTGTTTTGTTCAATGTAAGTCAAGAAAGAGTACCAGAAGGCAGGGTAACGTTAATGTATATACCTCCACAGCTAAATTTCCTTGGACCCATGACAGAACCTGGCCTTGTAACCAGGATGGCTATTTGGCAGCAGGGCAGGCAAAAAATAAAGGTATGGACAAAAAAGTACGTCTTGGTCTATTACAGCCAATAAGTAGGAATCTATTCCCCTTTAGAATTGCCTGATAGAAGAGCTCTTGTAACTGTCAAACTTCACTGATTGGATGATTGGTCCCTAATTCAATAGTCAAAACACCTTAAAGAATCGAATCGCAACTGAAGTGTTATGAAGAGGTTTTAAAAAATGAAAGACAACTTTCTACTAAAAATTACACAAAACATTAGCCTAGAGGAACCACGCCCTCCCCCAATATATTTAACTTACAGTCTTTTCTTCAAATCCAAATACTCCAAATGGAGAATCATTTTGTGGAATAACAACAGTTACCACAGTGTCATCCCCAAGTCTGCCACCTCCAGTCACCCTGATTAAGGAAATACTGAAAGTCTCCATGAGTTCAAATTCAGTGTCATCAGTAATGGTGATTTCTATCATGGCAGTAACCTACAAAAGAAAAGGAAAAAAGGAAAAAGGAGAGAAAGAGAAAGAAGGGAGGGATAGAGGGAGGGAGTATACAATGTAATAGCAATTTTTGAACACATATTATTTATTTTTTAGTTGAAAATTTATAAACATAATGCAAATGAAAAATGCCAGATTTTTGCCTGTTATGCTCACAATATCCTTAAGTCACATATATTTATTATATTTCAAAGTCAGAAAATTATAGCCTACTATTTTCAAGATATAAAAAACTATATATATAATAATATATAGTGCTTTTGGATACAAAAAACAGTGAAGCCTTACTCTTGAACAAAAATATTTGAAATGCCACGCAGGCTCTAATAAGCATCTTGCAAACATAAACCTTAGTATACTTAGTATTAACATTACATTCTATACAACAGCACCATAGAGACTGCCATTGTGTTCTGCAATTAGAATAAACCCCTTTGGTTCCAAATATTGTTCTTGTAATGTAGAGAAACAAGGAAGGAAACCCAAATGGGTTATTATTAAATGTTTGTGACCAGGACTTAACTCATCTGGGTCTATTTTTAAAGTTTTCAGAACTTACAAAAAAGTAAAACTTAGTCCAGCTGGTGATTTCACTATTGGCAATAATAAATATCCCAGCTATATCTACATAATTAAATATTTTTGTGTCCCAAAGGGAAATTTCAGTACTTTGACACAGACATTTACTAGAAAATGAAGTTTTCTACTTAAATCTACCTAAAACCTTTAACTTAATAAAAGGTAAAAGTGAGAAATGTGAATGTCCCACTTGGAGAGGCAGAAACCTGCACAAATTCAAATGCTAAAATGGAAGCTTATTAAAATATTTGCACCTCAAGTCTGTACTTTCCTATGTGATGTTAAATTTAATAATAATGATTATCTTAAGAATACTGCTAAATAAGGAAACTTTGATCCAATACACAGAATAAAGTGCTAATAATATACCTAAAGTTGGAAGACTTCTTCAGTGAGAAATCAACTTGTTTCTGCTTTTAAATAAAACATGCATTTCTCCTACTTTTAGTAGAAAATGTTTTAATTTCTAAATTTGTTAAAAGCTCATGATTTCCAATATTAACACCATAGGCCTTTCCATACAAGAAAATCTAGATCCGTACACTTGTTTTTTATCTGCATTTACTGCCCACCCGTGGACAACTGCTAAGCTGTTGCGCACTGTGCTCACCAGGCCAGGCAGACTCGAACTTTGTTTAGACAAATACTGCTGTTTGAAGTTAGTTGCTCACATGCTTTTTCCACTTATCAATTGAAAAAGTTATGAGATCCTATTCTTCCATATCAAAAAATGCCATGTTTGCAAAGCTTATACTCCTTGTGGAATATTTTGTAATTGCTAAGATTGGTTGCCATAAATCTAGAATATTGTCTTTCAATTTTTCTAGCTTTAAATATTTTGTCCCTTTTCTGTCATTTTAGTCTTTTTTAGTTAAAAAAAGTTTGGGATGTTAAGTAGTAAATGTGCACACTTTTAGTGCAAATCATAAATAGATATCTGTATTTACAAGCATTAAGAAATAAATAAAAGAAACTACAATTCATAGGAATAGTGTAGTTCATCAGCCAGTTTTTAATATGTTCTTAGATACCTCCAAGCCAATTATTATCTTCTTTTATAACTTCTATTTAAAATAGGACTTCCAGTGAAGATGGAGGCATAGGTAGATACACTTTGCCTCCTCGCATAACCAAAAGAAGAACAACAACAAATTTTAAAACAAACAAAAAAAACCCAGAACTTCCAGAAAATCAGACTGTATGGAAGTCCAACAACCAAGGAGTTAAAGAAGAAACATTTATCCAGACTGGTAGGAGGGGAAAAAAATAAAATCAGATGAAGTTCAGAGAAGGGTGGGATTCTTGACTTTTTATTTCTCTTCCTATGTTCATTAATTAATTATACATTAACTAACAATATTTCTGTTTGGCTTAACAGAAATTTAGAGTATAATTCATTTAGCAATTACTATTGCACAGTCATTTAATGGATGCCTATAAAATGTTTGAAATCATTTGAAAACCATGCTAATATATCCATAACTAGCATACTTGTCTATCTGCAAATTCAAGAATCCCATGAGATGGTTTAAAGTCTTCTGGGCCAGCACTGTCCAGTGTTGCTTTCCAATAAACATTGACTGTGCCAAAGCTCCCAGCCAGCCGGACTACAGGAATCCGAAGAATATTCAAGGGTGGAGGCACCTCATAGGCAGTAACAACTCCAACAGCATCCTTCAAGTGAAGAATAAAAGTTTAAATGAAAGACAAAAAATTCTTATAAGTCATCACTTTCTAAATTCATTATTTGTACTTGTGGTTCCTAAACTTCACCCTTCAAAGTAGAAATCTACAGTTGGATGTAAGTATGCATAATAGGTCTTCAGAACTCTTACATTTAAATGTAGTATGAATGAATTTACTTAATCCTTTGGTCTATCTCAAAGAGAACTAAGAATTAGTTTGCAAGACAAATTTTAAGGCATATTTATAAATATCTTCAAGCAAAGCCACTAGTTTTGGAGAAAATATATGATGCTGGCCAAATCGGCAGGTGCAAGCTTCTGTATTACTATAAATATGTGAAAGTTCATCTCACTCTGGTAACATGAAACTTAAAAATTCCTCTTGGATCATCATTTTCTTCTATCATTATCTCAACAATTTCCATCCCAGGCCTCCAAACACTGGGCTGGCCTGCAGAGAAGTCAGAGTTCACCAGGTACACCTCGGTGATGTTGATAATGAATCCTTCCTCCAATTCAGGAACATCATCCTGGAGGTGGGCAGGGGGTGGAGAAGAGAAATGGCATTTTATTCTTTTTAAGTAAATTTTATGTCTTTGGATAGTTGACATTTTTTCAGTATGGAACAGATGAGTCTCCACAGGAATGGGAAGCTCTACCATACATGCAAAAAAGAATGTTCTCTGTATTTTAATACATTCCTAATGACAACATCAGAATCTTAGGGGATATTCAAGCTTTTCGGTAATGTTTTAATAGAAGCACCATGCTTATTAGAAAGTAAAATATTTTTTGGAATTTTATCATGCAATTTTGACCATACGGTATTGAATATGTTTTACATATACAATACCCACCCCTGAAATTTAGGGCAAACTGCTCTACACTTAAGATGTAAATGCTACATCTTAAAAGCGAGAGCCCTAGAGTTGTAAATCTCAACATAATCCTACATTTCAATGAACTTTTTGAAGATTGTTTCCTTATTTTTGAATAGATAATAAAAATTTCAAAAGATAAAAAGAATTCATAGTGAAAAGGAGAGGAAACTTTTGCTCCGTGCCATCCTCCTGTCTTTCCTGCCTCTTCTCCAGGGGCCACCGTCATCCAACGCCATTGGTACCGCTGTTGGTAACACTGATGTTGTTATACACGACGTTTATTTAACAAGGCATGGTACAGTTAAAATTATACACAGTATTATAACAGATAAGCATGATATTTAATTATGTAATATTCTTTATAACACTATTGACTACTTTCCATTTCTTCAGGATCATTAAGAGACAGAGAGAGCGCTGAAACCAGATCTAAACCATCTGAAGACTAATCTTGATTCAAGTGATTATGTCATTAAATTAATTATTGCCCTATCAAACCATCAATAAAATAACCAGACTGATTTGCACATTTTATGATTTCATTTATAAATTAAAACATTTAACCAACCTACAAAATATTCAGTCGAATCAGGCATAGAATCATATTTATTGTAGTCGAGACTCACCGGCAAAATGGCAACTTTCACATAAGTTTTTTTAATGTTTTCTTTCATTATTATTATTGTTTCTTGTAGCACATAATCTTCATTCTCAGTAGCTTGTTTATTGATGGGCAGTAAGACGTTGGGTTTAGCGCTCAAGTGAATGGCCACATCTCCGCGTAGTCCTTTATTTCGAACAATTTGTAACTGAAGAAGGGAGATGTTCTCTGTGGGACAGAGATGCCTCAGGTAAGTGAGATCCATCTGCTGTCAATGCTATTCCAAGCACTTAGGATAGAGTGCTCTGCACTATCCCTTTCACACAGTTAAGGAATGAGAGGTGAAACAAAGACGATGTTTATTCCCAAGGAGTATTTTGAGCTTTGCTTACCCTTGTCCCCAGAGTGCTGAGAATTAACATAAACTGCTAATACTATAACTCAGTTTTAAACCCTCCCTTCTGGCTTTCTAACTTACTCTGCTGTGTTGCCTATGTCATGTACTCCAACGGATATTGCTGATAACCTTAGGAGAGTGCACACATGCAGGCTGAGCAGAAGTTCTAATTACAAATGCTAAGAAGATTCTTCAAAAATGAAAAACTAGACACCAAAGTAATCACTTAATAACTAATCATTAGAAGAATTTTGGTTTTATAGTGAGATGCCTATTACAAGGCTCACTGTACTCCATAGCACCTATTTTTATTTCATTTCTTGATTTTAAAAATTTAATTTGCCATATAAAAGGAGAGAAAGAGCCTGTCAATCTTCCTTACTGGCCTGTGAGTTTCTAATAACCAAATACTGTCTTTGTTTCCAGAATGAACAGCACAATTTCTGGTACTTACTAGCTGCTTCAAAATTATCTGTTAAATAAATAAATGGACAGATCAGTTCATTTTAATTCTACTGCTTCTATTCCTATATGTACAGAAATAAAAAGGCCCAAGTGCATAATTGTACGACATTTTTTCCATCAACTATTTAAGTAAAAGGTCTTTGAAAATTGTCCATACTCCTGTCAGAAAATTTTAAAAACTTTACACAGCATATCTAAATGCATATATATTATATACAGGGGTGGGCAAACATAGGTTTAAAGGTGTGAGTCTACAAAACAGAGTTTATTCTTATGCTATTATTTATTAATTATTGTATATTTGTATTATATATTTCCATACAAACAACTGACAACATACTTTTGACAACCTCTGTGTGTGTATATATACATATATATACTGAAAAATATCGTATTTATTTATTTCTAGAGAAAAGGGAAGGAGGGAGAAAGAGAGAGAGGAAGATCGATGCACGAGAGACACATCAATCAGTTGCCTCTCACGTACTGGCTACTGGGGACCTGGCCTGCAACCTGGTCATGTGCCCTGACTGGGAATCAAATTGGCATCCTTTTGGTTTGCAGGTGGTGCTCAATCCACTGAGCAACACCAACCAGGGCATATATACTTTTAATTAAATAAGTCGAACGACCTTTATCTACAAAAGTACATTTTTGTACTTATATGAACAGTTATTTAGACAAAAATTTCAGCACTAAGCTCAAAAGAAATAGGGACTGGTCACTTTATTTCAGAAAAAAATATTACTTTCATTACTACTTCAGGTTACAGTAACACTTGGAGTACCATATGCATTTCTCTGTGTTGCTCCTTATTTCCTGTAACTATCAAAAATCTATAGAGAGGAAACCTGACTGAGGAAACAAGACAGATAAATGAAGGAAATAAAATAAAAACCAACGCACTTTACTGAAATGACTTACTAAAATATAAATATTTCTCCAATGATAGAAATGTCTCAAAAAAGTAAAAGTATTATCTATATCATTGTTACTGAATGTTTACATGATCACAAAGCTTAATAAATATAAACAAAAAGTAAAAAGTAAAACCTGCCAAACTAAAGAATATCACATAAAAAGAGAAATGTACATTTCTAGTAAATACCTGAGTTAAATTAATAAAACTGACTAGAAAAATGTTTAACAAGACTTACCTTTAGGCTCTGCTACTTTCACAAAGAGAGACTCGGCCTGCCAGCCCACCACACCATGGGGTGAGTCACTGGGCAGAGTGGTTATCACAGACTTCTTTCTTGTCTGATCCACGGTGGCCCCTTTGGACGGGTCCGAGACCCCGTCCGTGCTAACGTGGATGAGTGTAACGATCACAGTCTCGGATAACTCTGGTACATCATCAGCAAGAACAGTCAGAGTGATTGTAGACAGTGCCTGGCCTTCGGAAAAGGAAATCTAAAAGTTTTAAAAGAAAAGATTTTACTTATTTTTTCATTGTCACTGTGTGGTAAGAATATCAGAAGTTTAGATTTGTTTCCTTTTGGCCACAACTTAAATAATAGAGATATTTAAGTAACATATCTAGAAATCAAACATCTTTCACATTAGAAGTGGAAGTGTATTAGGAAAAAAAGTAGACTATGACCAAAATTTAAGCTAATAAAACATGAAGCCAAACTACCATATCCTGAAGCCTACTTTCTATTAAAATATAGAGTACACAGTCTCCCCCGGGAACCTATGTCCTCTATACCGTAGATAAAAACTGTAAACTTTAGGAAGGTGGCATATAGTTTAAATAATTTTCTCTACAAGACTTTGCCAAAACTGCTATTTCCCTTGGGTAAACTTTGATTATCTGTAGTACTTAACAATGATTCAAACAAAATAGAGGTAGAGAACAAACAATGGGCAGAGATATAAATCAGAATCTCTCTCTCTTTAAAAATTTTTTTTGTATTTTTTCCATTACCATTTAGTCCCCTTATACCCCACCCCACACTGTTGTCCATGCCCACAAGTCCTTTTTCCTTTTTGCTCAATCCCTCCACCTGCTAACCTCTCTCCACTTAGTTGTCATCCTGCTCTCTATGAGTCTGTCTCTATTTTACTTGTTAGTTCAGAGCATCTTTCTTCTCCTTTTATGACTCCACTGTCTGGAGGGTCAAACCCAAATTTGCTAAATGGCATCAAGTTCTTTCTGACAGGGCTTCCTTCTGCTTCTTGAATGTCATTTACCATTCTTTCCTACCTCATGCCTTATTCTCCAGCAATATGGCTACAAACTGCAGTTATTCAAACTAGCATTACAGGCCTATTTTGCTGACATTTGTCTCTCCAGGAAACTCAGTCTACATCACTCAACATCTCAACATCTCTGGTCTGCTGTTTTAGACATTAGGCTATTTTACAGAAACTTGTTCATGCTTCACTGCTTCCATTTTGAAACCCCATTTCCATCCCCACTTTGTGGGTTTTGTCTTTCTGACAATGTAATGCATACACAATTTGGCCAACTGATGTATTGAACCTCAAAAGGAATGACTTTTTATTGATGATTTTTGCATTATAGAAAAAAAGAAGAAGAATCACCAGAATAAAACTAACTTTAAATTGTATCCCTCTCTATGGAGATTACAATCCAGTGTTGACACAGTCAAACACAAACACTTCATCCATAAAGCAGGGTTTGGTGCCACGCATCAATAATAATGATCATTTAAAAGGGGCTACTCTATAATTTTATAAATTACATACCACTCCTGAGGTAGGAAATATATCACTACTACTTCCGTCAGCTTCCCATGCTACAGTTATACGACCATAAGTTCCTTTTGAGCGCTCGACATTCAAAGTTACTAAGCTATCTTGCTCCATTTCTTCCACTTGCTTATACAAGGAATTCTGAAAAATTATAGGAAGTCACAAAGGTCATTTGAAATTATCAATGTAGGCTTTTATTTCATTCTACCACACATTTGCGAACTTCATGGTATGAAGCAACACAATGCACAATGCATTAAATGAAAAACAGTAATTAAAAATTGTAATATAGGATAACTGATTTCATTAAAAAACATGCATGTTTGAAAAAGTAAAAGACTAAGTTAAAATAAATGAAAATATTAATTTTTTAGGGTTATATTTATTTTTGTGTTCCTGTTTCTATAGTTTTTAACTTTCTTCAATGAACATATATATTTTTTTTATATTCAGACACAATCCACTTTTTTGAAATGTTATACCACATAGCACATTTGTAGAATGGAAAGGACACTAGAGTTAGGAAGAGAAGGAAGTCTTTTCCTTTGTAACCTCTGGTAATCCCTCTAGGTCTTTGTTTTCTATTTATAAAATAAGTGTTTAATCAACATGACCTCCACGGTTCCATCCAAATGAATGATGGCATGAGAATCGGGCTCTTTCTGATCATTCACAGTGTTTCTTATCCTTAAACGTACACTCTCTGAAATGTTCCCACAGGCTGTCCTGTTCCCACTGATGTTTCATCCAGCTCCCAGTCTTTGTGACCACTGTTCCTGCCAGAAGCATCCTTTTCCCTCATGTCTGAATGCTTTCCTCTCTTGTCTCACTTCTAGCTCTCTCCTTAGTTCCAAACTGATTTATACCTCTGTGGACCTATAATATTCCTATAAAGTAAGGAAATGACACCAGCCACCTCTCTTGCCAGCCATTTAATGAACTTTTTCCTCAAAATTAACATTCCAAAGAATCCCCTCTTTATAATATTCATGATTTCTCTATATGTGATAAAGCAAAAATAAGGAATATATCAAGATTTTAAAAAATCTTTTTAGTAAGATTTGTCTTGTCTTTTTACCGTGGCAATCTGAAAAGAGATGCCCCCTTTAATTTAAGTTTCTATTTAGAATGTGAATTTGAATAGATACCCGATCTTACAGCAGTATTTTACACAGCATTTTAACACAATGTTGCAGATGTTACATAGTAATAAAATCTTGCTCAAGGCAATCAAACACTCTCACAGAAAATGCCTTGATTTTAAATATGCATATAATTAGTTCACAAAAGACAATGCCTTTTTATAAAGAAGCTTTCTCTGGCTCCATGCCCTCTATTAATAAGGCTAATAAAAGGAAGACTTAACACAGCCTGAAAATATTCAAGAAACTCTCATTATCTACTACATCTCATCTTAGACTGAGGTTGTCCAAAAAAGATCTGTATTGAGGAATTCCACCGAACAGGTTGAAGAAACCCAGGCCACTATCTATTGATAGAATTAAACCACTTTGCATTGAGGTCTCTAGAACAATTCTGGAACAAGCTTCAGGAAGAGAAATCTATCATGCTAAAATAGGTGAGAAACAACGCTCCATCTGCAGCAAGGCTTCAAGGTGAGAACGGACCTGGGCGGCAGAGAATGATGTTCTTGCCCCAGGAGCCCCGGCTCTGCCCTGTAGGCTTGCAGGAGATCCTGGGAGGGCATATGCGTGTTCCCCGCCCCCTGGCATAACAACAGGTTCATACTAAGAACCACTGTGTGCCAAGCACGTTCCTGGTCAGTGCTAAAGCCGTGAACAAAGTAGTATTCCAGATCTTATACTCTTCTGTCCTAGTATAAAGAAACTGACAATAGACAAATGAGTCTAAGTGTCATAAGGAAGGATAAGGCAGAAGAAAAAGGTATAGACTTGAAATTTCCAATCAAAGAAGGCCTTTCTGGTATGGTGACATTTTAGTGGAGACCTGAATAAAGTAAGGAAATGAGTCATGTACAAAAGTCATTTTCTGCCTTTCCAACCCCCAACTTGGCCTTGGCCCCTATAGCTCCTATCTTAGAGCTATACTGTCCTAACACAGTAGCCACTGGCCACATGTGACTAGTCTGTATGTGTAAAATGCACACTGAATTCAAAGATTAAGTATGAAAAAGAATGTAAAATATTTCATCAGTAATTCTGTATTGATTGCATGTTGAAATGGTATTTCAAATACACTGGGATAAATAAAACATTAAAACTAACTTCATCTGTTTCCTTTTCCTTTTTAAGTGACTAATAGAAAACTTAAAATTATGTATCTGGCTCAAGTTATATTTCTATAATATAATATATAAGCTGACCTGCATTGAGTTCAGTGATGGGCCAGGCAGGGTAACCGGGTGACTCTACAACCCTTGTAAGCAGGTGACTCAGGGCATCAGTATGCCCCAAACTCCTCATTGTATCCCTGAAACCTGCTCCTCCTACAGTGGTCTATATCTTGGTGAAAGGCAAATTCCTGCTGCCTGTATCTCTATCAATGGTTGCTGGATTACTTCAATAGTCTCCCAGCTGGTCTATTTCTGTCCTTGCCCACTTATAATCTAGTTTCAATTATTTGGCAAGAGTGTCCTTTTAAAAGGTCAGATCATGTTGCTCTTCTACTCTGACCCTCCAAAAGCTCTCCATATCCCTCAAAATCTCCTCATTTCCCTCAGAGGCCAAATTCATTGTGCCACTAACAGGCTTGTGCCGAAGAGAAAACATAGCAGGCCTTACAGCTATTGGTCAAGAGGCCTGCTTACAAGATTGGCCCTTGGCTGCCTGAACTTGAATTTCAGGATGGCTGCCACCATTTCCAGAGCTGATATCAAGCTCCCTTTGCCCAAGCTGTTTGAATATACAACATGACTTATGCTAAACCCCTGTTTTCTTTCTGGAGTCCAAATTTTGCTATGTGCCAGGTAGAGGGGTCCACATGATCAGTCCTCAATTCACTACTGAGCCTTCCTCATTGGCAACACTTCTCCAATGTTGTCACAACTTAACTCAATGCTGGGGTGTGTTCTGTGTGACTCCACTGGGGAGGAACTCTTGCAAATTGGCACCTAGTTTCCTCTGGACTTCATCCCATAAGGCTCTTCCCAGAGCTGATTTTGTTTTGTAGCCTTTCAGTGTAATAAATCAGTCATCAAAATAATGACATGCTGAGTCCCAAGTCCTCCTTGCAAGTCCTTGAACCTGCGGGTACTGGTGCGGATCACTGACACAGGGCCCTTGCCATGCACCTGGTGGGCCTCACCTGCTCTAGCAGAGTTCAGATACACAAGGACTCCTTTCAGGGCTGATCAGGTAGCTGATGGTTCTTCCCTGCCTCGATCGCCCTTCCCCCAGAAATGTGCATGATTCACTGCCTCATCTCCTCCAGGCGTTTGTCCTCCAGCCACTTCCTCAGAGCAGCCCTCCCTGACATCCCATTTTCTCTTTTCCCCACACACAACCTCCACCCCCTCCCTCATGCTCTCCATCTGCCTTCCCTGCGTAATGGTTCTCGATGGCACTTGTTACCAACAGACAGAGTTACAGATGATTCTTCTGTCTTTGCTTATTGTCTTTCTCCCCTAACCCCTCTCTCTACAATTTAAGGAGCACGAGGATAGAGATTTCTATATTTTCATTTTCTGACATACCTCTAGCATCTGAAACAATATTTGGTACATAGTTGTTTATTAAATATCTGCTGAATGAATGAATGAATCACCAAATGAGTCAATGAAGGAATGTACTTGTTATCCAAGTCTGCTGAATGACTAGAAAGGCTTTTGAGAAACTTTTCCCTTACACTGATAGCCACATAGAGAATCTCACTCTCCCTAGCTGGACCTGAACAAGAAAGCAGTTGCCCTAACAATAATAACAGCTTTCAAACAACCAAACAAAAGATCACCTTTGTGTTAGCAAAGTGGAGAGATAAAAAAAGAACTTGAGCTGTGGTGACAAAGTATTCAATCAGTCTCGAAGCCCACCTTGTCTGTGGACATACTCTTGGTGTTTGAGCCAGTATGAGTTAGGTTTTCCTGACTTGCAGAATATTTCAGAGAAAGACAGAAGACAGCTGCATCTATAACTCTACCTACGAAATCAGGATGCAACTTGCAAACAGGACTGAATTACACAATATGACTCAGTGTCCTTTTACTATCTGGTAAAGAAATATGAAGCCTGGGCACAGAAGTTGACCTGGAAAGTTTGCATAATTATCTGTCCTCAGGAGAAAGTATCTCTGTGTGTATACCACGTGCATACAGTTTCAAATCAATCAATCAATCAATCTCTCTCGCCCATCACCCCACCACAGAAATAACAAAGGCTTAATAGGACAGCAAATATTTGCAGATAATGTGCATGACTAGACACAGTGTTTGGAATTTGCTTTATCATTATCCTCTGAAAACAGAGCTAACAGTAAATTCAAAATCCTGGGCCAAGGCCAATTGGCAACATTTCAAATTCAATCTTATAAAATGAATCCGTATGAACAAATAAAGTTTAGGATCAGCTGACTGCAGTGGTCCAACGGGTAAGACTGCAAATTGCAAGGCATCAATAGAATTCAGCTTAGAATGCACAGTAGAGGGTGAAGCAGGGAAAGGGAAGGGAGGCTTAAGACACAAAGCATGACTCATTGATTACTGATGATGTTACTGTTTTATTTATATATAAATGCAGTGAACAAATCATTCTCACTTCCAGGTGTGGGATCTTTGGTATCATTACCTGAGCAAATCCAATAACGCCATAGGCATCATCATTAGACAGGATAGTTATTTTTACATAACTATTAATACCAATCTCTGCTCCTCCTTTGGGATTTTTAAGCTGAACTCTGAAGGATTCTTCCTCCTCTGGAACTGTATCATCAAGAACATTTACTGCAATTACAGCTTCTCTGTCACCAGGGTTAAATATCAGTTCACCTGAACTGGCATAAAAAGAATATATAAAATAAGCCAACTACAATAAATTAAAGACATATACATAGTTCATTACTCATAAAACTATTATAGCATTGATTGACATTTAAAGTTTGGAAAAATCACGTCATAAATAAAAATTTTAATCTTAAGTATTCATATAATCATCTTGGTAGAATACACATTAGAAATGAGTAACAACCAAAATTTCTAGTTTAAAAATAGCTTTTATATACATTTTTCAATCATTAAAAAATACTTAGAATTTATGTGGTCTATAAAATGATGGTAAGTATAAGGACAGCATAAATGTTGAACCTTACCTAGGAATAAAGTCAGACTGGCTTGAGACATAGGCCAGCTCATGTATGTGTGAATGGGTGGCTCCCACTAGGGCAATTAAATTCTTGCTTGAATTAAGAGACTTGACTGTAACAGAAGCTGCATCACGAGCAGAAGGTGCTTCCAGAACAAAAGAGAACTGATTCAGCTCTGAATTCCAGCAGTAAAGAGCAGACACAGCTTGGCCAATAAGAAGTATGTGGACTGCAGGAAGGAAGGAAAAGGCAGCTAGGGTGAAGTATAACTTGTCACCTCACCTGCTCCCCACACCGGTGCCACAGCACAATCTCTCCAACTCTCAAAGTTGCATTCTGATTTCTGCAGTAATACATGATTCAATTTCTAGAACAACTGAATGTAAATATGATTTTTAAAAATATTTTATTTACTTATCTTTAGAGGGGAAGGAGAGGGGGAGAGAAACATCAATGTATGGTTGCCTCTAGTGTATCCTCTGCTGGGAACTGACCTGCAGGGAACTAAATATGATTTTTAAATGCTGTGGAATGATCAAGCCAGCCTGACAATGCACCCATAATCCACCTAAAAAAGTGATCCTTGGGTAGCAAAAGCCAAGTGGATTTTGGACTCATTTGTATGCACCTCAATATTTATTTATTGAATAGCATGCTAGGATATTTTTGAAAGTAAAATATACCTATAATCCCACCGCTAAATGTTTCATTTTTGCATTTTCCTTCCAGTCACTATCTATATGAATTCATAACTTGCATAGTAATAACAGTACAAATACAAAAATTCATAATTAAAATGCTTAATAGTATATTTATAGTATCTGCATATACTATACTATATAGAGTGCACGGTTGTATATGTAGCTACATAGTATTCAAATTTATTACTTTAATGCATAATCTTTAAAATATATATAACATTGTTTTCTATATAATTTTTCACAACTAATCCTTATTTTAATTACTTTCACTTGATAAATTCTTTTTTTTAGTTTTTTATTATTTATTTTTATGCTTTATATTTAGAGAGAGGGGAAGGGAAGGAGAAAGAGAGGGAGAGAAACATCAATGTGAGAAACATCAATCGGTTGCCTCCTGTACGCACCATAACTGGAGACCAAACCCACAACCCAGGCATTTGCCATGACGAAGAATGAAATCAGCAACCTTTCCCTTTGCAGGACAACACCCAACCAACTGAGATATACCATTCAGGGCTTCATTTGATAAATTCTTAAAGATAGTTAATGAAGCTGAAGAATATAATTTATGATCTTAGGATACATTATGCCAGTGCTTTTTGAAATGGTATTAGGAAACCAGGCTCTTCCTAATTCAAAGCAATGGCACATATCTGTATTTACGGAAGTTAGGAAGAGAGGGGTACTACAATGAATACAATACTAAAAAACTTCAGACTTAAAACTAGGAAGAAAAGTGAGAAGACACAGAGAAATGAGCATAAATTCCAACACCTGCTGGCACACACTAGAACATAAAAATATCTAATAAGATTGAGTATTAAAACAGCACATACAGTGAGCCATGAGAGTCTCATGAGTCTCTTCCAAAATTTTGTCCCGTAGGATAAAATGAAGAGTCCCATATTCTTACTCTTAAATATCAAGACTACTGAGTATATTGATTATATTTATTTATGGGAATTAATTTAACTACTATTGAAATTTAGTAAATGTTACATAAAAGGTAGAGACAACGTGGTTACTAATAAACTTGTATTTTCAAAGTAATCATATATTTTTCATAAAGCTTTGTAAAACTGGAGACATTCAATAAAGAGCAAACTCCTCAAATGGATCTCAACATCCCTCAAGTTTAACAGATTCTATAGTCTCAAGCAAAACCATAATCTAAAGTTTCTCAACATTACTGTTTAGGAATCTTAACCCCTGGAGATAAACTCTATTAGTGAATAGAGTTTATTCACTAAATCAGTTTCCTCACAACCTGATTCATATGACAAGACAGCAAACAGGTAATCAACATTCAGAGGAGGAGGTAGAGGGGTTTAAATCTACACATACGTACGCAGAGTATTTTCTCACAAAATAGGCATTTGTACTATTTAAGGTCATAAAACTGGGCCAGGAAATGTATGAGGGGGAAAAAACAAATCTATACTTAAGAGTATTTTTTAAAGTTTTTTACTCAATTACAGTTTACTTTGTAGTGGCTTCAGTTGTACAGCATAGTGGTTAGTCAAGCATGTACTTCATAGTCCCCCCGCCGATGTTTCCAGTACCCACCTGGCACCACACATAGTTATTGCAGTATTATTAGCTATATTCTCTATGTTGTACTTTATGCCCTGTGACTGTTCTGTAACTACAAATTTGTATTTCTTAATCCCTTCACCACTTTTCACCCAGTCATCCAATTTCCTTCCCCTCTGGCAAACACCAGTACGCTGTGAATTGATTTGGGAAGAGGGTTTTAACTAGTACTGATTATAGAATTCTCTTCCACTTAGCAAAACTATAAAAATTGTTTTGAAGTCTCTCAAATGAAAGCAAATGGATGAGTTTACTTAACAGTGAGTATAAATAAAAAGAAGTTCCAGAACTAAGTAGTAGGGGCAAGCATTCCTAACACCCGAAAATCTGGGAACATAAGAAGAAACCAGTAAGACATGGAGCAGCCAGGAAGGGCTTCAGGAGAAGCTGCGTCCTCAGGAAAGAGCCAAGTTCCAGAGCAAAGAGATGAGAACATTCTGAGAAAAGTCTGAATACAGTGTATCTGTTCCACGGGACATTGTGGAAGGATACGGGGACCTGGGGCAGTGAGAGCTGAGCATCTGGACTGGGAATTGGGGCTCCTATGGTCTAGAGCATGAGTAGACCACATGGGAACCAGAATCTCATCCCAGGGGGCCTGTGCTTCTTACGGTGACTGAACAGGGATGAGGGGAGTAATGAGCTGACCCAAATGATTCTCAAAGGTAGTATTTTTGATGAGGCTGAGAGTATTGGGGGACTGGGGACGAGGGGTGAGTGCCGTCCCGGCAGCACACAGAGCTTTGAGGATCACATGATATAATAAAGGACTAGGTCAGGACCCGGGGGCATAACGTTCATTGAGTGTTCGCTCTAGATTTCCATAGTTCCCACAACTTTTATCCATGCCTTCTCCTCCATCTGCCCTTTAAAAAGCAGAATTCACAAAAGTACAGAAATAAAAAGTGGAATTCAGCAAGGCTTGGTTCAAGAACCCCTCTTCTTATACTACATAGTCTCTTTCTAAACAATTCCATCTCTGACCGTACAACCTCCACCGCATATCTGTAGTCTAGGACTCTCTTCTAAGCTCTGACTAGTAACACTTATTCAGTGTCTGCACATGAATGACTCAAAGTCATCTCAAGTGATTCCCACCAAACTCATTACCTCTGCTCCAAAACCCTGCCCTTCCCCCCAGTGACCTCCATTATGGTTATGGAACTACCAGGTGTGTGGAAGGAAGTTAGGCTCATCCTTGACATCCTCTCCATCACACGCCTCCACATCATCAACTCCTGTGGGTTTTGAATCCACTTCTGTACTTCTCTGGCTTTCTACCTGCATCCCCTACCACTTTCCAAACTCCAACATCCAGTATCTTTAGTCTGAAATGTACCGTGACCCTCCAGCCTGTCTTCAAGACATCTCTTACCAGCTTTTCTCCCCGTGGCAGTCAAAGTCCCCTTTTTAACACACACACACACACACACACACACACACACACACACACAATCTGTTCTGTTTTCTCTCTCTCTCCTGTCCCTCTCCTTCTCTGTCTCCCCATCATCCTCTCATAAAAAACGTACCAATACTTTTAGGATAAAGATAATAATCCTTTAAGTCCCTCTCCGGCCTATCTGATTACATTTTCAGTTATACCTTGTACCACACTGCACTCACTGCCACATTGACCTCTCCCTGGTCCTTTAAAAAATATATTAATTGATTTGAGAGAGAGAGAAAAGCATGGACTTGTTGTTCCACTAACTTATGCATTCATTGGTTGCTTCTTGTATGTGCCCTGACCAAGCATTGAAACCGCAACCTTCGTATATCAGGATGATTCTCTAATCAACTGAGCTACCCAGCTCCCTGGCCCTTTAAAAGTTCATGCTCACTGCTATCATCTGACCACTGCACATGCTGTTCCTTTAACTAGGGCCTGCCCCATGCTCAACTTGGCCTCATTAACACATTAACAGTAAAAGTTTCTTAAGAAAGGATGTTTCCTGGCATTCCGCAGCTCAGGAAGAGCCCTCTCATCTCTGGGTCATGGCAGTACTTTATTCTTTCATAGCAGTTATCTGTTTGTAGCTAGGAACGTACTTCTGTGGTTTTACATAATATCTTTCTTCCCTATAACATGTTAAACTCTTCAAGGCAGAGACGATGTCCGACTTTGCTAACCTTTGTTTCCTTAGGGTCTACCACTGTGCTTACTCATAACTGGCACTAAAAAATATCTATTAAATCACACAGGAGGGAAGAGAGGAGATTTGTTTATATGACCTTGCAGCCCTCATCATATTCATTCTGCTTGTTCCTTTTAAAGAAATTCAGTCGCCAACCAATAATCTCTGTCCAGTCATGCTTTTAATAAAATATTTGATACACTCAAAATATGAAAATCCTTGAATATTATTTAACACATACTTTAGCTTTCCAGGGATCTATAATAAGCCATTCTAAATAATTACCCATAATTTTTTCGTATGTCTACAACCTCAAGTCACAGAAACAAAGGAAATAAAGAGACCTCACAATGTGTCACTTAACAAGTCTCTGGCAGATTTTTTCACAAATTCTTTTAGCAAATGTCTCTATTCTATTTTTAAAAAGTCTTTAAAGAGAATTCTATAACTTCAATTAACAGCCCATTCAGGCAGCACTCCTCAGCCTTCAAAAACACGCATTAGGCAGCTATTTTGAATTACAAGTGACTCAAGAAGATAGAGTTAGTCCACTTGAAAACTCAAAGCAAAAATGACAAAGGTACAGAATTAAAGGACAAGTAGACAAACCTACACACATACATAATGAAAGGCACATCATTTAGTCTGTGAATCGGCTGCTGAGTGAATGATGAGCATGTCACTCCAGTCGTTCATCACAGTATAACGTCTCAGAGCTAAGAAGGCCCGTCCAAAGCTGACAGCGTGAAGGGGAGTTATTTAAGGAGAGGACGGGCGGGACAGAGGTGGACACTGGACTCTGACAGCAGCGCAGGCCTGGTGCGGAGGCGGCCAGGGTCCGGGGGAACCGGGGGACAGAGAGCTGAGGAGGGAGGAGTGGCACAAAAACAAAGTAACGTGAGCTAAACAATCTACAGAAAAGTATCAAAGAGTAAAAGGGGTCAAATATATGGTGACGGAGATTTTACTTTGGGTGGGGAGCACGTGATACAATATACAGATGAAGTATTATAAAATTGTAAGCTTCAAACCTACATAAGTTAATCACTGTCACCTGGATAAATTTAATTCAAAAATTGACAGGTAAATAACCTCTGATTCCTGGTCAACAGTTGCTGTGACTGCAGGTAACCTAAAGGCTACAGCGCCTGATAGAGAAACAGCAGTCAGGCACCCAAAAGAAAAACTGCGAGAATAAACTCCCGAGTTTATGCTAAATCTTCTATTCTTTTCCATATTATTTACTTTGTAGATTTGAACTTTTTCTGAGTTCTACTACCCCCTTCCATGAATGTCCCTGTAACCTAAACCTGTAATTGAGCCCCTCCTGATTTCAGTTCCACATCTCTGACCACCCACAGACGCCTCTACATCAACTCTGGCCTGGGCAGGTACGAACCACCACATCCAGCCTATTCTATGCACCCAAGGTAGGTGGAGCCGTGAAACACACTTTTGATTATCACTTGTCTTTCAAATGCCTGCAAGGATTTCTCTACTATCATCATCAGAATGTTGTCCATGACCCTTAACAGTCCTTGAGACCCTGAAAGAGGGCTATGAGGTCAAAACTATTTTCATAACACTACTAAGATTTCTGTTTATCTACTTCACTCGCATCCTTTCACAAGTGCCATATATATGATCAATATTATTGCAATGGGCTAAAGACGAAGACATAAAAACCCAGATATGGTCTATTAAACCAGACATGCGATTTGCAAAAATGATAAAGAAATATCACTCTTCTCCCCTGGCTGGCATAGCTCAGTGGATTGAGCGCGGGCCTGCGAACCAGAGTATCGTGGTTCGATTCCCAGTCAGGGCACATGCCTGGGTTGCAGGCCAGTTCCCAGCAGGGAACACGAGAGGCAACCATACACTGATATTTCTCTCCCCCTCTTTCTCCTTCCCTTCCCCTCTTTCGAAAAAAAAAATAAATAAAATATTTTTTAAAAAAAAGAAATATCACTCTTCTTACAAAAATTTTTGTTTTGGAATATGTAGTTTTGTTTTACATAACATGTTATGTTCATGTGTAATGAGTTTATTGCTGTCATTCTTATATGAATTAGTAAATCAATGTCTTTGAAATTTCTCCATTTAATTTCTAAGACAATAAATATCAGTAGATATACACACAAACAAAAACTCTTTTGAGTTGCTCAAACTTTTAAGAGGGTGAAAAGTTCCTAAAACCACAATGTCTGGGAACCAGTAGACCACCTGAAGCACAGTTCTAACCCGGGCTGGCCTTCCAGGCCCACTTATACAGACAGACTCCGGTGTGGCTGCCCCTTACCACCACTGTGCTCTGAGTCGAATCCTCTGTCTCCACCGCGATAGTCTGCCCGCTGCCCCCTCTGTGCCACAGACACCCCTGCCTTTCTCTTCTGCTCATACCTTTTCCTAGCCCACAATATTTCCTACCAACCCACCCAGGCACAGCTCATGCTCCCCTCTGACACCCCTTAACCCCTCCAATTCTACCACTCACATAGCAAATGGGATTGCGACTCTACCTTGAATTACTATCTTAATGTATTTCTTGCTTCTCCAACCAAACATGAAACCTATGAAGGTGAGACATGCTTCATAACTTTAAATAATGACTTACATGTAATTTCTAATTAATAAATGTGTCCTGTTCAATTTAATACAAAATTTCTGTATCTCAATTTAAAAGTGGGACTCTGACTCATCCAGATTTGCCTGCTGGGCCACTCAGGTTTGGCTTCCAAGTTCCTCTGGGCACCTTGACAAGAGACGCTGACTCACTGGGTGTACCCCCTCCCCTAGCCACCTGCCCTGGGAGGCAGCCCCACAAGTTCACCATGCAAATGCCCTTGGCTTCTTTGCCTGAATGTCACTGTTCTACCCAAGTGGCTCCTTACCAGCCCTGGAATAGTCCTACAACCTCCAACAGCATTCATCCCTTGGGTTTTCACAAAAAGACTGTTGCAGAACCTATTTCTGACATGCAGATTATAGTACAGATATCAAAGAAAAGAATTGAGACTGTAGAGGACAGTTGGGAGAGTAAATGAGGACGGCAGAGTTCTTACAACCACTTTCTGACTTTAAAAAAAATTCTTCAATGTGCATACTTGCTATCCCCTTATAAATACTTTCCTAGTTAAATTATATATATGTAATGTCACTCTTCATTTTTCTCTAAACAAAAGTAATGTATTACCTTGTCTTATTCTTCATTAATATTTCTCCTCATATCTTAGTCATTCTAATTCTTTGCAAGCTTAGTCCCCATTTTAAAAATATCATTAGGATATGACTAAATATCATTCAGTCATTTGGAAATCCTACAATTTCTGGGAATATCATTGTCAAGATCTTGATTTTATATCCTTATTAAAATGCCCGGTGTCTGGCAAGGTGACATTACCTCTAATTCAGTGAAATTAAAATCATTCTAGCTTTCCACAATGCCCTCAGGAGTAGTCAGCAGCTGAAAAGCCCTTACCTATTCCTGAGGCTGGTGTGAAGGAGTGAATCCTATTAACAGCAGCAAAATCCAGAGACTGAAAATATCTAAAAGAAGACTGTCCTGGCTCCCAGATGAAAATATCAATTGAATTCTGACCTCCTACAATAAGGGGAAAAAAGTCAAACTGAAGGCAAAAGTTATAGAAAAAAATGACAACTACATAGTAAAACTATAATCAAAACATTAAATTTAATTGAGAAAAAACAATTTAATAGGACATTCCTCATAATTCACATAGTTTAACAGAAATACAACTTAGTAGAAAACACTTCAAGGCTTTGTGCAATTACTACATGAAGTATATACATACTTCACCACTAATCATGATCTGATATCAAAAAAGAAGAGCAACAAATGTTTTATTTTTCAGGAATGTTGGGATTTTATTTATGAATGTTCTACTAAACAAAAGAAAGCATATTAATATTCAATGAATATTTTTAAAGTCTATCAAAAGCTGTTAGGCACTTATTACTATTATAACTTACCCAGGGCACTCCCAGTACAGTCCAATAAAAAGTTACCTATTTATGCTTTGGTGCAAGATCTTCACAGAATTCTTCAGAGATCTGTCCATGTTTCCCCACCCATCCCCAGTTTTATTTTACTATCTTAAAGCAGTGGTTCAGAACACTTCAAGATTATGGACATAACACTTAAATTTTTTTCTGCAAAATCTATGTGCAGCTGACAGCCAATATCTATCCATCAAGAAACATTCTATTAATAAGCTAAAAATTATTATAAGAGCATTTTCCTATGAGCACATTATATGAATGCTAGATAATTTTGATAGTAACTATGTATGCATTGTACACAATAAATCTGCTTACCTAGAGACACAGTTTTGGCAAAAAGTAAGTAAATATCATCGCCTGAAATCAAGGCCTCGACTTGTGTGGTCCCACTGATCGGCACTTCTTGAAAGTTAATAAACGTGCTGCCAGACCATCTGAGTAAAAGGGAATTGAGCCCGGCATGAGCTTGGGAAATGGCTAAAAACACGGAGCCTCCTCTGGTGAACAAGGACATGCTCAGCACTCCTCGCACAGGGAGTGTCTGGTGCAACATGAAGCTGCTGCCATCCCATCTGAAGACCTACAGGAGATGTTCAAATACAAAATCCTTCATGACTAGGCACTGAGCATTTGTGAGAATTTAACCAATATCATGTGTTTATTCTCCTCAACCCTTTAATTTAGTTGGGAGGATACCTTCATAAATGAAAAGATAGCAAAATAAGCTCTCTCCCTCTTTTTATCTGTGTGCAAATAAGTGTGTGAGGGAGAGCAAGAAAGCAAGCAAGAGAAAGAGAGAGAGAGCACATACACGTAGAATGCATTTTAAAGCAAAGCTATTTGAAAATAAATGAGTTTCAGGTAGACATTTGAGCAGTGGTCAGTGATAGCAAGAGAAGGGAAAGCCAAAAATAGGAGAGAATTAATTTAAATATGAATAATTGAGAACTGGATAAAAACTTTCTGATGATGTAATCTCAGTCATTACCTTCTGCTCGAGCAATAGAATATAAAGAGAAACACCTAAAATTTTTAGTACCAAAGGTGGCAACGCATTCAAGGTTTCAGGGTGAGTGTTACTATACTTAAAATTAAAAGAAAATCCCAACTCTATCTGGTTTTTCATACAATTCTTTCAGAAAGAATTTTATTTTATTCACTCAAAATTGGGAACCTTATATGAGCCAGGCATTATGCTAGGAGATATGTACAGAGTAATGCCTCCCTTTATGGATATCAAGCATTAGTTATTAAGCATTAGTAAAAGGCAAACACATCAATAATCAAATAAATGTATGACTATAAAATGGATATAAGTGCTAAAGATAATAACAATTGGAATGGTGTGATAGAGAATTATGGGTGCACTAGAGAAATCAACATAGAGAATGACAAAATGTCCAAGGCAGAAAAAGTTTGTCATTATCTGAATGAAGACTGTTCCAACAGGAGGGAAGTTGCTAGTGCTGGGGGAATGAAGACCAGTAAGGCTAGAGAGGTAAGATCACGAGTCATCTTTCATTAGGGTGACCATATAATTTATCCCAGGGATCCCTGAGAGGGCGAAAGGGACAATATTAGTAATTATATCAGGATATCAGGTATAATTCAACCAGGCAAATAAGGAGATATGGTTATCCTACTTACAGTCCACATTAAAGAACATAGATTTACACTATGTATAATCGGAAATCATTTCAGTTTTAAAGTGAGGGATAACACAATATTAATTAATGTTTTAAAATATTACTCTAGCCCTGGCTTGTGTGGCTCAATCGATTGAGTGTGGGCCTGTGAACCAAAGGGTAGCCAGTTTGATTCCCAGTCAGGGCACATGCCTAGATTGTGGGCCAGGTTCCCAGTAGGGGGTGTACATGAGGTAACCACACATTAGTGTTCCCCTCTCTTCTCTCTCCTTTCCCTTCTAAAAATAAGTAAATACAATCTTTAAAAAATATTACTCCAGCTACTTAATGGAAGATGGGTCTGAGGATTGGGACTAATGGGTCTGATGGGTGGGAGAAGTTCAGAAACTACCTGGAAGCCACTCTAACAGTGTGGGTGAGAAATGATGGGGGCCTGGACTAGAGAAGAAGAAGCAGAGATGGCAAAAAAAAAATATCTGTACCCAATTATTGAAAGATATAATCAAAAACGCTTAATAATAGATTAGATGTTAGTGAATAAAAAAGAGTAATCAAGAAGGATAGGTCCCAGAGCAATTACATTTACCAGGTTGCTATTTCCTAAGATGAAAGCAAGCACTGAACAAGTTTCATGAAGGAAATCCAAAGTTCAGTGGGAATATGCTAAGTCTCCGATACCTTAAATACATTTAAGTGGAGATGCCAATAAGCAGTAAGATACTTAAGTCTGGCATACAGAGGCACACTTACCTATAAATTTGGAAGACATAACCCTATAGCTAATATTTAAACCCAGAGAGAGTGAAGAGAAATAAAAAAGAAATTTGAGCTAAAACTGAACCTGGAAAACTCCAAGTTCAGAAAAGGAAGGAGGAACTGGCAATGGAAACTGAGAAGGATACAGAGAAACTAAAAGAAAATCTATGTGGTACCCTGATCTCTTTTAGAAATCAAGAGAACAGAGATGTTTTAAATCTGAGGAAGCTGTCACCTGGAGATGGGAAGCGCTATAATAAAATGACAGAAAACCATCCACTGAATGTGCAACTCTCTTGTCATCAGTGACCATGAGGAAGTGAAGACAAAGCAAGTAGATAATTCCTTCAAAGTAAGATACCTAGAAGGAAGGGACAAAACAGAAAGTGAAAGGGGAGGAGACCAGGAGAGGAATCTCTTCTTAAGCTTGGAGGTCCAGGATTCATGCCGACTGTAACAATCCTATAGAGAGAGGTGCTGGTGATTGCAGACATAAAGGGATAACTAAGCCTTATGAAAGCAGGAGGGGCACGACAAGAGGAGCCTGGCTTTCAGGGGAAGAACACTCCCTCCCAGGTAGCAGGAGGGTAGAATGTGACTGGATTTCAAGAGGGTTTCTGAATTTGGTGTTGGGAAGATCAGTAACCTCCCCTCTGGTAACTTTTGTCTCAACAAGATCATAAGCTGAAAGTGAGGAGATGAGAAGTAGGTATGGAAGTGTGAGAAGTGACAATAATTATAAATAAGCATGTTTAGGATTATGAGATATAGTTTACTAAAGAAAAATGAAATTTTGGGGGTGACGGTGAGTGCCCATTTGGCAATGTAAGTCATGAATTTTTAGCGATACCGTGTGTCTAGTTGTGTGATTTTTCTCCACAGCATTTTCCACCTCAATTAAATAGTAATTTAATGTTAATGCTCTGTATTATACTTGCTTTACTTTGGCTTTTGAAGATAGTATAACTCATAACTGTTTAAAAATTAAGTGTAACTAATCAATATCTATATTCCACTTTAATTTTTTAATCCAAATTATGGTGTTATTTTATATTAAACCTACAGACTATATCTTTGATGAGCTTTAATTACAGTATTAATATTAAAAAGAATAAAAATTCATTTTAAAAGAATCAAACCTGTGTTAATTCAGAATCATTCCTTTGACTTGCAACAATTAAATAATCTTGACTGTCTGAAGTGAAATATCTTACTTGAGAACTTTCTGAAATAATTATTGTTTGTACCTGCAAGGAAGACAGAACAGTAAGAATAAAAATTTAAAGTAGAATACAGCTAAAAGAGGATCTTTTAGTAATATGTAACACAGTAATAGTATGAGTTAGTATTTACAGTTCAAAGCTTGAAAAATCATTCTGATCCCTAGATATGCCTATCTAGGGGTCATTTCAAGAAAGACGAAAATACCCCTGGACCAAAACACCTTTGCTCAAATGTGTAACAACTTGCATGGAACATACATCATCTTCCACTTAGATCAAGCTTACAAATCTAATTGTCCTTTTAAATAAAGCAATCTATTAAAAAGTAAAGTTTTTGTTGTTTCTTTTACCAGGTATAATTTGAGTCCAGATGTGAATGTATACACACTGTTAACAGAAGGCTTTTGTTCATTCCTTTTTTCATGAGTGATCACAAAGTAGGGAGAAAGACCAATATGAAAGGCCTTGCAAGTTTTAGGATTTTCTATATTTAAATCCTAGAAAATAAGGAATAAGAATAACAGTAATTCATGAGGCATCCAACATTTACATGTATATCTTATTTTGTATACTGTAAAATAAGTGATGCTTTTACCTCAAGTGGAATAAAAACCCCTTGCCATCGGTAAAGAGTAGAGGACATTTTTCTTAACATTATACCATATACTGAATCTTCCAAAGTAAAGAAACACCAGCCAGAAGCCGATACATCAAAAAAACTCTGAAATATGGAAAATACAATATCCATTCCCCCTGAAAAACATAAATCATAATTTACTACTGTGTAAATGCTTGCAAAGTTTATCCACTCTAATTTATTATTCAAACAATGAAACTCATTCTTGACATGGCACTGAGAACATCTTCAAAGTGCAAACGTGATCACACCACCTTATGCCGTACACGCAGAGTAACCCTCCCCAATGCCTAAGGCCTCGAAGGCTTCCCATTAACCTGCAATTAAGACAAATGTCTTTAATATGTTCTTCAACCTCCTGAATGATCTAGCCTGATCTAACTCTTCAAATTCAACACTCCCCTTGTTTCCAACCCAATGTCCTCTCTGAAGTTTTTCATTTATGTGCTTTTTTTAATGACTTGACTTTTGCCTCATTCACGTCCCACTTTTTCTTCCATGTTCCTCCAAAGTATGTCTTTGCACAGTCAATCCCTACTCAGCATTTTGCCTTAGTTTAGATTTTGATACACCGGAGAAGCATTCATTTAGGTTCTCACAACACCAAGAACTTCCCTTTTAAAACATCCAGTATAGTTGAAACTACACACTGATTTTTGCTTGTTTTATCTCCGTCACCCCCCTAAATTCTAATCTATGTGAGTTTAGTCCCATGCTTGGCACATAATAGGCACTCAATAAATATTTGTGGATGCAATAAAATAATTAGATATCTGTTCCCAATTTCCAACAGATCCATAACATAGAATTCATCAGGGAATATGTCAATCTCATACATGCAATCTTTCTTGGTTATGAAATTTTGTTCTCATAAGAAATTAAACGTACTCATGCCAAAGGCTGTTTCAGACACTGTCTCCCACTCCACACTCACAGCTAAATCAATGCCATTGGTACGTGAAACATTTAAATACACAGTCCTGTTGGCTTCTTCAATACTTATAGAGGTGGCTCTAAAGGAAACAAACAGATTATGGAAAGCAGAAAAAGAGCATAATTTCTACATATTAAAATATATATCACATTGCTAGAATATATTTAATACATTTTTAAATTTACACTAGCCAAGGTCAGATCCATCCACAAATTTTACACAGCAGTAAGACTAGACTCTAGAGCTCAAAAAATTCATTTAAGAAGATATTTTTAAAAGCATAAATATAACACTCTGATATTAGGATCATAACAAAACACTGATAATCAGTAACTTCAGTACCTTTGTGCTACATATTCTAAAAGATAAATGAAACACTGTTATTTCTCATATAAACCAAAAACATGTTACAGGAAAAAATAAGTCAGGAATTCTTGGTGTATTAGTAAAACTAGATCTAATGAAATATTTTTAAGATATCGAAAATAAATATCTTCATCCTCTAGAGGGAATTTTAAGCCATAATCATGTTAATATATTAACATGTTAAGAGTCATTCATTTAGTGTGAGTAACTAAAAATAATTTTTATTATTTATCATTTTTAACTATATTGAAAAAAGAAAGCAGTACAAGCCATTACCTGCAATTACAAACTCTGAGAAACTAAGAATTTTAATAACATCACTATGCTGGACATGACTAGATTTCTGATGGTCCCTGATGTGAGAGGACCTACGGCCTCTCTGGTCTATCTGCTAGAGCTCTTTTTAAAAGACCCCTTTAAGAAAGTCAGAGATCAATCCCCTTCTGCATTTTCTTTATGTCAAAAAATATTTTCTAACTGTACTTGAACAATTAAAAGAAAAGAAAAGGAAAAAAAATTTTCCTAATTAGCTTCAGAAGTGGCAACTTCCTTATGAATAAACTATACCTATTTGCAACTGCAGAGATACTGAATAGTCCCAGAGGGGCCTGGTTTTGTAAAACTGTTATCAGGGTTTGAACACGTGTCCCTAGTCTAGCGCCTCCAGTTGGATTAAACAAGGTGCAAACAAAATGCTCATCCATTTCTGGTTCCGTGTCTAATATAGCTGAGATGTGTAAGGCCTGAAAATAAAATCAAAAGATAAAGTTACTAAAATATAGTATGTCTACAACAGAGAAATCTAGTAAACATTTTTAACAATATAATAACATGTTTCGGAAAACATCACCTATTCTTAAATTTTAATACTGATCCTCATAATGTGATAGTTGCAATTATTTCTAGCTACTACGTTCAAGACTTTCAACACTGTAATATATTGCACTGAAGTGTCTAAAAATATGTATATGTAGAAGAGTAGATAAAACAACTATGGGACATTTACACAGTGGAATACTACTTGGCCATAAAAAAGAAAATTTTACCCTTTGCAACAGCATGGATGAACCTGGTTATGGTTTATGGAGAACATTATGCTAAGTGAAATAAACCAGTTAGAGAAAGACAAATATCATCTGCTTTCACTCATATGTGGAATCTAATGAACAAACAGAACTACCAAGCAAAATAGAGACAGACTCATAGATAAGAGAGCAGGATGACAACCACAGGGATAATTAGGGGATGGAAGGATGGAGCAAAAAGGAACAAGGATTCATGGACATAGCAGTGTAGTGACTGGGTTGGGGGGAAGGGGGTATAAGAGGGATAAATGGTAATAGAAAATACAATAAACATTTTTTGAAAAGAAATATTTATGGCATTTAAAAATGTTAAGGTTCAAAATTAATTTTATATATTGATTTTTGTTCATTCTTTATTCTGCTTTAGCTACACAATTGTAGCCTAGGATTCACTGTTGAAAACCAGTTATAACCACTGTAGGCCCAAATGAGAAAAAACAAATGTTCATCAACAAGAGAATGGATAAACAAATAGTGGTCTATTCCATGAAATGCTACTTAGCAATTAAAAAAAAACCAGCGAACTGATAATATGGGCAACTACACAGATCTCAAAAATTACATAGCACAAAAGAAGCCAGACACCAAAGAGTACATACACTATGATCTACTTATATGAAGTTAAAGAAACCAGGAAAATGAGCCTTTAATGATAGAAATTAGAAAGTAGTTTCCCCCGGGGGGGAGAGCAAGAAACTTTTCGGTGATGATAATGTTCAATATCCTAATTTGAGTGGTGGTTACATGGACATACACATATTTTTAATATCATTAAGCCATACACTTAAGATTTGTGTATTTTATTGTTTATATTTCAAAATCAAAATGTGTGGAAAATAGCCACTGTGTGTTTGAATGAAAAACGTACTTATTTCAATTTCTTTAACACTTAATTTGCCTAATGAACAGAAAGGTTTTTAAACACATGATGAAAAAGAGTCTTTTGAGAAAACACCACATCGAAATAATTTAAATACTTTTAAACTTTTAATATAACTTAAAACATTTTTTAAAAAGCCTGTGAATGTAAAGCAATGGCAAATTATTAAAATACTTCAAATTTATATTCTTTAATATCTGTATCAAAATGTAAGTGTCCTTGAAAAAATCAATAAAAGCTGCCAAATTTATAAAAACATAAAAAAATTAAACATGCAAATGAATGTACATTTCAAGATTTGTTCAAATTTACACAAACTAATCATAGATAAAATTATTTAATTATTGGATGGACTGTTTTTAGATGGAATAGTTTAAAACACATTATTTTGGAGTGATCATACTTCATTATATAGCTAGCCTAAAAAATGTGTTAAACTAATGCAATTAGCTATTTTAAACTTAAACTAGCTAAGTTTTCAAACTAGCTAAGTATTTTCAAAATAAAGTTTAGTAACAGAAACAAAATTAATAATATATAGGAAAAGAGCTTCCTGAAGATAAACTGCTGATAGTATAGATCACATTTATAATTAATCCAAATTCAGCATTTTTTTCTTCAATAAGCTATTCCCAGTCACACAGGATACTTGCTTCAGAAACAAGCAGCCTGAAGTAAGCAGTTATGTTTTGCTTAACAAAAGTATGTCAAGATGGAATGATTGTGCTGAGGCTTAATGACTACAAAGAATGATTTAGATTTCTTTTAGCTTATGGTTTATACATTAATAAATTGAAGTAAGCATTTGAATATGCTTAAAATCTAAAATAGCAATACATATACTTTATTACTTGCACATTGCAAATTTGCACATACCTAATTAACAGAGCACATTTTTCTAGTTGCACTCTATAAACTTTATAGCACTATGATATTTCCATATAGTGATTTAATTATATATTTACCTAATACCTATGCTGGAAAGATTCTTTAGAAAAAGAATCTTTAGGACCTAGGATACTTTTCTAAGATAATACTAGTTTGTACATATAAAAAATAATCATTCATTGTCAGTGAAGGTTCATACTGTACCTTGAATCGAACACCTTCTTCTAAAACAACATAGCCTTTGGAAGGAGTGAGATCTTTAGACTCCACTGAAGAATTCACTTCAGTCACGATGAACTGAACTGTCACAGTTCCAAACAGCCCCTGTGCAGGCTCCCGAATGATGTGTAATACTGCAACACTCTCCTGTACATAGAGAGCTGTTGGCTCACTCAGAAAAAAGTGCTCACTGTTGTTAAATGATAGAACTCCAGGGCCATCATCATTAGCAAGGACAGTAATTAAGGCTGTCAAAATAAAAATATTAAAATAATAAATGAAAATAGAATGGCTGATGAGTGCTGAGAACTGTGTGGATGTTTCAATTTAAACTAGGCCAACTCTTCTCTAGATCACCTTAAAAGCAAGATTTCTTTTCTCCACATTGTTATGTTAAGCATTCCCATTGTCAAGAAACAAAGAAATTTTTTAAGCATTTAATAAAATTTATATGCATTTATGATATAAAGATACTCCAGTAATCTCAGAATGAAAGGCAGCTTGCTCAGCCTGATGAAGTGATTATCTCTCAGGAGCCCATAGAAAATAACAAACAATGTTAAAGATTAGAAGCATTGCCACTAAAAACAGAAACAAGATAATGATGCCTGTCATCATTGTTCTGGAGCTGTCAACCAGGCTACAGGCATAAAAGCAGTAGAGCCCTGGCCAGGTAGTGCAGTTGGTTAGAGCATTGTCCTGACACATCAAGGTTGCGGGTTTGATCCCACTCAGGGCACAGACAAGAGTCACCAGTGAGTGCATAAATGAGTGGGGCGGTGAATCAATGTTTCTTTCTCCCTCTCTGCTTTTCTTTCTTTCTCTAAAAAATATCAATCAATAAAAATTTTTTAAGTAATAAAAAATAAAAACAATGAAGAGTCAGAACTGTTCCTGTTTTCTAGACGACGCAATTGCCTTCTTGGAAAATGCAAGAGAAAAAAATTATTAGGATACTCATGAGTTCAAGACATTAGCAGAGTAGTCTTCAAAAATAGAGTTTTTACTTTTCACTACCACTAATAATGATGACTAATAAGTCATCAAGAATAATGACTAAAACAGCAACTAATATTACTGAGAACTTACAAATTCCTTATATGTATTAGTTCATTTAATTCTCACAATATCCTATGGTTGTTACTATTATTATTCCCATTTCAACTATGACTGATGCACACATAGGTAACTTACAGAAGCCAACAAACTAGCTAGTGTCAGCACAGCCGCTCAAAGTTAGGGCGTCTGCTTCAGAGCAAATACTTTTAAAGATTATTATAATATCTCTATCATCAGCTATAATGTATTAAAATGTAAGAGAAAAGGGACTTCATTCATGACAACAATACCTAGGAATCAAAGTAAACTACATAACAACTATATGAAAAGGTTATACGATGTTAATGCATGACAGTGGCAGATGCTGTCAGTGGCTCACATATCCCCACCCTGGCCCACTCTTGAGTCACCTTCAGCAGTTCCCTATGCCCACTGGTCTCTCTAAGTGAGGACAGCATCAGCTCATAGAGGAATCAGGCTAGAACTGCTGGAGACTTCACACTCAAAAGAAATCCTCAAACACTGAGGGGCAGAAAATGGTGAACGAATACCCCAGCTTCCTTCCTTCTCAGTGGGACAGCCCTGAGCATTGTTCCATTCCTGTCTAACAAGGACCACAGCAGGACTGAGCCCAGTTGCCCACAGCTGTACCATTCATCAGCACATCGCTCAGGTTTCCTTTCTCTGTCTCACTTATTTCTTGCTATGCTTCCAAGATCACCTCCCAAATAAATTCACTTCCATCCAAATCCTTGTTTCTGGTTTGCTTTCGAGGAAATGAAACCAGTGTCATAGTCACTAATGAGCAAAGAAATGAAAAATGAACAATACAACCACATGTTTTTCATTTATTAGAATTAGTTTAAAAAATTAAAGACCAAAGAGATTACTGGTGAGGATGTGGAGAAATAACAATTTTATATGCACCTTTGGATGTGGGTAATATGAAGGTGATTGGTGATCTTTCCTCTCAAAATCCACTGTACTCAATAATCTTAATTACCAACGTATACATAGATTTATATACAAAGGTATTGATTTAAACTTTATAAAAGTTTAGAAACTGTGTAAAGGTCAATTAATGGAGCATGGTTAAAAAAATTACCTACTATTAAATCACTTATTATTTTTAGGAATTTTTAAAATATTTAAACAAGAAAAACAGACAGACTGATAGATGTAGAACAGTTGACAGCTAGTGGGGAGGGGTCGGTTAAAGGGTGGAGGGACTGAGTAAAAAGGAAAAAGAACTCATGGACATGGACAACAGTGTGGTCACTGCTGGGGGGAGGGGGGCTATAAGAGCACTAAGTGGTAATGGAAAAAATACAATAAAGATTGAATCAAAGACAGGAAATTACAAGCATAAAGTAAATACAAGAGAGCCCAATAACACACTCCTTCCTACTAGCCATGGTGGCAGGCATATAACCTATGTAACTCCAATCGGAACTGGATCAGGAGTTTTTAGAATGCTTCACTTTGAATGCTCTCTTTCCTATCACATGGAATGTAGAAGAATGATGCTGATGAGCATCTTGTGACAAGTAACATAAGCCCTGGGATAAAGCCAATACTGCAAAGGTAAGAAGGAAAAACAAAAGTGTCTTTGGACAGTTTTAATTGGGTTTTCTATTGTTTATGCATAGAGGATTCTTAACCAATGCATGATGTCCATTCTACCATTCTTCTCACACAACCCACTATGCTCTATGGCAAAATAATTTCATCTTGAACATATACTCTTTGAATTTAAAATAATGGCTATAGCCTCAAGAAAAAAAGGCTCTGGAGACTTGGAAATATCCATTTATTTTAACATGGCAATAAAAGCAAAATCCAGTTCTTTGGTTACTAAAACTCTTTCATGGTTTTCACTACAAATCAGTTTTTCATATAATGGACAATAACTTAGAAATACCAAGGTTAATTAAATAAGGGGCATCCCAAAGAATATTCAGCCACTGGCTGAAACAGAAGAGTCAGTCAACACTCAGTCTTCTAAATCCACCTGCCTTATCTATCACCACGGGAAGGGAATGAAGTGACTTTTTAGAGCCCTTCTAACCCTAAAGTTCTGTGTATCCATGAGGTTTCCTCATTTTCTTTTTTATCTTCTCCAAGCAGTCAGCATGATAGCTAACAATAGTGAACAAAGATTACTTTTACTAACAATATCAAACTGTTCCAACCAAAGAATTATGCCTCCCATTGTCAATCTTCAGGTGGCATTACATTTCACCTGTGAAAATGCTACTGCAACTGGATGACACTGACACAGCCTCCTTGTCATCCTTTCTATTGCTAAACAGAAAACTAGGGCAGAATTCAAATTTCAAAGGAAAGGCATTTACAAATTAAATAAAAAACTATAGTAAGAGTGGAAATGATTTAACATTATCATTGCTACCAACCTACTTTTTTGTTTTACACACACACACACACATGCTAGAAGCAGTTACACTGACACAGAAATTCCAAAATGCTCAACTTAAAATATTTTTTATTCTAAGCATAAAAAACCATCAGGACTCTCTAATCCCTTTACATCACACTCCATATTAGGAAAAAAGTATGAAGTGGAGGGAGCTGTGTATAAAAAATGATCAGTTACCCACCTATTGTATTTCCCCCCAGCTCTAGTCCAGGAGAAGGATTGGTTAAAATCAGCTGAAATTTTTCATCTCCTTCTGGAATATCATCATCAAGAATCATGATGTCAACACTTTTATACCTTTCTCTATCAGCAAAATGAAGAATCTAGTCAAGAAAGTAAAAGTAGATGGTATTATATTTATATACATTCTGTGTTTTACAGAATGGAAAGAAATACAATATAGTTGTAAAAGTGAAATAAACTATTTAACAGGGGTTTTTTCCTTATTTTTTGCATGATCTTTTTAAATTTAAATCAACAATACTAAGTTTTGAAAATAAAATTTGTGGCAGAGGGAGTAAACTTTTGGTTAAATAATAAAAGAAATGATGAGACAAAGTAAAAACTATTTTTAAACACTAAATGTGTTTCAAGGAAATTAAAGAAATAAGAGTTACATTTTTAAGAAGCATAAGAAACACTCTGAGGTCATCTAATGATATAAATTTCTTAACATTATAACTCTCCAATATTAAATATTATAATCAATTAATCAAATGTAGAATAATCATTAGAATAGTACTAAAAATTAAACACATCTTAAAATAAAAATGAAAAGAGCTATTCTACCATGTGGAAATCTTCTGTCCTAATTTACTATGGAATATATCATGGTTTATTATTTTAAGATTTACTTATACAGGACCTAAATCATTGTAATTCTCACGGAATTCACCATTGGGGTGAAGCTGTAATCCAGCCCCAGCTGAGCTTCCAGATTCTGGGCGTACACAAATAAGGAAACGTGGCCAAGTGCCCCTTGGCTTCTTTGGGCTACCAGTGTTAAACGTCCTTGGGTTTCATTAATATCAAACCTATAATGAAAAAAATACATACATTTTTTCCTTATAAGCTTTTATTCTATAAATAGTAAAGAGTCTGGAACTCAGACAGGGCTCTCAGGCGACCTTGGCCTCACCTGCTATGTTGCCACTCGATTATGCCTCGAGCACCATCGTTGGCATCAATTATGATTTGTGCGGTCAAGCCTTCTGAATCTGAAAAAATCATAGAAATGTAATTTAACATAAATGTAAATGATTTGAAAAGCACTATTTAATACAGAATTTAAAGATAATCTCTCTGAAACTATATTAATTCCTAATTTAGAGACATTGGTGATATTCTTCAAAAGATGTTTAAGAAAATAGACATAAATGCTTATAACATCTGAATAAGAAAACTTTTTGCTAACAAAAGGCACTGACTTATTAAAATTTAATCAACTGAGAAGACTAGGAAAGAAGAATCTACAGCTATAGTTTTATTTCTACTATTTTAATCCACTTCAAGAAGAAAAGAAAATGGGGACAGTTGGAAAATAGAAAGAGCAAGAAAAGAGAAAGAGAAGTGAAGAGAGAGGAAGGGGGTACTGCAGAGGAAAAAAGAGACACAGAGACAGACACAAAAAGGTGATGCAGGTGGGAGAGATGGGGAAATGATTCAGAGAAACAAAGGCAGACTAACACTGAAGTAAACTTTTCTTACCCTTTTGTATTCTGTCCACCCAGTTCAGTATGTTACCAATGTCCATTATTCAGTCTTGAAATAGTAACTAACCCAGTTACCATTGTTTTGTTTTTTTAAATATTTTGTCCTTTACTTTTTAAATTTCAGAGGCACTACCTTAATATGAGGTACTTAGGGCAGCTAAGCAGGGAAAGGGTATGGAAAGTATAATTCTCTCTGAGTGAAGGGAACGCATTGTTGAACAAATCATATGAATGCGGCACATTGCCCCTCACACTAGAGGCTGCAAAGCAGACCAGCTCCACCATCCTACTTGTGTGACTTTGGGCATGTTCCTTAGCTTCTCTTAGGCTCAGCTCACTTGTTCGTAACATGGGAAGCTAATAAGGAATAAGGGTACTAACATACAAACTACTTGAAATGGGAGCATCAGAAAGCACTCAATAAAAATTAAACTCTTCAAACTGCCTTTAATATGAGTCTGAAAGAAATGTGAATTATATTATTAGTTTTCTTAGTATGAATGATAATTATCATCTAATAAGCACTTGATGTCAACAGCCAGTCATTAGAATCATTTATTTCTTTTGCAAAAGAATTGAAAATTTTCAAACAACTGTGTTATAAACTGATGGATTACTTTTGATATTTTCAAAGTTGTCATGTTGAGCCTCATAAGTGAATAAGAAACGTCTATTCCCAAGGCCATTGCTCTTGGCCATGCTTCTCCTGCTTTAACCCAGATTAATTTCCCCTCCACCCAGGTTACCTCAGTGCTACTCACTACCACCCCCTACAGGGCCATCACACCTACAGGTTTCCAACAAAACCTCCCAATATTAAATGTCCAAACCACAAACAAGAGTTTGTGTTTTAAAAAGAAATAATCTACATAAATGTGTACTAAGGTTCAAGTTTTACCTTTCAGTCTGTAATGAATTAACTGAGTCTTTTCTAAAGAATGAAAAGGAAGAGATAAGAAGTCAAAAAAGAAACAAAAACAGAACAAACACACAAATAAAAGCTCTGCCTAACCTAAAAGAAAATAAAATTATTTGATGATTTGGAGACATAATGGAAATAGCAAATTAAATTTTAACAAAAAAATAATGCCTTCCTAAAAATTACTTCTATTTTAAAGGTTACAAATTCATTTATAAAACAGTTGTAAGATGTAAAAAGCATCACACAGTAATTCTTTGGTCAAAACTGTAAGACACAATAGTCTCTAAATTAAAATAAACCTAAAAGCATAGTTATTTTCACACATAGCTGATGTTTTTCCTTTTAATTAAATTTATTGGGGTGACACTGGTTAACAAAATTATACAGGTTTCAGGTGCACAATTCCACAAACACACCATCTGTACACTGTACTGTGTTCCCCACCCCAAGTCAGGTCTCCTTCCAACACCACTTATCTGCCCTGTGCCCTCTTCCATAACCCCTCCCCCTGCAATAGCCACACTGTTGTCCCCTCTCCCCCTACCCAGCACCCAACACATAGCTGATATTAACAAACATCACAATGATCACTTCTGATTAAAAAATAAAGTAACTTTATTTTGTTTGCAGTAAGTAAGAAAAAAGAAACAAAAACCCAACATACCTAGTCTAGGAGGAAATGAAGTTAAAGGAGCCATGATAAGTTCAACATATGTTAAGTTCACAAGGAAATATTCTTCTAGTTCTGGTATATCATCCTGCAAAATGTATAACCATTAAATTCCCTATAATTTAATGCTCTCAAAGTAATCACCTGTTACAAGCTGTTTTGTAAATGATCTTATAAATATATATGCTTTAACAGTATACAGGAAATATAAAAATGATAATAGAAAAGATTAACACATCTTAGCAATTATTTTTATAATTGGAGACCAAAAACAAAGGTGACAAAAATAAATGAGAAACACTACATCAAACAAAAATGCTTCTGCACAGCAAAGGAAACCATCAACAAAATGAAAAGGCAACCAGCGGAAGAAAAACAAATGTGCAAATCCTATATTTGATAAGGAGTTAACATTCAAAATATATAAAGAGCTCACAAACTCAATACAAAAAAATCAAACAATCTGATAAAAAATGTGCAAAAGAGCTGAATAGACATTTTTTTCAAGGAAGATACACAGTGGTCAACAGGTACACGAAAACGTGCTCAAAACACTAATCGTCATGGAAATGGAAATGAAAACAGCAGTGAGATATCACTCTTAGAATTGATAGTCAAAAAGACGTGGGTTAAGCCTTGGCAAAGATGTGGAGCAAGGGGACCCTTATGGTCTGTTGGTGAAACTGTAAATTGATGTAGCCATTATAAGAAACAATGTGGAGGTTCCTTCAAAAAAAATCCAGCAATTGCACACCTGGGTGTATATCCAAAGGAAATTAAAACAGGATATCAAAGAGATATATGCACCCCCTTGTTCACTGCAGCATTATTCACAATACTCAAGATATAAAAACAACCCAAGTGTTTGTCAAGGAATGCAGGGATGAAGAAGATGAACTACACATACACACACACAGCCCTGAATGAAGCAAAATATGCAGCCATGAGAAAAACTAAATCCTGCCATTTACAATAACATGGATTGACCTTCTGAGCATTATGTTAAATGAAATAAGCCAGACAGAGGAAGACAAATACTGCATGTATACTTATATGTGGACTCAATTTTTTTTTAAAGTTGAACTCATACAAAGGGAAGAAAACTGGTTGTCAAGGAGTTGGAAAGATTGGTAAAAGAGTACAAACTCAGCTATAAGATGAATAAGGTCAAAAGATCTAATATAAATCATGGCGACTACAGGTAATAACACCACACTGTGTAATGGAAATGTGTAGGAGAGTGAACTTTAAATGAGGTCACACAGGGAAAAAGATAAATGCGTGAGGATATGTTAAATAGAAGGGGGGGCCTCTTTCACAGTGTATGCACATATCAAATTATCACAGTATATACACACTTTAAATATCTTAGAATTTTATGTGATACCATGCAGTATATTTGTTAATTATGCTTCTATAAAGCTGCATTTTCTTAAAAAACTGTAAAGATATTAGGTTGGCTAAAAAGGTGGTTTTTTGTTATTTTTTTTTCTGTAAGATGGCTCTAGTTGTCATTAACTTCATTTGGAACAATTTTGTTAATTTATATTGTAACAGCTGTCGTATCAATGTGCATTAAAAAAAACTTACCAAAATTAGTGAGTTTTTGTACAGCCATTTTAATATTGAAGACGGAAGAAAATACACAACATTTTCAGCGTATTTTGAATTATTATGTCAGGAAAGGTAAAAACGCAACTCAAATGCAACAAAAGATTTGTGCAGTGTATGGAGAAGGTGCTATGACTGACAGAACACGTCAAAAGTGGTTTACAAAGTTTCGTGTTAAGAGATTTGTCTCTGAACGATGCCCCACTGTCGGGTAGACCAGTTGAAGTTGAAGGCAATCAAATTGAGACATTAACTGAGAACAATCAATACCACATGGAAGATAACTGACATACTCAAAATATCCAAACCAATGAAGTCATTGGTGAAAATGAAAAATATGTCCTTTGTTTTACAGAAAAAATCGTACAGACTTTTTGGCCAACCCAATGTTTTTTTTATGTTTATTTAATTTATTTCTTTAATTTTCTTTTTTTTAAAATAAATTTTATTTAGTTATTTTTCAAGTACATTTTTTTTATCTATTTCTCCCATCCCACCCCCCCTGCCCCGTCTCCCCCCTCCCTCCAATTTCCCCTCCCCCAGTCCTCATCTCTGCGTCCCTCATACTTGTTCCTCAAAATCCCTCCCCCTTTTTCCCCTTAAGTTCCCTTCCCTCTCCCCTCTGGTCGCTGCCCACTTGTTCTCTATTTCAGTGTCTTTGTTTTTATTCTGTTTGCTTGTTTGTTTTATTCTTTAGCTTCCTGTCAAAGGTGAGATCATATGGTATTTGTCCTTCAATGCCTGTTGGCCAACCCAATATTAAACTTATACCTGATTGTATGATAAATTATTAGGCTGAACTACATGAAATGGCTAATATATCATTTTAAACATCTATATTAATATTATATGTAAACCAAGTATGTAAATATATACAATATATTTTAAATATAATAGGAGCAAAAGATTTGAAATTACATAAATATCCAGTGATTAGGGTGAAGTCTACAAAACTATGAAATACAGGCTTTGCAGACCTACTATTGAATTGTTAAAGTTTAAATTAAGTTACACTTTAAGGCCTCAATTCTGCCATGTTTATGATGATAAAATAATAGCTACTTTGGAAATTATCATAATGATTAAAAATAATGTGTGGAGTACCAGGCCTACAGAGAGTAACCTTTAAAAAGTGATAGCTATTTGTTACACTGTTACTATTAAACACTAGGCACATAATAGCAGTGAAAATAAGGCAAGTGCTCAAGAGGACTAGCAAAGTCCATGTCAGCAGTGACCAGACAGGCAACATTTACATAGAAACCTAACGTGTATACATGTATATATAATATCAGTATGTACACACCAACATACACTAATCTCTTCCTTTTATTTAATAAAGATATGTTTCCATGTCAAATAAGAAAATGAAGATGAGTGTCTAAACTCTCTTAGGTACTATAGGGGCTAATGAGAGTCACAGAGTCCATGAGGTACAAGAAACTGCCCCACGCCTGCCCCCACGCAACAACTCTCCCCCCCACCACGCCTTCGCCCAACTTATTTCTGTGCACACAAGCCTGCAAACTCTTACTTTTATGCTACTCGGGGACAGAAAGAGCTTCAAAGACCTAAGGAGATAAAAAAGAAAAAAACTGGAAACTCTGTGTTCATAATACTAGACTCTGTAGAGAAGAGAAGGGCGGCTACCCATTTCCTGCTTTAAAAACTAACATGGCAGAGAAATGATCCATTGATTTATATGGAGTTACATTAATAGATTATATGTGAAATAAGACTTACCTTAAAGTTTTATAAAATCTTGCATTGTATGTGACATACTACCATAATATTACCTTTTATCTTATGGCTTTTGAGTTCTCATACTATCAGATTAGGTCATGATGCCATGGTAATCAACAAAATACAAGTTACTTCAGATGGTAGATGGTTTACCATTTTGTACATGGTTCAAATGGTTCATGATGGTTCATCATTTTGTAAAAGTAAAAAGCCTCTGAGAAATCAAACCCTTTTCAAAATAGAGCCCCCAAATACACAGTAATAAAAAAATCTTTTTCTAAGTCAATATTCCCTCTCTCTCTCTTTGCCCCCCTCCGCCAGCCCCTGCCTGCATACCATCTCCTACCCTCTTCATGTGTCCTGTTTTCATCGACCCCTTATAAATATATCTGGGTGACTGAAACACTAAGTCCCAAAACAGAACAAGATTTCACAATATGAAAAATCATTTAAAACACAGTTTGAGTCACTGATGATTAATTCAGTGTGACCATAACAACATTTTATGTCTTCACTCTCTCATGAGTCATTCAGTACCTCTAATTTCACCAGTCTTAACAACTAAGAGGCTGACCTACATGGATTTGCTGGTACAATTAATCCCTTGGAATAATCAAAATGCTGCTGTAGAATCTCTCAGGCCAATGCTGCACATAATGGGGAATGCCCTAGGGAAATTATCTTTATCACAAGATGTTTCTATAATAAAATGCACAACAGCAGACCAGCCTACTTAAACAACAACAGAAAGGCCTATATAGTTTTTAAAAAATCACAAAGAGGTAAGCTGATATAAAGGTACTAGAGAATATTCTATCAGTTTCTACTTTTTATGCAGTTATTGAGGTTTAAAACACTAGTACAAAACAAGAGTTTTACCTCAAGTATAGTTATGTTGATGGCAGCTGCTGTTACCCCTTCTTCTAAAATCAGAAAGCCAACTACCGGGACAAAGTCGACGTCTGGCTCAGCTAGGTTTCCTTCTGTCTGGTTCTTCAGACTCAACACTCCAGGAAATGTAGTGTATGTGACATTAATGGCTCCTAATCAAATTGGATTGGAAAAGATTTTATAATTAAACTTTTAAAATAGAGTCTCATCAGAAAATCACTGGCTTCCCTAAAAGCACCTGCAATTGCTTATATAACTAGCCCTATCACCTTGCCCCTTCCCATATCCTCGACCTTTACCATGTAATGGCTCAGTGACATCCCACTGTGGACAGGCATACTGCCCTGCCTCTAGACCTTGAGTTTGGTTGTATGACTTGTGTTGGCTGACAGTACAAAGTAAAAGGGATGATGTGCTAGTTCTGGGCCCAGACCTCAGGGAGCTTGGCATGCTTTTGCTTGCTTTCTGGTATCTCTCCTGGTCCCAGGAGAAGAATGAGAGATGTATGGAGTAGAGCCACCCCAAGCCCCTAAGTTAGCAGACCCACAGCAAACATTATTATTATTTGATACGAAGACTCTGTGGCTATTTGTTACATAGCATTTTGTGACAATATAAAATTCCATTAATCTTTCAAAAATAAAGAAGTTATAAAGTCCTATCCTGAACTAATAGACATTAATGCTTTTCCTGTCCTGATTTATATCAGCAATGGCTTTCACCCACACAAGTAGGATACTTAGAAGCATATTCCTAGAAACTCATTCATTCTAGAGCAACACAAACCTAGAGATCCAAATTCTCTATTGATGAAAAGCTGAATTGTTACATTAGCCTCTTGTAGCAAAACAAATCTTGATGAAAGAGCAAAATTTAAAACTCCATGTGGTTCATCACTGGCTTCCACAGTCAGGACAGCTGCATACCCTTGAGCGTCAAGCAGAGCGATTCCTGCTGGCGAAACTCCTAAAAACATCAGGACCAAAGAATTCTGACAGTGACTGGGCACTAACTTCTAGATACTTAAAGCATAATCACACTCTCTGAAACATATTAAAGTAGATAGAAAGTGTTCTATTTTGTTCATTTCTTTAACAGAAATCTTCAGGTTGAATAACAGGATCTAGCTTTTAATTTCCTTTTTCTAGATAGCAAATTATTAATTTTTTCACTTGATCTATTATTGTCATTATTTACTATACTGGTCATCTGAACTAGAGAAATTTAATAGAAACTGAGGAAAGTGTCCATATAATTTGCTCAAAATGAGTGAATTTGAAATAGCTATATGATAGGTTTATATTATAAACCAATTGTAAACCAATCCAAATTGGTGTGCTAGCATAAAATGACAAAAAAGTCTTCCTTCAAAAATGTATTTTATTCCATAAGAAAATATTCAGCAAAATTTTTAGAGGTTGTTTCTGAGTCCATAAAGATAATATACTCCCATTCTGAGCTGATCATTTTTGGATTTAACATTTTTACAGACGATATATAAATAAAATTTTAATTGGTGTGTATCTAATTATTAAATATATAGATAGCAACTATTACTTTTTCCTGAAGAGAGTTAATATACCAGCAAAAACTTCTGAACTGCATTCTGAATTACCTTGTGTCCTGACATCATACAGAATGACTTGGTAAACTTCCTTCTCCTCAGGAATGCTGTCGTCCAGCAAATGGACACGGATTGTTTTATCCAGTGACCCCTGTGCCAAACAGAAAGCAATTCATTCTGCACTGTCCCTAAACACAAAATATCTCCTACTTTTACTGGCCTTAAAATTCATGCATCCAAACACATGTTTATGTAAACAAACTGTTCTATGGTTTAAAAAAATAAATTAAATTAAAAAGCATTCACTAATGAGAAATCAGGCTTAAGGCACATAGGCACTATTTCTAGAGGATCTCAAATGCTGAGCTGGTCTATGTAGATCTCATCCAATGAGCAGTGCAGCACTGTTGACCATTTCAGACAAAGCAATTTAGCTGGGCAGATTCTGTGGCAGTGGCAAGTAGGAAAAAAACCAGAACAGGGAAAATGCCAGTGCTCCATGGAGGCCGGGGATTAGAAGTCCAATGCAGTACTCAAGGCCCGGCCCAACGCTATAGGCACTTGGCTTAATATTAAGACAGGGGAAATAAAAAGTGTTACACACATTTTCAAACAAGAATTCACCAGGTGAATGTGGAGAAGACAGAAAGATGACGGAGTTGCAATAAAGTGGTACCAAATTTCTAAGAAGTGATTTATGGTTATTTCTCAACCATTACCTTTTTCAAACTATCAGAATCTCTGAATGGCACCTCAAAAATATATCTCTAGTACTATCCTCATGCAATCCTCTGTCATAAGGACATAAAAAGACATTTGTTTTTAGAGCTATGCTTGCTGTTGCCATGCATTTGAAGTTCCAAGCCAGAGTGTAGTAAGAGAAAAGGGACAACATTGTCATCATCTTCAGAAGGATGCAGCTGACAGCAGTGGGAGGCCAGGAGGGCAGCAAGAGAACTCAGCTCAAAAACAGCGCTGGCATTTTTTGTCTCTTTGAAGATCTACAAAGTGCATATGGAAAAACAAATCCGTTCCTTAAGTCTCAAAAATTCTTTCTTCAAGTAATGGTCTTCCTTCAGGGTTGTTAAGCAAGTAACCCTCCCAGCAGCCTCCATTAATCTTTGCATTACATAATCAGAGTTTTCCCAAATTTCTCAAAATGCACTGTTTCCTCTATGTATGTTTGGTAAAGCTCTTCTGGGTGGTCTTACCTCAGGGAAAAAGAGTTGGCCAGTAAAGTTAGCAAAATTGAGTTCTAGGTTTTGCCCAATAATTTTCCAGTTAACAGTAACATTTCCTCGACCAGGGGGTGTTCTTACCACATGGAATTGCAAAATTTCTCCTGCAAGTGAAATGTACAGATTGATAAATGCTAAATGGAAAATGAATTTAACATCCGAACTCAGCAAAACCCAAATCCCAAACATGCAACTATTACAGCACCTTTCCAGAACATTATAAAGCAGTTCTGTTTTGAATTTTCTAGGAGCTTTATACATGCTTATTGTTTATTAACACAGGGAACTCACTTCTAAATACTTCTGTTTAGTAGAACATCAGGAAGTTCAATATGTAAAAGTTACAAAAGCACATGCTATAATGGGAAACACAAACTTTCATACACTCCAAAACATGCACCAGAACATAGATGTTCTATAAACTAAAGAGAGTAATAATATCCTCATGGTCAAAACTAACAATAGCACAAGTAAATTTTCCTTCACTTTTCCAAAGGACACAATTCCTTACACTGATATGCAATGTGATTTTACACAATGCATGCATAAAAATGCTTGCAAATACCTGAAAATCACATTTCTTTAAACTGTAACTTACATATACCATCAATGATTATGTTTTATAAAAAGAAATACAAAGGAAAGGTGTCAAATCTGTACATCAATCTCTGCAACTTCACCAAAGTTACAGTTATCCTTCCTGGGTAACTGAGGTATTTTACATACTCTTCATTCCTGGCTTTCTCCTCATATAATACTTTGTAAAATTGAATAAAATCATTGTAGTCATTCCTTTTAAACTAGTGAAAGTGAAATGTAAGCTCCTATGGATCATTCCTAAGCACTTACAGCAGCCGTGCTGCTGATGGCCATGTGTCTGGCTGAAAGTATGCTCAGTTTGAAAGACTTGCGTGATGACGAATACAAGTTAAGGTATACTAACAAACCATAGCACTAAAAAATAATTATTATTATGAAAAAATAAATGGTATGATCTTTAAAAGGCTTTAAAAGAACATAGCCTTATTCAAATTTTATAGTGTAAAAATAGAGTTGAAAGACATGCATATTCATTAAAAATACCATTTTTACTTAGTTACCCAAATAAGCACGTCTGACAGTTTTTAATTGAGCAGAGTAGAAATGAACAACAAAATATAAACACCCTTTTGATGTGTTTTTAAATTGCCACTTTTTTAATTTCTGAAGTAAAACAAATATTACTAATAGGAAGTTTTCTTAAAATATCATGGATTAATTAATTTGGAAATTATCTTAATTTCAATTAGTAAAAAAAAACAAAATTAAATTTTCATACTAAATTTAAGCACATTTATCTTTAAGACAATGAATTATCTTGGGAAAGTTGGAAATATAAAAAGGCAAAAATATCAAAAGGACTTCTAAATAAGATTTCCTCAAACACTTGAATGTTCAATGTATACATTTTTTAAGTGTTTTAATATAAAAAAATTTAGTTACCATTCTATTAGTAGACTACATCTTGGTTTTTTTAAACATTTAGGAACGACTAGTTAGGAATCGGATTATCAAAAGGTTAGGATATAACTGAAAGACTGTTCAAATGGTCATAATTGTCAGCAAACTATTTAAAATTTTATAACTGTACAGCTCATACAAACAAATACAGGTACTAATATAAATTCCTGGAGTCTCTCTATGGTGATTCATACAAAATTGCTCATAGAGGGTTTGTGTTGAACTAAAAGGGCTTAATTACTGCAAAGCATAGACCAAGCTGTGTAGAAGGAGTCATTAAGCTGTTTTCACCTACAGTGTTGTCTGGTGACACAAAAGGAAGATTTATAAAGTCATGACTTTCAAAAATTTTAAATCATACAACATAGTAATAAAACCTAGTAATACTTCAAAAAGAAAATGATGGAAGCTTGGTCAATGCTAATAATACAATAAAATATAAGAGGCAAGAAAACAAAATGTAGGTCAGTAAAGACCCATGTTGAAGGGGACCCTATAATCATAGTAAATTTTAAAAATTATGGTTGCAAGATTATATATAGTAGTTTGGAAATAAACATACCGTTGTAAGGTAAAATTTAAAATAAAATGCTAAGGAGAGGAAAAAAGTAAAATCATCCTATAAACTTGTAAAACATGTAAACATGTAAAATACATCAACCTGTAAGATACTCAAAATATATACCACTTAATATCACCTTTGAAAATTTAACAAGTTACCATACAAGAAACTGCCAAGAAAATATTGCAAGAAATACAATTTGAAGCATGACGCACACACACACACATGAATAAAATACAAAGCACCCCCCAACACATAATCTTGTGCGCCTACTGCAAACTATTTCAACAGTGTGACAGTGTAAAATTTTTTCGAATAATCAAAATGAAGGTATTAGGTCCATTTTAAATGCCTTCTGGGCAATATTACTAGAATGTCACATTCTACCTGGATAAAAAGTCAAAGAACAGTTTTTAGAAAAGAAACAACTTAAAAACAAGTGCTTAGTCTTCTAGAATAGGAAGAACAGAAGGTAGGCCAGAGAGGGGAAGGTAAATTTTTTTGATAACATACATTTTACCAGGTACTATACTGTCTTCCAGATTTTGCCCCAGATTAAGGACTAAGAGGGGCCCTCATCTACCGAAGAATCTGACTACATTCCTGGAAAAGCATTCTGATATAAAATCTACAGAGTCCACCAAAAGCTGATGATACTCTAAAGCAGATGTATTACAGAGTCTATGCCTAGCCTAATACAGATAAGGAATAGGAATATAAGTACTTTTTAACAACCCTGATTATTTTGTACACTTGTCACCAAAACAAGGATTCTTTTTACAAAGGTAAACAAACAGCAGGTACTTATACAAAAATAATAAACTGAAACACAGAAAACAAACTGATATTTTAATAGATATATGTACACACAGTATACATGTACCATCTAAAGTGACTGCCTTATATAATAGAAAATTATCTAAAACACTCTAGGGATATGAATAACAATAAATACAAACTGTCAATAAGAACTGTTTAAAAAAAGCTGAATGTTTTTAATACAGTTGGCCCTCCATATCCATTGGTTCTGCATCCACAAGTTCAACCAACCCCACATGAAAAATGTGTGGGGAAAAAAGTTATGATTCTGCTGACTTGGAATTATTCAAAATAAAAAAAATTGACACATGTACAGTTTTCTTGTTCTTACTGCCTAAACAATAGTGTGTAACAACTATTTATATTTATATTAGAAATTATAAGTAATCTAAGGATAAATGTAAGCATACAGGATGATGTGCATACATTATACACAAATACTATACCATTTACTATTACAGGACAATACTATACTATGTGAGACTTAAGCATCTATGGATTTTGGAATCCTCAGGCGTCCCAGAACCAACGCCCATGGATACTAAGAGACAAATGTCTAGGTGTTCTAATTTTCAAGAATCATATTTCTTGTTCAAATCTTTGCAAGAAAGGATTCATGCTGTCTCTGAGAAAAGGAAAATCCTTAAATCCATTACCATGACTTGAGACGATGATGCTTTTTCTAAGTTGGGTGACTGAGTGAAATATTTCACACAGACTTTTAAAGAGCATTTCTATACACGGTTTGCAACCACAGTAAAAATAAAATCTATTATCCCTATTTCTAATTCTTCCCATTATATTTAAAAGAAAGTAATATTTACCACTAGACATTTGTTCAATTGCTTTAGGACAAAAATGTTGGAAAAAGAGTCTATAGAATTCAATACACTGTTAAACACTAAACCAATTCCTCCCCATGTACTGAAAATGCATTCTAGAGCCAGAAGTTCAGTACAGTCCATGTTTTAAATCTAATCATATAAATGAAACTTCAGAGATAGGCCAAAAGCAATGCTAGCATTGTTAAACTCCCACAGGGCATTTTTTAAATGCCATTTCTTATGTTATCTTTAATGAAGCTTTCATTAATTCAATCTGGCAAAATTGTGCTTGTTACACTTTTATCTATGTAATTTCACATCAATGTAAAGAGTAACACTCAAAATACTAAATTCTTTAAGTACATATCATGTTTTTGAAAAAGAACATTAACTTAGACTCGAGAAAAAGGTATAGGAATTAAAAAAAAGAAAAAGAAGTAAAAAAATAGAAACTCCTCCCAATTTCTATTTAGAAAATATAAGAAATCTAAGGAGCATTCATGTAAGCTATAAGAGTTATATTCTTGTTGCACATGTTAGCATGAGACATACTGATTGCTTTTGGTAGCTAATGAGAACACACTCTCATCTTGGTCTCTTTCCACCTCTTTGGCAGAACCTTCTCTCCCTCCTCTCAGATCTTTTTCCTGTCCTAGCACCTTAGCCTGGTATTTCACATCTTTATCCTTGACAATGTGCTTTTTCTTTCTCTATCCACAAAGATTTTATTAATTTTTATGATTTCAACTGCTACCTCTTAATGTCCGATTTCCATTTGTAATCTAGATAGAGGCAGGTTCTCTCAATTTCCTTCCCTCATATGAACATTTTTACTCAAATTCATTTTCCTTCCAACTTTAAGCACTGAAAATATTTACCCAAAGCTCCTAAACTGCCAATTTCTGCATCAGACTTTGGTTCCAGCAAAATGAGGTCTCTTCTCATGAACTGCCCTAGAGCATGGCTCTGGGTTTACATAGCACTTGGTTAGCTCCACCATGAATAATGGTGCTATTTAGCTTCTAAAATTCAGCTTCTTTATGTGAAATCTGGTGTACACCTTATACCTATTGCACAGGACAGTTGCTAAAATTAAGTGAAATAATGGGTGTGAAATGTCTGACACACAGAAAATACTCACTAAATGTTATTGCTATCGTCATTACTATGAAGATTAACTTCTCCTGCAGTGGCTTTCCACTTGTATTATGTTACAAACAATTTTTTGATGATCTGTCTTTAGATTGAACTTATGGCTATTTGTTGGTCACTTTCACTATCTCTCCGACAACATGAGATTCTAGGCCACTAACACAAGGAAAGAGTGTTGGGAAATGGCCAGGATATTTGCATGGATAAGCTAAACTCGCAAGTTGGGTGTACGGTGAGATGGAAAGGTAATACTAAAACGCATTTAGTTTCCAGCACAGCAACTAACTAGCTGTACGACCTTGTCAAATCACTTTATCTCTGTGCCTCAGTTTCCTCATCTGTAAAATAGAAGTCCAAATGCATAATCAATATCCTTTCCATTTTTTATCTTTTTCAGGTACAATTTTTTTTATTTCTAAATATGAACTCTAGTGACACACAGGCTGTAAATACCAGTTTCATCACAAACAGGCTTATTCAAAGACAAGAAACACTGCAAGATTTTTTTAACAAAACAATAGTCTATGCTGGGCAGGGCAATAGCAGGTTTATAGTTGTTCATATGAAAAATAATGCAAGAATAAACTCTGTGTTTCAGGTACTCACACCTATAAACCTCCTTTTTCCCTACCCTGTATATGCAACACCTTAAACATAATGTAAAATATTAAGCAAGAATTTGAAAAATCGCTTAAGGAAAAAAAGGACTCATAATTTTTTTCTAGTTTGGCACTGCACTCACAGCACAGAAACCCCTATCTGCTTTGAGCAGGGAGCCGGCGTCTCACTGTTTGATATGAGCAGCTGCCACTGAGTGCATACCCACTTGCCAAGAACTATGTTGAGCAGTTTACATTTATTAGCTCACTTAAGCCTCACAAAGAAAACTATGAAGTAAGTGACATTTGCTGTCATTTAACAGATGAAAAAGCTGAGCATCTAGGTTTCCAGGCATCATAACTTCCTTAAAATCACACCAGCGGGGGTGGAGTGGCAAGCTAGAACACAATACCAATCCACAAGGCTCATAAATACAGTTAAACAGTTCACTGTACAGCCCTCTCCCAAATAAGTCCCATGCACATTAGCATACGAAGCCCTATAAAATGTTGAAAGGATTTAAAAAGTCAGAATCTTTAAAAGACTGAACCAAAAATGGCATCCACAGATAAGAGAAGGAATGTGCTCAACCAAAAAAGGAACCCACCTTCATGGCCTATGACAGATCTGGAAGTTGTCTGAAAGCTAACAATTCCCGCCACATTGTCATTGGCCAAAATGTTCACTCTAACGGTGTCAGAGCTGGGCAAGATCCTACTTCCGCCTTCGGTGTACACCAAACTAATGATGATGCTTTCATCATCCTCTGGCTCAGAATCATCCAAAATGGTTAAAATTATTGTCTTTTTGGTTTCACCTGTAAAAAAAAATAATGGAATAGCAAAATAAAAAAATAACCAACATCACAAAAGGATTCACAAAGGCTCAAAATTATTTTTTTAAAACAGTAGAAATATGTAAGTGAATTATAATAATAGTTCAAAATCATGAGCAATATTAGTGCCACTGTAAGGAAATGTTTTGTGTTAACTTACATCTTTTGATATAAAAAACATTAAAATTTTGTTAGTATGTACAGATTGTGGAGAAGGACATTTTGAATCGTGGAAATTTAAAGGGTAGGATTATTTCAAAGAATCATGGTTTCATTCCTGGTCTTTAACCTAGGCCAATGGCCCAGCTAGGGAAAGAGCTTTTAGAGGATCTTCTGTTTGGAAACAGCTCCCTCTCGGAGAATGGAATCTTATTCTCTCATTCTGGCGTTACTGTGAATAATCTTCATCAGGTACTCAAGCCAACACCTCACTGAAAAAAAAAACTTAGGGAATGGTGGTCAAAATGGGAAAGCCATGGCAACTTCCGAGCAAAACAGCCTGATTGATATGAATCTTTAGGTAACTAGATGAGGTGGCAGCATCAAATACCAGCTTCCTGGATGTAAGGCAATGAAAGCAGGAGGCAGAAGAGAAACTCTGGTGACAAGAGCCAATCAATCTACTTTGCAATCTGGTCTAGGACCCCAGTGATACATAGGGCACCCATCATTGAATACCCCTACACCCAACAATGCTTTGCTCTTTGACCTGTGGTGCCTCCCACTTAATACTTTGTCACGTTCTGCAAAGAGGATGAAAGGGTGAGGAGAGAAAAGGCAGGAAAAAGGAGAAAGGAGATATGCACACATGTTCTCTCTCTCTCAACTTTGGTGTATCTCCTCAATTCATAGTATCAAAACTACCTCAAAAGACAGATTATTTAAGAATCTATGTTAGCTACATAGTCCATTTTATGTGATGCTAAAGTTACAATTCAAAGTAATACTAATTTGTATAATGCTATTACTTTTTAAGGAATTTTATTTATTTATTTTTAGACAGAGAGGAAGGGAGGAAGAAAGAGAGGGAAACATCAGTGTGTGTTTGTCTCTTGTGTGCCCCCTACTGGGGACCTGGCCCACAACCCAGATATGTGTCCAGACTGGGAATAGACCAATGACCCTTTGGTTCAGAGGCCAGCACTCAATCCACTGAGCCACATCAGCCAGGGCTACTTTATATGATAAGTTGGTAGTTATTAAATCCACTGGATAATCTAACTAACTTTTCATCTTCACTACCTGTTTATTACATTTTCATTACTTGCTTTGGAAAAAGGAGAAAAGTTACCCATTACCAACCTGTGTCCCCAATTCTATTGGGTATGTCATGCTTCATTATTCCCCAAATAATTGATTTACTAGAAAATAACCACTGTAGAAATATCTTATACTATTTTAAAATTTACTCTAAAATATACACTGATTAGGTGTTTCAAAAAGTATATGATAAATATATCGTGATCCCCAATTACTGTTTCCAAAAAGTTTATGTAAAACATTAAACAATAAGAGGTGCAATGAACTGTTTTAAGAGATGTAATTGTGAATGTTTATTTCCTTTATTATTCTGTATATAGTGAGGTTTTAATGAGTACACATCACTTTTTCAATCAGAAAAATACTACATTAAAAAAATGCATGGAATCTATAATTGCCCAAATCAGGATTTAAACAGTGACCTCAGTAAAAACTGCTTTTTCCCCATGCAAAAAAATAAACTATTTTAAACATATGAAATGTCCAAATTTTTAAACATTAGATGATTATTTAACCAGCCTTGAAAAAGAGTCAGTGACTCTGGCCCTAATTTTAACGGGCCAAGTTACCCATAATTATGTTGTTCATGAAAACAATAGTGATCCCATCCAAGTCAGAACAACAGCAAATTGATCTGCCACTCAGCCTAATTACAAATGAAGTCACCAAATGTCACACTATTTATACTTACAATTACTTTCATTGAAGATTTATCCCAATTTGTCTAATGCATATTAAAAAGCTTCCCAGTTAATACTCATTTTTAGCTATGTCTAGGTATTCTTCTTAGCCATGTGTTTGGTAGACACACGGTTCATTCTCGTAATTTCCCTTACAAAAACCAGAGCCTTCCTTACACTTGTCATTGTGTTTACTTACAGGCCCTCCTACTACATACAAAGGCATAAAATTCCTGCATCCCCTGAAACCCTCCTTTGTTTAATAAACTAAAAGGATACATATAAAGGGCCATGTTAACCTACATGTCACGTCACCCACCAGCTAACTGCTATTTTTTCAAAACTGTACTGCACTTTCACATATCAGCAAGAATGCAGGCAGTAAATAACTCTTATGAACATTATCATAAAAATGGAACATGGTGACTTTACCAGTATGAATAAAATGGTTTTAGAAGCATCACTCACCTTCAGCAAAAGTGAGAACATCTCCAGCGCCTATAAAATCTAAGCCTTCAGTAGCAGTTCCACCAACAACACGCCATTCAACTGTCACCTGACCTAAGCTGCCCCCTGTCCTGTGGATCATCAGCTCCACGGTGCTTTGGGGCTGCTCCTGAACTTCGACATATAATCCATCTTCCGAGGTGTTGGGACTAATGCTGTATATCACAAACACTCCGAAGGCATCGCCATTTAATGCTATGACAACTGTAGAAGTATTTGGCTGTCCTATGGTTGGCTGGTTTTCAAAACTGGCTGTGATGTTCATGAGGTGCACTTCAAGGAGAGAAATTAGGAAACTCTCATCCATCTCTGGGAAATCATCCACAAGAATGGAAACTGTGAGATTTGCAAATTCATCACCTTCCAGCATTATGGCCCATTGCCTTGTTACAGGCTCATAGTCACTACCAGCCACAGCCTGACCACTAAAAAGAGACGCGACCCTGGTCATGTTTTTCCTGTAGGTCCAGAAGTCTGAGTGGTTAACAGCTGGACTGATCCACGATGTCATCCAGAAACACTGGGGGCCCTCAGAGGCACTGAAAAATGAAAATGCTGAGCACGCGTGTTCTTTGAGGCACAAAGTGGCACAAGTATACTGTGGTTCCCCCATGGCAGAGACATTCACCCAAGTTCTCCAGAGCGGGTCAGGCACCCCCTGAATTGGCGATTCATAGTAGAACAGTAAATCTTGACCTTCCTCAACTGCAAGAGCCACTACATCAATATCGGAAGTACTGTAGAACAACAAGAGCTGACCAAAGAGCCCTCCGCTAAAATGTGGAGGGACAATTAAAAGACAGGTTAAGCACTCAAAACAATCTGTGGATTACATACAGAGGAGACAAGTACTAATTGTAGTTTTCACTTTTTAAGTATAAAACATACTTGCACAAACACAATCATGTTTCTTATTACCTTTGTCTTTCAATGTTTTCTTTTCTCATGTAAGGAAACTTTGCTAGGTTTTGATCATATACTTTTCTTTCTACCAAGCTATGAAAAATACCTTGCAAGGTATGCAAATCATAACCATTTTAAAATTATCAAGCAGAAAGAGAAAATTAATTTTCATGACTAGATTTAACTAAAACAAAGTAACAATGATAATAGCATGAATACATTTTGAGGAAATATAATTATTTGCCATAAGGTCCCCAAAGCCCATACTTTCTATTTCTAAAAAAATTCAGTGAACTCTAGACTCCCTCACAAAAGAAATGCAGAAAAAATAGAACCTGAACATTAACCACCTCAGCATATGAATGTTCTTTAATTTACAACCTAGTTATATTTAAGTTCTAACTCCATCAAGTCATAAAAGCAACAAATTTCTGGAGTTAGAACGTCCAATGATGTACAATCCATTTCACTAATAATAAGTATGATAAATATAATGGGCTCTTTATATTAACAGGCATAAATCATTTAATAAATTATAATAATTTACATTATATAAAACCTTCAAACCTAAATTATTTAATTGTACAAGAGATCCTCTCCCACTGACCCGTAATTCCCATCACCCCCACAAAAGTAGCCAACTCATATACCTTCTCCTGACAGTTATGTTAGCACAGGAACTTCTCTCCAGAGGCTCTTGAACACGATAAACCGACTGAGCAAAGGCTACTGTACCATAAGGATTATCATTGGCAGGAATAATAATATTTGCCACTCGATCTAACCCAATAGTACCTCCACCAGAGGCATCAGTTAGTTGCACTTGGATAACCTAAAAATACAGTGAAAACTTCCTTAACAGAATCCCAGTTCTGAAAAGCAATTGAGAATGATGCAAGGGAAAAAAATTAAACATATCCATACAAGTACAAGAACAAAATAGAATGTAATATAAATAGACTCACAAAAATTCCCCTATTATATTTACAAACCCAATTGTAACAAAATAATCCATCATAAACTTTTAATATTAGAGCATATTGTACATTTAAAAATAGGCTATTTAAGTTTCTTAATATTCAGTTATATAATCTCGTGAATCAATTTTGAGATCCTTGTGTATGTTTAGCACTTCAATGATAAACTTTTATGTCCTATACCTTTTATTATTTAGGGAAAATATTGCATATTGTTTACAAAGTTAATATACTATGCTTTATTTCCCACATTCTTTTAAATGGAAATTCTCTGAGAAAATTTAAAACAAAAAACATCATGTCACAACACCACTTCAATTCAGAGAGGAAAAAAGAAATGTTTTACAGGTATTAACTAATATCTAATATTTTAGGAGTGAATAATGACATAATTAGCATTCAAATAAAATTTTACGAACTTCCTCTCTATGAAAATTTGATACTATCAAATAATAAATACAATTAAATATAATTTTATGAGATATAGGCCTGAATAATACTTAAAATTTACACATTAAAATTATCTTCAGCCAATATATGTTATTGATAAATCAACTTTCTCACTGAGATTCGATTTTTTTTTGTTACCTTGCTTCTTTATCATGAAAAAGAAATATCAGACAGCTATATCTAGCATGGTATTTGTCACATAGTAAATTCTCAAAACTGCTGAAGAACGAATGAATGAGTGAAAAAAACCCTAAGATTGGCCCACCTTCAAGCACAAAGGGAATATGGATATAAATAAATTAAGAGTTTATATGAACTGATGTAGCAAAACATATGATAGATGTATAGGCATTGAATCACTTAACTAAAATGTGAAAAAATACAACTGTATGAAAAAATTCTTACACTAGTAAACTAGTATGTACACAAGACCTGTTTCTAGAATATTCTTGTTTTTTTTATCTGTAAGAAAGGATTACTTTCACAATACCACATTTTGAACATCCTTGCATAATTTATATGACATCCTCTATAAATGTCACAACATCTATTCTATCACTATAAGACAAGCCATGATTTACAGTGTCATTCTATACTAGCCATTCCTCTCACCTCTTCGATCTCCGGAACGTCGTCAGCCAGGACCTCTAACAACAAGGTTTGAATGGTTTCCCCAGGGGCAAAGGTCACATTACCTGAGACAACTCGCAGGTCGCCAGTAGCAAGCTGTCCATTAATGGTGGCAACCCACTGAACAGTAACATTGCCGAGTGTCCCAGAATTTCGAATTATTGGCAGGTTTACCTTCACTGAGTTAAACTCAGGTTCCTCTACAATAAGTTTAGTAATCTGAAAACCTGAAGGACAGAGCAGAGTTAATTTCAAATGCAAAATGAAACTAAGTCAACTTAGAGCTATCCAACTGCCATCCTATAATCACTTCCATGTTTACCTCTTAAGCAATCCAAATAGCTATACTCCATAAAATCAGAGTAACATGCTATGATACAAAGTGGTCAAGCCAACTTTTCCAAATTTTACCAACATTTCCAAATTCTTTTTTATTGTGATGGAAGTAGAAATCGCAAGCCCAGAGGCCCACAGGGGGCAGGCATACCCAGGTCGTGAGTGAAGTGGGTCTAGTGAGTTCTGTGGCTAACTGCACAGTGCAAGCCTGCTCCAAAGGGACAGTTGCTATTCAGCTCCCATAACTGATGCAGTCAGTGCAGGAGAAGGGGCTCAGTGTTGCCAGAGTTTCATACTTAACAGGAAGGCCCAGAGACCCATACTTCTGTGCAAATTTCTGTAAATTAATTTTTAAAGACTTTTCTAAAATTCACAAAACACACTTAGGAGCTGGAAGTAACTTAAAAACCTAGAAGATTGTGACTTCCATATTTATGCTGGGAGGTTGATTTTTTAAATAACCACTCACTACTGCTAGTGAGTATATGTAGATGCTATATATCATATAGGTTAAAAAGAAAACCTGACCAAATCAATTCTGCATGTCTAAAAATAAAGATACGCATGATCTATGTAGATAAGTAAAAGGGAGATACAAACTAATCTGGTTACCAAATAATCCATAGGGGTCATCAGAGGCCTCAATGATAATGACTGCCTCTGTTAATGCCCCTAGTTTGGCTCCTCCTGTTGTTTCATTCAGCAGTTGTACAAGAAAAGATTCTTCCAGTTCAGGGTAAATGTCGTTAATGATATATATTGGCACAGCTTTACTGGTTTCCCCTTCCAGCAAAACCACGTCCGATGAAGCTATACTGTAGTCTTCACCTACAGAGACAAAAAGCAAAATGCTAAGACTTATTCCAAAATATAATAAATACGGCATACTGCTAGGGAAACACTATGATGTATCAAATTTTATGGATATACTTGGCAAGACTGTTTTGATAATGCTTACTACATTTATTCTAAACAAGAAGACTCTACCTCTCTTCCTAAAAATAAATGGATTTGATATAACCAACAATGAAAAAGACTTTCCAAGAGTGGGGTGTTTGAGTTCATTCACTAATGTTTAAAAAGACATATATATATATAATTTGTTCTATTTGCTAAATACATATATAGATGATACACAGATACAGATATAGGTGTAGACACAGAGTAATTCACTGTCACAAGATAGCTCTTTATCTACAAAAATGCATACAACACTTTAAAAACAAAGAGCAAAACTAGAATTTTAATCTCATTGGGGAGATACATTATACTGTTGCACAGAGAGGCATATAAGCCTCATCAGTGTGACAGCTAGAAACTATGGACCTTTCTACAAAGTCAGGTACCTACTGTACAGGGTGACTTTGTTTCTCGTCCAGGAGTAGTTGGGGAAAGGAAAGAGGCTTCCTATGGAGCCAAGGGCAAATTTCCTAGAATGCTGATTAATCCTCAATGTCCTCGAATATGTAAGACCCCCTAAAGGAAGTCAGGCATTCCTCTGGGCTGCTACCCCAAGTGTGTGCAGGTGCAGGGTAGTCAGGGGTTGTGTGCACCCGCACACACACGCACACCACTTAGGGACTAAATGAGCCTGGTTTATTATCTTTTCAAGTAAGTCTCCAGTACAGATCATTTATCTCAAAAGATCAAGCCTGTTATCCCATCCATCCACACTCATGCTCTTTTCCGTACATACTAGAAAGTTTCTAAGTGAATTCCTCTTATGCAAATCTCCCTCTAGGTGCTGTTACTGTACCACCAAAGAAGGCAGTCACTCTCCTGATGTTTGCGTTTGGCAATGAAAATGTTTTGCTTATACATAAAATAGTTAATGCTAACCATCGTTTTTCCATGTTCTTCATAAATAAACAAACAAGCAAGATAAACGGGTCAAAACAAAACACTGTTGCCAAACACTGCAATCACATGGCTGTACATTATTACATCCTGCATGCTTCAGTATCAAGTATAGAAGGCCCTTTCAAAAAATACACAGGCAAAGACTAACCATGCTTTCCTTAGTCTACTTTGCATTGGTTTGTTCATTCATCATAGCTTTTAAATTCATATACAATTTGCCAACAGTCTGCACAAATTCTACAAAATTATTGACATAAATACATGATAAAAGCTCTGGATTTGTGCTTTCAAAAGATACAAAAGCATTATTATTTTCTGGCTGATTTTTCTAACTACATCTTTGAGTAGCTTTGTTAATCAAGGCTAAAATTCCCCTCTAAAACACTTCACTGTCCCTCAGACGTGTTTTCTCACCAGGTATTGCAGTTATTGGCACAGTTTTAAATTTCACAGAAACATCTGCAAATGCTCCCCCTGTCCTAGTCACATTGATAATGGGTCCAACGTGATTTTCTTCCACTCGAACAATTGGAGCTGAGAGCTGAAGAATTCCAAAGGCATCATCATTGGCAGCAATAATTAGATGAGCAATTGTTTCTATCTTAGGCCCAAGGCGAGGAGAATTTGGAACTAAAAGAGAAGAAATTCCAAGGTATCAAAATTTTAAGAACTGGACAAAAGTCATTAAAGCCTTCCCAAGATTCCATCAGCCAAACACATTCATTATTTAGTGTTTTCTCTCTAATACTTACAACAAAAAGTTATTGGTTACTATGTACTAGCACTATGCTAGACACTGAAGACACAAAAATCAACTAAACAGAAAGTCCCCATCCTTATAGTTTTATATCCTATTGAGATTTTTATTATAGAATCCTTAGCAAAGAAATAGTTAACTTACAAAGATATTTTAGTAAGTACTGGAAATTTGTCAAAAGGCAAGAAATGATTAAAGTATAATAAGTCATAATTTTGCATAAAATTACAAGGAATAATGATGAAACCTGCAGAATTATAATCTTCTAATTAGCTACCAGCGTGCCATAAAGCTTTTTAAAAATAGCATTTCGGTGACAAATTGAGTTGGAAAGTAATTTAGCCCTTGTCCTCCAAGACCAGCTGCAGCAAACTGTCATACTCCAATTAAATTACTGCCTCTGCTTTAGCTGAACTCCCTCCCAAACCCGTTCGTCCCCGCCCCTTCAGTTAGCAGTCACTAGGCTACCTCATCTGGAAAAGGAGCCTCAGTGCTACCCCAATGCTGCTATAAAAGAGTATGTAATACTCTTAAGGTTACCTTCTTACTTTCCACTGATTTTCAAGAGAACAAAGCTTATTTTGAAGGCATTTAGGACTTTCCAAAAACTCTCCCTCATTTATTTTCTAGGTTAAATTCCAACCAGAGACAAAACATTAAAAAAAATAAATTTTTAACACAAAATAAACCATCAAAAAACTTTTACTAGAAGTAAAGAATTTTGAGTTCATTTTTTTTCCTTTTTTTGTATTCTTTCTAGAGGTCATATTTATAATATTTCTAACGATGATACTTGAAAATATGTGATCATGAATGAAAGTTAGCCTTTTCAGACAATGTAACCTAAAAACAATTAATAACACCATTTAATTTCAGCTACTTAGGCCCAGATCATGCTAAATTATATCATAAAGTCACAATTATAAATCAATATAATATAATTAAATTCAACTAAATTAGAAAAGAATGGCAGTGACCTAAAGAGATGTAGCAGCAGATGACACTTTTCTGAGTGTGCACTATTTGCCTGGCATTGTTCTCAGAACTTTTCTTATGTCAAGTCATTTAATCCCGATGCCATCTCTATCTGGTCAGTAATATGGTCCACAACTTACAGCTGAGGAATCAGGACCACAAAGATGCTGAGGAAGTCACCTACGTTATCATACTAGTTAGTACCTCGTGGACACAGTGAAAAGCCATCCCGTAGGGTCTGTCTAATCACTTACACATGGTTCCTCATCAAACCTCTCCTGAAAGTTGATTACACTCAGAGTACAGTAACAGAGACCCGACCAGCTTCCACTGAGTTTGCCTATTAATATTTGAATCAATATCACACAGATTTGCACTTAATTCTTTTTTAATTATTTTATACTATTTACTCAACATAAAATACACGTCATTTGTTTCTCCCATTCCATAGCACATGGGTATTGTACATTTACCATCTTATTAATAATTGTTCACATGTACTGAATGCATGTGCCAGATACTATATTAATTTTCACATATATTATCATATTTAAGTCCTATAATATTTCTATATAATATATAAGGAAACCGAGGCAAAGATAATTATGTCCAAGTTCAATGCTACATATTGGAACATGAGTTATCTGACACCGGCACCCATGGCTCTTAGTCGCTGGTATATGTGATAATCCCTCCTTGTTTTATTTCCCTCTCACTCAAAGAACTGTGTGTTCCTTGAAAATCAGGCCATAATTTTTACTTAATAAGACTAATTATTGGATTTTATTTCAATTTATTTATATTTTCACTGATTCTAAATCCTGCTAAGGAAAAAAGGTTGAAGTATTATATGAGAATTTTAACTTTAATTGTCTCCTGCAAACTTAATGTTAGCAATTATCCTGTAAAGTAAATTTATTTTTTTATAGGTAATACATTTGATGGTACTGACTAGAAAATGAATTTTTTAAAAAATTTATTTAATTATTGTTTAAGCAGTTTTCTGTTTTTTACTCCCATTGCAGCCCACCCCCTCCAGTGCTCCCCCCTCCCTCCCATTCCCCCCCCTTAGTTGTTGTCCACGTGTCCTTTATACTAGTTCCTGTAAATCCTTCCCCTTCTTCTCCTGAAATTCCCTATAAAGTAAACTTCCTTCTATAACCCTGAACTACGATCACTGGCATTGTGACCAAGAATGTTGTTTACAGTGTGGTATATCTATTTAGATATTACAGTAAGGTAAAAAAATTTGCGTGTAAGAAACCTTAATTTATGTGGCCAAACATGGTCAACAGGCAGGTCTTGGATATCTTACTCTTTGGATTACATAATTCCAGTTTTTTTTAAGTTGTGCTTGTTTTCATATAAATATTGTTCTATAACTGATATTAAATTGATCTTAAATTAATATCATCAATCTTTCTTCCTTCACTTGTTCCTTTATTCTAGGAAATCTAGACTCCTCTCACCTTTCTGAAGTTTATGAGCACTTACAAAGGCATGACTAGTGAACAAACTATAACAAAGCAACTGCTTTCAGCTCCACCAGCTCGAGCCCAGCCCTAGAACCATAATGCCACACTCTCTCTACAAAGTCACTGAGCCCCAACAACTCCAGGGAGGGTGGCTTATACTTTTTCATAGAAGCTGCTTTACCAGATCCTCTACCCAACTTGGTTCACTTTTCATCCCTCTTTCATTTCCCTAACCAGTATCTTCTTCTCGACTCTAAGAATGGCCTACAAATTTATAGGATATCTTACTGTTCCACAAGCCCTGTCACCCTGCCCTCATACAGTTGCCAGATCCACAAGCTCTCCACCAATACAAAGAGCTTCTGTTGCTTAAGAAATCTCCCAGAGTGGATCAAGGTGAGAGGCTCAGGCTCTTGCTACCAGGACTGTCCTCAGAATCCCCAGGTTGATTTCAGGATGTTTTGGAAGCTGCAACATGTAGTACAGCAGCACTGGAGAGCAGTTACACTGGATTATACAGATACTTCCAAAAATTTACTCTTGGAATGTAACAGAGTTTTTTGTATGGTTTATGCTATGGCTTATGCTGGGGCAGTTGTCCCAGCTTTTTCTCTGCTTTCCCACCTCCACCCAGTCCCACCCTTTTCCCCCTCCCTCAGTCAATTCCTGTCATTGTCAGTGTGGGTCATGCATAAATGTTCTTTGGTTAATCCCATCATGATTTCACGTTTTTAAGTGTCCCACTCCCACTTACCTTATAGGTCAACTTTTGTAAGATGGTACTTTCAAATTTAGAGCTATTTTTCTAGAATTTTCTACTATGCCAAATTCTTAATTTATTGTTTTACTGAACAGAATTCTTACTTCTAATAGTAATAATAATAACACAGTAACGGTTACTTACTTGGTCGATCCTGTACTTTCTCTATTAAAGTAGAGTTGAGTAGTTCAATAAACACAGACTCTGACCTTTCTGGTTCCTCATCATCCAAAATTGAAATAGTTATTGTAGCTTCACTCTGATTGGCTCTGAAAAGAGCAAATCCAGAAGCTGGTACGTAGTCCCTTCCTTGAGTTGCTCTGGCTAAATTAGGTGGAAAATAAGGTGGTTTTTCCATATCATCCAGTGTTGCATATGTGACTGTGACTTTTCCCATGAGGCCCCTTAACCTTATTATTGACAATGTGATGTTCTGAGTTGCTTCCTCAACTTCAATAGGTCTATTTTTCTCGGAAAAGATGAAGACCCCATAAGGATCATCACTAGCCAAAACGATCAATGTGGCGTTAGTATGAACTCCCAAAGATCCACTGGAGACACTGAGGATTAACACAGAGAATGCCTTATCCAGCTCTGGATCTTCATCTGGCAATATTTCGACTGTGATGTTGGCATTTTTTTGCCCAATTTCAAATGTGACATTGCCGGAGGTGAAGGCGAGATCGCCATCAGGATCAGAGTCTATGCTCCAAAGCAAAACCACCTGAGACAGAGCTCCATGACTCCTCACAATCTATAAAATATTGAATATTAACAGGTATTAAAAGAGGTGTTAAAACCAGTGACTTAGAGAATTATAAACACAGATAATAGCAGAATATTAAATTTCTATTTTATACCAGCTCTTCTCAAAAATGCAAGATTCTTAAAGGCAGAGGCCATGTACTGCCCGTTTTTGAAGGCTCTCAGAGAGTCCTACTTAAAAAGTGATTGTTGCATGAAACAAGGTATTAACTGAGTATTTTTAGCTTGTACCTAAACTATAGCTGTATATTTTCTGCAATTAAACAAAGCAAATGTAATTAAAAACATATATTAAAGAACATTCATTGACATTTCTACACTGACTGCAAGAAAGATGGTATATTTCATTGTAAAGAACAGATAAGTGATTTTTTTAAGTTAGCTATACAGCCCATTTGTAAAAATAAATTACAATATTTCCTTTATCTTCAACATAATACATAAAACAAACACCAAAAAATATATTTGACCCAAGGTTACATAAAATATGTTTAAGAAGAAAAAACTTTTTGTCAATATGTTAAAAGTAATAAAAAGCTTTAAAAATGCTCCAAATAAGGTATAATTAAAAGTAATTTTCATTTATACTTAAAATATAAATGTCTCAAAATAAAAGTTGAGACAGATGTTTTATAAAACTTGATCTTCTCCCATAATCTTTTTGGTTTTCTTTCTTGAGTAATTGGTCATCCTCACTGAAGTTGTTCGATGTACTCACAAGAGTTTACTGAAGATATGCCATAACAGTAAGGAGAGAGATATTTTGAGTGATTTTTCATGTGTATACAATCTAAAGAAGCTCGGCAAGCTTCTAGCTGCTATAAGCTATTTAACAACAGAAAAGTACTTAATTCTGCCTTGGCTGGTATGGCTCAGTGGATTGAGCGCTGGCCTGCAAACCAAAGGGTCTCTGGTTCAATTCCCAGTCAGGGCACATGCCTGGGTTCTGGGCCAGGTCCCCAGTTGGGGACACATAAGAGGCAAACAAACATTAATGTTCCTCTCCCTCTTTTTCTCCCTCCCTTTATCTAAAAATAAATAAGTAATACTAAAAAAAATCTTTAAAAAAACTACTACTGAATTCCTACCAAAACAACACAGACTAAAGATACATGCACAAATAAACATGCACACTATATAAAATAATTATTATTGCTATTCACAAATAGTTTTAGATTTCCTTTCCTTCTGGGAGAGAGATAAGACAGGATTTCGCTTCTCTATGCATTAACATTAGCATGGTCATATGACTTGCTTTAGCCAAGGAGAAGTGGAAATGCTGTGAATCCCTTCCAGAAAAAGCCAGGAGAGTCAATACCTAGTTCTTCTCAACCACATTTCCTCCTTCTTGAAGACAGAAGCACCTTTTGAGATACAGCCTCTCTAATCCTCAGTTCCTAAGTGGTAGAAGGTTGCCAGTTTCAGGTGAACACATAGCAGGAGTGGCAAGCAGATCTTTGTCGCGGTAAACTAATGAGATTTTGGAGAAATTTGTTGCCTATCTGAATTAATACAAAAATCTATGTAATACAGCTCCATTACACTTCTTAAGAAGTCGGGAATCCTCAGAATCCTAACATAAATTTGTATGCAATACTAAATAGAAAAGCAAATGTTAAATCACTATTTCATTGTCAGTTTGTATTGTTTGTGCCACCAGGCTCATTCATGTCACTTACATAGAAAAAAGATGATGCAAAGTACACCTTCCTAAGACAATACAAGTCTTAAAAGAAACGAAAATGTCTAGGATTGCAGGGGAAACGTGTACTCACATTGAATGTAACAGTGCTGCACCCGTCTTCTGGCTCAGTTCCGCTGACAAAAAGCGACTCAGGGCTAAATTCAAATACACCGTGAGCGTGGTCAGAGGCCTCGATTGTCACTAGAATTTGGGAAGCCACTCCTAGACTGGCTGTATGAGTAAGTTCCAACAAATAGTAGGAAAATGTTAATCAGTCATTTACAAACCAAAGGAAAAGGCAAACAACAACCTTTTGAAAAGAGTTGTACCATTCATTGAGTACTTCTAATTTGTTTCAGAAAGAAAGGCAGACACAAATGGTTGCCACACACATTCATGCTTTTATGACCTTTCTTTATTTTGGCACCAACATAACATACAAGTGCTGCCTAAGCATTTGCAGATGAATAAGGAAAACTTGTTTTTCTTTTCTTCTCTGTGAAAGAGAACATTCTCCCACACAGAGTATATGAGGAAAGTCTCTCACGACCTTTAAGGGCCTTGAAAGAACATGAGCCAAATGACTCTTACCTTTATGAAACAGTAATTTCCCTATGATTTCCGTCAATCTACTGAAACAATTCTTGATTTCCAAAAGTGCGACAAGTTTAGGCCTATTTTTCTCATCATATTATGATAGTCTAAATCTACCTCTCCTGGTCCCAAACAGTCCAATCCTATAGCTAAAAAAAATACCAAAGTCTAAAGAAGTATTTAATTATTTTCCTAAGAAGTGTGTTCAAATTTTATGTCAAAATAATGGATGTAGACAAAAAAAAAGCCAAACAGTACATTAAATACAAAGGTACATGATGCACTAAGGGAAGATAGGAATGAAGGGGTGGGAACATGCATTCTGACACTAACGTATAATCCCTGACATTGTGAAAAAGAGCATTTGAGGATTAGAAAAAGATCTCCCTTAAGAAGAAGTATTCTATGTACTCTCTCCTAATATGAAAAAATATATTTGAGGGGAAAAGCTTTATACTTGTACATAAATTTACTTCAAAAAGCATCATCTTTTCACTATTTCCTTCCATTAATTCACAACTTATTCTCCCCATTTATTTTCTTCTCAAATTCTTTATCCCATTTTTATTTTAATTTTTATTTAAAGGGTTTTTTTTAAAGATTTTATTTACTTGTTTTTAGGAAGAGGGGAACGGAGAGAGAAAGGAGAGAAACACCAATGTATGGCTCCCTCTCTCGTGCCCCCTCACCAGGGACCTGGCTTGCAACCCAGCCACGTGCCCTGACTGGGAATCAAACCAGTGACCCTTTGGTTCACAGGCCAGTGCTCAATCCACAAAGGCACACCAGCCAGGGCATCCCGTTTAATTTGATTAAGTGCTACATATAAAGACGCATGGTTCTTTTTGAAAAAACAAACAAACAAAGTGATGCATTTAACATGAAAATATAAATTTTCTATTTATCTCTTTAAGTATTCAAAACTTTGTAAAATGTCTTTCACTCATCATTTGTAAATGATATTAAAGCAAAGTCTCCATCACAATCAGAATCCAAAAGCTGCAGTAGACTGATACAGAGAGGAGGGTCTGAGCTTTGGAGGCAGCAAAGACTTCATTCAGACTTGATCACTTTTGAGCTAGATGACTATAACATGGGGCAAATAATACCTCTTAAAGGTGCTATGATGGTTAATGAGATAAAATACATAAAGGACCTGCACATAGTAAGTGCCAGTAACTGGTTAGTACTGTCTCTAAAAAAGGAAAGTTAAAATGGAGAACAGTAAGGGGCCTTGAAACAGCTGCTTACCATGTCTGTGAATAGTTGGAAGGAAGAATTCCATGTCCCCATCACCACTACCACTGCCTTCAACCCTATAGAGTTCAGCAGTCACTTCACAAGGAGAAACACAGAGACACAACCCACACAACACAGCGACACAATGAGAAAATTGAGAGCTCTTAAAACATATTCAATAAAGAGGAAAATGCAGTAATATTCACCCAATGATATGTATTCTTCCACAAAAGAAAAGATTCTTTTAAGTGGTAAAAGTATAAATTAGTTAAAGCCACCAATTTACAAACACATCATTCAGAGCTTCGGGAAACACTCCCTGTAAGTTGTAATTGGTATTTCCTATTTCTGCCAATTTAATTTTAAACTTTCACTTATAGCAATGTAAATTATTTTTAATATTTTAAATATTTCAAAAATATTTGTTTGTGTGTATAAGCAGACACTTAGACCTTTATACTTATGACACTCACAACAACCAATTCAAAATTAGGGAAATGTATCTAACATTTCTCTAGCCATATATATATTTAAATTCCCACCATATTTACCATTCTCAGACTTGATCACCATTTTACACCTAACACTGTAGAGTAGGCAAGCAGTCTAAAAGTCTGCCTCAGCCCTGGCTGTGAGAGACACCACCAGCTGTACACCCTTCAGCAAGTCACTAAGCCTCTTAGTACTTTGCTTTTTTCTCACCCATAAAAGGTGGTGCTTTCTACAGAATTGATTTAAAGAAAAAGAAATAAATTACCTTGGCCTTATATAAGGACTATAATTAAGAGAAAGTACTTTTACCTTTGCTTCCAATACACCTTATCCCCCAACCATTATTTTACCAAATGCTGGCAATGAAGACAGGAAGGCCAGTAAAGGTAGCAGCAGAGAAAAAGAGAAGGCGGAGAAGCAAGGCCACACCCATACCTATGTGCTTCTACCAGCATCCTCGACTGGCATGCTAGTTTAAGATCTGACCTGCTCTTCTGTTCCCCTCAATAGGACTGAGTTAAACCAGACATGAGAAATTTGGCACCCAAAACCTGAAATAATTCAGAAACTGGAGAGGCAAAATGGATTTCAGGGAATAGTCAATGCATGGCTTTGCCCCCGTATTATTCATAAGTTGATAGATAGAAGAGTGCAGTTCAACACCAGTGTTCTATGGCTAGCATAAAACATTGACTCAGGTGTCTATCTTACGTGGAATCAATTTTACAAACAAAACTATCTGAAATAAGGGCTACTTCCTTGACCCTCAGAACAATTTAGCGCTACAAGCTTTTCCGCCTCTTGGGCAATCCCAAGGCTGTGTCTCACAGAGTGGAGGTCAGTGCCTACATTCCTTTACCCACAATCCCAGCTCCATTGGGTGGAGGAGGAATCAAATGTGCTGCCACTACTGCTTACTAAGAAACGGCAATGCTGGTGTTCAAATGAGAATACATCCCAACCCATGCACAGGCAAGCAATGCGTATTATAGAGATAGAAAAAGAAATTTCTACATAAAATCAGAAGTATCACTATGATCACAAATATCATATCTAAAGAATATTTGATATTCCTTATTAATCAATAGAAAATGATGACTGACATATTCTCAATTACATAAGTATTTTTAACTATAAGAACAACTTTCAAATAATGTATAGTACCCTTTGATTAATGAAGTCCTGTCATGAACACAATGATTTGGAGATCTGAGGACTCATCTGAGGACTGGCAAAGCTGTTATCATCACAGGCTAACTGCCAAACAGGTCACCCAGCGTATTTTTACTGTTCATGCGGTGGACCACACTGTGGCACTGTTTAATCATCTCCCTGGCTTGCCCATCTTTGCTTTCACTGGGCTTGGGAAAACAGGGAAGGGAACTTGGAGAAATCTTGCATACCTAACCCAAAGTCTCACCACATACTAAAAAGACAATATTTGTCCTGCCCAGTCTCTCCCTTTGGATGACTTATTCAGTACTATGACTTTCTTTATAAATATTCAGATATCGATAAGATAATAATGCCAGGTTATGTCGTGGAAGAGACGGTCCCAATGAGTGCCATAACAACTCTCGATTTCTTACATTTACAAAGGTTATGTGGTACATATCACCCATATTCTGTAACAACCCAGTAGCACCTGGTAATCAAACACATTAATCCTTCTGCAAAGAAACAGATGTAAATAGTTCATCTAAGTGGGGAAATAAAGATTATACTAGCCTCTCTTTGACAGAGATAAGTTTGGCCACAAAATAAATTTCGACTCCAAAAATCTTTAATAATCAGAGCCTTCTGAATATCACAATAGAAGATAAGGTACTGCTAACCTGTTTTATTGATAATCACCTCATAAAAGATTACCTAAAAGGACTAGTTTTTACCTGTGAGAAACCTAGGGGTAGCTCTAAAGGCCTATTGTGAAAATTTTAAAAAGGATCAAAGGAGAAAGGTGATTTTTAGGGGCATCGACTATGACTGACAACTCCAGTTTGACGAGTCAGTACAATTACACTATTTCATTCTAAAAACACATCTTCTTTAGGAAAAGACCAATAGGTAATAAAATGGGAATAAAACACCACAGTATAGTGTACTTATAATAAATATGATACTAACTCAGAATTTACCAAACCTCACAGCAAAAGTAGATGTAAATAAAACTATGAGTTTAATATTAACTTCTAAAGCTATTATTATAAAATTATGTAGGGAGACAGAAATTTTCTTTTTACCAAGAAAAAGATCATCTATCAGAAATTATCTACCATATACATTAAACATTTATTAACATTTAGGCTGTTCTTTCTAAAAGTTAGTAATTCACTTATTTAAGAAAAAAGAAGTTAACGTTATTTCAAAGGAACATATTTGCTTAGTAGAATATACCATCGTAGTGAGTGGACAAGCAAATATTTGACATTTTCGAGTCACCAGTCTTACCTCCTCCCTCCAAGTTGAACAATTCAACTTTAAAAGATTTTTCCAATTCAGGAATAGAATTATCAGTGATGTTGACAGAAATGTATTTGTATCTATCTCCTGGTTGAAATTCTAAGATACCAGCAACACTCTGAAATGCAAATAAAAGATTTGTTCATTAGATTATATTCTGTATTTGAATGTGCAAATGAGAATGGTTATCATGCCCCAAATTATTTTAAATAATTTGAAAATGAGTAAAATATAAAACTGGAAATACTTAAGTAGATATGTATGATGTTCAATATAAATTCCAAATAAATATTCCCCAATGAAATAAAGTAGATAAATTTTTTTATTTCTTATTTGCCTGTTCATCAAAAATGTAGTCCAGGCAAGTGAGAAATAGGTGTCATCTACAAATTCCTACAGAATTAATTCAATGAGATGCATGAGATTCATCTCATTGAAACAAGTATATTTAAGACTACAAAAATTATAGCACTGAGCAATTTAAATATGCAGTGCATAATAATTATGGCATTTCTATTCTGAGAATTTTTCCATGCAATAATAAATACCAGTTTATTGGACACTAAGTTTTTCCTGACTATACTTGAAACTGCAATTCATAATACAGATCTCCCATCAGAAAAGTTTATATACTACAAGAAAAACAAAAAGATATTTAAATTAAAAAACCTAAGGCCCTTTATTTACATGTTATTTCTTACACAAGCATTTTCCCCTTGGCTTTGCATAAATATTAAAGCTGTTTAAATTCTTCTGTTAGCTTGTATGTACAAATATATATCATCTCATCAAGCAACTAATGATCTCCAAGCTAAAATGAGGAACCCAAGTACCAATTCAATTAATCACGTGGTTATTAACATTTCAATATTTATCAAACACATAGCATGTGCATGGCCCCATTTTTGATGCTTCAGATTAAAAAATAGCCAAGATGAATCTCTACCTCCATCAAGAACATTCCAGAAGTATAAGTATGAAACATAATAATTCAAATAGAATAACAACTACTATAAAAGTCATACTTGGCTTAAGAAGGAAGTGATTAGCTTGGCCTGGAGTATAGTAATCAGTGGAGTAATTCTACAAATTTTAGCAAAAAAACATTTTTTTTAAAAGATTTTTATTTATTTATTTTTAGAGAGGGGGGAGGGAGAAAGAGAAAGAGAAAGATCAATGTGTGGTTGCCTCTTGTGAGGCCCCCACTGGGGACCTGGCCTGCAACCCGGGCATGTGCCCTGACTGGGAATCAAACTTGCGACCCTTTGGTTCGCAGCCCATCCATGCTCAAGTGCTCAATCCACTGAGCTACTCCAGCCAGGGAGCAAAAAACATTTGACTGTCTTAGGAAACCATCTTACCTGACCTTAGCAAAATCTTGCACAACTGACCGTTTTCTGTTCCGAAAACATGTTCTACTTTGGTATTCCATGATATCACACTGTCCTGTTCTTCCTGCCTTTTCTGGCTCATTGTTTTTAGTGTTCTTTGCCCATTTTAACATTCTCCTGTGACCTCTAAAAACTGTTGCTTATTACAGTCTCTCTAAATTCTCTCCCTAGACAAGACTGTCATATCTGGGCATTTAATATCACTTATATGCTCCTAGCTCCCAAATTTCTATTTCTAACCTCTGATATCTAGATTTAAATATCAGTATCTATCTTAAATTTTCTTATAATTTCTGTCAGAATTTTAAATTCTGATTTTCCTTAAAATCTATGATTTCCTTAATCAATCCTCTCCACAGCATGAACCTGTAGAGTAGCAGGTTGCTTTGACAGGAACGGGGAGTCACTTCTGACACTCTCTTTTACTTTATCCTTCCTTCACACTAAACAATCCTCAAATCCTGCCATTTAATTCAATATTGCTTGTACCCACCTACTTCTTTGCATCTGTTACCTGTCTAGTCCAAGATACCATCACCTTTTTGCCTTGCTCCACAAAATGAACTCTACTGGTCTTTCTGCATTCAGCATCTGTATCTTCTAATGCATTCTTCATGGTTCAGCCTAATGATCTTTTATAAATATGTAACAACTTTCAATCACTTCTCCTTGTTTTCAAAATCAAAGCCACGTAATCTGTAAAGCCTAGAATGATCCAGTTTCTGCACACTTTATCTTTTATCACCACAACTAGCTCTCCACATGCCAGAAATACTGACCTTCTTACTGTTCTGTGCTTTTCTTTAGGGCCATTTTACCTGTCTCAAGTATTTCCTCCCCCTTCACCTAGTTTACTCCTCCTTAAACTTCAGAGCTCAGCATAAATATCAATTCCCCAAGGAAGTCCTCCTTGACTACCTGGACTATGTCAGCACAACCTGTCTCCCAGAGTACCAGCTTTGAACATTTCCTACCACTGTGAGTCAATCATTAATTAGTTGTTTAATATCACTCAAGAGCTGAAGGAAACACCTGGATAGTGAGGATCACCTCCACCTTGGTATATGAGAATAAAGTTAAGAACAGTGATATCTGATATTCAGTTGTCTATCTGATATTCTGTACATGGTCCTTCCTGGCACGCCCCACCCTCCCTGTGACTTACACATATACACATACATACACAGCTTCTTACTTCTGTGTAATATAGACCAGAGATAGCTGAACTACCATAGAAAACTGGAAAAGGCAAAGACTCAAAACGGTAACAGGTGATAAACAGGACACATAAGCCCCCCCAGAAATCCTCAGAAATATCTCCAAGGGTATTAATTAACTTTCCAAAAGTAATGTAGAAGAGAAGCATAGGTTTATTCAGTTTGTTTTGTTTTCTTTTTTTTTTTAACTAATTTAAAAAATGCTGATCCAACTGGAGATGGGGAGTGTGTAGACTAGAATTTGAAGACCATCAACATGAGAACTAAAGTGTTCCTTTGAGAGAATGCCAAGAGGCATTCTAATCAAGCTGAGATGTCTTGTGGGCTATGTTTGAAACTAGGTAAAGGTACAATGAATGTCAAGACAAGAGAAGAAGAGTTAGAGAAAGAAGAAACCTGAGAAAACTTTGCTAACTGGACTATAGCCAAAGTAAATTAAAATTAATTAGTCAAGGGTTTAGGGATTTAGGAAGAAGAGTGTATACAAATTACTGAACAGTTCGCCATTGTGTGAGTCTCACTAGATTAAAAAAAAAACACACAAAGAAAAGATTCTCTTGGAAAACAGAAATGTCGAAATATATAATGTACTTCCTGAGAAGTATAGCCAAGAAGAAATTATGAGCGTTTGCTTCATATGAGTATTGGTGATAATACGGACGGGTAGTGTTTATGGAGTTACTATACGTGCATGTGTAGTATGTAACCTTTAAAACACAGCCATCAGTCCTCAGAACCATACTGCCCTGCCCAGCAGTCATTACCGCTGTTGTACAGATAAGAAAAGTGAGGCTAGGAAAGATAAAAGCCCAGTTTAAACACAGTTCTGTCCAGTTCAAAATCCTAGGCCTTTTTTTTTCTTTTTCCTTTTTTTTCTTTTTGTTTTGTTTTGCCAGTACCATATTGCTTCTCACTTGGAGAAAAAAATAATTAAAATTGAAAGGACATGAATATATATATTTTTATAACTTTGGTTTTGTTTGATAGGCATAGACAAGAGGATTTAATGTGTATAATAAACATAATTTTAAACATATTTGATCAAGACCTGTAACATTAAAATAAACACATGTGAAGCCTATGATAACTATTTAAGTATCAAGCTTCAAGGAACTGAAGTACTTTAATTTACATAAATTTAAAAGGCTATCAGTGCTTATTTTCCATGTTTAGCATATCCGAGGTACAGTCCCAAGTCCCTTCCAATCCTCCAAGAGGACTGTGTCTGTTTTACAAGAGCAAACACCACTTCAGAAGGACTCATTGATTTACCTGGTAGTCGTCAGGACTGAATGCTGTCAGGGACACTGTTCTAAATTCCGCCGTAACCCTCCCTAGCAGTCCTTGTGCACGGACGACCAGTAACCTAACTTCTCCATCTTCCTCCTTCACAGTGACCTGTGGAACGGTGGTGGCGGGCAGCGTCATCATGTCCTCAGGCTGAGGAGGCTGCCCCGTGGAGAACTGCAGCAAGCCTGGCAGATACAGAAAGAGGCAGGGCATTCTTGCCCCAATCTGTGGAACAATTTCTCATTCATTTGAAATAGTCCTGCACAATTATTCTGAAAACCAGGGTAAAATTATGTGGGCTTTCATTCAGAAAGGACTTTATTGAAGAAGATTTAATTAACATGGTTCTGACACAGAATACGTTTAGTTTTCAGAATATTAAAAATTAAAATGTTAATTTTTCTTGTCTTTACCCAAAGAAAGCTTTAAAAAATGAAATATCAATAAAAAGAATAGTGATGGGGATTTAAAGTACATATCATCAAACATTTACTCATATTTGTCTATCTAGAATTCGTTCATGAACTTAAGATATGCAACAAATTTTTTAAAAATTTAACTATGAAAATCAAGAGTTGAAAACTTCCCACTTCTCCTATACAGACACTGTAATAGATGTTCTTGCTTTATTCCTATAAAAGAACTATTACTTTTCAATGCGGAAAACAGTCTGGGTTTATTAGGATAAACATCTATAATAGTTCCCCAATTTAAAAAATCATAACTTTTCAGCATAAGTAAAAATATTAATATAAATATACAGTAATAAATCCACTTATTAAAGCTTAAAAATATAAATTACAAAGTACTTTATTAAGTTTTCACATATGACACTATGATAATTTTCAAGAAAAGAATTTTGATAGCCATAAATAGAAATACTTTCATTTGTTTTAAATAATCCTACATACACTTTGAAAAATATATTATTAAACTTTAGAAATTGATCTTTATATTTTCCTTCATAAATAATGTCCCTCAAAACAGCAGCTTAGAAGTAAGAGGGTCTGAAACAGTTATACTTTAAAATTTGCAAAAAAAAAAAAATCCCTTAAGAATTTCTTAGCAAGACCAAGTACACCTAGAGAAGAGAGGATTATTCTGGCAAAAGGGCTCAGTTACCATAGGGATGATCACTGGCCTTGATGGTGATATCTGTCGTTTCCTTCTCAGGATCTATGCTTGCCCCACTGGTGGGAGTGGAACCTAACTTCCCATCTCCAGGAACTGCAGACACCAACGTCACACGGAAATACTCATTAAGCTCAGGAATGTCATCATCAAGAACATATATATTGAGAACCTATAGATATAAAAAGCCAGAGGCATTAAGCAGTGAAGCATGTATAAATTATCACTCCCTAGAAGAAACTAAAATAGCAATTAAATTATATTTAATTGAAGTTACTATTTAACGTGACTTATTTCTATGTAAATAGAGATAAGAGAAAATTACAGAGGAAAAGAGATCTGAAAAATTAATTCTTTAAACAATAATGGATGCTAAGCAGTAACATTTTTGTATATTAATATCATACTATATGATATGTTGATATATCATACATTCTTTGTATCAAAGACAGTGGTGATACCAACCTCAGGGTATAGAGTTCCTAACTGAGGAATTGCATGTAATCTGATAGGATGCGGTAGGGTAGTTAGTGAAAAAGGGCGACAGACACATGCCTAGTTCCTGCCTAAAAAAAGTCTGACACACTTAGTTACCACATTTTAGAAAACAGATTCACAATGGGCCTTAGAAGTCTGGCCTAAGCAATGATACCCAAAAAAAGTTATAAAAGGGAGTAGCAGTAACTCAGCCATCCTTCACAAAATTTAAGTCAATATTTGAAGTGAAAAAATAATTTATCTTCCTTTTATTAATTGAAGGAGGATGTTTTAACATTTACGATATGACCCCAGGGTCATATTATAGGGTTAGAAATAGCTCCAGTCCCTAAGGTACACAGTCTATTGCAAGAGAGAGATCTAGAGAAAAACCTTTAAAATGCAATGTGAACATGTCATAATAGAATTATGTACAAAGTTAACTGCGAAAGAAACAACCAACTCTACTTCGTAAAGGTTTACAACAGACATGTTTGAAGTGAATCTTAATGAATAATATGTAGTTATAAATAACAATGGGAAAAGACATTCCAAATAAAAGAAGTGACACTGGCAAAGGCACAGAGGCATGAAGGGACATAGCATGTGGGCAACTGCAATTAGACCACCGAGGTGGAGAGAAAGATAAGGCTCGATGGGTAATCAGGGGTCAGACCACAAAGACCATTTGTGCTATCATTAAAAAGAAATGGACTTCATTCCATAGTGAGTAGGAGGAAATTGAAGAATTCATAAAACATGAGATTGACAAAAGGAGAATTCCATTTTAGAATAAGTACCGTGGCAGAATATAAATGAGTGGACACAGCAAGAAATGATGCAGGGGTTGAGTTTGGAAGTGACTGGTGAGAAGTAACAAGATTCTGAACTAGCACTGTGACATCGAAGATGAAGGATAGATGGGTTTGAGATATGTCCTTGGAGCTAGAAGACCCAGGCCTTGGTGACTCACTCCCTGTCTGAAGTAAAGATAGAATGAATAAAGGGTGACTTCCTGGTTTCTCCCAGAAAGGAAGATAGGAACAATCTGAGAACTAACTTTGAATGCTATCTCCAAAACACTTTTGTTATATACTATTTAATTTGTTTTCTTCTTTCCCCAAATTATGGAGACTTCATCACTCTTCCTTAGCTTTAACTCTTTAAATCTTAGGAACATTTAAAAATCTTCCCTCAATTTTATCTTTTTCATCCAATTAACTACCTCCTAAATCCCTGAGTAATTCCTTAAAGATTACATCTGCAAGGTTGAAGTTATTTTACTATTTATCCCTATAAGCCTATAAGCTATTTCCTTTTTTAATGAAAAATTATACTGAGATAAATAGTCCAGCATGACAGACTAAAAGAATGAAAAAAAATTCTGATGTAGGAGGTCCCATCCCAATTTCACTTACAAAAACAGTCATTTATTCCTGGAGCATCTATTTAGAAATATATTCGCGGTTCATCAAATGTTTTTGGTAAAACTGGAGACCAGCTGTACTTTCAAAAAAAAGAAAAAAAAATCTCATTCTTCCGAATATAAAAATAAAATGAGATTATAGTTATAAGAATTTTTCATTGGCTGACTGAAAAAATACCATTAAGAATTCTGCAGTTTCCCATATTATATCAGCAAAAACAGAAAACCCACAATAATAAACATCTAAGCTATATGATTTTTATTAAATTGGGATTAAAAATGGATAAACTTATAACACACATCATTTAAAATCCTTAATTTTTCTTTTGCAAAAATAAATACAAAAATATGTTATCCCGTGACATAGACTTAATCACCTAAATACTTTAAATTGCTTAAATACCAAGAAGCTGTACACAAATTACAGAACAGATCAGAAAAAGCTTTCCACGAGGCTTTCAAAGGAACAAAGAAGGTAGGGTTTACCTCTGATCTCTGCCAAGGGAGGAATGTGATAGTGCCGCTGGCATTAGCAAAATCATCAACAAGGTAATTAATGCCATCAGATTCGATCTGAGAGATGGTGTAAAAAACATGCACATAGTCCAGAGCTCCTCTGGTTCGCTCCACTACACATGAAATGGTGGATCCCTCCTCTGCAACCTGAAATTGAACATAAATTAATGATAATTATATACCGATTTAAATCAGTGATAAAATTACAACACCTGCATGAAATCCTGTGCCATAACCTTAATTCTATAATTTTCTACCAATCTAAGGAGGCCTCTACATTCCTCCAGACATATTTCTGTCTGCTAAAAATAATATTTGAAACCATTCATTTTATCTCATTCTTTTACAGGGACAATAAAGCAAAAAGAATGAAAATAAGTTAACTGTACATGTAATTCATTCACTGATACCTCCTGTGGGCCAGCCACTGTGTTAGATGCTATGGTTACAAAAGATTTTTTTAAATAAAGGCACAGTTCTTTGTCTGGATAACTGTAAAGAAAATGACAAACTCAAATGTTATAATGAGTTCAGCAAAGTAAAAACAACCAGGGCAGAAGTTAGGGGGTAGAGGGTGAAACATGGCATCAGGAAAAACAGTCCAGCCTTGAACATGAGACATGATCAGGTAGATCTCATGAAGTCATCCTGAGGGCGGTATAAGGTGTCAAGTAGGAAGATTCTCGAGAAATGTCTGGTGGGGAGACAACAGTCAGGCCAATGAGGACATTTGTGCCATGTTTATATAGTTTGGATATATACATACTCCTCCCTCAGTACCCACAGGGTATTGGCTCCAGGACCACCCACACCAGCGCCAGATACCAAATCTGCAGATGTTCAAGAGCCTTGAATATAAATGATGTAGTATTTGTATATAACCTACACAAAGCCTCCCTCATGCTTTAATCACCTCTAGGTTACTTATAATACCAAATTCAATATAAATATTATGTAAATAGTTTTTATACAGTATTGCTTAGGAAACCAGTCAATACATGTTCAGTGCAGATACAACCATCATAGGACTCCCACAACTATGTACCACTACGCAGTACATGTCAGCAACAACATAACTTTTTTTCATATATTTTCAATCTACATTTCATGGAATCCAAGGATACAGAATCTGCGGAGATGGAGGGCCAACTATATATGTATGTTACACACTTGTGTGTGTTATATGTTATTTTATGTAGAAAATATTCTTATCTAAACACTTTAAGAAAATGTTTAAAATTTTTATGGAGCTCAAAATCATAATATCTTTTAGGATAAGGTCTCCATCCTCTTAAATTCTCAGTCTCTCCATTTAATTTTATTTTTAAGTGAGCAAACAGATAATTTATAAGAAAAAACTACAACTGAATGAACAGAGCTCAAAATATAAATCTTTATATAAAATGTCATCATTTTTCATATGAATCAAAAGCACTTCCGATCAGCATTAGACAGAGCCATTCAGTACTGACATTAGGGTTAGAGAGGACAGACTTGAAAGTTGTGTGCAAATGGGCAATAGTTAAGTTTACCAAATGAGCATAGAAGTACCAGATGTACCAGTAAATCCTCTGAGTTTCACTGAGCATCAACACTCTTACTCCAAAGTGTAGCAGCAACCCTGGTGCCTCACAGCAAAAAGATCAAGAACTCCTGGGGCAATACTATATCTCCTTTGTGTGTCCACTGTTCTACCAGCATAAGAAGCTCAACGCAATCAGATGCTTGTTCAGGGGAGCCTTCAGTATGTCTGTCTCCTGGTAGACACCCCCAGACCCAACCAGAACCAGAACTTCTAATCCAGTGGAGCCTAAAGCAGAGGAGTGGGCATCACAGATTCTGGTAGAGGGCCACTGGGAGGAATGAAGATGGGGCCAGTCTTACTTCCACCTCTGGCTTCCCAAGCCCATGTGGTGTAATTACTGGGGACACAGAACCAGATATGGCCACTGGATACACATAATGGAGACTGGAGGACAACACCCCAAACCTACAAGTGTTGTCCCTGACCTGACATCTTTGCTGAGTCTTTGTCAAGCCAACAATGAGTTGCTGCACCCCTCTGGAGTAAAGGGGCTGACTGGGATCAATCTACCACTAACTAGTTCATTGAAAGCTCGATCTACCATTAACTTAGCTTTGGTCTTCGCCACGTGCTGTTTGAACATTCTCACAGCAACAGTTGCTAGTTCAGTCTTACGGAGAAGAACCTCCTGTTGTTAGGCTCCTACCAAGCCTTGATCCCTGCCATCACTCTATGAATGCTACTGTGGTGATGGAGGACTTTGGCTGACAGCCAACAGGTGCTTTACCCTAACTTTCTGGTTGTTGAGAGCCTTTTGCTAAATGTTCCTCATACTTAGTAAACTTACTTGTCTCTAGTCGTAAGTCTACCAAGCCCCCAACCAATCCGCCGAACCATCAGCAGCTCAGGGATACATGTATCTTCACACAGCAGACCTTTCACATAAGATGAGTGGCTGAGTGGGCTGTTCAGAGCTCTGCTGCCATCCTTCAGGGACACTGCCGAACAGAGCAGTAGAGCGGGCAGCCCCCTTTCAGCAAGCACCGACACATAAGCCAAGTCAGGCTTGACAGACAGCGGCTCCGAAGCAGGCTTAATTTTTTCTTGTCCATCAATTAGTCATAGGTTTTGGGTAAAAGTCAAAGACTTCATTTTTAAATATGTCCAGTTTGAAGTATTTATTAAATATGCAAGAGATGTATCAATTAGGCAGCTGGAATTTTGGACACAAGCCAGGACTGCCATGAGAGGCAACAATATACAAATGATATTTAAGTCCACATGCAAATGGTATATAAATACAGAATTATATAAATAGTATTTAAAGACTGGGTGAGATGACCCAGAAATTAAGTGTAGACAGATGGAGAGAAGAGGACCGAGTAAAATCAGTTCTGCTATAACACTAGTTTGAAATCATGAAATTGTTCCATACTTTTCACCCAGTGTGGATTCTACATTTGCTTATTTGTGATTTCACCCACAAGAAACATGGTGAACACTGTACCTGCTTGAAACAAGCCATGTAGGAACACACAACATACGTACACATGAGCACACACACACACACCGCAAACACCTACCAAATGCCTCAGTTCAACACGTGTGTTACCAGTCACACTCATCTGCATGTAATATGACAACTTTCCCTCGAATTTCAGATAACCCTCCTTGCATCACTTTATAATAGTGCCAATTCCTCTGGCACCCACTTCCACAAGCAAACTTAAACATTCTTCAAGGTACATGCCATATTTATTGCAGTATTAAAGTATTGAACATTTAGTGTGCAAAACTTTTCAAACTGGATCCCTATCTTTCTTTTTACAGGTCACTGACCCAGTTTCTGAGTAGTGTTGTCCTGCCCCATCTTCCCCATAAACTCTGTTTTCCATTACACAATCTGGCATAGTGCGGTGATTTCAGGAACCTACCTTTCATACTACGGCAGAATACACTGCGCCCACCACAGATCTGCTCCATTTTCCCACCTTAAATTTCAATCACAATATTCTGAATGTTAAATTAATAAACCATTAATCCCAGCATGTGAATATTTGTTTCTCTCTTTTTAGCAAGAAACATGGATTAAATACATGCAAAGATACACTCAGGAATCTGTAATGTTTCCTTACAACTTGTTACCAAGCCACTAAGCAGTATCGCACAGCATCCAGGACTAAGAAAGCAATTTTTGCTTAAAAGAATCACATGGGGATAAGTTATCTGACCATACTTTCACTTAGTAAAGTCTTCATCAAAATCTACCACCTTCTAAGTGTTTCTAGTTTTAAAAAGAAGAAAAATAAGCCCTGGCCAAATGGCTCAGTTGCCTGGAGTGTCATCCTGAACACCAAAAGGCTGCAGGTTCAATCCCAGGTCAGGGCACATACCTAGATTGTGGGCTGGCTTGGGTGTGTATAGAGGGCAACCAGTCAGTGTTTCTCTCTCATATCCATAATCATGTCTCTCTCTCTCTCTTTCTCTTTCCCCCTCACTCTCTCTCCCCTCCCCTTTCTACTTTCTCTTTCTCTCTCAAATCAATAAACATATCCTTGAGTAAAAAAGAGGAGGAGGAGGAGGATGGGGAGAAGAAGAAGGAAACTAGCCGTAGCCGTATCCAATACAACTGTGTGATATGTGCTATACGTTAAAATTTCATAGAAAATTTAATGAAGTAATAATTTATACAATAAAGTAAACTTCCAGTTAAGGAAGAACTTTCAAATGTCAAAGGTCCATTAAAAACTTACCTAGGACACTTGGTAAAATCCATCTTTTATATGTACTTATATAGAAATGCATAATACCTGACATTTGCTTTAAAAATTACTTTGACCAAAAAAGATAAAACAAGACTGGGAAAAGGCTGATAAATTTTGAAGCCGGATGATGGATCACTGAGGTCCAAACCTCTATTTTCTCTATTTTTAGGTATGTATGAAACTTGCCATTTAAAAAAGCTTTTAATTCAGCGTTTTGCCTCCCATCCAATGCCCCTCCCAGAGATTCTGGTTCAGAAATGGGATCGTGAATCAGGAATTTTGTCCTGGAATATAAATTAAATACTTCTGACCAAGGTTGTACAATTTGGGAAACAGCAGACCAGAGGATACAATTACTAATAACAAAATATGATAAAGTCATAAAGAATAAATGATTAAATGTTTTTTTTCTACTACTAAAACAGTCAATGGAACTTTAGATTCATGACACAAGCAACTGTTTAGGCCAATATATGAAGGAGCATAAGATCCGGTAATAATCATCACAACCATCATCATTCCGTTTGTCACGAGACACAACAGCAGCCATTGCTCTTTTCTCTTTCAAGTCAGGAGTCTGCCGGATCTTCAGATCAGTACAACAGTAACTTCAAAGGTTAAGTATGAGAAGCGTACTTGAAATACTTTTCCTAGAAAAAAATGATGTACTGTTCTGAGCCATGAATTGGCTTTCTCTATTGAAATAGAAGATTAAAGCTAAACAATTACACATCCAATTAATTTTTTATTTTGTTTCATGCTTGGGTGACGATCTGTGATATCAGATTATATCAATGTCACTTTAATCTAAAGGACTGGACCCACATAACATATGGCAGGCATCTAAAACCAAACACAGCCCAAGTTAAATAACATTCCCATTTTTACAAAGATCTCAAACCGTCTCTAAATGCATCCTTAAGTCATGAGTTTACAAATATAAAACACAATATTAGTCATAAAAGTAAAATAATGAGACTAGCAAGTTCTATGAGTTATTACAAAAAGCAATCTTGTTACTTTATAATTATGTGGTATACAAGATTGCAGGACACACAAAAATAGGACTAAAACAAGGTGGTGAGGAAACAACACAGAAAGTACAAAGAATAATAACAGTAAGGCAACATGAGGGTGTGGTTACTAGGCTATAAAGCCAGCAAAAACCAGTCATTTGCTCGATATACTTGGAATCCAATGAGAGCCTCATCAGGTGAGCCTCATCAGGTGGGCCCCATCATGGCTTTAAACTGCACACAGGCTTATGCATTCTTGTAATTAAAATTTACTGATCACCTGCTATTTGCCAAGACATGGCATACCTGGTTAGGAGGAAACAAAAAGTATTTATCATGGCTTTTAATAGGCCAAAGAGTAAAATACATCATATTCTACATATTTTCATTATTTAATATGTGCTTATGTTTTTACTTAACCCTAATATTACTTTATGTTATGTAAATTTATAAAATACGTAAAAAGTATAATATAACTTAGAAGTCTTTAAAGAATCTCTATTCCTTTCAGCATTTTTTAAAGGAATAAGTTGACTTTTTTTAAAGAAAAATAAATGGACTTTTATGTCACTGAAAAAAATCTAAAAAAGTGACAGTGGTTTTTGTGTCTGGAAACGGAGCAAATAACAATGAAATTTAAGCTCTGGAAACAATTCCAGGAGTAGAATAAATTAGCAGTTCTCAAATATTTTAGTTTCAGGACCCTGAACACTCATGAAAATTATTGAGAACACCAAGGAGGTTTTGCTTGTGTTGGTGAAATCTGTTGATATTATCACTTTATAAATGAAAACTGAAAAATAATTGATATATTAATTCATTTTAAAACAGCAATAATAAACTCATTACATGCTAACATAAAAGCAACACATTTTATTAGAAATAAATATTTTTTTAAAACTTAGTAATAAGGGAGCATTGCCAAATATTTTTACAAATCTTTTTAATGTCTAACTTGATAGAAGACAACTAGGTTTTAACATTTCCTTTTGCAATCAATTTGTCTACTGCTCTTTGTTATTTTGGTTAAAGTATATAAAAATACCTAGCCTCATATAAATATATCATTGAAAAATGAGGAGGAGTTAGTAAACTTTTTAGATATTTGGGGGTATTCTCCCTTGATACTATAACCAAAATTTAACAAGTGGTGGTTTCTTAGAGTTAAGTTGCAATGTGAGATCATACTCTAGTACATTAAAATCCATTGGTCTGTTCTCCATTTTGAATCAATCGCTTACCATGCATGATTTTGTAACAATATGCATTGATTATTTGGAAACTATTGGTTCCAAATAATCAATGGTTCACTGAGGTACAGAAATTCCAAGTGTTGACATATTTTATTATGGAAGATAATAAATCTCACTTAGTCTTTAAGTACTGAGAAATAGTCAAGCTCACTCTGGCAGATACAAGTGTTTCAAAATTCTAATTTTTGTTTGAAAACTTAAATTTTATCATTGGAAACAAGTACTTTCAGGTGTTTTTCTTATAGTCACAAACTCACTTCATTCATTTTCATAAAGCTGTATGCCAGATACCCACATCCAAATAACCAAAATCTGTCATCCATGTTTTCGAGCAAACCTGGTATTCTGTAAAAAGAGTAGCTCAGTGAACTCACAACCCAGTATCTGTACCAGCAGGTACTTTTCTTCAGGGCAGCGATCATGTGTGGTTAGCACAAAACTGCTTTATTTGTGACCCGCATCTTGTGATATGAAACACCAAACACACAGGGATTCGAGGGTGAAGATTTTATCTAATCAGTATCTTGTACTGCTTCATCAGAGGTATTCTCATGAGAAAATCGGCACTTCTTAGACTACAGGAGTGTGCTAAGGAATAAAGCAGTGACAACTGATAAGAGTTTAGTGCCACTGCCTTGATTTGTACAAAGAAACTTCAAGACAGCATTTGTGGCAACCACTGCTTATGCAGAGCAATTGTCAATAATGTGAAAAAGCCATCTTAGCATTTTTATAAAATGAGGTTTGACCTTTGCAGAACTCCTGAAATATTTCAGAGGTCCTTGGGCTGCACTTTGAGAATGACTTCAGTAAGCAATAAACATTATTGATGATGATGACATTAAAACTATTTCATATTACTCCTGTCTTCAAATCATTCCAAGGTAAGAGCAGGAGTTCTCTACTTTTACTCTTACTAGTTCTACAAATAAAAATTATGTAACACTCCTTACATCAAGTTCCATGTTTAATCTTTTCTTTTTTTAAGATTTTATTTATTTTTAGAGAGAGAGGGAGGGAGAGAAAAAGAGAAACATCGGCTGCCTCTCAACACTCCCCAAAGGGGGACCAAACAAAACCCCAGGCATGAGCTCCCACCGGACAGAGCTGGTGACCTTGCACTTTGCAGGATTGACACCCAACCAACTGAGCCACACTGGTCATGGCCAATATTTGATCTTTTAGACTCAACAACATTTTTCCTATATCAACCATCTAAACTTTACTCTTTCCAACACAGATATATTCTACTTCTCTCATGTGGGCTTAGAGAATAACTAATTACATTTTCTTTTTCTTTCCAGCAATTCTACCAGTATAGGTGCTAAGTCCTCCATAAGGAAGTCAGGTCTTCTGCAATCAAAGGCTTGACTGATCTCTTTAAATTCTGAGATTTCCAGGAACAGGCAAAGTTGCATACCTAAGAGGAGTTGAACCAATGCTAACACAATCTAAAAATAGAACTTGTGAGACAAATCGGCTTTGAAAACTTCCTACAATGGCCCAAAAAGCCAGAGAAATGCTCAAATTTAGGTGGCTTCTAAAATTTGTTGGATTTTTTTTTTTTAGTTTGGCTAATTATGCAGTTCAACAGAACCTGAAAGTACTTTTTATTTTATAAGCCTTTTCATGTTTCGATATTAAAATACATTCATCAGTTCAACAAAGACTTTTGAGTACCTACTATGTTCCACTGTAGGTGCTAGAGATTCAATAATGAACAATAAGACATTTTACTCAGCGCTCTTTCATCTTTGGTGAAAACCAATAACATATAAATAAGCAGACTTATGAATAACAAAGGGAATTTAAGAGGGTGATCAATGCTAGGAAAAAAAGTAAAACTAGGTGAAGAAAGGACAAGTGATCCAATGAAAGAAAAGGGGGATTACTTTAAATAAGAAAAGTCTTCATTGAGAAGGCATCTTGGGACCTGAGACTTGAATGACTAATTATGAAGATCTGGGAGAAGAGTGTCCAAACAGAGTGGCTAGGAAGTGCTGATACCCTGAGACAGACACAGGAACGGGGCAAGTCTGGCTGAAACACACTGAGCAAAGAAGAGAATTACACAAGAAGTCAGAGCCGTAGGCAGGCACCAGTCGTGGGGGAACTGAGGGAAAGCTTGCATTACCTGGCACCACTATGGTTCTCACACCCTGATGGAGCCACCTGTCTTTTTAAAAATAGACACAATGACCCCAAAATATAGAAAGAAAATAACAGGTTAGAAGTCATAGGACATAGGTTCAAATTCCAGTTCTTCCCATTGTATCTAAGGGTAAAAAAAAGGGAAAGGAAAACATAATTTATTGAGTACTAGTAACTGCCGAGATTTGAGCCAGGTATTTGATCCGCTCTCAAATAATTCAACTTGGGTTAATTATTTGCTCAGGTCTCTTAATCTCAGTTGTTAATCCTATAAAGTGAAGAGAATAATAATACTTATTACAGTTACATTATGTATTGTCAGAAAGGCACATGAAAAACTTAACGTGAAGTTCTTTAATGACTGAATATCTATTAAAAGGTATTAATTATCATAATAAATAAACATATTTAGGTTACACATCTGTACGACACTGGTCCTCCCTACTCTAAGAGACTATTTCTGGTACAGAAAATCACCACTGTGTGTAGATCTCTTGATGACTGTCACAAACCCCAACTGAATACCCCAACTTGAGCTACAATGAGGCCTGTGACCTAGATAGGTTTTTTCAAGCTCTATCCATTCACATACTTCTTGATCACTTAAGTTTGTGTCTACACCCTTCTAAAACTACAGGAATCAACTTGCAAAAGGAAAGGCTCTCTTGTTCCTTGGCAGCCTCTCACAGGCCTTGAGCTGCTGCTGTCACACGCGACACCTGTGAAGCAGTTTCACGCGATCTCACATTACTGAGCAGGAAACCAAGATGATTACGAATCTTTGAAAACTTGGAAAGAACTGATAAGGACAGTAAAACAGCCTAATTAATTAAGCTGGCCAAGAAGGTTGATAAGAAAAGCATTTAAACCCAACATGGAAGAATGCTGTAACTACTTATGTACATTTCACATGTGGAAAAAAAACTCCTCAAAATATTGTATTTAATAAAGTTTTTATTGCAATTATTCATAGATGCTTTCAAGACATGTTATTTCATTTGCTTATGTCGTAATCAAATAGCTAAAAAGTAAATTACGTGTGGAGTATAATGGTACATTCTGTAAAGTGTGTTAAGTTTAAAGATAACTGCTAAAGGTTCATTTGCTGACTTGTTATTACTTCTATCACCTCATTAAGCTTCTGACTCAAACTGTGAACTTATAAGAGCAAAGACCTTATAATTTACATTTGTATCCACTGACTCTATCATACTTCTGGACAGAGTGGATAGTCAAGCTATCTTATCAAAAGAAAGAAAGCCCACTTCCAAACAAATCCACCCATAGCGAATTTTTTGACTCTGAAATTCTCGAAGCTCACTGCTTACCTCTGGTATACAAGCTCCTGTGAAACCAAACAAGCCATTGGCATTGTCACTTTTCTGTATTATTAATCTTGCTGTAGTATTCTCTTCAGATATGCGAGCTCCTCCATATACAGAGACTAGTTTAAGGATGAATAACTCTTCTCCTTCCTCTTCATTGTCATCTTTTGCAGAAATAATGAAGGATTTGTTCGTTTCTCCCTGTCTGAACTCCAGATACCCAGAAACAGGGTGTAAATCGCTCTTTGCTGGCATGGCATGAAGTTCATAAATTTCTTCAAGGGTCAGTTTCCGCTCATAGAACCTCACGTCCTGCATCAGACCAGTAAATCTGTCATCGCCATTCATTCCCGCCCCAATTCTCAGTGTTCCAGGACCTGAAATTAGAAATGGATTTAAAAGTTCCAATAGGCACTACTACCCTGTCCTCAGTTATGAGTGTGATTCAGACAGTGAAGCAACTTTATTGAAAGGTTTTATAAGTAAAGCTTTCACATAACTAGAATATATTCAAATTAACATTATTTCTGTTATGATGAAAAAATAAATCAGTAATCACTGAAATTTAAGATATTTTGTACTAAAGGATATTTTGTATGTATGTGTGTACGTGTATATGTGTATATATGTGTGTTTATTTGGACAGACATTTCTAAGAATGGATTAATTTAACTCACAATGTTAAAACTTCAGTATGACTATTCTTTGAAAACTTCAAGGCTTCATCTGTTAGAAATTCATCTTGAGTTAATAAAATAGAGAGAATATATAAAAATGAGGTTTTTTGTGGGCAAAATAAAACTCTTTATCCATAAAACCAGTGCAATGCATGTAGAAAAAGAAGTCTTCTTTTCTTTCCAGGAACAATATTATAAGCAAGTCTTGGGTGATAACAGCATGCAGCCCAACTATACTACTACATATATCAATAACATCCCTTTTCAGGAATTCACCAATTCTTATTTCTCTACTTAGTCCCTCTCCAACTAAAATACCTTTGTAAGATGAGAGCTTAGCAGTGATTCGGAGGGAAAGTACAATAAATATTTCTTATCAATATAACCAATCAAGGCAGTTTCATAAGTCACTACCCAAATAACTACTTTATGAATCCTGCACATTATTACCATGCCTGCTCCAGTGGTTCTGGACTGACTATACGGGATTCATATACAGGAACGACAGCAAAATGTCTACAACAGGCAAAAGGGTGTCTATGGGTGAACCTCAGAAACAATACTAAGCAAAAGAAGCCAGACACTTAAATATACACACTGCTCAATTCCATTTACATAAATTAAAACCAGGAAAAGCTACTCTTATGTTCTTAGAAATGCCAATAGTAGGTGAGCTGGGTGAGATACCTAATGCAGGAGGTTCAGAAGGAAAACACTCTGTTAAACTATAACCATATAAGGGCCACTCTACTTCCTAGCTGAAAAACAAAATCAAAACGTGGGATGGAGGGGCTGAAAGGGGAATTGGTGATTATAATGGAAATTACCTATATTGTGTGTAAACATGCAGATGCCGTTTCTCAAGAAAATAGCATAGGCTCCAGCTTAAAGACAACAAAGATGATCTCTTCAAAGCACTCTATAGCATTTACCAATCTACTACCTATAAATCCTTGTAACTGCTAAGGCTTTCAAAGTAATATTTCTCTTCTGCTTCCTCTTTAACCTGAACCCCATCACCCTCCAGCTTCAGCAAAACTGAGCTAGCAGCAGTTCCCACATACGCAATATGCTGTTTCACATTTCTACACCTTTGCTTTTTCCTGTACCTGAAATATTATGCCCCACACCACATTACAAGAGAAATTAATGTTCTTCCTTTGTATTTTTTCTTCCTTCCTACAATGTATTGAAGTAATCTGTTTGAGCATCTCTCTCTCAGAGCCTATTTCAGGTACCTCAAGGGCAAACACTTTGCCTGGTTCATTTCTGTAATACTCAGCCCAGAATTTATTGTCTGTGAAGGCACATAGTTTCATTTAAAGAATTAAATCAATACACAAACATATTTTAAAATAACTATTGGCTTTTTTAAGAAATCAAATTTGTAAAAATCCCAGATTTAGTGTCCTAGTCGCGAAGATAACACTCACCATCAGTAATGGCTTCTCCTTTCAGACTCTTGATTCCTCTGGGCACCGCATTTCCATCAAGGTAGAATTCAATTATACCATCATCCAGAATAATGAGAAGATGAAGCCAAATATTTTCCTCTAAATATTTCATGACTGTTGTCTTGGCAGTATAGGTAGCATTGGAGCCCCAAGTTTTGTAATGAAGGGAAAGTGTCACATGGGATTCATTGGTTTGAATTTTCACCCCATAATAGATGCTTCCATTGCCATCATCCTTTGCTATAACAAATCCATTGGTATTGGCATTGGGCATTACCCAAGCTGAAAAGGTAAAGTTGGCAATTGAGTTGTTCCTGGAAGGATGGTATTTTGGATTAACAGTTCCAAATGCACCCTCTACTCCACTGAAATACAAAGCATCTGTTCCACTGTGGTGACGTCTCATGTGCAGTTGTAAAGGCACAGTGCTCGGGAAAATTCCAACCAGCAAAAAATCTATCATTGGAGGCAAACCAGCAGGGAACTCACTGGACAGTATTTCCCAGCCTACGCGTACATCGCCAAAGACACCCTGCTGCCTCAAAATGGTAAAGTTGGTGATATAAGACATATCATCTTCTGAGAGAACATCTTCCGCTACTTCTCTCTCTAAGCACTCTGGATCCAAGATAAAAACTCCAAATGGGTCATCATTGAATGGAATCATTACTGTGACCTGGAGGTTGGTTCCTGCTAGTTGGCCCCCAGGACCTGGGGACCCACCTACAATAAGAAAATTTGTGATAAATGAGAAACCATAATTGTAAGTACTTTCTAGTTTAAAATGAAGGCAAAAGGTTTGTGTTGCAACTTTTGATTAAATCATTTACTCATTCATCAATGAACAACAGTGTTACCATACAACTTGTACCACATTGTCAACGATATTCAGCATAATTTCATTTAAAACCAAGATAGCCTGAAGAGAGAATATTAATTATTGAGGTTTGACTCCTGTGCTTAAAACCAAAAGTGATGGAAAACTGATTGTTTAAAAAAATGAGCAATCTTTAAGCTACCATAAATCTGTCCTTCCTAACTTCCACTAATGGTTTGGTGGAGACAGTATATTTGGGTGGGTAAAAATTCTATTTACAAGTTTAAGGATAAATGTAAGTCTCCATCCATACAATTTAACCAAGCTAAGACTGCAAAATAAACATTACGAACAACACTTCATTCAAAAGTGCATTTTCATTATTCAGATACACTTAATTTCTTCATTAACTGTATTTTTCTACAGGTCTAGTTATTTAAATGTAAAATATAAATTTTAGTGGTAAAATACAAGAGGTCGGAAAACACAGCACCTGAAATATTTACTAGCTTTAAAATAAAAAACTCATTGAATTCAGGAATTGTATCTGGAAAAGCATGAAGAATTATTGGTTTGGCTCCTTCTCCATCCATAAAGTTAACAGTTCCTGAAGTTTCATAGAACTCTTGTCCAGGCTGCAATGCAGAATCATTCTGAAACAGCTGCCAAGCCACAGAAACACTGCCAAAGTGTCCTCGGTGCCTCACGATCCTACATAATAAATTAAAGAAAATTAACTTTTATAACATATTTATAAGTAGTGACTCTAACTCTAACGGAGGCTTTCTGTATTTTCTCAGAAACATACTTTTTCTATTTACCATCTTTAATATAAAGGTGCCAGACAGTCGTTACTGAGCAACCATGAAGAATCTCATGGAAAGGGAATAATGAGGAACTTGAAATAATAAAAAGAAACAATCTTAAAAGTCATCATCTTCAAAGTCCAAACTAAAAGATAAATTTTAAGCCCAATCAAAATATATTAAATGGCAATTGGCAAATGTTCTTCAAAAGTAAAGCACAGGGTGAAGATAGTCCTGGACCATTTGAGAGGCGTTCCAGAAGGCCTTGGATATGTGAATTTCTCAGTCCCGACAAAGGATGGAAGTTGGGGTGAGGAACGTGAGGAGAATAATTTCTGCTCATCAGCTAAAGTATGGGGTTTTTTAAATTTTATAACAAGTGGCAACAACATTAAAAAAAGTTTACAATTCATTCAGGCTACCAATGCAGAAATTATTCAATTCTTAACCAATTTTTTTCATTTTGAAAGATGAATATATCAGAAGACTTTATTTTATTGTAACCAATTTAAATATTTTCTTATCTAAATATGCTTACCAAAATGCATTAGTCTTTCCTTCTTCTACTGCTTTGTCTATGGGCTCCAAAGAAAAAATGCCATTTGGGTCATCATTAGCTTCAATTATCACTGTAGCTATTCCATACTGGTATACTACTGTATCACCTAAAGTAAAAGTGGAAAAGTCAAAATAACAAAAAGTAGTTCACTTCCTGTTAAATTTGTCTTTTAATTAATAAATACTTTATAATTAAGAGCAAATTTCAGCAATTTCCTCACTGAAGGTCATAAATTAAGGGAAGAGAGATGCCTAAATAAGTTTCATGTGACTTGTCCCTGAAGAAATATCTAATAACAGAAAAACTACTTTATTGAAAAAACGTACAAGATACTTTTCTTCACAATAAGTATATCACTTCAATAGTTTAATTAGAAATCAAAAACAGAGCCTTATCAAATTTCAAGTTTTTGAGGTAGATTTTTTCATTTCATAACAAATAATGAAAGGATTACTGATAACAAGAAATTACTCCTGTCCATATTAATTGGAATCACTGGCTTGAGTACCTCCCTTTAATTCTCAGTTTTTAGGCAGCAGAGTTTGAGCTTATCTTAGAACAAAGCAATCTTTTTTTTTTTTTTTTTTTTTATTAGGGTTTCCTCGGGGGCTTAGCGGGCCGTTTTGTTTGCCGTTTGCTACCCCGCGGGCACAAGAATTATGGTATTAAATTTGATACCTCTCTACTCCAATTCTTTCACCTACTGCCAGTGTTTTAGGTCTCTTCTCATCACTTCTCTGAGTTACATTGCTCTTTTTTTTTTTACATTGCTCTTTATTCTGGCTGTTCCCATGCAAGCGGAAGTTCTTCCCATCTTTACTCACCTAACTCTCATCACTTCTCAGAACCCAGCTCAAGGGACAACTCTTCCAGGAATTCTTCCTTGAATTCCCAAGTTAAGCTAAGTGCATCTCCACTGTGTTGCTACAGCACTTCACACTTTGTCAATCTATCGTAACAATTACTGCATTTCACTAGTATACACACACGCACACACAATTTCACTGTACGCTCCTTGGACAAATGCTTAGTCAATTCCATGCCCTAGCAGGGTAGATGTTCAGTAACTGGTACACAGAAGTTACTTATGAGTATTCGCTGAACTGATACAAATAAAGTTTTCAAAATCAGATGAGGACATCAAAACTAAAATCATAGACACAGAAACTATATGTAGAGCAAACCAGCATATTAAAAATAGTTTATAAAAATATACAACCGTACTCAAACTTACTTGATAATTAGCTAATAGAAGGAGAAAAAACATAACAAATAGCAAATCATTGTATAGAAATACTAACAATACAGAGTAATAAAATAACAAAATATTATGTCATTAAATCTAACAAAAACAAATAAAAATAATAAAACCTAATTCTGGCAGGATTCTGGCTATCATATGTATTTGTCATGCAACGTGGCAAAAATGGTGCCAAAAACTCATTCTGTTACTCTACAGACAGAACTGAAAATATTTAACAAGGGTCCTAAGGATGGCCAGATCCTTTGATCCAATAATTCAATCTCGGGCATATACTGTGAACAACGACTATCAAGCATAAACACCCACTGCCATCACTAGGTCACATTAGAGATGCTGTCCCATCCTCAATCCCCTCAGGTCCTCAATGTTCTGACATCATAAAAGAGAGAAAAAGAACTAAGGAAGGATATAAAAAACACAAGTTCTAGAACACAAATATTTGTAGTCCAGGTCTTCACAGCTAAAGTCATTAGATCCTCAGCTGTCACCATTTCTAGAAAACTACTGAGGACAGATGCAGTGGCAGTATGTACACCACATCTTCCTACCTCGGGCTAATGGCCCAGTCACACCTTGTGCTTGCTCACTCAGTCTCTCAGAATGAAAAATGCAGTTCCCTGATGACACATCTTACAAAATAAACTCACTTTATTAAAACAAAGTCATTTCTCCATCAGCTTTCTGTACCTCACAGCAAAACTTTATTTTCTACTTTTATTTCACCAAAAACATTTTATCTGTAGAAATTACTTTCATTTAAATTTTAGGATGGTGATCAGATTCACCAAAATGTTTTTGGTTTACATAAGATCTCACTAATTATGTTTTGTGCAACTGTGAGATTTCTTTTGTAGCCATTATTGTATGAAGTCAAATTTTTTCTCACCAGATGATAGTTCCTACTTATTACTTTCTAAAATTTTTCTTAGTTAAGTCATATGAAAAATGAGAAAGGAAAGAGAATAGGAAGAGAGATACAAATAGAGAAGAGAACACAGAGACAGAGAGAATGACAGAGAAACACAGCATAAACAAAAATTAAGTGTTCTTTTTCCTCTTCCTCTCTGAATACTTCAGTCCAAAACGCACAAGTCAGAGCACGCAGTAATCATTCACACGGGGGTGGAGCACAGGACACCAGTGATCACCACAAGGTGTTAGAGCTTATGCAGGGTAAGGAAGGCATCTCTGTGGTAGAAAAGCTGCTACTGGGTAATGGGTGTGTGGAGTATAAAGGCACCTGCATCAAGGAGAACAAGCTGGCCTAGAGCAGGAAGCTTGAACCCTGGTGGGGTAGGAAAGACAATCTCATTGTGGAAAGAGTAGGAAAAGCAAATGGAAAGTGGTCACATACAAGAAGAACTGATCGAATTACTAACTGTATTAAAGATAATGGGAGAAGGGAGGGACAAATATGGAGAGGGAGAAAAGGAGAATGAACCCTCTGATACTGGATAGAAATGGAGATATTGGGGTAAACTAATGGTTTTCAACATACATAGCTGGACACAGAACTAGAGATGTAAACTGTGCATACGTACATATAAAAACACACATACATACATATGCATATTCCCTATCTCTGTACACTAGGAGGAGTGTAACCACAATTACAATCAGCACGCCTTATGCCAGATCCTGGTTTCTAAATAACATTCTTCACTAAAAGGAACCAGGATTTCCTGGAGAAACTGTCAACTTCAGGGTTGTGAAAGGAAAAGTACAATAGGAGTTTGGAATATCTTGCTATGTCAAAAAGAAGAAAATGTTCAAATAAGGACAGGAACATGGCAAAAAGACAAAGAAGTCATCTTGAACAAGGTACTAGGGGCCAAATCTAGGACATTTACCATCAAAAGAAATAACAATGCAAAAGTGAACCCAATGCATTAAATAGAAACCATGAGTCCAAACTGACAAATATATCAATAATTGAAAGTCTGATGAGTAACAAGATGTTTACATACTTTAAAGTATCTTCCTCATAAAATTTACTAATTACAAAGAAGAAAAAGTACAGCAGACAAGGCAGGCAGTCACCACCTAAATTTTGGTCAAATTAAACATTGTAGTTAAGGGGCAGAACAAAATCATGTGCCAACTGCGGAGACAGGACAAGAGCACAGAATCACCTTCCATGGAATTCCTGGCAAGGATGCAAACCTGGATTGAGTAATGATGAAACATCAAACAAATCCCAACATGAGGGACATTCTATAACTAGTCTATAATCTTCCATACTCTTAAGGAAGTCGAGGAAAGACTGAGGAACTACTCATGACTGAAGAGGTTAAAGAGACATGACTATCAAAAGCAATACAGGATTCAGGAAATGATCACTTTGCTAAAAAAAAAATAAGTGGGGCAACTTGGGAAATTCAAGTGGGCTCTGAGGCAATGACTGTACTAATATTAACTTCCTGATTTTAATGGTCATACTGGGGTTATATAGGAGAATGTCCTTATGTGTAGAAAACACCGATATTTATAGGTGAAGAAGAATCATGTCTTCAACTTACTCTCAAAAGGTTCAGGGAAAAATAGCTCTTTGTAGTCTTAAAATAATAAATATTAAAATATGCCACAGCTCCTTCAACTTACTAACGGTAGAGTCAAACCTTCTCAGGGCCCAAATACTGGAGTTAAAACATCCTACTTCACTTACGGTACAAAGAAGAATGAAGACCCTACCTTTTCCCCCTTGCAAATTGTTACTCATTATGGCTAATAGCTTCAAAGAATTATCAAGCAGCCAATTGTGCTCAGTGACCTAGATAATCTAGCTTCCCAACCAGTATGCCCAGTGCCCTGCTAGAAAAGTAGGCATCACAGAATCCTTGATGCCACAAGCCACTGGGTGACTAGACAAAGCTTAGCATAACTTTAGTACAAGATTTTTATTTCTTATATAATATTATTTTCTATGTGTGCTACATTGTGAAAAAACATAAAAAATAATGCCATAGAGTATACCAGATACCTGAAGGTTCAACGCATATTCTTCACCCCATCCCTCAAGAAAGCAATGAAACTATTTTGCTCTGGAACAGTCACAGATGCTGGTTAAGTACGATTTGGCTACTAGACAGGAGCACTTAATGTCACCTTAATAAAAGCACTGAAACAACAGATCAGCCATTAAAAAATACAGTTTATTTACCTGTTGAATTAAAGAGGATTATATAAAAGGACTCATCTGTTTCTGGGATATCATCTTCCTTAATGAATACAGATATCCTCTGCTCTCTATTTCCAACCTCGAAAACAAGCGTTTCTCCTTCAACAGGAACAAAGTCTCCCTCTCTGGCAGTAGCCTCCCCATCCATCGTAGCATACTGGACCATGCAGGCAACATCAACAGATCCATTTCTGAGAACTGTAAAGTTAGCCGACTCACCTTCCTGAACTCTCACTACACGAGGTTCTGAAATATTCATAAACAAAAGAAGGAACATATGAGTTCTTTATATTCTATCTATGTAATTTCCGGTTATGTTTCTTCCTGTCCCCATAAGAAATGCCCTCCAATGTGTCTTTGCTTAAAGACTTATCTCTGGTCCCAAATCCTACATGAGGCCTCCTTTGATTACTTCTGGTCAATGGCCTTCCTCTTGCCCTAAATCCTACAGAATCCATTATCTTCAAAACCCAGTTTGTTAGTAACTTACATACGATCTGAAATCCTCCGTCTACTATTTCATACACCTCATTTCCAAATTTAAACTGTAAATTCCTTGAGAAAAGGCCCAGATATCTTACTTTTAATTCTACCACAGCAGTTAGCAGAAGGCTGAACTAAGGATGAATTAATTAAGTACATAGTAACCAAAGATTAAGAATATGAATCAGTAAAATGCAAGAGGTTTAAAAGATTCCTGCATTTGTAAATTGCACATCTTGCAAAAAGGGCTTAAGGAGTATTTAGACACCAATTAAATCTCACAAGTAAAACTAAAAGATGTCTTAAGTGCCAAAAGACAGTTCTAAAAAAACCATTAAAGTGGCCCCCCAAAAAAGGAGTAACTGTGATTTACATGTCCGTTCAATGTTAGTTACTATAGTACGTGATCATTCATTAGGTGCAATGCCCAGGACCTGAATTGGCTATACTGTGGATTGGAAGAGGTCATGTGGAAGAGTACTCATTTTTGCACAAAGGAAAGAAAATATCTTGAAATTTAAAGGTAGGGGAGAACATGGCTAACAAAACAGTGATATTTTTTTCCTTCAGAAGATGTTTAAAAATATTTGTTAAAACATCAAAAAAGTCAAATAATGATCATTCCAACAAATCATAGAATAATACTTAAACAAGCATCAATTGTGCTTTATCAAAAATGTTCAGTTAAAAAGTAATTGAAAATGCATACACATACTGTTCAAGAAAGATGCAAACTCACTAAAAAACAATAACAATACCACCTGCAAAATAAATGGGGTCATCATTTCTTCTAATCCTCAGAGTCGCTGTAGTCTTATTTCCTATTTTAGCTCCTCCAGTGGCATTAAGTAGAGTAATGGTAAATTCCTCCATTTCCTCTGGAATCTTTTGAAAAACGTTACACATGTTTTAAGTCAGATGATTTGTACAAATAATATCATTATATAGGGTCCGGCAGAAGTAACGCCTGCGTGAATGTGGTTGGTAGGGTAATAAAATAGGTGTAATAATTTATAGTTTTAATTTGAACATTTCACTTAAAATGTCATGTGGTGTGCTTGAGTTTGATATTTTTATGTTACAGAATTGCATGCTTATGATTTTGTAATAAAAGATTTTGTAATAAAAAGGGGTGTTATTTATGCTGGACCCTATATATTCCTAAATTATTTTTATCTTTTTAAAAACATACAGCTCAACTGATAACAGCTAATCTAGATTTCCATTTCTGAGGAAGAACCACCCAAAATCATTCAAGTAGAATTTAGGCCCCATCCCCAGAATCTTCATGTGCATTCAGCCAGTCACTTTATTTCGACTCACTACAAAATTTAATGTAAATAGATATTTTGCCTTATGCAAGCTAAAAATAAAAATATTACATATTATTCTTTACACAAATGGGATATTTGTTGTTTATAAGGAAGAAATAGAATGGCAAAATAACTTTTGGACATATTTAGAACTGAGTTTGTAATAGTAACAAAAGCTCAGCTAGCTCTCAAAGGCCACTTACAAACACCACTTAAGTTTCACTCAAGTGTGTCATAAAGACCTCATTCCCACATCCCACCAATATGAGGCTGCCCACATGGCAGAGCCTATTTGAATCCCCAGGGGGACCCTGTTTCTCTTTTGCCTCATCCATAGGAGCTAGACTTCACATCGTAAGAGCACTGGATTTTGTCTCTTATGAGGCAAGTTGGAAGTAAAGGAGATAGGCTGTCCCAGCTGTTCTAAATGCAATTCCCCTCGGAAAGGTCTACTCCCAGTGTTACTGAGTTCTTTCTCTTCATCGTCAGTAAGATGAACACCACGCTAAACCCACCATGATCCCTCTGGTCCACAGTTCTGATTCTGCGGGTGCTACTACAGGATAGTTAGTAGATGGCACCATGGCACCCTTGTTTTCAAAGAACCTAAGCACAGGCAAGCACTTCACCTCTCCCCCAAATGTGGATCCCTGATACGTGACACCTACACAGTGTCACTGGCCACTGTTCTAAGAATGCCTTCAGGAAAACCAAAAAGACTATTTCCCTTTCGGCTTATACTAATACATGATCATACTTGAGTTCTTTATGAATATACTCCCAACAAGATATATTATCAGACATTTAATCATTAAGAAAATGTCATTAAGCAATGACAACAAGAGAATTATATATGTGACACTTACCTCATCAGGAAGGGAGTAAATAGTGATATTTTTTGAAAATTCCTGATCACCAAAGAAAACAGTTCCTTGGACAGGAAATACATCTTGTGTAAAGTCTGGACTAACCACCCAGGATACACTAACATCACCAAAATTGCCTCGATTTCTTATTAAACCATAAACAGCTGTAAAATAAAAGTGTATATAATATATGTGAGTATATATTAATTTTAAAATGATGAGTAAAGAACCTGCTCAAAAAAGCAAAAGTAAAAATAAGACCTCTTTTTGATAAAAGCCAATTATCTGCTTAGTCTCCAAGGTACATGTAGAAGTGCCTTCGCCTAGTCATCACTTTGTAGGCACTCGGGTGATAAAACAAATGGGCTCAATCATGTCTATCCCAGTTGGGACTGCAAAAGTCATTCAGCATTCAGAACAGAATGCTGATTAATTAGATACATCTACCACAAAGTCTTATAAGGATATTTGCTAACATTTCCAGCTAGAGGAAGCTGCATACTCAAAAGTGATTTTCTTACTCAGAAAAAGTGCTCTAAAAATAAACTACATCTCATTTCAGAGCACTGCAATAGTTCCCTAGCAGTTACTCTGTTTTAAAATCTTTTCTATTTGATTCAATTCATTCCTGAGTATCTGAATTCCACCACATATGGTTAATTGAAATCAAAATATAACTGAAATCATCAATATCATCACAATACTATGTACTAAACAAAAACAGCCATCTTAAATATGATTTTTAAAATACCAATTTCAGCACTTCATGTCATTTCTAAGACAAAGAAATAAAAATAACTATCTGCTAAAGAAATGAATTTAAAAATTATTAATTTCCTTTTCAGTAAACACTAATAGAATATAAAAAGCAAAATAAATTACCACTATAGGTATCGTCTCCTTTACTTTCATTTATTGTAACAATTAGATCTTCAGAAACAAATTCTATAATCCCATGAGGATCATCGTTTTTCAGAATTGTTATATTGACAACGGTAGCACTTCCCAACTTGCTTTCCCGTTCACCATGGCTGCTGAGGACCACCCAATAGTGTTCATCCAACTAAAAGGAACATGTCAAATTACAAAAAATGCAAATCTGAAGTTTTCAAAGCAAGCAAAAAATATATATATATATTCAAGGATATTAATACAGTCAATTTTTTAGAAACACATAACTCACTCAAAGGACAAAAGAGTTGATATGATTCCTTAAAAAAGTTTCAACATTCTCCGATCGATTAAGAAAAGACACCAGATATAAGTGTACATAACCCAGAAGGGAAAAGATAAACAATGACACTACTTTAAAATGGTAAGAAGACTAGACCTTATCTCACTGATGACATAGTCATTTAAACTAATGAGTAAAAAAATAAAGTTATTTAAAAGCTACACAAGCACTCATGTGTAAGCACATGGAACTATGCCTGCTCCCCTTAATATAAAACTTAAATTTATTTCCTTTTAAAAAAGTAATTTTCAGAAAAACTTCAGTTCAAAACCATAGCATTAAAAGTTGCAGTCAATGCAGATGACGTATAATAAGACACAGAACTAAAAGGTGATGAAAACTGATCACACACCCAAAGTTTTGTATTGTTCAGTATTTCTTTTTGTAGGACAAACATACATCATTCAAATTGAGATTTTTTACTCTGTTCTTTAAGCATTTTTTTCTTTTTCAACCACAAGTACTTCTCAATCCACTCTAGCCCACTTCCTTTCCTGTGTCTCTTGTCAATGTCAACAATATTTGCATTTAATAATATACTAGATACTATCAACTTTCCACAAAAGCACAAGGGAAAAATTAAAGTCCTGTACCTCTGGTATCCCATCCAATCTTGTTAGCAAGGTGATTACAATTTCCCTTTCCCCGGGTTTAAATTCCAGGACCCCTGTGTTTCCATAGAATTCATTGCTATCTCTTGGCTCTACCCAGTAGCGTAGAAACTGCTTAACAAGGGCTCCCCTGGATCGAGTGATGTGGAGCTCTACAGATTCTCCCTCCTTAAAAAAAATCCACAAAAATTCAAGTCTATTACAGTTCTCTGAAGTTCTGAGTACAGAATAGATTGAAGTTTCTTTCAACTTACTTGTATAATGTAGGGTCCTCTGGAAGCAGGAGAAAATTCAAAAATTCCCCCAGGATCATCATTTTCCAAAATAATAAGGTCACGGCTGGTATACCCAGATTTCAGCACTTGATTTTCCACGTTGACCCTGAAGAAATCAGAGGGGAAAAAGACGCCCACTACCTATAGTCTTACTTCTGAATTTTAAAGGGTTGTTAGGTAATATTTACAACACTTTCAGATAATGACTATAAAAGTTATTAGGAGTTTAAATAACTTAAATTGAACTTAAGCATATTAAAATCACTTGAGAAAAACAGTTTTACCCATAACACTTATGGGAAAACTTCTATTTCTGAATTCATTGTATCCTTTATATTTGACTGAAACCAAACACTGCATATGTACACCAACAATATAGTAACCAAAGGTTGTAAATATATTGCAGTCTTATTAAGTACCAAATTTACAGATTTGTTTCCGGTTTTAGAAAAACTAATTTGTAAGATTAAAAATATATGTAACTAAAATTGTTTTAAATTTACATACACTTGAATATCTTTTAAAATTCATCACCTAAGACTATACTAACTGAATAAAAGTTGGGTAACTATGTGGATGCATAGATCAAAGAGGAAAAACATTTTCCCTTTTTGTGATTATATTTTAGAAATCTTCTTTGACCTTTCATATGTCCCTATTCACTTCAATTTTAATCTCATGCATTAAAGGTAGTCCATATAAAAATGGAATCAAATGGATCTTAAATGCATCACATGTTATAACAATTCCTATACATATCTCAAAAGAACATATTAAAACAGATGTTTTTTATTTCTGGTTTTTATGTTCAGTGTATAATTAGAATGATCAAAGGGACTGAGACTACAAGGCTCTGAGAGTTTAAAAACCTGCGTGCTGTTTGAGAATTCTCATTCCTGCAAGCTGCTCTAAACCTTTCCAAATGTCACTTTCTATTGAACCACAAAGTACTCTTGAACAGACTTCAGGATCACAATGAAGCCACAATTAATATGTAGAAAGGACAGCTCATTTCCTATGTAATAGAGAATCTGAATTCACATCCTTTCCTCACTTTTGGAAACTTGACAACCAATATCTCTCATACTAGTGGCCACAGAAGGGATAAGCCCAAACAATAGGACAGTTGTGTGTTATATTGTTAATGCAGTCATATGATTTTCAAAGCAAATTTTCCCATATTTCATTCACATCAATATTTTATTCATTAAAATTAAATAAATTTAATTTAATGTTTCTTTAATTTTAATTAATAAGCTAGGAGACAAGAAAACAGGATTACAATACAAAATATAAAAACCCATTTGGAACATTACACAAAGTTTTTTTTAACTTTTCAAAAATATGCTACTCAAGTAAAAAGCAAGTTTTTCAAAAAGCTCTTTATTCAGCTGAAAAAATATAGGCAGAAACTGCTTGGATACAAACCAGTGAAAGAGATGAGAGTTTTGATTACAAATTCTCTGTTAAACAAACTACAGGATTCATTCAAGATGTTAAGTGAGAATTTCACAAACACAGCACATTAACTTTTCCCTACACCATGTGTAAACTGTAAGTTAAAAATTTTAATTCCTCATATGTAAATACATTAATTGTCAAACTTTTAATCAGATTATCTTAAATGCATTCATAATCTAAAATGCAGAGGAAAAGACTTACTATAAGCTGCGCTTATCATTGAGAAATGACAGTACACACAAGGCATGCACAGGCAGGTGGACAGGCAGCATTTCTCAAGACCTGTGGTCATGCAGAACAGCAGCTGTCTCCACAACAATGGCTTGCAAAGCAAAATGTTGAATCACAGAAACCAGGAATTATCTTGTACACTTACCCGAAATACACGACAAACCTTTCAGTTTCTACTCTGTCAACACATAAAGAAGTGTGGGAAGGTGGGAAGGGGAAAAGGGAGACTGAGATCATTTGCCAAAATCTGACTAATATTGCTAGAAACTTAGAAAGGCAAGGTAAAAATAAAGTTAAAGAAAGTCTTTCTTCATGTCTCCCCCCCCACACAAGCTAGTAATGTGCACTTTATGGGAACTCTACACACTGGGTTCTTTGCTATTGACAAATGCTAGCAAGGGGTTTGGCAGTTCCCACTTAGAGAAGATGACCCCATGGCCGGCCAGCACGCAGGACCCATTGAAGACATTCCTTTCCAGGCCTGCTCCAAGGCACCGGGGCCTGCCAAGCACTGTGCATGCTTACAAACCACAGCAGCTGAGCAAATTTCATTCAGCCCAGCTTATAATTGCTGAGCAGCTTTAATTAGGTTTAAAAAAAATGAAAACCTCTATCCTCAGATCTAAAGCCTGTTGTGCTCGGAAAAAAACAAAAACTCTACAAGCAGACAAAAATATAGCTCTCATCATTTACAAGAAGCCATATCATTGTATCATTTAACCATGACAAATATTACTTAAATATAACTTTGTACCAGGAAATTTAAACACTTTTCCAAATCCCCAATGTAGTACATTTTCAAATAGCATTGAAAAACACATGTCAAAATACACAGACCTATTGCTTCACTTTTAAAGTCAAATGACACTATAAATAAGGGTTTATATAGCACATATATTGAAATTTTAAAAATAAATTGGCATAAAATTGGTTACTGACTTGGGGAAAAGTAAACAATAAAATATTTTTAACTGGTATGGCATTAAAATCATTACAAATTGTTCAATACCAGGAAAACTCTTACCTATAGTTGCAATACAGAAAATATGCATTTAAATTTCTCATTAAAACTATAGACTATAAATACAATTGTATTATTTTTTGTTGCAACATTATATTGCAACTTACTGTAATCATACATACTAGCATTCATTCATTCTAGTCTTTTGAGAAATTTGCATATCGGAAATGGAAGGGGTTTTTTTTGGAAGTTTTGATAAAATATATTATTTCAAATCACATATTTTATTTTCACATTTATTTAATGAAACACAAATGTATCTTGGACACTCAAATGTAATTAAATCCTTCTCGTTCATGCACAACTGAGATAATACAAGTATGCATTAGCTACTATTTGAATTAAAACATTTTAGTATAAATTGAACAAATGTCCTCTATTTCAAAAGAGACAAGCATAATGATTTCTGAAACTCTGTACCCCACTATTTCTATTTCCTTATGAACTATTTTTTACCCATAGAAAAGAAAAAGAAAAAACATAAAAATTATATTTAATTAATTTCAAAAGTTTTTATGATTAGGTTAAAAATAACTAACTATCTTGAAAGAATATAAAGAATAGCCACTATGAACTTGTAGAGGTAAAATTTAAATTATTCTCCAAACATTTAGTCCAGAGCAGGAACTCAGCTGAATTCACAAGTTTCTAAGGATTGCTACATTTTTTATTTATAATTAAGGTTCATTTTTCTTTAGCTTTTTAAAAGGTTATCCATTGCTTTAGTAAAGTACTCAAAACCAGCTTAAAGAAAAAGCACATAAGTAAAAAAAAATTATGATTTTCAGTTTACATTTCACTAATTTTTTCATAAGAAATATCTTTGCTTAAGATTTAATGTAAAATATGTTAAACCCACAAGCCATTTAGACAGCATATTTTATATTTGTTTTGTTTGTTTTGTTTTTGTTTGATTTTACTTTTTAAAGTAAGCATAATATGGTTGTGAAAACAAAGCAAATGAATAGCAGACATTGAATCAATTTGTTCCCTATATTCTGTATTTTTCTTTCTCATAAAAAAAACAAATACTCATCAGGTTTATGAAATGTGTTTACATAAAACACCCTCAAAGAAAAACCTCTAACAGGCTAATAGTAAAGTATAGAGAGGAACAGGGGTCACATAAAATAATTACTACTTTAATCTTGATTAATATAGTCTAAAATAATGCCTATTAAATTTATCTGTAAATTTTACTGCTTTAAAAATATGAATTTTTCAAAACCCTCAAGTCACATTAACTTTAATATGTTAACAACTTTCATATAAAGAGAACCGTAGTAAATATACTTCTTTTTGACTTCTGTTAGTTATTGATGTAAATAACTAACAACAATTAAACACAATTTTTTTCATTTTTGGAAAGGTTTTCTGGGTTATTTAAAATATCTCTATGATGACTGTGATCTTTTCATTATATAAACTACCCACAGAGAAATGTTAAGTGAACCCTTATTATTAAGGAAAAATAACCATTAAGTTTGCATTATTTTTGATTCTCTGAAATACAAGTATTATTGAAGGTTTAAACTCCATGAAAAAAAAAAGAATTTCATTACATGCAGATTAACAGCGTCTTTTAAATCACTCAAAAGAGCTCTATTCCTCTCCCCTGTTGCAAACAAAAGGAGCGGGGCTGTTTGTTTAACCTAATATTCTAGATTTGTTGCTGTCTATTTTTTAATACAACAACATATTAGCTATGCTTAAGATTTATCTTAAACTTTCTATAAATTCTCTGTGAAATCTTTCCTCACAATGAATAGCAGAGTAAAAGTTCACAAAGTCAAAACAGTCACAGTCTAACCAGAGGCCAAACAATGGAATAGTCAGAGACCCGGCAGAACATTCTCTCTTAGATTTTTTCTTTTTACTCTATATGGAATAAAGAATTACAACAAAAAACAAAATTATTCCTGAGTATTCAAAAATACAAATATCACTAAGCAATCGATACCTAAATGGGTCATTACCTGTCTAGGGAAAGTGTTACCGTCTCATTCATTTCCGGTACGTCATCAGCCTTGACAGTGATGTTGATCGTTGTGTCACTTTGCCCAGATAAAAATACAACAGAGCCATTAAAGGGACCTATATCGTCCAGGGTCACTGCTTTTGAATTAAAGCCAGAGGGCTTCAAACTCCAATAGACAGTAGCCTGGCCATCAGTTCCATCCCGATGTAAGGGAATGTATACCTTATGAAAACAAAACAATTTCCTACATGGTCACAAATTATATAAGCTTTTCAGTGATCATGTTCACTGAAATATATGTGAATATATGTATTAGTCTGAATGGAAAAGTGAACCATTAAATAACATTAAAAACGTTAGCATAAGCCTTTCTTTATGCTTATAAATCATTTGATAGAATTATATTTATTAGTTTTTGTTAATCAAATTCATAAAATTGTCCCCCACCAAAAAACATACCTAACTAGGGATAGCTAAACAAAAACACAAATATTAAAAAATAAACAGAGTGCTAAAAAAAATAGAACAATTTGGCTGAAGAGTAAATTTCCATCTGAGGTTCTCTAAAAAGAAAAACTGAATTAATGTAATGTCGCAATATAAACAAAAATAAATCTTTGTCCTTACAATGGGAAAAATATGTTATGTAAAATGAATCCTAAAGTGCTAAGGGGCAATATAAGAAAACAATAATATAAGTAACAATATGAAATGTCTCTAACCAATATAATAATATTGCACTACAATATAATGCAGTGCAAACAAAAACAGATTTTCAAATCATGGCCCTGGATTACTTGGGCAAGTCACTTAACTTTTCCGACCTCAATTTCCACATGCAAACTGAAGTTAGTGGTTTCCTGTTTGGCAAGTTTGTAGTGAGGATTAGGGTACCTCTCCAGAGTAGGAGCTAAATAAATGGAAGTTATTAAAATAATTCTGAAATGAAGTGTATCTGGTAGTTTAAGTGTACTACACATTAAATATACATATAATAAAAGGGCACTGTAGATCATGAAGAAGTTTAATATATAAAAACAAATACTTAATTGTAAATACACTATTCTTTTTACACTCCTAAATAAGGTATCTTCTTTGCTTTTTGACCTTTAATACCTCCCATCTTAAGGGGGAAAAAAAGGAAGACATTTACCTCACTGAAAATTTTGCTAATCTGGCTAGCAGTGGTCAGGGCTGGAGGCTACAGAGCAGAGATTCCTAGGGAAGACAAAGTGTAACAGAGGGCTGCACCAGAGGGAGTGGGCGTGGTCCAGGCTATAGATGGGACAAAGAGAACAAAGGGAAACACTTTTTCTACTGTTTCCCAGGAGGGGAGGAATGGGGCCCAAAACTTTTCCCCAAAGCTAATTTCCCTCAAGAGAAAAATATAAAATGGTAAACTTACAGCTTTGTAAGACAAATGAATAAAAACAATGCACACTAAGAGGAAGCTAAATCCTTTTTAGATTTTTTCTACTTTTTTAAAAGAAAAATATTTTTAAAATCTTGAAAATAGAGCTTCTCTGCTAATATACATATGAATCAAAGGTACAAACAAAGAAAATTTTGGTCACCATATTTTGACATGAGGCTTTGATATCATAAACTGCTTTCCTCATTCCTGATCTGAACCTCAAACCAGTTTAAAGCATATGCAAGTGTGAGAGACTTGGATAGGGTCTTAGAGACAAGCTATGATTCAGGGAATGCTAGGGATGAAGGTCACCAGACAGATGGTGAGAAAATTCAACCAGAGTAGGGGGTGCAAGGAGGGTGCTATATATATATGCACATGCTTTTATGTCAGCGTGGGGTGCAGGTGTATGAGTATTTCCCCACATATACATATAATACAGAATTCCTAAGATTAGCCATTCTAAAACCTTATCACCATCATCTCCACTACCAAGCATAGTATCTCAGTCCTGTGGTATACATGACTTACCCCTCCCCAAAAATTATGTTTTGGCTGTCACTCTATCAAATCTCGTAGCATTATCCAAAAGCAGCCAGACCAAAATATACTATTTTTGCTGTGAGCAAATAAAATGCTAATTTTGTTTTTATCAGATATGGCAAAAGATGGAATATCACACATTCATCAGTTACTTATTTCAAATTACATATTGAAGGCTGGCTGTAAATGGTGAAGCTATCACCATTTCACTATCTGTTAATTCTATATACTAATCCTATAAAAAAAATTAGTGTCTGTACATTATCTCAAACTCATTAGGCCCCAGTAATAAGAGAAAGCCTACTTACCACTTCAGCAGCAGAATCTTCTGGTTCATGTAAAATGATCGGAAGATTGCTAATAAAGCCAATTTCTCCATTTGCAATGTCTGGAGTAACCACTAATGAAATATTTCTGATTTCCCCAAATCTAGGACTGATAGGTGGGATTGGGGGATTTATGTTCACCAACTCCACTGTTTCCAACTATAATAAACAAACAAACAAACAAAAATGGAAATAACAATTTTTTAATGTCTTAATTGCAAGGAGCAACAAAGTAAATATGGATAAAGGCCACCAATCAATAACTTAGCAACTTCATTTTCTACATTGTTCATTCTTCTTCCTGTTTCAATGTCCTGCACCGGTTTCCTGAGCTCCTTCTGCCCCTCAGTTATTATTTCCCAGGGTTCTATCTAAGACCTTTATCTTATAATTTATACCCTCTCCCTACTAATGTTTGGATAGCTCCTTCAAATTTCAAACTTTCTAACCAACTGCCATTAAATACTGCATGAACATCACATAGAAACTTTGCAGATTAAATACCCCAAATCGAAACCACTCTCTGTTTCATGTCTCCTCACCACTACCATCACCGGCCCCGCCATCTGCTTTTCCTCCTTGTTACCTGTACCCAACTACCTTGACACGAAATATTAGAGAGTAGTCTGCATCTCCTTCCTCACTTCCACTGGTCCACACCTCTAATCAGTCACCCGGATCCTTCCTCTAGCAAAAAATAGTCACACTCAGATACATTCAAACTCCAATTATGACTTAACATGCTTTTATGTTTAAAGAAATGCAACACATGTGTAACATGTAGAGTCCCTGTCATTAATGAACATGACCACCAGAGTAACTTCCATAGTGTCCTGCTCACCCAGAATGGCCTCCTTTCATCATTTCACAAGTCCAAAGTGTACCCACTCTTAAAGAACAACTACATTTCCTTCTCTCCCATGAAGATTTCCTTGAATTCTCTAGCTTGTTTGATTCTATTTCTTTCTGAACTTCTATTGCTACTCTCACTGAACTCAGACCTCATTCTGATTCCATTATTGCTTGCTTATCATCATTATGGGTGTTCCAGACTTTCACTTCCCCAAAGGACCGTATAGTCCTTATGGGTCTATGTCTGTCTCAGCATTTCCCCAGTGTACGGTAGAGACCTGAAATGCAACAGCTACACAATGAGTATTTGCTGATTCATCTCTCCAGCACAAACCAAGCTCTGTAGGAGCCCTGATCTATCACAAACTTTCAACATCTTAATATTCTAACTTTTCAAAACCCAAATTATCAATACTTGAGTGTAGGAATAATCACTACAGAACTGCAAAAAGCATGGCCATTTTAAGTTAAAAAGCAATTCTGAACTTAAAACATTATAAATCTCCTACTCTAGACCTCCCTGTTAGGCTCTGTAGGGTGAAAATGACTTTGATTTAAGTTGGTTTTCCACAAGTGGACTAAACTGGTACTGATCCCACCTATACTCTCACAATTTCTGATGAACAACATGCATCTTAAAAGGGCAAAAATAAATGCTTTTTAAAAAGGTCACACACTTTGCTTTGAAAATCATATACAAAAACATAAAGGAGCTGAGCAAAATTGAAAAAGGACGCATGGACATGGACAACAGTGTGGTGATTGCTGGAGGAGGAGAGTATGAGGGGGCTAAAGGCTAATGGAAAAAATAAAATAAATATTAAATTAACATTTTTAAATAAATAAAATAAATGTCTTTAAATTTTTCATATTTGGCAAAAATTTGAGTCCAAGAAAAAAAAATAGACTGGCAAATTTTGTCAATTACTGGTATACAGACTAAGTAAAATAAAACATGTGATTCACTCTGGCTGGCGTGGCTCAGTGAATTGAGTGCTGGCCCGAGAACCAAAGGGTCACTAGTTCAGTTCTCAGTCAGGGCACATGCCTGGGTCGTGGGCCAGGTTGCCAGTTGGTTGAGAGTCAACCACACAGAGATGTTTCTCCTCCTTTCTTTCTCCCTCCCTTCCCCTCTCTCTAAAAATAAATAAAATCTTTTAAAAAACATGTGATTCTTTAGTATCTTGAATTTACTTTATAAAATAAATAAAATATAAAGATAAATAATTTAAAACACATAAGTATAAATACCCATATACATATATATTTACCTTTTAAAATAGCACAAAGAATAAGCAAATAAAATGTGCACATTTAAATGGCACATAAACATAAAGTGCACTGTTCAGAGGCAGAAATGTTTATAAAGTACACTGATCATGTGTAAGCACGTGCTGTGAATGAACATTCTTGTTCCTGTGTATTCACAAAGCACTAAACTGATAAAACTATTTAAAACACCAAGGGAAAAAACTCAATATAATTTTATTTCAAAACCTTCTGTAAACAAGAAAGTCTTAACTTACATACATTTATAAAAAGTTACAGAATTAATTGTAAATATCATGTTTTGAAAAATACTAGGTGGGAAAAAGTAGGTTGACAGTTGTAAGCACATGAACACAGCATTTATTCTTGGACTGTTATTTATTAATTATTGTATTATTTTCCACATAAACAGCTGTAAACCTACTTTTCCCCCACCCTGCATAAAGAAAGAAGGTATAGAAGGCTATGAAGTGAACTGATCAAAAGGAAAATGCTAATTTTACATAGCTTATTTCCTGGTCTCTAAGCCTTTTTGTCTGGGTTCCTTAAGCATCTGCTAAATCAAACTGCTCCATTCATAAAGAGTCGTTCTTTGCTTTCAGACAGTTTGCAACTGGGCACCACATTAGTAACCCCATGCTTGCCAAAAATTGTCTCTCAGACTGATGTATTTAGCTGAGAAGGTTACAGAAGAATGAGGAGCTCCTGTCTCAGATTCTCCTTTCTTTAGTTTCATTCAACTTTCCATGCAGAGTCTGATGCCTCCCATTCTTGAGTTGCTCATCCATTATGTACTATACAAACTCCACGACCTTCTAATTCCAACCGGCCTTCCAGAGCCCACAGCTTTTGTTGAACCTCAAGAAATTCTGTCAGTGACTAATAACGCCTTTTTTCCCTATAGTATTAAATTAACTGTCTTCACAGTAAGACCTTTGTGGGTTTTTTTTTGTTTTGTTTTGTTTTTACTGAATATACAGATAGATAAAAATTCAATTTGGACTTAGTAGTGTGAACAGATTTCTAACCAGGGATCACCAAAAATTCAGATGCTATATGCTTCTTCAAATGTTAACTTACTTTTCATGTGTCATCAAAACTAAATTCTGTCATGTTCACGTAGCATATTGAAACATAAAATAGCTAGGATAATATCTGACCCACGAAAGGTTCCTAATAAGGTTTTGTTTACATAGGGATTTTCTGCAGCTACCTAGATAGACATATTGAATATTTTTAAAAGATTAAAAGTTTAATATAAAGGTTATTAATATGGTCACCCACAGCAAAAAGCAGTAGAGGCAGCATAAGAAATCAGAAAGCTAAAATGGAAACGTTCTCTACAAATTAAAATCAACATTTCTGCATTATCTGTTTTCAAACACATGGCCGTCACTGCAGTGCCTACAGGAATGCCCTAGCTTCCATGAGAGAAAAAACAACTGTGTGAAACCTTTGCTTTATTTCACTTATTTTAATAAGCTGGTTTTCATATGAGTTGTGATCTGTGCAAAAGTGCAAAGATACAGAAGGGAGAATGAATACTAAAAGAGACAAAAAAAACCTTAAACGTATGTTATGAGTCCAATGCTTATGTCCCCTCAGAATGCATATATTGAGACCCTAATCCCCAATAGTGATGGTATTCACAGATGAGACCTTTAGGAGGTAGAGGCCTCGTGATGAAATTACTGTCCATATACAAAGAGACATCTTCTGGGATTATATCCTAAGAATCCTGAAACACCAATTCAAAAGAACCTATGCACCCCAATGTTCATAGCACCACAATTTACAATAGCCAAGTGCTGGAAGCAATCTAAGTGCCCATCAGTAAATTAATTAATAGATCAAAAACTATGGTACATTTATCCAGTGAAATACTATGCAGCAGAAAGAAAGAACTCTTACCCTTCGCAACAGCATGGATGGAACTGGACAGCATTATGCTGAGTGAAATAAGCTAGGTGGTGAAAGACAAATACCATATGATCTCACCTATAAGTGGAACCAAATCAACAAAACAAGCAAAATATAAGCAGAGACATTGAAATAAAGAACCAACAGACGGTAACCAGAGTGGAGGAAGATAATGGGGGAAAGAAGTGAAAGGTTCATCAAAAATCATGTGTAAGCCCTGGCTGGTGTAGAGTGGATTGAGCGGGGGCCTGCAAACCACACGATCGCGGTTTGATTCCCGGTCAGGGCACATGCCTGGGTTGCAGGCCAGTTCCCTGCAGGGGATGCACCAGAAGCAACCATACATTGATATTTCTCTCCTTCTCTCCTTCCTTCCCTTCTAAAGATAAATAAATAAAATTAAAAAGAATGGATGAAACCTTTAAAAATAAAGAAAATTTTAGAAAAAATCGTGTAAAGGACCCATGGACAAAGCCAAAGGGAGAAAGGATTGAGGATGGGAGGTTGCGGGGTGGGATAGAAGTGGTGGTGGGAAAATGGAGACAACTGTGCAAGAATAACAATAAAAAAGAAAGAGAGACACCAAAGAACTTGCTTCCTCTCTCTCTCTCTGCTATGTGAGGACACAGCAAGACATCAGTCTGCGCACAGAAAAAGGGCCCTCACCAGAACCCCACATGCTGACACCTTGATCTCAGACTTCCCAGCCTCCAGGATTATGAGAAATAAATGTGTGCTGTTTAATCCACCCAGTCTATGGTATTCTTTGTAGCATTCCGAACTGACTGAAACAATGTACTGTATTTTGCCACGTATAACGCATACATTTTTGCCCAAATTTTTGAGGGAAAACTATGTATGTACATTACACATGGGTAGTACTAAATCTATATCTATATAAATGTTTTAATGCTTTTATTTATGCTTATACACCAAAAGTATAACTCTAAAAAGGAATAACTTCTGATATTGACAGTGACCAAAAGTTCCTGGCCTTCTCTGATGTGTAAGTATTGTAAATTTGTTACTGGCACATAAAATGTCTTGTACCTTGTGTTTGACCATGTGTTTTGTAATTATTTGTTACAAAGAATTTCTTGTTCTATAGTAAGGTCAAACATAAATGCTAAAGCTCCTTTAGACAAAAAGCAGTAAGTAAATAACCTGAATATAAGTAAATAATTAATATAAATCATTGCATTTATATTAATAAATAATTAAATAAATAAATGATTGAATTTAAAAAATGAAGATGCAAGATTTTTTTTCTTGAAAGTCTGGGCCAAAACATGGATGCACACTATACATGTTAAAATATGGTATATTAATGAGAGTGCTCTGAGGACACAGATAGCAAAGAAGGCAAAAGAGAGCACAGCAACCAGAAGTTAAAAAAAAAACAAACAAAAATCTCCATTACATTCCGAAATTCTACTTGACAAGTCTTGTCCCAAAGGTTCTTAAAAACTCCTAAGTTTGGAAATGCTCCACTAAGGAAAACTGGTGAAATGAGTATATATTTCCATATGTTAATAAAACCACCTTTAAAAAGTTAGTTAATGGCATGTTTTGTATAGGGCCAAACTTAAATTTCTTAACACATCTTTAAATGTGTTCTGCTGGCAGCAAGCATGCTAGCCACTCTAACTTCTTGCCAGGGCCATGAGCCTGACCACTTGCTCAACTCCAGATCCCCACCATTCAGCTGCCATCTCGCAAGAACAGTCCACAGGTCTCAGGGGTAAAAATACAACGTACATAACACGCATCACTCCAAAAAGAGAAACTCGAGGGGCCTCTAAAGAGTGGATTACCCTCATACACAGAAATATGCATCATATCATAATTTCCTCACTTTGAGGAGACAATAAAATAACAATAATAATAATAATAAAGAGGAAGAAGAAGAGGTCCTGTAAGTAACAAAGCCTTTGAGAACACTGGGAAAAGGCCTCCCTCTGGGTAGGCATATTACAAAAAGGTACCCCCCGCAAAATATATATATATGGTGATATAGCAGATCCCTTCGCCAGGAATTCTCAAGAAATGCACAGATAGTACAAGCATGGGGTTGGCGACCCAGCTTAAAAAAAAAGACAATAGTTTCAAAATAAAAGGGGCCACCCACCCCACTGAGGGCTCTGCAAGGTGGGACACAACCATGTGAAATTTAGAACACCAGAAGATATTTTAAAAGAAAGAAAAAAGCTTTCAGAAATAAAAAGCAAGTTACAGAAGAAGGTAAATTATTTTCCCCTCAAATTTCATATTAGAAACTATACAGGATAAAACTTTCCAAGATCTGAAGAACAGATTATTTTAACCTAGGAATTTCAAGCAAAACGATCTGAAAAAAAATTATTTTTTGATGCTCAAACACTCAAAAAGTTTACTTTGTGCATACATTTTCTGCACACGTATTTGAGGATAGACATACTATTTCAAAACTAAAACACAACTTAAGAAAAAGGCAAGAGATCAAGAAAATTCAAAGGTCCCAGTCAAAAAGGTCCCAGGGAACAGGTATAAAGAAAGCCTAGAACGCAACATAATGAACGAAATATTCAACATATGTTAGACAGCTGGCAGACATAACATGGTGAGGATGGCATATAGGGGGCAATTCAAAACCCCAAAGAAAGCAATAAACCACAAAAAGAGTCTAGGTAAAATTATGAAACAAATTTAAATGTGACTTGATTCACAAAATTGATAAAATATGCAATTTTATTTCATATACATCAGTTGGCAAAAAACACAGTGACATGAAATTACACTCTTCATCATTCCCATTATCTGAATCTGTATTACATTTATTTATGTTACCAAAGTTTGATAAGCACCTTTTTATTGCTTTCTAATTTTCAGAATCAAGCAAAACCAAATGCATGGAAAAAAATAACCATACTATCATAAATGAGTGCAAATGTTTTAAACTTTGACAATAAAAATGTTAATAAAAGTTAAGAAAGAAAAGAGATAAGATAGAATATGTTCTGAGGTCCTTATTTCTTGTGAAGTAGATGAAAATCCAGAGATGCTATCTACAGTTAATAGGCAAAGAAATAGATTTTTAGTGTATTATTTAGAAATATCTACACTATACAATTTTTCTCATACTGCTTTTTTATTTCTGGAATGCCTTCCCTGAATGTATGCATCATGAAAAACATTTATCCTATAAACCCCATTCCTGTCAAAATTTACAAATCACTCAAAAGAATAACAGATCTCTCTCTCTCTCCCTCCCTCTATGTGTGTGTGCTTGTGTGTATGTGTGCGTCACTCTGTCTCTCTTGGTCCTCCTCCATGAACAGTTTGTGAGTTACTTCATTATGTCATCCATTTATTCTGACCTGCATTTCATGTCTGATAATGCTTTTATTATCATGTAACTAAAATTTTAACTGTATAGAACTCTTGCTTTATTTCCTTTTACGCCTTAGGAGCAGAAACAGTCTTTCTTTGGACTCCCTAAGTAACTTCTAATAACCAACCCAAACTATAAAGAACCCAAACTATAAATGAGAGCAAAGTAATGGTTCGTTAACTTTCTCACACAGATAAGTATACTTACAATTAACCAAAGCTGAGATTATTTTAATCATTAAAATACCTGCACTAGGAAGTGGGCCCCATTTTGAAGGAATGCATCATTTCTTATCGGTAATTTTGAAGTGACTTGAGTTTTTTGTTCTGGAAAAATGAGGCTATTTCTCCTGGATACATTTAAGATGCCATCTTTTGCTCTCAAAGGGTCCACAGCTCCAGCAGGAATATAAAGTGCAGAATAAACCATCCTCACATCTCCTTTAGTTCCTCCTAGTCTTGTAAAACTCAAGGATAAATATCGTTCTCCTGGGCTGCTTTCAATCTTCTGGTTTTCAATAGGAAGAAATGTTATGAGGCCATAAACATCATCACTATCCTGGATGTAGAACAAAAGCTGCAGATAAAGAAATAAAGTATTAAAATGCAGAATTTTACATCTGAGATTACCAAGCTGTTTATTTTCTAGGCCTGTCTGATTTTTAATATTTACTTATATATTATATCTAAAACTGATTACTTCTTATATGTACTACAGTAAAAAAAGGAGTCAAAAAACAGTTCTGAAAACCTTCCTAGTTTATAGTTTATAGAACTTTTTCAAGACTGAACTTTTTAATAACAAAAGGACAACCTTGGGCAAGCAAAGCAATGATCATTTCCAAAACCAGTGTTGCTCCCATCACATCAAAGTGCACATGAATGTGCCTTGGATGATCAAATTGTTGGGCTCTTCTACTACACAGAAACACTGACACAAGTGAAGCATAACAAGAGACCTACCTCTGCTGGTTCACTCACTTCTGCACCTCCTTGTATTGTGTGGGGCAGAATCTGAAGGAGGTAAGCTTCTGCCTCTTCTGGAATGTCATCATTAACGACAGTCAGTGGAATGGAGGCTAACATCTGCCCTTGGGCAAAACGGAGAACTCCAGAACTTGGGCTGATGTCTGCTGTTACCGGTGAGGGATCGGTGCTATTCCGTGTCAGTACCCAGTTCACGGAAATATTCCCATGGGTGCCGCCATTTCTAACCACCGTAATATTTTCAAATCTAGAGTTTTTAAAAAGAAATATATACAGTCACATAATACACTGCAGTTCCCTGAGATGGACTTTTTCACTGACAGGCTGGCCGTCAGACATTGACAAAAACAAAAACCAGTATCATGAAGAATGATTGTTTTTTAATATGAAGGATATGATATGTTGATATGTTCTAGGAAACTACCATAATCGGAATTCACTTGCATATTTAAATCACTTCCAAGGTAGGAAAGAAAATAGGAGAACCATGGTAGAGGAAATGACACATACTCTCAAGAGTTCAGCTGTGTCTAATACCACAAACACTAAATCTTGAAATATTATAATAAAATAATTAGAGCAACAGGTTTGAAACAAACCATACCTTGATGTTGTATCTTCATCAATTATAACTGTCCTTTCAAATAAGGCACTGTTGAATGAGAGGACTCCATAAGGTTTGTCATTTGGCTTAATGGTGACTTGTACAATAGAAGGGCTTAATAGCACAGCATCTCCCTTTAAGGTATCTTTTAGCAGCACAACATGAAATGATTCAGCAATCTCTGGTATGGTATCATCAACTATTTGAAACTTCAGGTGTGATTCATGAATAAAAGGTGGAAAAACAATAGTTGTGTTTGACTGAAGATCAATGAAGTCTAAATTTTGCTGGGCATGTGCTGTTGAATTTCCGGTTACAATAACATAATTGATTGAAATTTCATATTCATCAGATCCAATCAGATTTCCACTGTCATCTTTCCCACAAACCACTGGAATTATGAGTATGTGGTCTTCCTCGGGTACCAAATACACACTCTGGATGAATCTCACGGGGCTATCATTTTTCTTAATGATGATCTCAACTGAGCTCCTAGAAGTATTAATCTCAGCTCCTCCTTCTACACTTTTCAGTTGAATTAAAAATGTTTCATCATTTTCGGGTACCTGTCAAAGTAATACAGTCAGTGGTAAAACATCAATAGCTAAAATACCTGCAAAGTAACCAAAGTGCAAAAAGTCACTATATTTCAATACAATTACATAAAAATAAAAATACTTAACTGAAGGGAGCCTATAGAAAGGCTTGTTTAGTGTCATTTACTGAAATATTTTCTAAAGGTAAATAATACATTTTAGAAAGGGAAGGAAAAGTTCATAAGGCAATAGTATGAACAGATAATGAAGTAAGTATAGGTATAATGTCTTTCAATCTTGATTAATCTTTAGATAACTCAAAAGATTTGACAGTAAAATGAACATATATCCTTACTAGTTTTATCAAATTAGTAAAGTCAGAAGCACCATTCAAGGTCCAATAATCTAGAAAACTGCATTAAGCACCATATACAAATTGTCAGTGTTTAACCACGTGATTTATTCTTCTTTCTTTCTCTTTTAAGATTTTTAAAATTTATTTCTCTTTAGAGGGGAAGGGAAGGAGAGAGGGAGAGAAACATCAGTGTATGGTTGCCTTTCGTGCATCCCCTGCTGGGAACTGGCCTGCAGGGAACTGGCCTGCAACCCAAGCATGTGCCCTGACTGGGAATTGAACCGCAAACTGGGAATTGTCTGGTTCACAGGCCCATGCTCAATCCACTGAGCTACACCATCCAGGGCTCTTCTTTTTTTCTAAACAGTTTCTAATTCAATAGTTAAACATATGATACTAGTCATACGATTTCCAAAATCACATGCCCCTCATGTATCTCTGGAGAACAAGCTATAAGAGTCACTACTAGGGAAAATATTGACATTGTTACAATACTTATATAGATAGATTATAGATAGATATAAATATAGATATAGATGTATTAGAAACTGCAAGGAAATCCTAGAGATAATCTCCACTGTGCTGCTTGAACATTCCTTCACTATAAATTCCATTTTATGAATAAAAGTGAAAAAATACATCTTTCTACTTCAATCAATGTAAGAGGTAAAACTATCTCAAAGAATAAAATATTATTTGATTGATGATCCTTTTTTCCTCAACTGTATTAAAGGATAGTTGACAAATATATTTAAAGTGTACTATGTGCCCGTCTGGTGTAGCTCAGTGGATTGAGCATGGGCTGTGAACCAAAGGATCTCTGGTTCAATTCCCAGTCAGGACACATGCCTAGGTTGCAGAACAGGTCCACAATGGGGGACATGTGAAAAACAACCACACATTGATGTTTTTATACCTTTCTTTCTCCTTCTTTTCTCCTCTTTCTAAAAATAAATAAATAAATAAAATCTTTAAAAATATATACTTTATTAAAGTGTACAATGTGATATCAAATGATTACCAAGATCAAGATAATTAACACATCCATCACTTAACACATTTACTGGTGTTTGTGTGGGGAGAACACTTAAGATCTACTCTCAGCAACTTTCAAGCACACCATATGATAATCATTAACTATCATCACCATGTTGTACATCAGGTCTTCAGAAGACTTTTTACATTTACAAGTAAAACGTGTAACTAATCATTGCCCCAAATTGTAACATTTTCACTGTTCTAGGTTCTACAAACAGAAGGTTTTTGTTAGCTTCCAGAGCCAAACAAACTAGTTATCACTGCTACCTAATATTTCACTTATTTCAGGAGAAATCCTCTTTTCTAATAATGACTTCTTTTTTCCCTTCTCTTGGGACTTCTTGTGACTAGGTTTCATATTTTTTTGTAGAAAGGTAGATAAATCATTATAAATTTCCAGCTATTCCTCTTACCCCTGGCAATACTAAGATATTTTTTATTAAAAGTCATGTTTTCCCTTGTTTAGCTCATGAGAGATATATTTGCACATTGCTGCTCAAATTTATTCTTTCCTCAGCAGTCATGTATCTAACCCTTGGCACCTTCAATGTGAAATGTAAAAATAACTAAAGCCTTTCTATGAATGTGAACATTTAAAATAGCCAACCAAATATCAATCACAGTAAAAATTTCTTTGCTTTTATAGTAAAATATTTATACTGGGTAAATAGTACTATACCTGCTCAAAACTGAAATCACTAACCAAAAGCCATCATTAGCTTTTACAAAATGCTTAAATTTTTGTACTATGTGTGGTTGACAATTACGTATGTTCAGGTTCATCAGCTTTTAGATCTACAACTTAACATGAATATGTGAATAAGGTAAATATTAATAAGATATATTCCAAAATAGCTATTTATATCTAAAATATGACTGGCCCAATATACTAACTTTACATAGAGCTGTGTTCTTGAATAATTTCAAACACTGAGTACAACCTAATCTTTGACACAATATTCTCTAACATGTCTGTACCACAGACAGAATCCTTGTCCCATCTAAGCATTTCACATTATCCCACCTCATCATCAAGTACTGTCAAGTTATAAACTACTGTCGCTCTGCCAGGGGGAAAGGTGATGTTCCCTTTAACTGGGCTCAGATCTTCTTCCGGTGGATTTGGGCCACCCTCTATCTGCAAAGAAATACATATAAAACATTTCACAAGCATAAAAGAGCATTGTGGTGATGTCAGCTGACAAAAATCTAAAGTTTACTTAAAAATGTTTTGCAAGAGCACTGGCTGGGCTGCTCAGTTGTTTGGAGCATCGTCCCATGCACCAAATATTTGCAGGTTTGACTCCACCCCGGTCAGGGCACATACTTAGGCTGCGGGTTTGACTCCCAGCTGGGGCATGTATGGGAGGCAACAGACAGATGTTTCTCTCTCAGGTCAATGCCTGTGTCTCTGATTCTGTCTCTCTGCCTCTGTCTCCTCCCCATAACTTCTCTAAAAATCAATGAACATATCCTTAGGAGAGGATTAAAAAAATGTTTTGCAAGAATTCTACTAACGTATATGCAAGTTTGCCCTTCCAATGAACAGTCAAGGCCTATAATTATAGATCTTGACTATGATAACATTAAAATACTTGGTTTCTAAAAGCTTTCCATTTGATCTCAACCACTGTATTAAACCTGAGGAAAAAAACATAAATATTTTTCTTGAGAAGGAAGTATTCAACATGAGTAAATTTTCTCAAGTAATGGGATCAAATAGCAGTTCCATCATGGCCTGTGCAAGGTATAAAACCACTTTATGCAGTATTTTCCTCATCTTTAAAGAGCATAATACAAGAACAGGCTACATGTGAGGATTTAGTAAAATCATTTTTTGAAAACTATTAAGTATGTTGTGCCTGAGGGCTCTTTTAGGTCATAAGAATACAGCAGTGAACAAGGCAAACTCCCTACCCCCAGGACCTTACATTTAATGAAAACAAACAAGTAGTAAGTAAATAAATAAATGTGTCAGATGAAGATAAATATCTGGAGTAAAAGTTTAAAGCTGATGAGAGAGACTTAGTGTTGAGAAGAGTTTCTATTTACACACAGTGAAAACAGCATCAGAGTAAAGTAATAAAACAGTATATGGAAATATTAAGTGCTGCATTTCAGAGAACAAAAGACTCAAGATTCAATAAAAAAATTTCAGATATCCACAGTGAAGTTGAAAATACTATAACTGATGATGGCTTATCCTTTCTGCATTCAATTTTAGTTTATTTATTATCTAAATACATATTCCTCCGCACTTAAAATACTGCTTAAGTTCCCATGCCGAACTTGAAAGAGTACTGCATATTTAATTAGTGTTAACTATATTTTTCATGCTTTACTGCCTTATGGCAGTTTATTTCTTATGTAATTACTGTAACCACCATATGATGTAGGGCCCCGTGAGCACAAGTAAACTCTTCTATGCTTCAGTAGAATCATGGTACAGAAATCCAATTATCCATTTTATTTATATTATAATTAATAATTAAGATACAAAATGGTACCAAGACTTTCTAATGTTTCAATGTTTGAAAACTGCATACGATCATATTTTGGATCTTATAAAACACAAAATTAGTTGAAGGTTTAAATATGTAACTCATAGAACAGCAATAGGATGAATCAATGCTGAGTCGATAAGCAACCAAACAGAACAGTTACAGCTAGCACCCTAAGAAATACACCTCACCCACAGCTACCTCATTCACGTCAAATGCTGTAACATCTATGGGCCTTCATGATGGAATGTAACTGCTTTTAACACCATCCATTAAGAGTATTTTAAAGTAATAGGAAAAGTAAATAGGGAAGACCACATACTAAATACCTCTATATAAGCCTAAGCAACCCATGGGCATTCTAAAAATGTATAGCCTTAAAAAGGTTTATCATTAAGGTTTTATGAATTTGGGGGGGATTAACATCATTATTATTCTATTTTGTGGTCTATTACTATTCTGTATCTAAAATGATTATGTTGTGTTCCCTGTAAGCACTGTATAGTCAAATAACAAGGGAAACATTTTTATATTACCCATGATATTTATCAGATAATAAAAGTATTTACTTTTATTTCATATTTATTAAGAGTCATATCTCTTATACAAATAACCTTGATTTTCAAAATTGTAGCTATCTGGTATGGACTCTAAAGTGTTACCATTTGAAATGACTTCAGAGTAAACGTACCTCAAAAGTCACAGTGACCATCCCATAGGTACCTTTTTCTCTGACGAGAGTGAGAGGCACAGACTCATTTCTGCCCCTGGGCTCACTCACTGTGACGGAGAAAGGCTACAGGGAAGAGCAAAGACAATCAGTCAGAGGCAGGAGGTGGTGCAAACTGTTACCTCAGAAATATGACATTTCCACAGACAAAGACATGTTTAACTCTTAAGATGTCGTATTTCCCAGTACTAACTGCATCTAATAAAAGCACTTAAAAGGGTTTTTTGTTTGTTTGTTTGTTTTACAAGGAAAACAGTCAGAACTAGTCAAGCAAAAGATGTAGGATCTTAACCTGGTTCTATCATCAACGAACTGTTCGGCTGAGGAATTTTAAAGGTTATCTAGTTGAAAGATGACAAGTTCAAATGCTCACAGGGGCCCAGGAGTTCACAGAGATGAGTTGTGCCTCCAATTCCAGGACAGCTCATTGGAACAACCACTCAGCCTACCCACCCCCGCCCCCACCGTTTCCTCCTCATTGGTCAGCTTGCCACTGAAAAGCAGACAACTGCCAATGACTTTTTCAGGATGTGATCACTGAGCAAAAGAAAGAGCTGGGACTTCATATGTTAAGTGTGCTGGCTTGGCTGGCTCAAACTCAGCACAGAAGAGGAAGAGGGAAGCAGCCAGGTGCACACTAACTAGGGCAGAGGGGCCCATCTCGCCAGGGACACTGAGATGGAGTGTTCATAGATGGGGACAGAACTGTCTGTCTCAAAGAGTTACGCTGAGGTTTCAAAGCGATAATTCACATCAAGTGCTATCCTAGTACCTGACACATAGTGAGGGCTCAGTAAATGCTGGTGATTGTTATTATCATCATCGTCAGTGTTCTCTTTATCATTAATATGATCATGATCCAGGAGGAAGCCAAAATCAGTCAATTTAGCACCAACTGTGAACTCAACAGTCACTTAGTTCAACTTTAATTATGCAGAGCAGCTGCTCAGTCAGAGACCACAAGAATCGCAGGCCTGGACCCAAAGCTGGAAACAACAGCTCATTCCCAGAGTCTAGGATGTATAATGTCAAAACTAAAAAAGAAAAGTTCCTTCAAACGAGTCAGGATGAGTTTAGGAACAATAAATTGGAAATGAGTGCGAGTGCGGAGGAAAGGCAGTAAGGAGGGAAATTAAGCAAGTAAGGGAGCCTGCTTCATAATTAACTAATAATTCCCCAGCCTTCAAATAAAAATAATTGATTAATTAATTTAACTTCCATAAATGATAATATAGTGGATATTATAAAATATCTATTATATTGGCATTACCCATATATCCTTTTAATAAAGATACTGCAGTTATAAAGATCATACTTACCTATAGCCCACCTTGTTCAAAAACGATTTAAGAAAATAACATGCAATACACCAATTATAGCAGCAATCTAAATTGAAAAATAAATAAAAAGCTGGGAAGTACTACATCATCTTTTAGTAATGATAATTAGTAACATGATTCAAAAAGTTTCCACATCAGGAAGGTTTTGTAAGTCTAAAACATAGTGGCAAACTCCAATTGTATTCGAGATAAGTTTTGTTGTATTTTAAGAGCTGGTTCTGTCTTACATGTTTGTGTCTAAAGATAAAACCCCAGGACATAGAACTGGCCTAGGACACAAGAATTTGGTGATGAGGGAGAAAAAAAATAAACTGCCAAGCAAAACTGAGAGAGATGACATGCAGTTTTAACCTTTAGGAACTATTAATTAATGGAAAAATCTCAGAGTAGGGATTGACCACAGATATATTAACCACTGCAATGTCTACTATTCAATTTTAAATTTACTGTAGGTTTTCTCAGTATTCTTTCAGTATTTTTTTCTCCTTTCAGAGTCACATCAAACTTTCAGACAATGCCTTCTTTAAGTGGCAGTTGAAGAAACCTAGCAAAAGGAATCGGGTTACCACACCTGCTACTGACTGAATGTGTTTGCACTGCTCCCCTACCCTCCAGCCCCAATTCCTATGTTGAAACCCTAACCTGTGATGTGATGGTATTAGGAGGTAGGGCCTTTGGGAGGTGATTACATCCTGAAGGCTTTGCCCTCATGAATGGGATTAGTGACTTTATAAAAAAGACCCCGGAAAGCTCCCTGACCCCCACTGCCACGTGAGAAAGAAGAAAAAACACAGCTATGAACCAGGAAGTGGACCTTCACCAGACACTGAATCTGCAATACCCTGATCTTGGACTTCTCAGCCTCCAGAACAACAAAAAATAAATTTCTGTTGTTTTTAACAGGCTATGGTACCCCAGGCTATGGTAACTTGTTATAACATATTGAACCAACTAAGATAACATCTGAGTTAGAGACCACCAAGGGAGGTAACAAATGAGTCAAATGGAATGATCAACAGAAAAGATTAGGATAAGAGGTGATCATGATCATACAGGCCTCATGGATTCAAAGAAACCTTTCAGAAGAAAAGGATGGCCTATAGAATGTGAACTACGGCTTGAGTTACAGCAAATTTTATTTAACTATTACTAGAGTTGCCCTGGCTGAGGAGCTCAGTTGGTTAGAGCATCGCCCTGATACAGGAAGGTTGTGGGTTTTATTCCTGGTCAGGGCACAGAGAAGAATCAACCAATGAATGCATAAATAAGTGGAATAACAAACTGAAGTTCCCCTCTCTGTCTCCTTTCCTCTCTCTAAAATCAATAAATTTAATTTTTTTAAACAAATAGACAATGATACTAGGTAACATCATGACAAATAATCAAAAAGTTAAATTATTTTCTTGCAACCACAAGATTAATCAAATTGCAGCATACCATATTAAATGAAATAATTCCAAATGCATTGTCATTTGATAAAATTGTCACAGTAACAGTCCTCGGCCATCCAAGCTTTACATTTGCTGAAGGTTTCTAAAATAAAATCCCAAAAATAAATTAATGACTTCAAAATAAGAGGAAATAATCATTTTAATAGTTTGTTTATTTAGTAATTAAGAATATGAATAAAAACACAAGAATACTTTTAATGCACAGATGACAAAAATACATTCAAACTAAGTCAACATGGTAAAAAAGAAGTCCCAAAAGAATTCTCCAAAAAAGTTTTTGAAATTAATCACCAGTTATTGAAATAAAAATTAGTATAAGTACTCACTGGCTAGTAATACTATATCTATTATAATTATTCTAATGTTATTACTATTATGACAGAAAATAAAGTAAGCAGTATAAAATGTATTCATACATGATTCTCCCATTTTTAATTTTTTGAGATAACTGCTACTGCTTTCCACAGTAGCTACGCCAATCTCCATTCCCACCAACAGTGCATGAGGGTTCCCCTTTCTCCACATCCTCACCAGCACTTTTTGCTTGTTTATTTATTGATAGCCATTCTGACAGGTATGAGGTGGTATCTCATTATGGTTTTAATTGAATTTCTCTGATGACTAGTGACATTGCGCTTCTTTTCATATGCCTATTAGCCATCTCTATGTCCTACAATTCCAATTCCACTTCTTAGAATTTATCTGAAGAAATTGGAATCACTCATTCAAAAGCATATATGTACACCTATGCTCATTGTAGTGTTATTTACAATAGCCAAAATTTGGAAGCAGCCCAAGTGTCCATCAGTAAATATGTGCATAGAATAACTGTGTTACATTTATACAATGAAATACTACTCAACTGTAAAAAAGAAGAGAATTTTACCCTTTGTGACAGCATGGATGGACCTGGAGAGCATTATGCTAAGTGAAATAAGCCAGTCAGAGAAAAAAACTACCATATGATTTCACTCCTATGTGGAATCTAATGAACAAACTGAACCAACAAGCAAAATTGAGACAGACTCATAGAGAGCAGGCTGACAGCTGGGGGGTGTGAATGAGGGTGGGGGTGGAAGGATTGGTCAAAAAGAGAGAGAGAGAGAAAACTCATGGACATAGACAACAACATGGTGATTGCAGGGGAAGAGGGGATAATAGGACGTAGAAAAGGACAGAGGGAGGATAAATGGTGGTGGAAGAAGACTTTACTGGAGGTGGTGAAAACAACACAGTGTACATTGATGCATTGCAGAATTGTGTATTGGAAACATGTATAATTTGGGTAACCTGTGTCACCCCAATAAATTAAATAAAAAATTATTCTTTTTCTTGTATTTTTAGAAAGTACTGAAAGTTAAGAATTAGCTATTCCATACATAATAGAGCCAAATTAAAGATAAAATACTGAAACAATTTTTCTATAAATGTGAGAATTGTCTGCAACATCTCTTATGGTCAACAGCCGCATACAGGAATATAAAAGAAAGTGTACAAAAGCAAAATATGACTGTTTCAAGTATCATTTTCATGAAAATTTAATCACACCAATATAATCATTCAAAAAAATTCTCATTGGCCTTGGGAAATTTTAGAGCATTGTTAGCAATCATTGCCTCAACCTAACAGATCAATCTATAAAGGACAATGAAACATTAGGCTATTCAAGCCTTTTTCCCAGGGACACTGAATTTATTTAAAGCATATGGACCTCCCACTTCCATGCCTGCTTTTTGTATCCTTCTGCTTTGAACTCAGAAGTCATGGTCACGCTTTGTGCATCTGGTATCAGGGAAAGGATGAAAGAGCAAAGGGCCAAAGGGAAGACAAAGTTTTCTTGAGCATGTGTCAGGGCAATTCCTAAACAGGCAGAATGAATCCCAAAACTAGCTGTAGGATATTCTAAACAAGATTGTCTGAGGAATAACCAGGCCGTGGAACCTTCAAATAGGTTTCCAGTTTCAGCTTCTGTGAAAACTACAACCAGTCACGTAAACTGGCTTATCTCTAAAGAAACAGATTTTTAAGCAAGGCAAGAGTTTTATGATTTTAAAGTTAGGATGGGAAGAAGGATGTACCTGTAATGTTAAGTGAAAAATAAAAGTTTCATCAGGCTCTGGTAAGTCATCATCACATACTGCTATGTACACCGTCCTGTTTGTTTCTCCAGCAGGTATGAAAGCTGCAGCATATGTGTCAAAAAAGTCGCCAGTGTCCTCTCCATACAGCTATCAAATGCAAAATATAGATAGTTCTCACATAACACAGTATTAGGACAAGCAAACTGATGCCACTTGGAGCAATCAACAAGCAAAAACAGGAATCAAGTCCCGTTAATGTTTATACATAGGATATACATAGGCAAATATTTAACAACTAATAAAAATCACCTTCAAAAAGCATTATAAAAAGAAATGATTCTACACAAAAACATTTGCTTATGCTCTGGAAGGTAAATAAGTCACTACATAGAAAAGTAATCATTATAAAGGAACTATTATATGAATATTTTTTCTCTGCCTTTTGATTGATCTGAAGTGGATTACAGCAAACCTAACAAGACAAACTGTAGCTAAAACTCTCCAAAAATAGGATTGAAAGTAGCCTGCCGAAGTATATCAGGAAAATTAACTTCTCTCTATCAGTTTCAAAGAAACTGCTCTTTCCAAAAGTTTCACCATATTATTTATATTCTAATGCAGTTCCAATAAAGACCTCGTTCTTTTAGCATTCCAAATTTATTAGCCATTATAAACTTTTCCTTAACTTTTTAAGACATTATTCTGTAATATCAGCATTGCTAACAAAATTCTCAAGAGAGCAATAATTATAAAATTATAAAGGAGGAACTTCTTGTGCAAATCCAAAGGAGACTTCTTCTGCTAAAGAACTCAAAATGAATAATTTAGCTAGTAGAAAAATTATAATCTAGTACAAATAAAAATGAAGAACACATACAGAGAAATTTTAGTCAATTTATACATTTTGTTTATAATAATTGTTTTAAATAATTAATCCAAAAGTTTTCGAGAGTGTTGGAAAACTTGTTCATAAATCTTATAAAAAGTGGCACAGTCATTTAGAAAATATTAAATATCAAGAGCTACTAAAAAGGGAAAACAGTAATCCAACCCCCAGAAAATCATTTAATGATCCAAAATATGCAAAAATCAATGTATATGTAAATAGCTTCACTAGAGAGACATTTATAACAGCTCAAATTGAAACCTCAATGAAACATTAATGAGAAATGATTGGAAAATGATGGCATCGCCATCAAGAGAAGCCGAGAAAATAATAGACCAACCTGAAAAAAATTAAGATACAAGCAAAACTATATTTATGAGTATGAAGTATAATATATACTTAAACCAGAAATGAGCTCAATAAATATGTACTTACACATAATAAATATAAAAATAAAAACAATGCACAAAAGTACAATATTGGGTTTGTGTCAGAGGTAGTTTTTCTTTGTCTCTTTTCACAATGCTTCATGAAGTGATTATTTAACCTATTGCTTAAGAACTTACTTTTGTAAATGAAAATTTCAAGTACTTTGGGTGTCAAATATAGTAATATACTTAGAGGTCATGTGACAGTACTTTCTAATTAAACATAAACACAAAAACATACACACTAAATCCTTCCAATAATTAAACTATGGGTAAGATAGATCAAGAGTTTAACAAGTTCTACCTAATTTCTATATAAGTTAACACAGTTAATTTCCCCTAAAAATAAAGGGCTATCCAATATAACTAAGGATTTTTTAATTGCCATTTTTCTACTTTTAAATATTTCAGGTACTTTCTTAAAGCCACCTGACGATAATATATCTAAGCAGAGATAACTAGAATCCTAATTACCCAAAATGTTTTTACTTAGAAATACTTATTGATATTTTTGTTTTGTTTCTTTTAAAATACATATATGGACATTTTAAATAATCAATCTATACCTTCAAAATACTATTACAGCCAAACACACATGCTACCTTGGAGTGCTCTACAAACCTTTACATATGGAACAGTGTACATGCAAGTCATTTATCATGATCACACTACTCAGAATCTCAAACAGTAAAAAACAATTTTATCACTGAAACTAGGAAATTTCATATTTGTTTCAGTAAGAATAAAACTACGATCTTTTCTTACCGATACAATGGCTGTGACATTTGCTGGTTCTCCTATCCTTTCGATAACAAGACGAATAACTGTTGTACTTGTTTCATTAACTACAAATTCTGTTTGTCCGGCAAACCTTATTTCTGTTTCTCCAAACACAAAAGGGATGAGTAAAGCTGAAAGAAGATTTATCAATAAAGATGCAGAGGGCATCCCTGTAGGAGAAAAAAAAAGATTCTGTTCACAAAACATATCTAATATATTTTCATTAGGCCATGCTGTCTACATATATAAACGGAGTAAAAACTTAGCTACTAAGCAACTATAATAAAAATAAAGGAAATATTATGTCATCCAATTCAAATCTGTGATCACAGATAAACTAGATATCACAAACTCTTCCATGGTTCTCTTTAACTATTCGTAACTATGTTTTGTTTCTTTAGCTTATATATCAAGATAATAGTTGTAAGTAGCCTTAAACTTATTAAAATTTAGTTTATTGTAAAACTTGACCCTCCAATTTATTCTAAAAAAACCTAAGTAGCAACCTGGAAACAATTAAATCTCATCTTCCTCTCAAATGAAACTAAAATAGAGACAGAAACTACCTAAAAAATTATCAAATTGATCAGTAATCTTAATGGAATTTACTCATCTATTTATTTCATTGTGCAAATATTGTAGAACTCTTGAAAATGATATATGAAGCAGTTAAAACTGAAACTCTATAAATAAACTGATTTGTTTGTGTCTACTTTTTCCTTAAAATTCTCTTATTTGAAAATGCTTTTTAAAAGTTTTTAGTTATACAAAGACATCTAATCCTTTCAAAGAACGTAAATTTCTAGAACCTAAATTGTTCCCATTTTACTAGTTAAAATACTAATGTCACTTCTTAGAAAATGTCCATGTTGTTTGTTTTCAAAGCTAGCAAATTTGGCAAGTGTGTATTTCCGTGACTACTACTGTTTGCTGCCTACAACAAAGTGCACGTTGGTGACTCATCCATATTGTTCCTACTTGGAGTCCTGTGTGACTCGTGTGCTTTCAAAAGCACAAGGGTGTAGTGGCCACTTGAAAGCACTGCTGTTTTGTAATGCAGATGCACCTCTAAATATGTGAACAATTTATCTCACGGATCATTAAGATTCCAATGGATTATGTGATCAGTCACATGAACATAACAAGCTCATTTGTTTTAAAGGAGAGGTGCGTTACGAACTCTATGAGCCAAAAATGCTCCCTGTTAATCTTTTACCTAGGTCAAGAAGTAATATAATTTTCATGTATGTGATATTGCCGCATGGCTATACATAGCTTTATATTTATCAGGAACCAAGTTCTTGATTTTAGGGTTTATACACAGTTTTCTCAGTGACTTATACTCAACAATGCAGTCCAAGATTGCTTAATGTCTCACATGCTTATGGCAGCAAAATCCACAGACAGGAATGTCGAGTTTAGATGGAGTCCAGGAAGGAGACACAGGCCAACAGGGACAGAGATTCTGGAGGACCAGGGCACTTTTACACCTGTGCCTTCTCTCTAAGAAAGCCTGCCAGGGGCCAAGGGACTTGGAAGAAATAAAATAGTTCTCCCTTACTAGCTATAAACTCTGCCCTGACTTCTATACCAGAATGTTTATGGAAAGAAACAAAATAAAAAAATATGAGATAGAAGAAAAAGGCAAAATATGCTGGGGCAGGAAAGTGGGAGCAGTTCTGGACTGGACCAAGGACAACTGAAGAAGATCTGTTGTGGAATTCTAACGCCAGAATGATTTCATACGTCACTTATGACAAACAGTGGAAAATAAATGCACCAGGCGGGAGAAACAGAATACAGAACGGAGGGGTGAGGAAGTAGTAAGTAACCTAAGCCTTGAGTGTGTAAGAAAAGGATCAACTTTGGTCTACTGTGATTTTGGAACAAAAATCTCAACTCCTTAAACATAAGATGTGACAGAACTTTATGCTGAAAAATAGTAAAACACCTGAAAAAGTTCTAAGTGAGAAACAATGAAAGTGAGTTACAGCATGAAAAGGGGGAATCATGAATGGCTAGGAACATTAGTTCTCAAAATTTGTCCTGCATAAGAATCAACTCAGACCTTTATTAAAATTCTTATTCTCACACCCAGAAATTCAGATCCAGTGAGTTCAGGGCAGGGCCCAGGAACATGCATTTAACAGGCAGGTTAAATCAACAGCCTAGTTGATTCTAATGCAACTGATCCTGTTCCGGAGTGTAAGGAAGGGTGTGATGAGCGTATTCTGGAGGGAACATACAACAGACCACATTAGTACCTTTAATTACTGAATTTTTCAAAGCAATAATAGGTCTACCCAGAAAAAGTTCAACCATTGTTAATATAATGAGAACAGTTTGCAGGACATAGATGTAACCTGGCAGCCAAGGAGAGTGGACTGGAACACACACGTATAAACAATGACGACTTCACTGCACTAGTCAGGGGAGGCAGTAGACGCTGTTGAGCAAGCATGTGTACTGTGTGGTCATCGCATTCAAAATGACTAAGCAAGTAGAACAACAAATTGTGTTAAATTTTGCATGAAGCTTGAATATTCCTACACGGAATCTATTGGGATGATTCAGAAGGCCACAGCTATAGGCAACAGGTGATGGGCAGCTTCACCAAGACAAAGCACTTATTCGTGCATCATGTCTGGTGAAGAGTTTTTTGGAGAAACACCAAGGTGACTCAGCCCCCATTCATATCTGGTGCCCTGTGACTTCTGGATTTTCCCAAAACTAAAATCACCTTTGAAAGGGAAGAGATTTCAGACCATCAATGACCTTCAGTATAATATGATGGGGCAGCTGACAGCGATTGGGAGAACTGTGTGAGGTCCCAAGGTGCCTACTTTGAAGAGAACTGAGGCATCACTGTCTTAATTACGTCGTTTCTTGTTTCTTGTATCTCCCTCAATAAATGTCTCTATTTTTCTTTTCTTTATTTATTTGTTTGTTTTTGTTTTTTTTATCTGGGGGAAGAGAAATAATTTTTTGCGAGGATAGGGTACTTGGTATCAGATGTCTCTATTTTTCATATTACATGGCTGGATACCTTCTGGCCAGACCTTGTATGCTTGAATTTTATGCAGACTTCTCGTTTTTGTTTTTGTTTTTACTATTACTGCATTGCATTTTAGGATTCCATGCATCCTATAGAAAAACTATAATGAACTATAGAAAATAATCAGAACACCAAATGGTAATACAGTATTTTTACAGACACTTTATACACAATAACACACTTAATCTTCACATCTCTATGATGAAGGTACTGACATCCACCCTATTTTATATCTGAGAAAAACTAAGACATATTAATCTATAGGTCTTATTTAGCTAAGTAAGTTGCTAGGCAGAATTTGAACCCGGGAGTTAAACTCCAGACTCCATTCTCAATAACCACACAATATTTTTACATTTCTTACACTTTATTTCTACAAATCGCACATCTACCTCATAAATCATATGGTACATTGTTTATGGTAAACATATCAAAGAATTCCAATATTTTCTTTTTTAAATATATTTTATTGATTATGCTATTACAGTTGTCCTATTTCCCCCCCTTCATCACCCTCCATCCTGGACACCCCCTCCCACCCACATTCCCGCCTTTAGTTCATGTCCATGTGTCATAAGTTCTTTAGCTTCTACATTTCCCACACTACTCTTGCCCTCCCCCTGTCTATTTTCTCCCTACCATCTATGCTACTTATTCTCTGTACCTTTTCTCCCTCTCTCCTCCTCCCACTCCCTGTTGCTAACCTTCCATGTGATCTCCATTTCTGTGGTTCACTCCTGATCTAGCTGTCCTCTTAGTTTGCTTTTGTTCTAGCTGTGGTTGTTAATAAATGTGAGTTTGCTGTCCTTTCACTGTTCATATTTTTATCTTCTTTTTCTTAGATAAGTCCCTTTAACAACTCATATAATAAGGGCTTGGTGATGATGAACTCCTTGAATTTGACCTTATCTGAGAAGCACTTGATCTGCCCTTCCATTCTAGATGATAGCTTTGCTGGATAGAGCAATCTTGGATGTAGGTCCTTATTTCATAACTTGGAATACTTCTTTCCAGCCCCTTCTTGCCTGGAAGGTCTCTTTTGAGAAATTCGCTGACAGTCTGATGGGGAATCCTTTGTAGGTGACTGTCCCCTTATCTCTTCTTGCTTCTAAAATTCTCTCCCTTTTAATCTTGGATAATGCAATTATGATGTGCCTTGGTGTGTTCCTTCTTGGGTCCAATTCCTTTGGGACTCTTTGAGTTTCCTGGATTTCCTGGAAGTCTATTTCCTTTGCCAGATTGGGGAAATTCTCCTTTATTATTTGTTCAAATAAGTTTTCCACTCGTGGCTATTCCTCTTCCCCTTCTGCTACCCCTATAATTCGGATGTTGGAATGTTTAAAGATGTCCTGGAGTTTCTTAAGCCTCTCCTCATTTTTCTGAATTCTTGTTTTTTCATTCTTTTCTCTTTGGTTGTTTCTTTCTTCCTTCTGGTCCACTCCATTAATTTTAGTCCCAGTTTTCTTCCCATTACTATTGGTTCCCTGTGCATTTTCCTTCATTTCAATTAGTGTATCCTTCATTTTTTTAATCTAATTTGCAACCAAAACCAACCAGTTCTGTGAGTATCCTGATCACCAGTGTTTTGAACTATGCATCTAATAGGTTGGCTATCTCTTGGTCGCTTAAAAATATTGGTTCTGGGGCTTTGATTTGTTCTTTTTGAGCCATTTTTGGTCAGGTCACACCTGTTAAGTATGAGTGGCAGAGCCTTAGGTGTTCACCAGGGTGGGGCAACCCAGTCACTGGGTTGTGATGCTGTATGTGGGGGCAGGGTCAGAGAGGGAACAATGGTGATTGTTATGCTCTTTCTCTGATTTCAGTCCCCTCTGGCACTTTCCACAAGCAAATTGGGCCCTGCTGGTGCTGGTTCCCAGGTGGGTGGGCTTGTGTATGATCCAGGACCCTGTGATTCTCTTCAACAAACTCTCCTGTGAGGCTGGGAGTCTCTCCCAGCACCTTTTCAATCAGTGCTTTTAGGCTTTGTTTCCTGTCGTTGGGGCCCTGGGTTGCTCAGTCTGTGTTGCTGCCCGTTGTTGCCTAGTTTATCTGTGTGCAAATGTGTGACCCCGGTCAGCCAACTGCCTTGAGCGCTTTGCTCATTTCCTCCCCACG